TGGGGGGGGGGGGGGGGGGGGGGGGGGGGGGGGGGGGGGGGGGTGGCGGGTGTTGGATGTCGAGGATGCGAGGATGGATGTTGTGTGTGTGTGTGTGTGTGTGTGTGTGTATGCGTGTGTTCTTGTTGATGGAGGGGCAGGCAACACACTCAATCCCATGCCTGTCCTTTTTCTTGCTTTTTCCTTGTTCGTCTTGCGTGCAGGACGGGCGGGAATGGCGACACAAGACCTCGGGGAATTTGGGCTGCCGATTTGTTCTGTGGACTCGGTGACGGCCGTTCCTGCCCCTCCACTCTCAGGGCTCTGTACGCAGGCTTCAAGGCCCACTACAACGAGACAATAATACCACTCTGTACTCTGCCTCGCTGACCAACGAACACTACTTAGTAACTACAAGTAGTGCCCGCTTTGTCGACGGGCGTTTCGAAGGCATTTGCAGAGGGGAATTGTGGATTCGAATGTGTTGGATGCGGTGGCTGTTTCCCTGTCGGGCCATCGTGAGATGAGATTGATCCAGTGACTGTTTGGTTGGTGAGATCTGAAGTATGTGTTTTCCCTTTTTTCCATTTCAATGCGTACCGACTTGGACAAGGCAGTGTAAGCAGGTGGGTGCAAGTAGATCAGGTACTCTGCCTGACTAAGTCAGTCTGACTTAGGTACCTCCATTCCCTAGCCTGGAGAGCTAGTCACCGTCACCGGGTTCAACAGGAGGCAAACATCCAGACCGAGAGACATCCTCTGACTGGCGGGGCAGCCCAAGTCTACTCCTGTCGCAAACAAAGTGCGGACTTGAACTCTACCTCTACCTCTACCTACCTAGGTACTGACTGACTTGGTCAGGGAACACGGTAAGATCAATCCAGACAAGCTCGACGACCAAGCGGGCGAGCGTTGTCGCCCTTTTCCCCATCAGACTAGACGCCGCCAGAATCGGGTCTCGACACCCCTGTAGCATTCGAGTCAGTAGTCCCTGCTAGAAATCTCGATGTACCTATCCCCTGTTGATAAAAAGTGAGATCCTTTTTTCTGTCCGACCGGCCACCTGGTTTCCACCCCCCTCTTGTCTGATTCGCATCATCTGGTAGGTATCCTCTTCAACCAAGACGGGGTGGACCTGGCTTGTCCGCTAACACGCGAACCAGCAATCCGGAGCAGTCAGGTCAAGGTGAACAATTTGAGGCCGCAGGGTCCACGGATACGCCTGAGCGAAATAAATGCAAGGCGGGTTCTCGGGCATGCTTGGTGATGTGTACAGCCTATGTGCGCCCTCTGCCGCGTCCTTCCGCCGGCTGCATGTCGTACGGTTTCCTTGGCTTGCAGAGGCGCTGAGCATGCAGCGCATCCAATGCTAACCGCCAACAGAGTGACCACCACCACCACTTCAAATAACTACTACCACCACCCCGGAAATAAGGGGAATCGAGCCTTCAGACTCACCAACCGTGCTGACATCGATCAAGCGGTTGCCTGCTTTGCTTACCCACCTCTACCCACGAGGCTCTCACTGCTCAGGATCCGAGAGCAAGGAGCCCAATGAGAGCCGACCAACGGCTGTCAGCAAGCAAAAGGCAGCGACGGATGGATGGGATGACCGAGAGTTTGGGACCCGAGATATGTACGCGGAGTGGACCGGCGGACTAGTGTCCGTTGCGTACTTGTGTCATGGTGGTGGTGGTGGAGGACCATAACCTGACTTGGTATTTTGCCCACCCCCCCAATCCATTGCTTCGATCCAAGAACCCGCCTCCACTGATCTCAATCGGCTCGGATTCGAAGTGCATAAGCCTCCTGTCTCCTGTTCAGACTAGAGCAAAGATGCATGCCATGCCAGTGACAGGTACTTACTTGCCAGCCTACTTGCAAAGTGGCTTGTTGCTCCCCCCTTCCCCTTCCCCTCCCCTCCCCGCAAGAGTTATTTCCGACTTTCCCTAGCTGCACCTAAATTTAATACCCAGCTTGGACAGAACCAGCCAAGAGGGCAGACGTCAAAAGAGAAACGCGGCCCGCAGGGACCTACCTACTTTAGTTTAGATGGACAGGCTAGAAGGTTCGCTTCCGTGCCTCTGTTGGAACTAGAGCATCGTTTTTGCCTGCCTGTCACCTCCATGACCGGAGAGTAACCGACTCTGGTGCTATCCCGGTTGCTGGTGCCTTCTTGTCATTGGCGTTGCGTAAAACGCCCATCCCAGCCGCTCGGTGCCCACCTCGAAACGAGCACGAGAGAGGCACAGGCATCACGCCCGGCTAGCGGTGCCAACCAACAACAACCTCCCATATTCAGCTTCACAAAACTGGTCGATCTGCACAACCACGACTTTGGGAGAGGCCGGGCTTGCTGAGATTTTGTTGTGTTACAACTTCCTTCTCTCTACCCGTCTCTCTCGGAGGCACAAAGGTGGTGGAGTCACTATCCCTTTGGCACATACAGGTAGGTACATGGCCTGATTACATGACAGGCAAAGTATATTTGATGCAGACTCTTCGAGTCCCACACACACACCACACACACACACACACCCAGATTTAGGACCGCCTGAGCACGAGCTGAGGGAAAGAAGAAGTGTGTGTCCTTACCTAAGCCTGTATAAAGTACCGTTCTCGATCAGAACAAAGAACTTTGGTGCGCGGAACGGCCACGCGGAATTGAGACCCAGCCCCATTGCGACAACGAAACAAGTTCTCACCTCGGTAATTGATTGTCATCTTTCGAGACCAAGTCCCGCTCTTACCTAGCCAACCCCAGTTCGGGTTTTTATCATCGACAAGTCCTTCGTAGATTGGGAAACACCAGATGTGGACATATAGTCCGTTCCGTTAAGGACAGGCATGCCAAAACCCGAGAGAGGATAATATGTCCTGAAAAGTACCGGATCGAAGATGCGAAGAAGCAGACAAGCCCCCGAGGGGGGGTCACGAATGAGAAGGGGAAGAGGAGAAGGCAGTCGTCAAACCGAGAGCAACACACCCACACACGCGCACAAAGAAGAGGGTGTGGAATGGCTGTTCATTTACCAAGGGTTGCAAATCAGCAGCAGGGGGGCCTGAATGGACGAGCGGGATGCAGAAGGGTTCACCGTCCAAGGGAATCCAAAGTCACCTGCACCCATCTTCCTGACGCTGAACCAGACTGTCGGTAACCTCCTAAGCCCCTTTCGGCCACACAATTACGGAGAACTTGGCTGGGACATGTCGCCCGTCCATCTTTTTCTGTTCCCCTTCCTCCTCCCTGCAACCTGCAACGCAAAGACATGGGGCATCAATCCCACTCTCATCTAACGCCTGACAGGAAAGAAAACTGCCCGTGAAACAACGGCACATCCATGGCCCACGCCAAATTACTCGTCGTTTTTCCCAAATTTTCCCCTTTGACCAACCCTTTTCCCCCCTCTCGTTGTTACTTTTGTGTGTTTTTTGTGCTTTCCACCCTCCCTCCACCTCCGCCCCTCTCTCTGGCCAACCCGTGGCTGCGGTGCGATACCCACCAAGACCATGGGCATCCCTGCCAGAGGAGCAAGTAATCTGACCAGGGGGGGCTCGACCACTCGCATTACCGCCACACGCGCTTCTTCCTCCTGGGGCCTTTCGCAATCACATGTTTCCAGACCACAGGATGAAACCAGAAAGGCACCCCGGCTGAGCTAAGATCCCCAAGAACGGCAAATTCAATCGGATGTAAACCCGCTGACGCGGTCAATGGGTTGGCTGCCTTACATTGCCTTGTCTTAGATGCAAGGCGCAGCATACATCACACCTCCCTCCCCCCTTTCAAGGAGCAGATTTGCAGACGGAGCCAACATTGCAAAGGCCATTGTGACGAACCTATTTTATCTCGACGATCATTTGTATTGTCTGACTAGCGGAAGACCCCAAGACCCCCAGCCGAAGGTATCATCCCGGGTGAACTGCATTTCTGATAGAATCCCTTTCCCATTTTTTGATTGCATCATCCCATTACTCCTGCACGGAGTCTGATTTGAATTTCATTGCGCCAGAACCACTGTGATTATCTCAACGCGACCGTCATAGCTTACAGCTTCGAGTCCGTAGAACAAATTGCTCGGACTGGCATGGGTAGGCACTCAAAGTACCGCTCCAGGCTCTTTAGGTGCTCCCGGCTCCCTGTAGGTAGCGAGATGACGCCTACCACTCATACTCGCCGGTGGCTTTGTGGAAAACGTACTCCTTGCCGTTGACCGTGAGCACACCATCCTTGAGTGTACACTTCCTGTAAAAAGGTAAAAAGGTATTAGCTACAGACCAAGTCGAGGCATTGAGGAGATGCAGACGGGGTGACTGACCACTTATTCTTGACTCGCTGGACCTTGTCATACATGCAGAGCATGATCTGACCGGCCTCATCGTCATCCTCCTCATCCTCTTGGCCGACCTCATCATCGTCGAGGTCCGAGTTGATCGCATCCTCGTCCAGTTCGTCATCATCACCATCCTCGGCTCCGTCGACCTGCGAAGTGGACGGCCCGGCTCGCTTGGATACCGCAGACCTATGCTTCGTAGCCTGCTTCAGGGGCAACATCAAGCCGCCGCCTTCCATGCGCTTAGCTCGAGCAGCAATCTGCTCGTGGAGCATATTGTCGATCTCGACACGGCCCAGCTCAACGGGATTGCCGTCAGCGTCTTGACGCATGAGCACGCCCTCAACCGCGTCGGAAGCACCATCAAGCTGGGACTGGGGCAGACCATTAGTACCATTCGCCCCATTCATCTGCTGATGTTGCTGCGCAGCTTGTCGTTGTTGGGCCGCGGTTGCGGCAGCAAGCTGTGCGCGGTATTGCTGATTGTTCATGTTGCCAGGTTGCTGTGCGGGACCGCCAGGCCGGGCCATCTGCTGGGGTTGTCCCGGCACTCCCTGCTGTTGCGGCTGCGTCATGCCATTCTGCATGGCGTTGATGGAAGCCGCCGCCCGCTGACCGTAGGCGCTCTGTAGTTGCTGCATGGCTCGTGCCTGGGCGATCGCAGCCCCGCCGACCGGAGCGTTGGGAAAGTTGGACGGCATCGCCTGCTGGAGGCCTGGCTCTTGCTTGACAGCAGGTTCGGTCTTGACGGCGCTCGCTTCGCCCTTGATTTGCGGGTTCTGTGGAAGGGGAAGATTGGGGAGAGAAAGCGAAGGGCTGTTGGGCGGAGGGCTCAGCTGAGCCTGGGTATAGTTCGGAACAGCAGGAGCAGGAGCCGCTGCTGGAGGAGGTGCCGCCACGGGCTCTGGTTTTGGATCCCAGGGAAACTGAGCCACATTGCTCTGCGAGAGTTTCTTTTGCCATCCCTACAGGTAGACGCATTGTCAGCTCCGTACTGTCACGCAGAGGATGACTGGCTTCTGAGATGATGATGATGATGATGCGCAAGCTGGGCTGTCTGCATGTCCAGCAAGGACAGCAATCCCAGGTTCAAAGACACGCAAACCCCACGAGACCCACGAGGGGAGGGCGAGGGACCCCGAAGATAGTTCTCACGGCGCAAGTCAAGGCGCAAAATGCGTACGGATCGTACTTACCCTGCGCAGCTCGTCCAGAACCTCGACTTCAACACCCTGCTCTTCAAAATCGACCCGCGAGGAGTTGATCACATCCTCGATGATCTGGCTGTAGACATTGCCAACAGCGGTGTTCGACATGTTGTTCTGCTAGCCGCAAGTGCTTCCACCGGGTCCTCCAGACGTCCTGACCGTGTTTTGGTCCTTGTGCCAAACGATGCTCGGAAGTTGGAAGTGGCGATGTTGTCGGCGACGGAATCGGGTCGGGATTGAGGTGACTCGTTTCGTGAGAGCCGAGGTGCGCGGGACCCGCGAAAATCAAGGTCTGTCGAGATCCAACTTGCACTGGCAGGCTCCAGATCGTAGATTCAATGCGCCGTCCCGGAAGAACTCTAAAAGAGTTCCTGGAAAAGATGTTTGTCGACGAAGTGATGATATGGAGGTTTGTCCAGTACTTTGTTTCTTGAAGTGCGTGGTAAGCCTATGAAATCACACCCAGCCCCGCTTAGTCATCTAGGCAGGCACCCATCAAAAAGTGGGTCGATTCTGATGATGGAGCGGGGAAGCCAGGCCTGGCAGATCCAGTAGGGCTATCTGCTATCTTGATATCGCGAGAGTACATGTAAACACGCATTCTGTAGGTCAGGTGAATGTGAATTGAAATGAAAAGAAATCAATGAGGTCTTTGGCATGATCCGCGCGATTGATGCTACAAAGTCACTGTCACAGCCCTTTTAGAGCCAGTCACACGATAATGCCTCAGGCTTGAAATATTACTCCAACGGGTTGTCTTCTTACAACTATTCATTATAATCCACTGCTGACTATCTGTAGTCCCTAGCCGTGATATGTACCATTGATGATCCATCATAAACTCGTAAACCAGACATTCTCGTCCCTGCGTAGAAGTCCCTTCGTACCACTTGAGTGGGCAGCCCTTGGTGCGAACGCAACTCCCCAACTCCGCGCTGAATTGACCAAAACGACAGGAATTCCAGACCGATGATATGCCAGAAGGGAACCGTGATTATACCTACCGTTGTTCTGTTATTGATCCTGACATGAAATCAGCCTCAGAATTGTTCTCTGGGCGTTTATCGAATGGTCATCTGCTTGGCCATGTCTGCCTTGCTGGACGAGCCAGCACCACCAACACCGGCACCGGCGCCAGCCTTCTTCTCAAAGAGTCGCCAGAACTTCAAGCTCTCATCGGCGGCGGCAGTTGCGAGCATCTGGCCGTCGGGGCTGATGCAGCTGTGGAGAACACGGCTCTCGTGAGCCGGGATCTCGACATTGCGGACGAGAGTGGGGTAGCTCCAGATGCTGAGAGAGTTGTCGGGGAAGCCGCTGGAGCTGACAATCTCACGGTAGTGAGGGCTCCAGCGAAGGCTGGTGACTTGCGAGCCAGTGTCGATGCTGTTGACACGGGCACCCGAGGTGGAGTTCCAGAAGTGGATGTGGCGATCGTACGAGCCGCCTCCGGTAGCCAACAGGTTCATGTTCCACGGGCACCAGGCCAAGGCCTTGACAGCGGCTTTGTGGTTGGTCTTGGTGAACTTGGGAACGGCCAGGGAACGGGCATCCCAAATGGAGACGAGGTTATCGTTGCCACCAGTGGCAAGCTGAGCACCATCAGAGCGCCACTCCAGGCCGCAGACCTCGGAAGTGTGGGAGACGAGCTCAGCAATCTTGTGCTCTGCGATGCGAACGTCATGGTTGAAGACCAGTCCGCTGCGGGAACCAGTGGAGAGGATGTGCTTGTTCCAGCCCATGACGCCGACACGTGTGTCGTGTCCGAACATGCTGCGGACCTTGATGCCCTCGGCGACATCCCAGATCTGAACCTCGCCAGTACCAAGGCCTACGCCGACGTAAGCACCATCCCCAGACCACTTGACGCTGCTGACATAGGTGTCCGCACTGCTCTCGAGGAGGCAGCTGACGCTACCCTTATCAGCGGACCAGATGTAGACGCTGCGCTCAAGACCAATAGCGACCTGGTTGCCAGACGACCAGTCAAGCAGGTTCAGGTAGTAGTCATCAATCAGACCAGGGGCGTCCAGAGCCTTCTCAGCGGCAGTAGCCACGCGGCGACGGAACTGAGCGGAGCTAGCATTGGCGGGCTTGAGCGGACGGTTGTACTGCTGGCGCAGATCGATAGGCTTGGACGACTCGGGAGGGGCAGGCTTGAATTGAAGGATTCGAGTGTTCAGGTTGACGCCGCAAGCATTGGCGAGCGAATCTTGGTAAGCAGCAGTGTTGGGTGAAGGGCGCGAAGAGAACTCGGGCTCCTCGTCGTCGATGCTCAGGCCCTCGAGGGCAGCGATGGCATCATCAGTGGCAGAGGAAAGCACAGCCGACGCCTCACCACTGCTCTTGGGTCGCTGCTTGTCCTGAAGATCCAGCTTCCCCGATCCAACATTAGCAATAGCGGAGCTGGCCGTGCGGTTGGGAATGAAGCGGTCACCAGCATAGCTCAGGGTAGTCTTGGTCGACTTTTGCCTAAGAGGGGCCTTCTTTGATCGGGCGCTCGAGGGGGTCTTGGTGTGCTGGCCGGTACCGGTCAGAGTGAAGTCTGAGACACCCAGCTCGAGGGCTTTCCTCGGGGTGGAGACACCGCGGGCGATGTTGGATTTGGGGGAGTCGCGGTGGGCGCCCTTGGACGAGGACTTGGCAAGGTGTGCAGAAAGGTTGCCTCCGTATACCGACTTGGCCTGCGTGCAGTACCTCTCATTGCCTGACTTGTGCTCCGGAGTGAAGGGAGAGGAGTTCAGGTTCACAGCAACGGTCGTCGTTGATGACCGTTGACGGGGTGAAGGTGTGAGGGGCATGCGACCGCCAGCGGTGCGGGAGGAGAAGAGTCCGGCGTGGGACTTGAGGGGGGTAGATACTGTCGCAGCGGTTGCCATTGTGACTGTGTGACTGTGACTGACGAGTATCAAAAGGTGGTCTCCGACGGAGGACAATTGAATGCTTTCGTGGGAGATGGAAGAGTGAGAGAGCTTTCTCGATAAATCGAAGGAGCTCCAAGAGACTCAAGCTAATGGTTCCTGGATTGGTTAGTATTCTGTTCGTTGTTCTCGATGTATCGAAACGGCCTTCACGAAGAACGGCTGTAAGTCGGTGGGGCGATCGGACGGCTTGGAAAGCGGAACGATCTAATGGACTTGATAGATATTCTTGTGCAAGGCAAGATGAGGCTTGTTTGAGAGAGGTTTGTGTGCTTAACAGCACGAGGAGAGCGGGAGAGCAGGAGGAATGGGGGAGGGCGGATTGAAGAGGATTGAGGGCTATGAGGAGGAGAAGCAGGAATAAAGGAACATCAAGTGGTGAGGCAGCTTTTATCGGTGATGTTGACATTGGCGCACTGGCCACCCATTGGCAGGGCAACACCGTCTGAGACGGAAAGCCCCTTCCTTTGACTGGGGTCTAGTCTCGATCCCGTATGGTCTGGTGGATCCACCATTGCGGCTGCTTCTTTCCTCCGCAGCCCGACATGACCCGCCTTTTCGCCTCTGATGGGAGTCATTGATTGGGCAAGTCGACCATTTAGTTCGTCCACCCTTCCCCCCGGCGGCCATGTGCTGTGGTGGTAAGGCAGAGAGAGAGCCGCCATCCCCTGGCAGAATCGCAATTTTAGCCCCCGGACCGACTTTGGCTTCCACTGCATCATCATTGCACGGATGTGTGTTCCATTCTCGAACTACCGCTTCATACTCAGCCAACGACTGGTGGCACTTGTATGACCATCAACGCTGACTCTTGTCGAAACAATTCGACGATCTGGCTGACGAGTTTTCGCCAGTATCGGATCCCTACTCCCTGTTATCTGCGCCCCGCCTCCATTTGCCTGGCGCCAACCTCCCGTCTGCTGCTACGGTCAATCAATCGCCCATTGTCGAAATGCTAAGATAGTACTTCGCGACAAAGACCAAAGCCATGGCTCAGCCGTCAACTCCTTCCGCGCCCGGGACGCAGTCTATCTTCGGTGGAGGCGCCCATGGCCCCAGCCAGCCCTCGTCCTTTTCCTCGCTGAACTCGACCGTGACGCCCGGCTCCGCAGCCTCGTCCAATAACACGTACATCATGCCCAACTCGCCCATGAAGAGCCGCGCCATGATGGATGGATACAGACCCAAGGTGACTCGCACCCTTGGGCAGAGGCCGGCGTGCTTGGTCAATGCATCAGTGACGTACTGCGGCAACAACCAAATCTACGCCTTCGGTGGCTTCGACCAGTATACGGATGAGGTATACAACCATGTCCTGCGTCTTGACCTTGTCAGCCAACAATGGAGTCTTGTTGATAACTATGGGGACATACCTGGAGTGCGAATGGGTATGTTAGCCTATGCCTACTATCTCTCGTCTATGTTGAGCTTATCACTGACTATATCACCAGGTCATACCGCAACGCTTTACCAGGGCGACAAACTTCTGGTCTTTGGCGGTGAAAACGAGCATCGCACATACCTCTCTGACCTGATCATCTTCGACCTGAAGACAGCACATTGGACCCAGCCGCAGGTCTCGGGCCCCATTCCCAAGGGCCGTGCCCGGCATGCTGCTGTCTTGCACGAGGACAAGCTTTTCATTGTGGGTGGCATCACAGGCCACGACAGTTATGTGCTGGACGATATTTGCTATTTGGACCTCAAAACGTACACGTGGTCCCGGGCTTGGCGATTTGTCGGCCGGTTTGATCATTCGGCTTATATCTGGTAGGTTGAAGCCTCATCGTCTCGTTCCCAAACAAGATGCTAACCCTTGAACCAGGGACGATAAAGTCTGGGTGTTTGGGGGCCTGGGTGAAGACATGGACAAGGTTAGCGACCTCTGGTGGCTGGATCTCAAAGGCATCCCTGCATTCCAAGCATCTCCGCACATGGGGTCACTCGAGCGGCAAGCTCTCAGCAACCGCGCTAGTCCATCATCACGGCCATCATACTCGATGGCGCCATCGCCGGTCGTTGGTGCGTCGGGATATGCTGCCAATTCCAGAACAGCGCAGGTCAGCACGCCGTCCTTTCAGCTGAAGGCTTTTGCGCCCATGGCGCCCGGTTCGATCTCGGCGTTGAAGTTTGTCTCTGGGTCCAACGTACCTTCACAAGGCTCAGGGATTCACTTCCACGTCTATTCATCGGGGACGTTGCTCGACTTTGTGACACCGGCTGCGACAACCACATCCAAGGACTGCTCGCTCTCGGCCCTAGACCTGTCTGGTCTCCGCTGGCAGAAACTCGCAGAGGGTCGTGAGGTCTTCAAGTCGGGCTACAGGTGGCATTACTGTACCATGAATGAAGATGGCACCAAAGCCTGGCTCCTCGGTTGTCCGACCGACCCTGGTGCAATTGAGCTTGGCGCTAATGGCCTGGAAGAATATCTCAGCGACATCATGGAGATCGACCTTCGGAGATATGGATTTCTGGGCAATAATCTCACCCCAGATCCACGCAATGAGCTCGTCCGACAGTCATCGAGAATTCGCGATGTCGAGGCGCCTTCTCGAGGTTTAGGATCTGATCTTTCCAAGTTATTCAACCAGCCACCGGAGTCTGGTAGCGGGACTGACTTTGTCATCACCGCTCTCTCTGGCGAGTGGAGTGAGGATGACATCGTCGGTTCTGCACTTGTTCGGCCCAGCGACACCGATGGAGGCCAGAATATTTGGCTATCTCCAGATACGCCAACATCGCCACCCATCCATGTCCACAAGCTCATCCTTCAGGCGCGCTGGCCTCATTTCGCGCGCTTGTGGGCTTCTCAGATGGCAGAGTTCCACACAAAGAAGATGCACATACCCGAGCCATATAGCGTGGTGAAAGCATTCCTGTACTACCTGTACACAGACCGCATCGATCCTCCTTCGGAGGATCCTGGCAGTGACTCGTCGCACACCCCGGCCAATCTCTCCGATGTTGCTGGCTTACTTGTTATGTCGAATATCTACAACATTCCCCATCTTCGTCTGCTGTGTGTCAATCGACTCGCCAAGGAGCTGGATGTGGAGCACGCTTGTACAATCTGGTATTGCGCTGGGGTGGCAAACGAGGAGTGGCTCCGAAAACGAGCTGCAGGCTTCTGCTTGACGCACTGGGGACGGATCGTCAGAACCAGTGGATTCTTGCGTCTACCCCGAGCTGCGCTCGTAGAGCTTTCACAAGAGATCGACACCGAAGGCAGAGTCATTGGCGGCGAAGAGGTGGACTTGTTTGGATCAGCGCTTGATGGCGGAAGGTTCCCCGACGGCGCGAGTGGCATTTCACGACGCAAGGAGAGCATTGGTAGTCACCAGTCGCAGATGCTGGAGTCGGAGATTGATGACGACGACGGTATGGAGATGAACTAGGCAGGTCCTTACTCGCATTGCGTCGTGTAGGATGTCGCATGTGATTTCACGAATGATATGGATATGATCAGAAAGCCAAGTGGCAGTATGGAGGAATGGCGTTGGGATCAGGAGTACACATAGCCGGGAACGACTGTGCAAGGGGTTGTTTTATTGGGCGTTTTATTCATGTACAATTCAGGAGTTATTTTCTCACTCAAGCCATGATAGCCTAGCATCTATAGGCGTTTTATCCCGAGGGCATTGATGGGTCTATGAATACATTCAAAGTGCAACGAGGGTATGAGCACCAACAAGGGGTGCTCAGGGTTTCTACAGCATGGCAGGTGACGACTCTTGACCGTGACTAGGTCAACCACACTGCTAGGCAAGCAAGCCAGGCATGGGAATGATTCACCAGCTGTCACGACGTTTGTGTTACACGTAAGTAGCCCCCATATTATATTGGAGAGGCTGATACTTCTTGTTGTTTAGTGAGGGGGCGGGATGCATTTTGAATCCAGTACTGAATCCTCTCCTTCAATATCAGGCGCCCTCTAGCTCCACGTCTGCGTAGTGGCTTATGGATGGCTCCGTTGCAAGTAAGTACGGCCTCAAGCCTTCCTAATCCAGCCTCCTTTTCTATATACAAGGATGTGGACGTTGATAGCGACCAGTTTGCAAAAAGTATATGAGCCTCTCACACCGCGGTCTCTTTGCTTTACCTGGAGGAGAGATCCTTTGGTAAATACATGGCTTGGTTCTAGCTGCCGCAAATTATCTGTCGACCCGACCGGATTACCGACGAGCGAAGGGCAAGCATTGGCTACTCTCCATGACGCTCTCCGACCTCATTAACTTAGCGAGCAGACAACTACAGAAGAGGGCCCATAGCCCCCCTCGAGGTCGAGGACGAAGCGGCTCGGCGGTCCCGCCAGGACCAAACCAAGATCCCGAGTTGTTTCTTGGCCACCGTACAACGGCCACCGAGCTTCAAGCATTCTGATTTTACTTTATTCTATTTTATTTTTGTTTACCAGGCTCGAATAATTACCTTGGAAGCTTGAAGACCTTGTCCAGAGGTGTTCTTTGTCCTTACTGAGTGGCAGCTTCTGGCAGGGTGGGCAGAAGATACCCGGTTTTCGGCCTCTGGTCCGGCCCGCATGTGGAGCCTGAGGCCGGCATCCGGCCGCGGCCCCGGCTCACACCAGGCATCGCCATGCCGACTCAGTGAAAAGCCTCACGACTCCAACAGTCCCGCATTTCTTGAGGGAAGCCCTAATCAGCCATCCATTTAATCTCTGGCCCCTCCACAAAACTGGTCAACAATTGTTTTTGTGGTGTCTTCTTCTCTACCCTTTTCCACCTCCAACCCTCCACCACTTTCCTTCTTCCTGCACACAACATCACCAGCTGGATTCTCTCCTGGCACCCCCAAGAACAGAGAATCTCTTTCAAAGCTGCCATTTTCTTTTCTAGCAACACTTTTCAGGGCTTGAGACATTGCCTCCCCTCTCTCTCCCTTGTTTCAGAAGCTGGATCACCTGAGAGCTCAGCATCTCTTTCTGCTTTCCCGACCTTACCCTCTCCCGCATCTCGATTACAACCTGCTTCTCCGTTTAATGAACCTTCTCTTTTTCTGCTTCGGCGTCTCGTTTGCTGTGGAAGCCCAAAGCTCCTAAATCAGCAAAGATGCCGCATTCGCACTACTCTGACGAGCAGCGCCGTTGGGTCTGTGAGAACATCTGGACCTACGACCGCGATGGCTTCATCGCGGCGTACGCGGCAAAGTTCAACGATCCGAATTTCGGCCGATCCCAGTACAAGTGGGTTTGCCAGCACTATGCCCGCTCCGATGACTATGGGTAAGTCTCACCACACTGATGATGGGTGCTCGTTCGCCCTCGAAGGACTTGATCTCTTAGCTTGACCTTTGCTTTGCTAACAAGATGGGCCTGTAGTCATGCACTTCTCTACCCTCCGTTCGAGGGTGCCAAGCCTGGTGATCCCGGCGCTCACGGATGGGTTCCTCCTTCTGTCCTGAAGTCGGAGGCATTTGTCGACTCTGATCCCTCGGCTGAGGCCTTCTTGAACAATGCGGGCGATACTGCCCAGAACCAGGGCGTTGACCAAAATGCCGAGAATCAAATTGACTCGGCCAACGGAGGCGAGTATTCTCAGGACCAGAGCATCGACGACAACGTCGAGAACGATGATGCCATGGTCGGCATGGTCAATAGCGGCCTGGATCAGAGCCTTGACGACAAGCTCGAGGGACAAGCCGACTTGGCTAATGCGAAGATGTCCTCGCCAGCTGTGACGGACTCGAACACGCATGAACTTGACATGCCTCTCGGTCAAGACACCTCCCCGGCAGAGCCAAGCGCGAACTCGGTCTTTGATATGGCATATTCGATGAACTTGGATGGACCTCCCGGAGATCCTGAGTTCTTTGGCCAGTCTAGCCCTGCGAGCCGGGGTAATGCCAACTCTGCGCAGCCGTTTGCTGCTGCAAGCGCGAGCTCGTTGATGCCCCCCCCGGGTGGCGCCAAGCGCTCTCATAGTTCTCCCTCGCTTGCCCAACCTCGCAAGCGCTCGTCAGGGGCACATGCGGCCTTCACAGCAGATCACGAGGAGGACGATGGAATCTTCATTACTGAGTCGCCAACGCCACAGGCACGCCGTCAGGGTGGATTGGTGGTCGTTCCGAAGCCTGGTGTCATGGTGAAGAAGCAGAGGTCAGCCTCTGGCCCTGCGACCTCACCCCTTACCCGAGGTGATTTGAATGTCCAGCAGCTGGTGACCGCAGCACGTCCTGCACAGACCATCAACACAGAGCAGACTCGACGGCTCGCCTCAGCTACTGCACCCCGTGCTAGCGTGAATATTGGAGGGGCTGCCACTAGCGCGCGAGGAGGAGGAGATATTCCCAGGCAACAAGCTCTCCCTTTGTTTACTTTGCCCGACATTGCTATGCCCCCGCCCGTCGTCACTCGACAGTCTCCCTTCCAGGTCTACCCTTCTCCCCAGCCCGTCTTTGGCTATACCTCCCCCCAGCCCGTCTTTGGCTACCCTTCTCCGCACCAAGGCTTTGGCCATCATTCTCCTCCATTCGGCTTGGGTATTTCTCCTATCCGCTTGCCGCAGACAAACCACTCGCTCGCGTACCCTAGCGCACTCGAAATCCTTCAAGGTCCCGGACCAACCCCAGCGAACCCTTTTCACCCTGCTCTTAACCCGCTCCGACCTCAGCGAGCGCTGCTAGCTGATCCCTTCGTGAGTGGTCCTGGACAGGCTTATCCCGCCACAACCTTCAACCGCAGGCTGCTTGAAGTACAGCACCAGGATCTGGACCGTCGACGTAGCCGTGGCTCTCGTAACAACTCTCCCCACCTTGGACTTTTCAACCCCCCTGGATCTTTGGTTGGAGCTCGCAACATGGCTGGAAACAACGCCAACAACAACCCGGCTGCCCAGATGACGGGCTAGGACCCCTCATCATCTGGACCAGCCAACAAGCGCGGTAAAGGAGCTCAGCAGCTTCAGCCACGCAACAGCGGCATCAAGGCGGACAATGCCAAGCCCGGTGAGAAGGACGACGACGAGACTATCTCGCAGCTTGAGAGCCAGGACGGTGCTGCCCCTCGTCCTACCTCACGTCTCGCTCAGCGTACCTTCAGCTCCAACACGGCCGAGCAAGCTATCCGTGATGCTCGCGCGCAAGCAGCTTCGCGTCCTTCCTCTGCTCTGTCTGTCGAGTCGCAATCCAGCATTCTCCGACAGTCTCACTATGACAAGTCGGGTGTCGTCAAGGTCGACTCGGCTGGCTTGTGGTTCAGCAAGGCCCACGACACTTGCATGATCAACCAGATGCACCGCCATGACCTGCAGGGCGGCGTCTACTTCCAGAGCACCGGTGACGTTGAAGCCACTCTTCACAACCACTTCAACGATACCAGCGGCAATGTTCTGGACTTCATCACCCAGACGTACCACCCTGGCCTCCCCGCCCATCAGGGCGGCGGAAGCGCCAACGATGCCATCGACAATCAGCTCAAGTACATCAACATGGCTCACATGACTGGTGAGCAGTATGCGGCCGTCAAAGACGGCATCCCGACCCTCGAGGCGATTGGCTGGGTCAAGCCACAGGGCATCGAACCTCCGCCTCCCCAGGGCCCTTACCCCCTGATGGTGCCTGTCACGAACGGCGTCCCCTTGCCCGCCATGAATGCACAGCAGCAGCAGCAGCCGATGACCAACCCGCTCAACTTTGGCCAGAATGCCAACCAGCAAGCTGCTGCCAACGCCAACAAGAACGCCAACCAGGGTGGCGGCGTCCAGCCTGGCAACTCTGCCGGCTCTGCCAACGTCCAGCTTGGAGGCACTGCTCCCGCTCAGCTTCCCATTCCGGATATCAACATCGGTGCCGGCTACCACGACTTCGCGAGCGAGTTTATCAACTTTGACGGCGGCGACGACCATCGCGACACCCCGACCATCGACCCCTGGTACCTCGGAGGAGGCGTCTCGGACAAGGGCAAGGACAAGGATGACCAGGTCGAGCCCATGGACATCGGCCCCCCGGCCGGCAGCACCCCGCCCCTGCCGGAGCCGCCCAGCAAGCTCTACAGCCAGCACCCGGCAGAGGCTGCCTACGACAAGGCCAACCCGATCTACAACTGGGACCCGTACAACTTTGACCCCAACATCCGCCCGGACCTGGGCGACGACGACGACGGCGACGTCCCCGACCACGGCATGTACGGCCGCGGTGCTGGCGCCGGAGGTACCTACGAGCTCCCGGGCCCCGACGCCGACTTCTGGAAGCCGACCGACCTCGACGGCCCCGACGGCTGGGACCCGAACGCGCCCAGCATGTTCCCTCCCGCCCCTCCTCCGCCCCCTCCCGCTCGCGGCAACGGCGGTCCCGACGACGTGGAGATCACCGAGGGCCCCTTCCGCCCTGGAGGTTCTATGGCTGATTTCCGCGCCCGCATGGAGTTCCTGGTCGACCGGGACAACAAGTACTGAGCTTGTTGCGGTTGTGTTCTCTCTTTCTCAGAGTGGTAAGTTTCCACCCGTGGCTTCCTAAAGTTAGCTTACCGGCCGAGCCGTTCCACTGACACGCCTTTACGCAGCTTTTCCCATCGGCATGAGACACATCGTTCTTGCTACAAGATGATTGTTGACTGTCTGATCGATTGTTCTCGGAGAGTTTTTTCTTTTTTTTCCTTTGTTTTATCTTTTTCATTGACTGTTGGAAGAAGGACCCTCACTGGTTCGACGCTCACTTAACTTTGTCTAGAAGTTTTTGTGTTGCTCTTTCCGAGTGTCCTCTTCTAGAACAGTCAAATTACATTACATGGATGGCCGCGAATACGGAATGGCCGCGGAAGCACTGGCAAGGGGGGGAGAGCACGATGCGGAGGAACTTTTGAAGGATCGGAGACGGCCTGTTCTGGAGGCAACTGCTGGTGGCTATCCTGTCGTCGACGACAGGGAGGTTCAAGTACGTTTGCTCTTTGGAGGTAGACTGTGCGTGCTCCTTCTGGGATAGCCCTCCGTGGCTGCTGCTCACTTGCCATTTACAAAAAAAAAAAAAAAAAAAAAAAGGGATCACGGATGAATGCAAAGAAGATCGATTATTCATATTCCAATGGTGACATCTTGTGTGATTCGGTGTAGTAGTGCAAAAGAATTCTTGTGACAAACGACCGCCCTCCTATATCTTTCCTGTAGGAATGTAAGGCTGAAAACAAATGAGATGCGTGTCAAGTAAAGACTCGTTGTGTAGGCTGCGTCCTCCAAACAGGCCGGGTAGGCCACACTGATAGGGTATCTAAAACATTTTATGGCAAACGAAGTGATGCCTCGTGAACGAACAGTTTCAATAAGTGGGATGGTCATAAGGGGGGTGTTTCTCCTTCCTCCAGCTCTCATACTCGATCGCTACAACTTGTGTTGTATGTTATCAAAGAAAGGCCAAGGGCAGCCAGGTCGACGGTGTCGGTGCCATCCATGCTAGACAGCAATACTGACGTTCTTCCGCCCTTCTGCCTCTTCCATGGGGAATCCAAATACTAGCTTGTAAAGGTCGCGAAGGAAGCCATACTGGCCAGATCGGAGGATCATGTACCCGACACTCTTCGACACGTCGACAGAGTTGACCCTCTTGCCCCGGGCGGGCAACTTCGTCGATGTTCGGAACGAACTGTCTGCCAGCACGAGGTCCTTGTAGTTCTGTAGCAGGGTGGCGTGGGATGGAAGGCTGCCGAATGAGCCCGTAGGCAGGCTCTTGACAAAACTCTGTAGCGAGTTTGCGGCCCCGTGTCCGTCGGCGGAGACGGCGTCTCGATTGTAGCCGATGTTCATGGCGGCTTTGACGATGAGGATCTTGATACGGGTGATGTTGACGTCTTCTGCAGAGGTAGCCGTGGTAGCAGTGCTGCTCGTCTTTGCGCTGCTCTGCGAATAGCCGGACAGCTGTGATGCGCTGCTCGACCATCTTCCGGTCCCCGAGCCTCCCCTATTGCTCTCGGAAGGCGGCCCCAGGACGAGGATGTTCGGCATCTGTGGGCTGGAGCTCTCGGGGGAGATGGGCGTGTCTTCAAATTCGGTGACGGGGGTTTCGGGCACGGTTGGAGCATGCTTGCGCGACCGCTGCTCCTCCGGGAGGCTTCTCAAGCTTTCTCTCTTGGTCTGGACCGAAGTCCGGCTGCCCGTGCTGGAACGCACATCCGAGGCGAAGAAGCTGACTTGACTGGGCCTGGGCGTCCCCCGGTCCGGTCGCACCTGCGTCCAGCCCTCGCGGAAGATGTCGCAGAGATCCCAGCAGGCTTGAACAGCAGATCCGAGTAGCTCTTCATCCGCTACTTTGCCCTCGCTCTTGTTCTGGCGCAGACTGAACAGCATTTCGGCGAGAGACCAACAAGCTCGCAGCAGGGAGTCGGTCTCTTCTGCCAATTCGCTGCGCTGCTTCATAAGTCGGTGGCACAGTGTTATGTAGAAGTCTAGCGTCCTTTCCAGGAAAGCGTCGGGCAAGTTTCGACTGTCCTGGGCACTATAAAGACTGCATTCTGTCAGAGCGTCATCCTGGGAATATTGGTCACTCTGTGAAGGATTCGACTCACTGGTTGTTCAACTCGAAGCTGACACGTAGAACCGAATCAGCAGTCTCATCCTGCCTCTGCCGGACATCGAACAAGGCTTGGCAGAAGTCCCGGCAGAGGTCCAGATTTTTCCTGACGCTGAATGATTCAACAGTCTCATCCCGGCTGTGATAGAGACGCTGGCATAGTTTCCAGCAGCTTTTCCAAGCTTTCTCGTGAGCATCGGGGGTGCCTGAATTGTTAAAGACACGCTCTCGGTGAATCGAGCTGAGATTTGCCAGCGTGTTGCAAAGTGTCCAACACTCCTCAAGCGCTGTCCGCAACGCCCTAATCTCGGGTTCAACCTCAAAGCCGGGGTTGGCGTAGGAGTCATCCATCTCATCCTGGTCCTCAGAATCTTGATCCTCTTCTCCGTGCTCAGGAATCACTGCATCACTTGTTAGCTATGGCAACGCAGGGAATTACAGATAGGTAGGGGGACGTACGGTGGAGACTGCTCGCGCTACTTGACCGCAGCCGTACAGAATCGGTTATGATGTCTTCCAAATTCTGTGCTTGAGGCGTGGCGACAGCGTCGAGGCTGAAGCGTGCTGGCTGGATATCGGTAGAAATCGGTGGCGGGCTTGTGATGGTAGGAGACTGAGAGGCAAGCTGTTAGAAGAAGCAATGCTCAAGGATTCAAGTATCTGTACTGACCCTCGTCGATGCTTCACTGGCAGGAGGACTGATCACGCCTGGAGGTTTCACGCCTTGTTGTGCAGATTTAGATGGGTCGTTGGCCACCTATCCGAGATTAGTTGATGCGTCTACTTTGGGTCCATTTGACGGCTTACCCAATTCCGGAAGCTCTCAGGCGCATGGATGACAGAGACAGACTCCTCGCTCACAGTTTGCCGCAAATGATCCGGTATGTTCGTCCTCAGCATCATCGGCTACTTAGGGTTAGTCATGCTCTTGACTGCAACGGCTGGTGGAAACGCACATGGACTCCGGATGGCTTATGTGCGGAGGCAGTATCCTCTGTTACTTCTTCATCCTCGATCTCTGTGGTTTCGGTTCCGTTGGACGTGACTGGTGACGGCCCAACAATGTCGCTGCTGGGGCTCATTAGATGGGCAGAGTGCGGCCTCGTGAAGGAATGAGGTCGAAGAGATTGTGACTCGCTTGACATGCCCAACGGCCTTTGATAAGCTGCATTAGTCAAGAGCCTCTCAGTGATACCAAGGCTTTTGGCTTCTTACATGGAATGGAACCGTGCATTGGGAGCTGGAGAGTCCGGCGACGAGACAGACATGTCGGTGTGCGGGGAGAAAACTGATGTTATACTTCCTGTGGATGATCTCAGTGGAGCTTCGAGGGCCATGGCTCGATCCAGCTAGATTCCCAGACGCTTGGTATTCGCCAATGCCCACGTACAAGCGAGCTGGAGCTTGCCCGCTTGGAAGCGCTTTGCCAGTGGAGATGACGGAGGCGTGGTGTTCCTCTGATGTTGTACAGCTAGCTCCCGTGGCTTGTCGGGATCTTTAGCTCCAATGCTGGTCGCGCAAACAGGTCTCAGGCCGTCCGGAGGATGCGAGGCGTTGCGGCAAACCCTGTACAGCGATAGGTGGTGTTGAGATAGCCGCCTTGGATGCGCGTGTAGAAGGACGGCCTTCCTGAGGCGCAGGAAAGCCTTTGATGAAGAGGCACCGCCAGCAAGCGACCTGGATGTCGACCTGGCGGGTGTGGACCCAGATCTTACAGTCCTGGTAGCGTTTGGGCAGAAGAAAGTTGAAAGGTCACCAGGGACAAAGCAACGAAGGAAAGGAAGAGGGAACAAACAGAGCGAAGAAAGTGAGAGAGGTCACCGAGGTACTCCGGTCGACCTTGGAAAGAAAAAAGTGTCTGCGTCTATCTGTGGGGAACGTAGAAGGTGTTGGGCGGAAGCTGGGATTCGTCGGCGTGTGCTGGAAGGCAGTAGTCTTCTGGTCGAGGTCGAGGGGCAGGCCAGTCTGCAGTTGTACCGTGCCGTAGAGATGCACATGGGAATGTTCGACCAACAGGGATATGGCAGGGATCCACAGGGGTCGCCATGTACAAGTACTTGTACAGAACAGAAGGACCCAAGCCAAGGCTCACGGCCGGGGACACCTGGGCAGTCCTGGGCAATTGTTGGCGTGGGGTCAGGCAGACGAAGGACGGATGGATTGACAGAGTACACCAATTCTCAGCCGACAAGCTTATGTGTGGGTGAGACAGTGAGATGTTGCGGCGTGCTCAATCGCGTATAAGTGCTCTTCGGGCTGAGGTCTGAAGCAACCCAGTGGTGTAGAGAGCGGGCAGGCTGACACCCCCCTTGAATGATGCAGATGCAAGTGATATTTGTTGCCCGACACATTGGCGAGGAAATCCAATCTTGTATTTCCCAAGGACGGAATGCTGCTATTTCCCGTGGAACATCCAAGAGAAGCAGATCTTGTGCACAATCTCTACTCGTAAAGTGTGCGTGTGTTCCTCCAGGATGACTGCAGCCGTGCCATAACTGCCAGGCGGCCATCTGAAATGGGGGAGCGAGAGAGACCAGAGAGTCGCGGCATGCACCAGATGCGCGTCTTCTCCTGCTCACCCACCATTGAAGAAGCATCCCCGTCCCCGGACCAGTAGGGTCGTCGCAATGGCCCGTCTCGAACAGGACGAAGAGGGGTCGCTGTGGACGAGGTGCATGAAACTGACAGGCTTCGGCGCTTAACACCTGTGGGCCAGCCTGGATAGCTCGCTTCATCCGGCGAGTCACCACACCCTGCTGCTGCACAATCCCTGTCACCATCTCTCGAGCAGGGATGCTCAGCCAATGGGCTGCGGGTCGGCTTGGTGGAGGGCCAGCTCCATTCTCCCAGCCTGCTGGGCGGGATCCTCAGAAAGGGTTGGTGCTGGTGGAAGGGGTGTGGCTCTGGGTGGCATCTCGTTGATGGATGACTGAAAGAACACGCTCCTGACCACCTCAATCCTCTTGACAACGCATCCTGTGGAGGTAAAACAGAGAAATCACTGGACAAGAAGCTGTGACGAGAGAGAGAGAGAGAGCAAGACAAAAGAGAAGCACACCCACACCCCCCGGCTTTGCAGTCAACGGCTCCGCCCGTCTTCGCCCCGCTCTTTATTTTACACTCGAGTAGCGTCCATGTCGGTGGTGTCTTAGAAAACGAGCTGTCACTGCTATGCCATTGATGGTTGTCGGGATTAGACGACATTCGATAAGAACAGCGTTGTTGCGCAGACCATGCAGTTGCCTGCTAAGTATAGCCTCGTCAAAAAAGCCCCTTTTAGGTACTTGTAGCGAGGTTGGACCGTGGATGAAGCAAAGGCTCCTTCCCGAATTTCTGGTTAAGCCGGAAATTAAGAAACGGCGCTCTTCGTTCGGCCCTCAGTTGGAACATTCGATTCTGTCCCTCCCTGCTCCCCAGCACGCGCGAGGTCGTATTCTTGTCTCGAAATCTCCTAGCCAGGGTACCAAGAGAATCCTACTGCCGACACTTCCAACGCCTGCCACGGCATCACATTCCCCGACCAGAGGGCCATTGGAGTGCGTTGGCGTTCCGACGATCTGGTTCCACGGTCCTTTTTTACTCGTCAGGCTGCAAATACAAACATGCAGCCCACCGACTCTTGGTGTGGCCTGTATATCAAAGCCAATGGTCGTCCTTCATTTGCCGTCGCCAGCGCCAACAGACGGATCGTGCACCAAGAAATGCTGGCGGTGTAGCTAGGTAGCCAGCCCGTCACCTCCTCAAGTGCCCTTACGAGGGCCATCCTCACTCTTTACGTAAATCCTTACGGCCATGACCCCGGGTCTTTCGCCGCGGTACTAACAAACATGCAAAATCCAAGGGTGGTGATTGGGAACAGATGCCGACAGAGTCTGGTCAGCCCTTTGTACGAGGGGTAGACACCCGTCAAACTGCTCGTTTGGGGGCCAATACTTCAACTGGCCTTCTCTGGGCAAATCATCCGTGTTGGTTTACGATGGATCAGCCCTAGTAGCTAGGTACAGCATTCCCCGAGCCTGATCCTTGTAGCCAAGGTCTCCGGCTCTGACGAATGAGAGCCCAGCAACGCTGACGACGAAGAATTGGCTTTTTGACAACACCGATCAGCAGCTTGGAAAACTTGGATTCCTGAAGATAAAGGAGTCCAAGCTCCTGGTGGAGAGTCTTGGTGGAGAGCGAGAGGGAGGAGGTTGGCAAAGCTCATCGAAGATCATGATGGGTCCCACCTCGATGGCACCGTTGCAGAGGCACACATCCCTCAGGAAGTGGGATAATTGACCAGCCCATCTCTTGGGGGTCCGGAAAGAGTACCTACCTAGGAGTGCAGCACGTCTGAACCAGCGATCTTGCTTTCTCTCGGCGCATCAGCAGCAACTGATAGACAAGGAAAGGGGCGCACGAGGAGATATGAGCGTCCGCAAATGGTTCTACCAGCCGCGGTGCTGTGCCTCGGAGCAGGGATTGAGATCAGAGCGGGGGCTCACGATATCTACAAGTACGTACTTACAGGGATATCCAAGCTCTTGGATGTAAGATGAAGTTTGGTCTGTTAGTCGGCCAAGTTGCAGTCGGCCTGTTTCGTGGCGTTCTCGAACCTCGCCCGCCAGACAAGGGAGATAAAATGCAGCCGGGGATGATTACCCAAAGGCTGCAGCAAGCATTTGCTCATATTGCACCAGACCACAGGGGAATAGGCGCATATAAGCGACACTTGTCGATCAGTGCCACCAATATGACCAGTCGCACAGAGGGCCTCCTTTGCTGGCGCATCCGTCGACTCATCGGGGAAGTATGGCCGACACGATGCGAGTCTGTCTACGCACAGGCTCGCCTCTGCCTGTGCTGGGCCTCATGCAGCCATGCCTCTAAGCGCCCGGAACATTATGATCGTGCACCTTAGCCTGTGCAACCCACATTCTGCTTCAAGCCACGTCTGAGACGAACCTTGCTCCCGGAAACGACAGCCTTCTAGATGGTTCATACTGATTACCTAGGTACCTACCTACCTGTCTTTCTTGGGCACGCATGCATCAGGTTGTTGGTTCTGTGCACCTCTGCAGCCAGCTTGTCCATTGCCAACAGCCATGCATCAGTTGTTCGGTTGCTCCACGCAAGGAGCACCCTTGCTAATTGGGTAAGTAGCTTCGCATCATTCACCGCTTCGCTTTCTCAGCATGGCTGGCTGCAACATTGGATGAGAGGAAGAAACGTAAAAAGACTGTGCCGCAAGCCTACTGCAAAGTTTATTGGACTCGGGTTGCCTACACGCGATAGCTCTGGGTTGATGAGAAGCGCGAGAGATCATGAGGGGATCCGGGCCTAGCCAGCACCTCCACCTCACGACCAACACATAGTCGGCATCAATGCAGCCGATAATCACATGATCATCTCAGTTCCGAGCGTTTGGAAACACCCTTGCCTGGATGTTGTTGCTTGCATAACCCTGAGCGGTGGTGCTTGAACCCGACGATTATAGCCTCCCCTCCAGGTGGTCGGGTTCGAGGCTTTGCAGCTTCAGTCAACTATTTCCGGAACGCATCTGGATCCCATTCACAGCCGCATTACAGACCCGGACCACACGCCGTGGTATCACCAGACACCAAGGTATTCGCCGTAGTTGTGTGTTCAAAGTTGAAAACTCGATAGATTCGTGGTAGGTTATGCCCTGGGAGCCAGGAATAGAATCAAAGCCTCCCCCTGGCCCCTCGATGCGACCAGTCTGCGCCAAACCAAAAGAACAGCCCCAAAAACGCCTCGCATATGCATTTTAGAGAGTGACTGCAGTGTCGTGGTTCACCCTGGCCCGTATAACCAAATACAACGTCCCCTCTCACTGGTGAGCCTTGATCTCGATCTTCTTGTCGTAACGGCCATCGGGGGTGTACCTTCGCGCGTGTTAGTATTCCAGTATATGGAGTATAGTATAGAACGGTAGCGTACTTGAGAAGCTTCTCAATCAGGTCGACGTGCGTCATGATCATGCGACGGCAGCAGTAACGTTTGCAGCCAAGTTGGTCCATCGCATCACTACACTATGCGTCAGAAGCGGGCCCAGTCGCCGAGAAACGACCCGACTCACCCATCAGAGATTCCATCGTCGATGAGCTTGAGGTAGCGCTCCCAGAGGTCGCCAGTGACCTTCCATGTGTTAACAGAGTCGTGGTTCTGGGAAACAACCGAGCAGGGAAATGGCCTACCTTGCCACAGGAAAAGCAACGGATCGGGATAATCATGATGGCTTCGTTACACCTGCAGCAGCACCACGATTAATGTCGAACAGAGATGTGAATGCTCCTAGTCGAAGACTGTACGGGTCCTTGGTGTTTTGTAGAGTATCTGCCTGGTTGTGGCAAATGATGAAGAGGAGAGAGATTGATGGGATGCCCTTTGATCTGAGATCGCGACAAAGGCTCATACCAAAAATTTAGTCGGTCCTGGAAAACTGGGTCTCCCGCTTTGCAATTCGCTAACCACTGAACCGCCACAAAATCACCTGGGAGTCCTCTGTCTTATCGCTGCTTATCGCCAAAGCACCTCCAAAATTTCTTTTGACTTTTTTCCAATATCTACCCGTCGAATAGCTGCCTCACCGATCCGGATCTAGGATCCTGCAGCACAGCACCACGTGCAAAATCGAGGTTGCCAGAGGCCTTTTCCTTCAAAATGCCTTCATCCCACTCTCTAAGTTCCGAGCTCGACAGCCTGAAGAAGCGGAAAAGAGAAAAGCATGACCAGGCGAGCATTTCCAAACCCAAGCGACCTCGTGCCCAGACGAAACCGAGCAGGGTAAACGGCACGCAAAATGACGTCTCTCACGACCTACAGACAGAGACTGAGAGCCAATCTCTAACCATAACCCCCTCCAAGCCCAAGAGAGCCAGGCAACAGAAACAGAAACAAGGCGGTGTACTTGAAAGGACCCATGCTGTGCCGTGGAAGGTCTCCGAACCCATGGGCGGTCGCATGGCTGATGTTGACCCTATCTTTACTCCCGACGAGCGGTATGTCATCCCCATATTTGAAAAAAAAAAATAAGGAGATATCTCTAACAAATCCTCCAAGACATCTCATTATCGTATACAATACTTCGATACAAGTGTACAGCACCAATGACTCTCTTCTTGTTCGCCGCATTCCAATTCCAATTGTGTCAAAGAACCATGATGGCAACCCACAGCGTTGCATCATTGCTGCCGTCCTTTCGCAAAGCTCGTCCGATATACTCTGGGTTGGCTGTTCTGATGGCTGTATCTGGCGAGTCGACTGGACGACGGGTGCGCTAGATACCTGCTTCGAGACACTCGCCAACGGGCTCCTCGATCTTACAGTTCAATCTGTCAAGATTGGCAAGAAGGTGGAAGAGGTTCTGTTCACCTCGGAGCGACTGAACGCAAAGACTTCACAGCTTGTTGCATATCATAGTCACGACCTGTCTGAGATGGACAGCCGGCCTTTGCACACCACTAGTGCCGACATGCACATCCTGCAATCTGCTCCTGGGCTTGGCAATAATGACGGCGTTCTCATCGCAGCCATGGGGCGAACTGCTCTCATCGGGACTCTCGCTACTCGGGAGATTGCTAGGTTTCAGGACCTGGAATACAATTTCTATTCCTTGGAACTAGACGATGAGATTTGCTCTCTAGACACGAGGCACTCTGCTCGCAGGTCGTCATCGAAACGGGGCAAAGGCGTAGATCCAAGTGTCGGTGTCCTTGACCTTCTCGTCGGCTGCGCTCGAGGCTCCATTCAGATATTCGATGACCTTGTAGCCCGGCTCCAAGGTCTGCTCGGTGGCAGTTCCAAAAAGGCCAGCCCTCAGCCACGGAAGCATCACTGGCATCGCCGAGCTGTCCACAGTGCTAAATGGTCGCGAGATGGTAAGTCATGCTCCCCATCCTACAGCCAACGCCAACTAACCTGAACCAGGCCATTACTTTGTATCTGGCGGGCTTGAATGCGTTCTTGTCTTGTGGCAAGCTGACACCAGCAAACGCGAATATCTGCCTCATCTCTCTGCTGCGATTGACAATATTGTTGTATCACCCACTGGCTCTTCCTACGCTATTCACCTTGATGACAATTCGACCATGGTTATCTCGACCGCCGAGATGAAACCTACGAGCTATGTTTCCGGCCTTCAGTCTCTGGTATTTACCGAAATGCCACCGAAAGGCTCGTCAGTTCGGCGGGTTTGGCAAACGATCGAAGATCTGTCAAGGCCACTACCAGCCGTGATTGACCCTGCCGACCCTTCCCGGATGTTGCTATGTGTGGGCAATGGACAACAAGCTAGCCTCACTGGACGCTTCCCGAGCGTACCTCTGATTCAGACCTTTGATCTGACCTCCTTTCAGAGCATTGCGAAACAACCACTCAGCAGAACCAACCCTACCGATGCCAACCTTGGGAGCAGGGGGTATCCGGTCACAGAACCTACAGTCGCGCATTTGGCTCTCTCGCGCAATGCGACCTGGCTGGCTTCGGTCGACGAGTGGCAGCCACCCCGTAGGGATCTCAGCAATGCGGCTGAAGATGGCGCGTTTGCTGGAGAATGGAGTCGGGACAGACGCGAGATACACCTGAAGTTTTGGCGGGCCAATGCTGAGCAGAACACTTTTGAGCTGGTCACCAGAGTCAACGAAGCTCATTTCACCAATAGGGCTGAGCCGATCTTTGATCTGGCTGCTGACCCGAACTCGGCCCGCTTCGCAACGGTTGGAGATGATGGTGTTGCCAGACTGTGGGCTCCAAAAGTCAGACAACGTGACGGTCTCACTTCCGCTGGCTCGGATGGCCAGCCTCTCAGCTCATGGTCTTGTACTCGAGCTATCACCCTCGGAGAGAATGGCGGCCCACAGGACGACACAGTCTTGTCTGAATCACCTAGTATCAACAGGAGTGGCGCATTGGTGTTTTCCGAAGACAGCTCAACGCTCTTTGTAGCTTTTGGGGGCCATGGCGAGGGTGTGGTCTACATCATCGATATCGAGTCGGGAGAGATTCGGGATGTCCTGCACGGCATGATCAATGGCGATGTTCGCAGTATCCACGTGCTCTCCTCATGCGTTATCGTCGTCTCCAAGGACCTCAAGGTCTACGATATAGTCACCGACGAGCTCCGGTACGGGATCCATCTCAAGAGTGAATCACACGGCGCCCTTCTCCAAACGCATGTCGCTGTGGATCCGCAATCCCAGACATTTGCGCTTGCCGTACCGCATTTCCGGGGCAAGAATCGCAAGATCGAAAAGGGCGTGTGCTCGGATTTGGCGGTCTTTTCCCTCGACGACAGCCAGCCATTGCTCATGGAGGACTTTCCCTCGCTGATCACGAATCTCCTTCCCGCTGTGAGTATGCCGGGCTTCATCGCCATTGACTCGGCTGCCCAGGTATGGTCTGTGATGGAGGGAACTCAAACAACATGGCTTGCCCAACCATTAGCCGACCTGCACCTTGATATGGAGGACGTTGATGGAAACGCGACGAATGGAGTGGTTCTACTTGAAGGGGACGCCGGTGACGAGAGTGACGCTGAACAGGATGACGAGGACCGTATGGAGCTCGACACCGACGAGGTCCATCAGGCCGTGATTGCACCACAGAAGCTCACAGACATCTTCGATGCTGCGCCGGCCTTTGCCATGCCCCCCATCGAGGATATATTCTACCAGGTGACAGGGCTCCTGTCCACGAAATCTGTGCCTGCGGCATGAGCAGTGGTGTATCGCGCACACACCAAAGCAGAGGCATTTCGGACAGGTACTGGGTTGTAAATATAGTCATTAGATGCGATCCCGGGATAGAAATCTTGGGACGGAACGCCGCTTGTGGGGCAGGGGACAATGCTCGGCGGCTTTGACCCGCGGCGCCCTTCGGATGTCTGGTGGAGATTGCGGGGCAGCGGGCAGTTGATCTATTCAAGCCTAATAGATTGCGCCATCGTGAGAGGCACTGAGCATACATACATACCTATTCAAGTGTTGTTTGACTCTCCGTTGTTTGACTCTCCATCAAGTACTTTTATGTCTTTTGTGCCTGATACTCCCTTCGACTCATACACTGATCAAGATATCCTTTCCTGCTCACGTGCACAATGTCATTCACGTCCATCCCCATTCTAGATCTCGCCCTGGCCGGGAATCCCGAGACAAAGCCGCAGTTCCTTGCAGATCTTCGACATGCGCTTCTGGAAGTCGGCTTCCTATATCTGAAGAATGTCGGCATTCCGGAGGACTTGTGGAACGAGGTCATCTCACAGGGCAAGGCCTTTTTCGATATTCCCTTGGAAGAAAAGTAAGATATCACTCTCCTCACATATCACGCCATCTTATCTCATACCCGAGAACGAGGCTGCTTGACACATGGAAGACTTCATGAACTGAATGACTAATACGGCACCTCCTTCTTCTTTCTCCCTGGTAGACTCCGGATAGAGATGAAGAACGCTAACTCGTTCCTGGGCTACTCGCGGCTGTCGGCCGAGGTCACGGCCGGCGAGATCGACCGGCGGGAGCAGATCGACCTGTCGACGGAGCACCCGCTGCCGGGAGCCGGCGACCCGCTGTACTACAACCTGCGGGCGCCCAACCAGTGGCCGTCCGAGTCCGTGCTGCCCGGGTTCCGCGCCGCCTTCACCGACTACATGGACCGCATGGGCCGCATGTCCATCTACTTCACCTCGCTCATCGCCGAGGCCATCGGCCTGCCCGCCGCGGCGTTCGAGCGCTACTTTGACGAGGACCAGCAGCACAAGCTCAAGATCGTCAAGTACCCGGACGTCGGGGAGCTCTACGGCTCCGGCGGCGGCGGCGGCGGCGCTGGGGGGGAGGAGGAGGAGGAGAAAGGGAGAGGGAGCAACCAGGGCGTGGGCCCGCACAAGGACAGCATGTACACGTCGTACCTGCTGCAGGCGAGCCCCCACCGCGGCCTGCAGGTGCAGAACATGCGCGGCGAGTGGATCGACTGCCCGCCCGTCGACGGCACGGTCGTGGTGGCCGTGGGCCAGGGCCTCGAGGCGCTGACGCAGGGCGCGTGCGCGTCGACGACGCACCGCGTGCTGTCGCCCGCGGCCGGCGCCGGCGCGCGCTTCTCGATCCCCTTCTTCCAGGGGTCGCGGCTCGACACGCGGTTCGGGGAGCTCGAGACGGTGGGCGTCGGCAGGGTGCCCGAGGAGGTGCGGGAGCTGCGGCGGCGGGTGCTCGAGGCCAACGGCGGCGGGCGGCTGGACGACGTCGAGTTCACCTTCTCGTCGGGCGGGGGGTCCGAGACGCTGGGCGAGGCGACGCTGCGGAACCGGGTCAAGAGCCACCCGGACGTGGGCGAGAGGTGGTATCCTGACATACTGGCGAGCATCCGGGAGGAGCAGAGGCTGGCCAAGGCCAAGGCCGAAGAGGCGGCTGCGGCGAAGCAAGACGATGTCGGCGTCCCTGCGGCGGCGCAGGCTGTCAAGGCGCATTGACAGCAGTGCGGGAAGACAGTGTTTACGTGCTAGGAGGTACAGTACTCGATGACAAGACGAGCGTCCATCGCAACGAGGACAGAAAGAGCATCATTCAGCATAGCCACACGGGACAGATTGCAAAATATGAAAATGCATCTTGAAATCCATGCCCTAGTACTCGGTCTGTTTATCAAGCGGTATTTCGCAGTGTTGATAAATCTCATAAAGGAACGCCCACTGTACGCCACTCGCTGATGCCCTCTCACCCCAGTCGCCCACAACTTCACACGTCCAACGACTTCTGATGACCGTATTTCTTTGCCGTCATCCTTTTGTGTATCTCACAATCCTTCTTCGGCAGGGCGCAGAACTCAGGGCTTGAAGTTGGGGAAGCAGTCGGCAAGGGCTTTGCTGTGCTTGTTCGTGGCATGCTCGGTAAGGCTAGGGATTTCGAGAGTGGTCAGACTTTGCTGCGAAGATGTATGGAATCGAACAAGATGGGCTACTCACGCCTTCTCTCGGGAAGTAGACAGGAAGACAGACTTGCAGATGTCGCACTGGATGTTCATGGCGGCAGCGTTCTACATGTTGTCTCGGTATTAGTCTGCGCCCCTTTTCACTCCAAGCCTGTTGAGATTGGGTGGCCTGGACTTACAGTCTTGAGCTGCGATTTGGCGACACCGCCCTTCTCCTTTGCGGCGCGCTCTCGCTTCTGCGCAGCCTTGGCTCCCTGTTGCAAAGAATCTGTCAGCAACCTTGTCCGTTGAGTTGACGTGCCCTCGTTCGGGCGGGGAGATCAAGAGGAATGAGCTAGACATACGTTACCGCCACCCATTTTGAATGTGTAAGTCGGGAAATTGAAAGGGGTCGAAGAGGTCTGGTGGTTTCTGAAAACGAATCTATCGTCGGGAGTCTGGGTGCAGGAAGTCGGTAAGAAGAGGAAGACGGTGGAGGGGATCAGCGAAACATGGGAAGATTTTCCCGCTCTTTTTCTTTTCTTAGCGGCGACGAGGCCATCCATGCGATGCGCCCAGCGAATCGTCTTGTCCCGCAGTGGTGTCCCACCCCATCCATTCGCTATCGAGGGTCCCTAGTGACAGGCGTTAGAAGCCATGGATTGGCCTGGAAGGCTCCGGTGGGGCCGACAAATGCCCCACGCAGCTTTTGACGAAGACAATGTCCTTGAAGGCCTCGAGAAGGCTTCACGGTCCAGGCCTCTCTGGTCACTAATAAGCATCACCGAGTCAGTGTCAACTTCTTCATGGGGATATAATTATCTGATACATTATTTTTGAAGAAATTGCAAAGACGGGTTCTCTCTTCATTAGACGGGCTCCCTGAATACGAAACGCATATCACCCGTACTGTACCCCCGGTTTTCTCTGGTGCAAAGGGACTGGACTGGGATGTTAGTACAGACGGGCTCAAAATAGAGTACAATAAAGTTAGTCGACGGTTCGTTCGGTTGAACGCGGCTGCTGATCGTCTCAATCCACCATGTTTCTCAATATGAACGGCCCATCTTCCTCGTTGCAATGACCTCGCTCTCCCATGTACCGCACAAGACTAATTGAAGCAACCTAGCATTGCCTGCGCTAAGCTCTCTCTTATTGACGCGTAGAACCCACGTCGTACCTTGCCCGGACTTTGGCGAGCGCGTGTGTTTGCTCAGTTGCGGTGCATCCAGGTCCCTGCACATCAGCAGAAAAGGTCCGGATAGCCTCTGCTACTACCGGGCGTTGCATCCGGGTCTATAAATCTCGGCAGCGCTTTCCATATCGCACTTGGCCCTGCGCACAGGGTGGCAGAGCCGCAGCATGGCCAACCAGGGTGCTCCGACCTGGACAACCATCACCGCCCACCAGTTCCAGCACGCACTTGAGGCTTATGAGCCGCTCATCCAGAGTATTTCTGACACCAAGGGAGGTGAGTCTGTGGACTAGCGCCGCGACGCGCTCTCAACTCGGGATGTATTCGCTCATTGAAGGGCTAACGAGGTCACTTGTGCAGCCAAGAATGGCCAGTCTACGTTGCTCGAGCTTGACCACTATCGCTATGGCAAGGCCGTCGATCACTTTTCCCACAGCAAGGAGGGTACTCAGATGACACTTAAAGATGTCGAAAAGCTGGTCGAGTGGAAGCTGTAAGTTCGCACACCCAGGCAACATCTCCTTTGGAACGGCCAGGCTAAGGAAGATCCAAGTCGTCATGGACAGTACCGCCCGACTCTCATGAAGTTAGTCCAGTCAAACGACCCAGAAGCCATCCGAGATATTGCACGAGACGCCATCACTGCCTATAGGCAGGATGGAAACGTCGCTGCCGCAATCGAGCTTCTCTCCAAGCCTAGGGGCATTGGCCCTGCCACCGCGTCACTCCTCCTGGCTGTCCACGATCCCAAAAAGGCCATCTTCTTTGCAGACGAGGCCTACTATTGGCTATGTTGTGAAGGTCAGAAAAGCCCCATCAAGTATACGGCCAAGGAGTATTTGAGTCTGGACACACGCGCCAAGCAGCTCGAGGCTCGCCTCGGGGTGGAAGCTGTTGACATCGAGCGCGTCGCCTTTGTGATCATGAGAGACCCTAGCTTCACTGCAGGTTCTGCTTCGAGGAAAACCAGCAAAGCGGATCTTGCTGAGAAGAAGAAACCGACTACCGGAAAGGCGGAGGCCAAGCCCACAAAGAGGAAGAAGAGTTCAGAAACAAGCCCTGTGGAGACGACTTCATTGAGGCGTTCAAAACGAAGCAAGTCAGCTGGAAATTCCTGAGGTCTCCTTTGGTGATTCCGGCTGAGGGCTAGGTAGGACGTGCATTTGGAGCGATCTTCGCACAGGTATCATGTAAAATATCTCAACATTTATGTGTAATGTAACGCGTGCCTTTCTCGCCTGTGAACTGAAAGCGTGCCATCGCATCTTCTGCACCACGACCCGGAACAGACTGAGACGTGGCTCGGAACAGTTCCCATTGGGCGCATCGCTATCTTGAATTGGTGCTCCGGTCCGCGGCCTGTGTGAGCGGACGGGTCCTACTTGCTAAAGTCAGGAGCCGGCCCGACAGTTTGGCATGAGAGACAGGGATACGGGAGCCAAGTCCGGTCGATCATATCGTCTTACCCACATGCATGTTATGATGTTATGGGACTCAGATAGACCAATCTGCACGGGTACCTATGCAATTCGACCGAATAATCGACTTAATGTTCTTGCGCAGGTTGTCTACCAGGTCTTTGAGGGTATTCATCTGTAAGATCGAAAGTCCCTTTTCAATTTCATACTATCTCTGGCACTTCCACAACCATGTCGTTTTATCTTAACGGCCAAAGCCTCATAGGTTGCTGTCGAGATGACCTGAGTACAAGGCTCATGTTAGTATACAAGTCCAAAGACGCTCCAAGATGAGCTCTTTCAGGAAGAGGGACAGTATGGGCCTCTACGATGAGTGCGAGCCCATTCCGCTCCCAGAAAGATTCGCCCAGATCAAGAAGAAGGTCTCGGGTCACGAGGGGGACCTCGTCCAGTCCTGGCACCGTCTATTACACGCCCTACGGCAGGAGATCGATGAGATAGCCAGCCGCGGCTCGGAATGCATCCCGACGATGGGCTTCCGTGACAGGAACGACCTCGCCATCGTCAAGAGCTTCTCGCAGGACCTCAGACGCCGAGGTATCGCAGTTATACGGGGCGTGCTCTCCCCGGAGGATGCCCGGTCCTTGGACCAAGAGACGCACGAGTACCTGGCCGCGAATCCCCAATCGACGGGCCTGCCCCCGGACGAGCCCCAGCTCTTCGACCTCTACCGGAGCCCGGCGCAGGTCAAGGCGCGTGCCCGTCCGGACGTCCTCGAGGCGCAAAAGTTCGTCATGGGCACCATGTGGCACTCGACCAACCCTTGCACACCAGTCAGCACAGAATACCCAGTCACCTACGCCGACCGCCTGCAGATCAGGGGGCCGCCGCATCGCTCAACATCGTCGTTTTCGTCATCACAGAATGAGACCACCCTCTCCGCGCAGGTGCACGTCGCCGACGGCAGCGTCGAGCGCTGGGAGCCCGAGGGCTACGGCCGGTCCGGCATGTACGACGCTGTCTTCCGAGGCCTGTGGGAGGACCACGACCCGTGGGACTATGCGCCGCGCCACCGGGCCACAACGGACCTGTGCCACCGTGTCGGGGCTTGTAGCATGTTCCGCATGTTCCACGGCTGGCTCTGTCTCTCCACGGACACGGATCTCCATGACGAGAACGGACAGCAACCGCTCCCCCTCCTCAGCGTCTGCCCGGCCCTCAAGCTGACGACGGCCTACTTCCTCCTCCGGCCGCTCTTCGCGCCGTCATCACTCACCACCGGTTGCAGCAACGGCTGGACGCGCTCACCGATCCACAAGACAGCATCCTCCACGGCGCCCTGCCCAGCTACACGCAGGAGCTCTCCTCGGCGCTGCGTCCCCACCTCGAGCTGCACACCGCAGCCTCGTCGGCGTGCCCGCGCTGGGCCCGGGCGACTGGCTCATCTGGCACCCGGACGCCGCCCACGCATATCACGGCAGCAGCGACCGCTTCCCATCCCCGTCGCTCAAGCCGTCGTCGCGGGGACGCAGTGAACGCCGCCGCCGCCGCCGCCGCCGCCGACGGGGCGCCACGATAACTTCACATCCCAGCCTGCCCCCCCCTGACGCAGTCCAGCGCCCTCTTCCTGACCCGCCAGCGCAAGGCCTTCCTGCTCGGCCTCCCGGGCCCGGACTTCGAGAGCGGCCGCGGAGAGCGGGACCACGCGGGCCGGCCGGGCGTCAGCGAGGTCAACGAGTCCGGCGGAGAAGACGCCCTGCGCGCGATGGGCCTGCTACCCTTCGAAGATCCCGACGCCAAGACCGACGCTGGCAGAGAGGTGGCGAGGATAGCTAATGCGTTGCTATTTCCGCACCGGTTCGACATGACGTGCGGCCGACTTTACTGATCTCTCATTGCTACCATCATGGGTAAACATTCCCAAATCTGGTTGAAAATTCAAGATATCAAGACTAGAGTCATTATAGACGCGGATAGGCCAGAGGCCACCAAAAAGACGTCGAGGGGCGTTTGGTAACCTGTAAACTTTGCTGCAAATCAAAACCACAATCGAGATTGATACTTGCATTCTACCGATACGACCTCACCTCGGTCGGTCTCTCAGTCCACAACTCCCAAACACCCATTCAACCGACCCGAGTTTCCACTTGGTCCTTCAAAAATCTCTGCTATTCCTGCGGCCCCTCACTCAATGGCCCTCTTCGCCTCTCCCCACACCACCTTTTGTCCTGTTTGTAACAACCGGAAGAGTACTTTGTCCCTGGTCAGCCGTATTGGTTCCACAAACCGTGACGTGTTCCGTTTATTTCGTCTTCTTGACACCCTCGTCTTGGGTTGCGGCGTACTTGTCGCTCAGGTCGTTGTACTCCCTGTGCAGGCCCGAAGCTTGCTTCTTGAGAGTCTCGATGTCCTGATCGCGCTGGGCCAGGGCTTTCTTGAGGCTCGCGATCTCGCCAACATCACCAGCGGCAGCTAGCTTCTCACTCTGCTTGGTGTTCTTGTCGCTGCCTTCGTACTGCTTGAGCTTCTCCTCGAGACGCAGGACCTCGAGAATCATGATGTAGGTGCGGTTCAGGATCAGGGAGAGGAAGAGGGTGAAGCCGCAGAGGTACATGTTTCGCTGGCTGTAGAACTTGCGAGCCTGGACCTCGAGACGCTCGTGACCCATGACAGCGGCGCTGCGGACACACGTGTCAGTATGGGGTTGAGCAGACCATATCAAAAGGATCGCTCTGACTTACGTATTCTTAGAGTTCTCCGTGGCAGCGGCCAACTCAAGCTGCACCCTATACACGCGATTGACGCTGTCGATGAAGAGGATGAGAATGAATATGAACGTGATTTTGAGCCCATATTGTATCTTGGCTACTATAGGGTTTTCGGAGAGGAAACTGTTCCGATTACGGTCAGTCCACGGATGCCTGTTGTGTGAGGGAGGTTTCATGCAGATCGATCCGGATCGTGCGGAGTGTTACGTACGTGAACATCCTCCTCTTCAAGGAGAAGGGCATGGGGATGATGAGGAGCATGAACAGAGCCATCTCCGCCACCAGGAGCAAGAAGACCTAGTAAAATGCGTTAGGATACCGCGACAGATAGCCGAGGCTGTGTTGGGGCACAACATACGAGGGTGTAGTAGAGAGTCATCTTGACAGTCGTATGTCTGATGTGAGGAGATTTGGCGGGGGAGGATGGATGACAGAAGTCGCGAGCAGGCTCTGCAATAGAGGAGGTGGTTTGAGGTGTCTTTCGAATCAAAGACTAGATCGTGGAGATGCGAAAGGTATCGGGAAGGGAAGCGAGGCGGCTTTAAAGGAATTGAGAGTGCAAGCTTCGAGCTGAACAGAAGAAAGGACACCAGACAGGTTGCGTCGTCACTGTGGGGGCCGGGCAGCTTGCACTTGGCTGGGCAGTCAAACACGTCATTCCGTGGCTGGAGACCCGGAAAGCTTCTGTGGCTTTCCAGGTCGGTGCTGACCTAGCGCACCCCTCTCCCAAGGAGGTACCTAGAAATCACCCCACTCACCAAGCTCACTCACTGGAGTCCCCTCGGCCTTCAATGCATGTGCTCCAGCTACTTCAAGTCCGATAAGATAAGGTGAGCTCCTCGCTCCTCGCTTCTCCACCAAGCAAACAGTGGTGAAATAATTCGAGCTTGAGAAGGCCATACAATAATACCGACTTGGAAGCTAAATCGGCATCGCAATATTCATTGGGGAATGGTTCATGTAGCGGTAATGCACATATCAAATCTCGGTATGACGTAGTGCCCTTTAATGGCGGGATGGTTGATTCTAATTATGCCCAATATTCAAGCAACGAGCACGGAACACGAACACGGGCTGAAGTGTGTAGCAAGGCGTTTCATTATTCGTCGGACGACACAATTTCAACGATAGCATCTTGGAACCATGAATGTCTTTATCAACTCACTCAAAGAACGAAAAGGCGAAGACGAGGAGCGAGTGGGCGGCGAGGAAAGCCTGAGTCCAGGTGGCCTGGTGCGTCGTCAAAGGCAGCTCACGAAGTCCCGAGTTCCTAGCCGCACAACGGCGAGGTGTTGTCGTTAGTAGTATCCTGACACAGTGGATTGAGTGCGCAAGCACACCAGTGACTGACCTTGAGGAAAAAAGAAGTTGAAGCATCGTCGTCTCCAGAATAATCGGAATCGAATTGTACCGTCCCCAAAAAGGGTTGGTACGCTGCGTATCGCACTCAAGTGCTTCAGCACAATCTTCGCAACGGCTCTCCCATAGGAACCCAGGTCGTGCTCCGAGGAGCAGCCTGGGCCCTGCTTTTCTGATGCCAATTGCACGCGCGTGAGTCGCGCGAGGCCCTCACAGGCGGACCCGTCCTTCCACGCTGGGCATGGCGACTGCGGTAAAGATTGAAGACATTTCTCCGAATTTCTCATATGCACGGTCCTTCCTTGAGAAGGAATATGAGATGGCCTGCGGAAGAGCCGCAGGACGCATCTCTGTTTGTAGCATAGAAACGCAGCGTTGAAGACGACGATGCTTGAAGAAGAAAAAGAGAGGAAGGACGAGCTCCCAATTTTTGCTCCTGGACCAGATATAAAAACAGCGCTCGCTGTGACTCCTCCAGGTACGTACCTCTATCATCACGTGGGCTCCACCTTTGCCGTCAATGGCTATCGCGAGCCATATCTTAGCTTCCTCTGACTTGATGTTTTGGCCATCCTTTTTTTGTTTGATGAAGAAAAAAAAAAGGCGCCGACCCACCGTGATCAGGCCCAGACCGCCGTCGCGGGGGCGCTTTATTAAGGGTCTCAAGACCTCCTTGGGTCTTATCGTGATTTGTACATGGTGGCTTCGTAAGTCTGGCTTATATCCGGTCTCTCAAATCCGCTCGACGTCTCTCGTAGTGGTCATGTCTCGGTAGCGGCTCGGAATAGCTTCACTCCCTCATCTCATCCGTGTCGGGTGCTCTCACTCTTTCTTCTGGCGTTGCCCAATTTCGATCCTTCTCGTCTGTCTCCCATCCGTCGTTGTGCGTTCTCACAATGGCTTGTTCCCCGGAAGACTTTCCCCAACTCTGGCAGAAGCCTGCCTTTGAGCTTCTCTTTGACTGCCTCCAGCAACTCAGAGTTGATCCCCCGGTGTGGAACTTCAAGATCTCACGGGCCGAGATCCAACGAGAGCAGGATACTACTGTTCAGCTACGCCGACAGGTCTCGGCGTATCTTTCCAACATCATCAAAAGCAACCTGGACTGGATCGAGGATGAGGACCTGAGGGAAGAACTGTGGACGGAGGCGAGCAAGCGGCTTTCTGAGAGATGTGGGCGTGCTGGTAAGCCACCAAATGACCCTCTCTCAGTAAGGGTACAATCACTCATCTGTGTCCATAGCTATGGGAGAAATCACAAGGTGCTGGCCGTTTGAGCGGAGCGATCATGCAGCGTTCGAGCTCGCCATTAGGGAACCGCCGCTAACCGGCGACTCTCTGGGGCTGAAGACATGGGGCTCCTCATACCTCCTGGCTCTTATGCTAGGCCAGTTTGCCGAGACCTCCATGCGCCACCTGCTGGCCGCTGACCGGGAGGGCGGACCTGCCACGGCTCTGGAACTGGGAAGCGGCACCGGCTTGTTGGGTTTGGCGGCTGCGGCAATTTGGAAAAGCAAGGTCGTCCTCAGCGACCTGCCCATCATCATGTCGAATCTCGTTTTCAATGTGGAGCAGAATCGCCAGATCATAGAGTCGCTTGGAGGCCAAGTGGACTCCGGTGCTCTAACCTGGGGTGGAGAGGAGGATGAGATCGACCAAGAAATCTTCCACAAGAAACACGAGTACCAGGTAGGCCTGAGACACGTCTCAATCCTCCCATGTATAGATCCTTAGACTTACCTGTCTCTAGATTGTCCTCGCCGCTGATCCGCTGTACGACGACGAGCACCCGGAACTTCTTGCCGGAGCTATCCACGACCAGCTGTGCCTCCCTTCCGCTGCCCGAGCTTTGGTCATGGTGCCCCGCCGGGATGAGACTACGGTCAATCTGTTGTCCAAGTTCAGACAGATCATGGAGCAACAACCCATGCCCTTGGTCTGTGTGGAGGAAGGACTCGTGCCAGGCCAGGATGATTGGGAGGAGGATGAAGATACGCCGCAAGTCGAGTGCTGGTGGGGAGTCTTTCAGCGAACTGATGTCTAGAAGGAGTGCGAAGACCGTTTCTTCTTTTCTTCATTTAGCGACAACCATTCTGCAACATTGACGAACATCTCGAGAAAGGGCATCAGCAGAGACATTAGATCATGGAGTTTAGAGGAACAAGAACTTGATTAGACGCATTATAGAGTTACACATAGATGCTAGACCCTTAGACGGACCTAGACTAGATCATAGATGATAAAGCATTGTTTCGAGGTTGAGTTTCTATTCTCAGGGATCGCTGTAGTTACTCGCTCCAGTGAAATAGACGACACAGGCATCATTTCGCTGACTGAAATTCAACCTTTTATCGTGCATAGACGGTCCCCAGAAGATAGAATAGGGGCACAACTGTTGAGTATCTGGATCAACGGTTGCCTTCGAGTAAGGCTATAGAATGGAATAAGCCTTCGAAACCTGCATCATGGCGCCTTCACATACTCGATGGTGTCGGCCTAGTCCGCAGAAGGCCGGCGAGAATCACATCTCACATGCTCTTCTTCCTCCTTTCCAAAGCGGCCTTTTGTATTTCTTCCCCCAATTTAGAGTTTTATGCGGCCCATGATCTTTTCATGGCTCTTGAACTAAGGCAGGTCCACATCCCGCATACTCGCTGTCCATGGGACCAGAGAGACGGTTTCAAGTACTAGACAACTAGACAGTCCAAGGTAGTTCATGAGATAAAGTTCAGACGAAACATTTGAGTTGAAACGAAACCGCGTGAACAGATGGATGATAGAGAACGCTGCCTAGCCTTCTGGGCTAAAGCAATGGCGGTTTCACGTCAACTGCCATCATTTGTACCGGCAGATCAATCGTAGAACCTCGAGTGCCGAAACACATGCATAGGGGAGAGACAGGCCATTCACAGACAGAATACAAATCGGTTGGTTTGCTGTCCCATCAAGTTTCAGGCAGGCCGAGATAGTTCGACCATCAAGGCACACAAGCAGATTCCACTAGGGGGCTTCCACACCTTCACACCATTTGCGAGGGTACGTGATAGGCACCGAGGACTTGCAGACATACGGCAGATCGGCGGTACTAGTTTAGACCAGCAACCAGTCTGGGCAGTCGGCTTCCCGGGAAGTTTTGCTCCCAACGACTCCATAACAGATCTACTAAGCAGTGTCGATCTGCCACACAGAGCGGGCCCCCGTTCCTCAGTACCCCAAAGATAGATCACAAGTAGAGAGGCAAGACAGGGCAAGAAGGGGCACGGGTTACAGCTATAGTGAAGGCAAATACGTCAGAATACGGGTTGTGGAGGGGGCCCATGTCTTATGGACGGCGGTCAGATCGAGAAGCAGTATTTTTGCTTTTCTGGTCTTCTATTTTCCAAGACCTGTCAGTTGACGAGGACCAATCCCTCCGCCCGAAGCAGCCCATGCAAAGGAAGACGCCGGCCGTTCTTCATCGGCCTCCGAGCCACTGCCCATCGTGCCATGCACGCAGGTGTGCGCTCGACTCGAGGGGCTGGCGTCCATCTCGGAAGTAAACCCCAGCCCAAGGGAGCCTCGATTAGGAATTTCCCCGGGTCTGGTAGATATATATATGCCGTAAAGTAGGAGGGCAATAAAATGGCCCCCCTTGCCGCATACCCTTTATGAACCTCACATCAAGGATGGGATCGTAACGTAGCTTTCTGCGCGGTTGATGCGTCCGGGTTTCCTGGAGCTTGGCAGCTGGGCATTCTGCAGACACCAGCTCGTCTCTCACGCTGGACGGACGAACTGGGGGCCAGAGGGCGGGGGGGCTAAGGTGTGTCGATCCGCCCCTCCCTCTTTTTTTAGAGGAGATGGACGGGAACGCGGGATCCCCACCAATGGATACGATGCATGACATTGACGGACGGGTTGGTGGCTTTCTTGGCTACCTTTGATTTCTTGTCGTGAATATGGCAAGGGGAGTGATGCTGTCCATGATCTGTTTGAACGAGAGTCTCCGCCTTGTGAGGCTGTTCGACGACGTCGTTCAGGCAGAAGCATGGCGAGATACATTTTGATACAAGCGGCAATGTTGGCGGCACTCGAGTGTAGGCAGGCAGGTAGGTACCGTACCTAGGTAGGTAGGGACCGCCAGTATGCGTTCTTTACCTACTTTACACAAGTGTGGACGAGCGTGCAAACAAGTGTGTGTATGATCGTCTGTCCGTAAATCCCCTCCCTCACTTGCTCCTGGAGCAACGCACACATATTGCGACACCCCCGCTTTCTGAGTACAAGTAGTGCCGCATCAATGATGTTTTGCTCCTCTGCTGCACCAGAAATTGGCCGTACGTCCCCAGAAAGCGTCCATCAGTTGCACCGAGCCGTTCTTGTACCTGCCGGGTATTTGCAAAACAGCTGAGGGTGGTGTCGAGTACCACCCTCCCAGCAGCGCCTCCGCCAAAGGACCTGCCAATCGCAAACGTTGGCTCCATCTCACACACAGCTCGGGCCTGCCGTGGTTGACCCGGGTCAGTACTTCGTAATAAATCAGCTTGCGCCGCCCGCTCTTGAGTCTGCCGATGCCGTGGGCAAGACAGTAGAAGGAAAATAATGGGCAGACTCAGTCAGTCAGCACGATGTCCGGCCAGTCATCACGTCGTCCGGCCAGGGAATACTGTTGCGCAAATGCCGGCTGCTGAATTACCCCTTCTGCCCTCTACGTATGCAAAAGCCCGGCAGGCAGACTTCTTTCCGTTGTCCTCTGTTGTTGTTTCAAGACAAGATAGGAAAGCTGCAGTTGGTCGTGGAATATTTATTCACACGCTTCCAGACCATCTCGACCACCTCCTCTCGAACCTTGGTTTGCAGTCTGAGGTACCGCATTCCCGGATCGTCTCGTCTTGCGCGGTTGGTGGTTGGTCTTCACGAAACCCCTGCAGATGGCGGATCGACGCAGGCTAGGAGCATGTCGCTTGCCTGCCACCTCACTGGTTACCCAGCGTGTCTCATGTACCTACATACATCTCCTACGTACATGGTGCCCGACTGGAACAGCCCTACCAAAGCGACTGCGCCCAGGGGAGGGACCTGTCAGCTCCAATGGCGGACATCCCCCCCTGGGTGGGCTATAAGACTGCCTTTTATGGGCCGCATCCAAAACGGATGCGAAGCGCAGTCAGCGACAGGTTGCATTCTCAGCACATCGAAGCTTACAGGTAAGACTATGAGAGAGAACCACTGCTCCGGTCTGACCACTCTCCTCGTGTGCTGCATCACCGACCGAGAGGTAAGGAACTGTGCTACCCAGAGTGAGACCGTCACGTTCATGTGGGAAGCCGTCAACCGCTTGGAGGGGGGGTGGGTGCTTATGAAATCACTGCGCATATGCCTTCTGTCTACAGTGCTCCGCAAGACGGGGGCTTGCAGCTGACGCTGGCTGTACAGTCAACAGGTCAACAGTTACCTTGCTGGAGGACCTGAATAGCCGCTAATAGGAGGCATCTCGAAGGAGACATGGTTGCTGACAGATAACCCGATTGCCGGAGTCGAGAGCATCCTCTGCAATCTCGCTAGCTAGTCCGTTGTCAAGGTTCGGTGATCCCTTGCCTCTGAGAAAGCCATTTGAAGCCGGCCGAGAAAGAATGGCATGCCGAGTAGCTCTCGGTCAGTGTATCTTGAGTTTGGGCATCTCAGCCAGTGTTTCTGTGGCAAACTGTTGATCCTGTAGATCTTCTCCCACAACCCTCGAACTGCATCTCGACAAAGCTAGCGAGGCTCTACCTTGGCTCCCGCCTTTTCTACGAGACCTACCGAGCGTTCAAAGTCAGCAAGCCACCAGACGTGGAGTCATGTTGCTACCGTTCTGGTGTTGCACGAGCCCTCACCGACGGAGTACGAGTGACCACGGCGTACAAGTGACCTGGCAGTCGGGCCTATACCGCTGGGCTTTTGCACAGCCAAAGCCAGGAGGATGGGTGACACAGATGCAGCCCAGAGTCCTGGGATCATAAAGGACGTGCCCGCATGCACATGAATGGCTGTGATCATGCAGGTCGCCTCACCTTACCGAGCTAGGCTTCTCCAGCAAAAAACTCGGGGAACACAGAAGCACATTGAGCCCCAAGCTCCTGTTTCATGATCTTCGAGATGAGGGTTGATAGAGAAGCTGTCCGAGTCTGTAATATTTTTGAGGCAGTGAAAGGGGCAGGGGGGATATTGCACCCACTATGACTGCAGATAAATTGGTGAATTCATGCTGGCCACGACACGGCTCGCGGGTCTGCTGGGTATCGTCCTTGTCGAAATCCACAATCGCTTCGATCAAACAGGGCCGGTCCGCTCAGTTTCCCAGCGGTGCATCGTGTTGGATGGGGGTCCTGAAGAGCCTCGCTCGCTAGTCGTAGTCTCACATCCACCACCGCGCCCTGACACTCACTTCATGGGGGACGGATGTCGTTCATTTATGATCGCGTGCGAAATCGATCCATAGAGCAATTTAGCTAAGCGACAAGGGAGGCTGGCCGGAATGTGGCGGCACCGGCTTGCCAGGTTTGGGGCCGCTAGGTGCGTCCTGGAATGGCTTGGCAGAGGGATCAAACTGAGACATCCGGGAACACCCTCATCCAACCTGAGGAACTGGTCGGAATGCACGCCTGCAAAAGAAAGGTTGGCTCCCGGAAGAAGTGGCCGGGTACGGAACACATGCAGGAACTGCTGCATCTCAGCAGGACGGAAAGGACTGTACATAAGTACGTTCAAAGCTATAGTAACCGAATCATCGAGGAGTGTACGCACGTGTTGCACATTGTCTAATAGATCCAGGGGGGTTGCTATGCTAACGCCGTGGAGAATCCCCATTTAGCAACCGTCTAAGGGAGGCAGGTAGTCAAGTTTTTTTTAAATGATATGGACATGTCACGTCGGTGGCGTATCTAGGTAATATGCCAGGCAGAGCTTAGATATGAAAATCAAGCGTGGTAACTACTGGCAGCAAATCTCCATCTCGTGCTGTGAGGAGGTCGGGAAGACCCTCGAGGAATGTGTTTACGGCGGGAGCGTGTTTGGCGGATTTGACTGGTGGCATTTGTTTCCAAGCAACTGGGACAAATGCCGGAGGAGTTCATTCCAGGAAGCAAGGAAAAAAACGTCCAGATGCTTGTTTAGTCTCTCGACTTTGTTCTCGTGGACTACCTCGATGGAGGTAAATCTGCCACGAGAGGTCCGATTTTCCCCACACTCTCTCTGATGATACTTAGCCGAGTCGAAAGCCCTCCGTCTACGCAGTGACAAGCATTTGCTCTTCCGATTTGTCGGCCACAGATGCATCGAGAGCTCTGGACTGTGCAAAGAGGGTGTTGCCGGTGAACCATGGTCCTAGTGTCAAGCGCTACTAGGAGGCGACTAGTGGTTTTCGACTATCAGAAAGGGAATGGCTCCTGAAAAAAGTGTCGCTATCTCGACCACTCTTCCTCCACCACCCACCCATTGGAACGAGATAGCTCCAGTGCCCAGACCCAGCCTGCATTAAGGTACATCGGTGCAGAAAATCCCTTCGGCGTGATGCAAAAGAAGGGACGGATGGCACGGAGGATAGAGTAGAGAGCGGGGAAAGGACAAGGAGTAAACCGGAGGGTATCGTCTGCCAGCAAGCAATGCTACCTGCATCGATGGTTCCCATTGACGGGTCAGGCACATGCGCGAGTTCCGGAGAATCATAAATGGCCACGGTAGAGGGCGCAAAACAGCGCAAAAGGCCAGGATTGGCTCAACAAAGTCGCTTCTCGTTTGGCCTTCCTCCCTGACGGGCGACGGGGTGGACACTCTCATCAATTGGGGGGAGCAGACAGGAGGTGAAGTGATGTCAGGCCAGTCAGTCCTGGCGGACGGCAAGCCCAGACACATGCCTCTCTCGTTGTCTCCGCAGCGTGGTCTAAACCGGGGCACATGGAGCACCTCGTCTGCAAGCGAAACTGGGTGTTGCCGGTACGGCTGATTGCCAACCAATGCCTCCATGAATCAGAGTACCTGGCATGTCATGCCGACCGGTCTTGTTCGCACTCTTTCTTTCGACGTCTTCTGCCATGTATGCCTGCTTATGGATTCGATGGATTGCTCATCATTATATGTCAGCGCCGACACCTCTCTCGAGAAGAAGGGGACCACCCCCACCCAGGCCACCCTGCATGTGTGCACGGAGGTAAGGTACCAAGTAGACCATAAGTCGAGTGTTTATTGAGGTCTGGAAGGACGGACAGGCACCTGTGATTGGGGGGAAGTGGTGACAAGTCGATGGAGACCGGGCCACACTCGGGATGCCCCATCCGCCGGGATGGGGCCAGCAGACCACGCGCACACGCCCATACCATGAGTGGATGAACGGATGGGATGCGAAGGGCTCTCGAATGAGCCACAGTGATCGACACCGAACATCCAAGCCTGCTTTGCTGCTTGCTTTGCTGCTCTACTTGCTGTCGCCTCTGTTTAGTGACTTGTCAAGCCGTTGGTGGTCAACACGTCGGGCATCTATTTTGCTCACGGGGAGCAAGTATTTGGTTAGGTCGGAGGACGCTGTTCAACAGACACACACGGACAGACGAGCCTGCGGTACCACATCAGGTAGGTATCCCTACTAAAGCGCAATAAGCGAGAGACAGTCATGAAGAAAGGGTAGATAGCAGGTATACACTAACTTGGGCTTCGGGACATGGAGACAGCACTACTGCATTGTTCTGCCACCACCACCGCTATCTAGTGTCGATGTTGTCGATGCGAGTCGACCAATCTTTGACCCGCTCGAGTGCTCAATCTGAACCAAATGCCCTCAACAAAAGGAACAGGAGGATGATCCTTTGATTTGATCTCTCTTTTTCCGTTTCTTTGTCAGATTGGCGCCTTTGAAGCCGACTCTTCTTCTTGGATATCGTCGAACCGGAGCTGTCAAGTCAAAGAACCACGAGAGAGTGACTCTTTCGCTTCTTGCTCAATTCGGGGTCGTCAGGTCAGGTCGATAGGTAGGTAGGTACTGGGCGAGACACACATCAGTGACATGCAGCCAGCTGCATCCTGCATCCGAGAAACCCTGACCCCTGCCGCCTCTTGGACAGAGGTACATCACAAGTACGACGGCCTGGGTGTTCGGCCTCGTCTGCGCTTGTACCTTCTAGCCTGGGGGGCCGCCCATCTGAAGCGAACCTTCTTTCTCCAGGCCTCTGGTGTAGCGCGCCCGCACGACCGCTGGGGCAGACAGTGGCTAGCTAGGCGGGCGGGTTTTAGGGCGGGCCTAGTCATTGGTACTTGTGGTCGCGACCAAGCAGGGAGTACTTGTGCGGAACCAGCCTTGAACAACCAAGTCGGCTGCTTTGTCCCTGCTACCACGCTCCGCCCTCCTTGGTCTCCGTAAAGTACTGCTGCGCTCGCTCGCTCACCCACCATTCCGAGCAGCCTGCCTCTACCTACCCTACCATCCACATCCACTGCCTGCCCGTACCAGCAGCAGTACCAGACCTCCGTCCCTCTCTCTTGGCCCTGTCCAAGTACGACATCGTCCTGCCTCACTCACCCGTCTTCTCCCACTTCTTTCTCGTCATCCTCTTCCTCCTCCTCACCTTTCACTTACCCAGGGTTTTGGACTTCTCTCAAGTAAACTTCCTTTCTCGAGCCGACACCTCGACCGACAGCATCGATCCTTGATCCCTCCCGAAACTCCGCTCTCAAGTTGGTAGGGGCCGTGCCAACGATGTAACGCCCTTGCACTACGGCAACCAGCACCTGCAACTGCCCTTGGACTCGAGACCGGCTCAGCCTGTCTTTGCCTCCAAACTCACAATTTCCACCTCGAGAAATTCATCAGCTCCCGATCAGAATATTTTGACGTTTCCAACACCCCCTCGACACTTCTTGCCCATCCTCTTCCCAACGACGGGGCTCTCTCTCCATTGTTGTGGTTCGGGATGGTGCTCCAAATCAACGAAGCGGGCCTCCAGTTGGAGAGCTCGCCCAAAGCGACGGCGGGCTTGCCAATGCAGGCGTTTGCCATCAATCTCAGCGACAGCGTCCTCGAGGGCATGATTGCCTGCGTGCAGAGTGGCCAAGAGATCAAGTTGGCGTTGGGCAACACTCCCGTAAGTACTGATCCAACAACGGCGAACCCCGGACCTGGGTTCCTCGCCTATTCCCTCCTCTCTCCAGCAGCACCTGTGCATTTGCATCGAGAATTGAGGAGCTCCCTTCCTCCAGATCCAGGCTGGAACCCTCCGCTAACATGTCAACAGACGTTGGTCTACGGATCATCTACCCATCAACTGCCCCGAAATGCCGATTTTCAGCCCTACGACCTGTACATGACGGACCCAAGCGAATCGTCGAGGGTAGCAGAGAGACTACCCAACCCCGCTCAGTCTTTATTCAAGAAACCTGAGCTCACAAATACATTTGGCAATGAGCGTGCAAGGACCGGTGCCTCGCCACCAGCAGGCCGAAAGGCTGAGACTGGCCTGGATGCAGACATCGCTGCTCTCCAAAGCTCTCTCGCGCAAGCCAGTGCTGACAAGAAGGAGAACTCGTGAGTTAACTATTGGGACAATTTCAGGAACTCCTCGAGACTGACCATTTTACTAGGACTGCCGTACTCGAAGGACCCCCGCCGAGCACGAAGCGTGGTGTCAACGGCCTCAAGGTCGGCAAGAAATCGCTCGCAAGCAAGACAGCCTCATACAGCACTTCGACTACACGCTCCCTACCCACGAGTCCAGCATTGAGTGCTATTGGATCACCTTCCATGGGTGCCGGTTCCGTGTCGCAGCAGGCAGCCGAGAAGTCGAAACAGGCACGGTCTCCAATCATTCACGAGCTGGCCTTCCGAGAACAGAACTACGACTCCCTGTGGAACAAATACCCTGGCTCCTCAGAAGACGATTTCAAGATCGCCCTCGAAAAGGTTGCGGATCTGGACAAGGACACGAGGAAGTACGTGCTCAAGAAGATGTACTGGAAGGAGCTGGACGTCTGGAACCACGAATATGCCAGCGGCGAGGAACGTCAACAGGCAATCGACCACGCGGTCCGACAATACGACAAGATGAGGCTTACTGCATCGGAGCCCGAATGGGACCGGCTCCTGCCCCGCGAAGAGAGGGGCAAGGGCAAGTGTTTGAGCATCAAACAAGCAACGATTGCGAGAGGTCCCGCGGCACCGAAGATCAAGGTTCAAAAGGCGGAAGATTCCAGCGGCGACTCAAGCAGCAACAAGGACGACAGCGAGGATAAGTCGAAGTCAATCAAGGCTGGAGAGGCTATGGTCAGGTCTTCTTCTCAGCCGCTGCCGGGCAAATCCAAAAAGATCAGCGAGCGGGAGGCTCAGACCAAACGTTTACTGTCCAACAAAAAGGCCCCGGCCGCCAAGGCTTCTCCCAAGACGTCTCCGACCAAGCCAGCTACGAAAGCAACAAACTCCACTAACACCATGGGCAAGTTCAAGTCCAAGGAGTTCATCAGCGACTCTGATAGTTCTTCTGACGAGGCGCCCCTGTCGACGACTGTACCGCTCTCCAAGTCGTCGAAGCCTCCCCCTGAGAAAAAGGTGGAGAAACCGGTCAGGGACACATTGCCACCCAAACCCAAGCCAGCTGAGAAGGAGACGGCAAAAGGTCTGCCCAAGAAGCCAGTACGCGAGACAGTGCGCGAAATGCTGCGCGATTCACCCAAGGAGCCTGTGAGGCGGGTAGTCTCCAAGCCGCAGCCTGTGAAGAGGGCCAGGGACGACGATGATAGCAGCTCGAGTTCCGGTACACCTCTGAGCAAACGGTTCAAGTCAAAGGAGATCAAGGTTGCGCCTCCCGTGCAGTCTTACAAGCACCGGCCCTCGGACGCAAGTCAGCACTCGCGAGGTACTAGCTCGGGAGCTTCTTTGAACAAGTCAAAGAACACGTCGCCGGCGAAGTCGTCCCCACTCGCGTCCTCACCGCCAACGAATGCCTCAGACCTCGAGCAAGGCGACGAGCGCATCATCGTTGCCAAAAAGCGGAGACTCGACCAGGATTCCGACTCTCGTTCCAAGCGTCAGCGATTTTCCTCGGACCTTGTCAACAAGGCGGTCAAGTTCAAGCTCTGCTACGAGAAGTATGAGGCTCTGCATAGAGAGATGGTGGGACTGGATAATCCACCGAAGGATAAGATGGATGACTTGTTGGATATGCGACAGCGTCTACAGGAGATGAAGACGGAGATCTACCGAGAGGCTGAGAAATAGTCGCACCTGACAGTGGTGCTTGGAGTATGGTTTCCCCCTTTGCATTATTGGAGACTGGGATGTCTCCAATGGGTCTCAGCATGGTCGTTATTTCTTTCTTTCCTTGTTTGTTTTTCCTACGTCCTCCTTCCCAACAGCACATGCATTACGGAAACAGACACCAAGATGACTTCCCTTCATCTCGGGTCATTCCACGGTATCACCAGGCTTTTGCATTTGGAAAGAAAAAAAGGGATGTCCAATGAGCGAGACAGACCTTCAATTTCTTCCAGCACGGCGTTCTTTGTTTTCCTGTTTTACAGGACCTTTTACGATACCAGGATGATATTTCTTTCACTAGAAGAAGGAAAGGGGGGACTTTCTGAATAAGATCAGACAGACAAGATTGGTATGATCTTGAGATGCAAAATTACAGAAATGAATTCAAATGAGATATCAAGGACCGTGTGAAGTTTCCTCGAAGCCGGGCCGTGGCAAAGACACTGCCACCCAAGACGGGCAGTTCTTGAAGACAACACCAGGCAACGATAGGCAACCAGGCAGCACGTCACCTGCGTCGGGCAAACTCTGACCTCTGGCTTCTCGTATACTTGTGGAAAACTGCTAATTGGTCGATTTTCGAGCCCGATATGCGACAGAGCCCAATATGTCATTTCGCATACATCAGGACAATTGAGAACCAAAACCAGTTAGAACCACCAGTTGCGTACATCACCTCAAGAATGGACATATGCCAAAAGCCCGAGAAAGCGCACATACATCCAGCACGAGCATCCATAGCCAGCCTGCTGGTTAAAGACGTCACCAGGCAAATGTCCAGGGTGATCAAAAAAGGGTGGCACAGAAGATATAATATTCTTCGATTGAATCATGGAACGAGTTCCACGTGAGTTGCGGATGCTTTTTTGCAACTGATTAAGTAAGTCTGCTTGATGAACGTGCACCCCATGTTCGTCTCATGATCATTGATCATTCATCGTGATGATTCCCTGTATAGCCCGGTACTCCAATACACGGTTTTGGTCTTCATCGAGGTTGCCATGTCTCCCCCCAAACACCTTGCCGACCCAAAGATCACCTACTGGGTCTTGAACAGGAGAATCGCGCAGTGACCGAGGTAGAAGTAGATGAAATGCTTAGTTTCTGGAGGGCGTCAGGCGCTGAATGATGCGGGAAACTGGCCAAGGAGACGTCTTACCATGAGTGACAAAGCTACCAAAGTTTCGTCCCACGATGCAGTGCCAAGTAGGCCCCTTTCGGTCGTCGAACTGCTCTGGATCAGTCTTCGCTGGCAATATATGGCAGGCAGGAAGGACGATAGGTAGTAACGTACGGTCTTCTTGATGTGCTGCGCGATGTCCTGGACAACGGTGTTAATGTCGTTAACTTCAGAATGCTCTTATATTTCCAGAAGTGCGATCCGAGTTGCGAACCTTCTCAATGCTGAACTTGACCATGGCTTCCTGGGCTACAGGAGGCATTAGCACGAGCCTCTTGTGTGTATGGGCTCCGTTGTCGCAACATACCGACTTCGATAACCTCAGTTTGCATCTCCTCGGTCTAATGTGGTGTAAGCAATCGTAGAGCTCGAAGAGGGTACGGGCATATCGCAATCGTACCATATCGGCAGACTTGACCTGGGCTTGGGGACAATGTCAGCCAGGCGCAACAAGATCAATTGGGAGTCAGCAGAGACAAACCTTCCAGCTTCTCCCGCGGGGCCTGGGAGCCAGTCGCCTTGGTGTCCGCCATGGTGCTAGATGGGAGAAATACAGAGGCTATATCGACAAGTCAAGTTTGACTGGCAGCGACGGGTTAGTGGATTCCTTGTTGCGACATGACGATGTGTAGTCAAGGTGGGGGAATGTGAAGGTTGAGGGTGGCGGCCCCCCCTTTTCCCAGTTGCGCGCTAGAACTCACCTTGTTTGTATAGGCGACTTGAAAGTCGTGAAGAGAGCAGTGCGAGTAGCGCAAACAAGGCAAACACAATTGTCGAGGCACGTTGAAAGGAGCAATGAAGCCTACGCGCAAGAGCTCGAGTCCAAAGGGTCGGGAATGGTTTGAACTGTCACAAAGACAACAATGTGGATGGAGGTCCCACTGAACAAGACCGTAATAAGGGGAACCACTGGACTGGACGCGACTCCTCTGTAATCCATAGGATCTAGCAGGAGCACCAAGAAGCACAGGCCAGGTGGATCCCTGTTGCCAGCGCTAACACACCAGCTACCCCCTGGCAATGAAACGCAAGCGCGGCTCAACAAGGCGAAGACGCACTGTTCACCCATTGGCACTTGTTGTCATGCCCATATCGACAAGGGTCGGCGATAAGATAAGCACCTCTTTTTTTTCTGGCGACCAGCATCTGCCACTTGCCAAAATTTTTAGAGGGAAAGAAACCTCCCAAAAGCCTGCAAGAAAATATAAATAGTGTGTCGCAACGGAGACCTGGCTTTCCCTCCCTCCACGACATGACATCAAGTCCAATGGTGTGCAGCAGGTGACGGAAGTCATACTCGATTTTGTTCCAGCCGGAACAGACTCAAACACCGCAGTCGCCATGGAGTCGTCCAGGATCTTCGTCAAGAACCTTCCGTCGACCCTCACCGAGGCAGAATTCAGGAAGCACTTTGGGGCCAATGGACGAGAGGTCACAGACATCAAACTGATTCCCAGGAGGCGAATTGGCTATGTCGGCTACAAGACCCCCAAAGATGCGGCCGACGCAGTCAAATACTTCAACCGATCATACATCCGCATGTCAAAAGTGGCAGTCGAGATAGCCCGACCTGTAAGGGCGACCACCATCACCGTCATTGATTCGCTCGTACATAGCTCACATTCCACAGATTTCAGACCCATCCCTCCCAACTTCCCGGAGGGCTCAGAGGAATGAAGGGATTGCCTTGGCCAAGAAAGCCGAGGCGGCGGCGACATCTGTCTCAGAGGATCAGCCTAGCTCCAAGAAACGGAAACGTGAAGAGCTAGACGAATCCGACCCGAAGCTCAAGGAGTTTCTCGAGGCGATGCACCCAGGCCAAAGACCGAAAAGACGCGAGGATCTGGAAGACAATGCCATCACTCTCGACGAGCCCGTGCAGCCGGCCCCTCAGGTGGAGGCCGAGAGCGATGACGAGTATGAGACGATACCGGCTCGACCAAGACAGACACAAAATGAAGAGGGGCGGTGGCCAGATGCGGGAACCTCGAGGAATGTTGTGACGGACCAGGCTGCGGATCCCGTCGCGGATCCCGTCACGGACCCAGAACCCCAGAACCCGCAACAGACGGCAGAGCAGCAGCCCACTCAAGTGCGACAAAATGACACAACGGACGACGAGTGGCTTAGGTCTCGGACGAATCGTTTGCTCGATTTGGTCGATGCTGATGATCCAAACGTCACAGCGAACCCCTCGATGAGGGTGGCAAGTCCGGAGCAACATGAGACTCCGGCCAAGGTTGAAACCAAAGCCCCCGACGAGGGCCAGCCAAGCCTGTCAGATGAGGGCAAGCATGACGGGGTCGTGGCGGAAGCACCTGGAGAGGAGAGTGCTCTGGAACTGCTTCAGAAGACCGCGAGGCTCTTTGTGCGAAATCTGCCATACAGTACCACGGAAGATGACCTGAGAGCCTTTTTCGAGACCTTTGGCTCGCTAGAAGAGGTAAGCCTTACATCACGTCTCATTTTTCTCATTTTGAAACACCCACTCCACTCCTTTCTATGATGAACCCCTGATAGGGACAGCTTATACCAAAAACGGTATTTGATGAGAACCTGGGCCAAGTATTTTAGTAGATGCTCTGTGATCTGACAGAAAGACCGAGTGTTGGAGACATGATCAGTCATGTTTTGGATCCTCGTTTGACTTTTTACTAAGTTCTGTCTGCTTAGGTACATCTTCCTGTCGGGAGCGGAGGATCAAGCAAGGGTTACGCTATGGTTCATTTCGCGGACCCTTCATCCGCGATAGCTGCATTCCAGCAGGCCGATGGCAAAACATTCCAAGGCCGACTCCTCCACGTACTCCCCGCTATGCCCAAGAAGGATAGCACGCTGGACGAGTTTGCAATCTCGCAGCTGCCCTTGAAAAAGCAGAATCTGATCAGGAAGAAGGCGGAGGCGGCGTCGACCTCTTTCAACTGGAATGCGCTCTACATGAGTCAAGACGCCGTCAACGCGTCCGTGGCAGATCGATTGGGCGTGTCCAAATCCTCGCTGCTCGACCCTAGCTCGGCTGATGCCAGCGTCAAGCAGGCCATCGCAGAGACCTCGATCATCCAGGAGACGAAATCGTACTTTGCGGCCAATGGCGTCGATCTTGATGCTTTCAAATCACGCCAGCGCGGCGACACTGCGATACTGGTTAAAAATTTCCCTTATGGGACTACGCTGGAAGAGCTCCGGACCATGTTTGAGGAGCAAGGCACTGTCCTTCGGGTGCTCATGCCGCCGAGTGGAACGATTGCTATTGTCGAGTTTGCACAGCCCGCACACGCAAAGGCCGCCTTTGCAAGGCTAGCTTATCGACGAATCAAAGACTCCATCTTGTTTCTCGAAAAGGCGCCCAAGAACATCTTCAAGGACGTACCGCAGCAAAAGGTCCCGCCCGCGAGCGATCGCCCCGCAGGCACCCAGAAACTCTCGGCGGCCGAACTGCTGGAACGTGATGACACACACGATCAGCTCGAGACAACCTCGCTATTCGTCCGCAATCTTAATTTCGCCACTACGACAGACCAACTTGCTGAGGCGTTCAAGCCCTTGGATGGATTTGTCTCCGCCCGAGTCAAGACCAAGACAGATCCCAAGAAGCCAGGGCAAGTGCTCAGCATGGGCTTTGGCTTCTGCGAGTTTCGCACCAAGGAGCAGGCCATGGCAGCCCTCAAGGTCATGGACGGCCATGTACTCCAGGCACACACTCTGTCTGTGAAGGCGTCCCATAGGGGCCTGGACGCGGCTGAGGAGCGGAGACGGGAGGATCGAGCCAAAAAGCTCGCGGGTCAGAGGACCAAGATCGTCATCAAGAACCTGCCATTCGAGGCCACCAAGAAGGATGTACGAACCTTGTTCGGCACGTACGGGCAGCTCCGTTCCGTGCGGGTTCCAAAGAAGTTTGGCAACTCTTCGCGCGGTTTCGCATTTGCAGAGTTTGTTTCACCGAGGGAGGCTGAAAACGCACTCAACGCGCTTCGGGACACCCATCTGTTAGGCCGCAAGCTCGTATTAGACTTTGCCGAGGCGGAGGCAGTGGATGCTGAGGAGGAGATCGCCAAGATGCAGAAGAAGATTGGCGGGCAGGTGAACAAGGTAGCACTCCAACAGCTCATAGGGAGGGGCCGGAAGAAGGTCAATATTGGAGGAGACGAGGAGGAGGACGAGGTATGAAGGTCTGATGAAGAACCGGAGTATCGACTCCCAGGTCTCAGATAGGCATAGATACGCATGAAAGATACCCCAGAACATCATGAACGGCAGCAGCCACAATTGCAAGGAAGGATACCAACAATCTGACGGTTGGACAGGGCGAAAGCAATGGTACACTCCTGCGGTGGTGGTTTATCGAATTGTTCGCTAGGGCGCCCTTGGACCAAGGAGAGCCAGGAAATGTCCATAATTATGATTCCAACATTATTCCAGCCCTGGGAGGGCCACCATTTGCTGGAGGCCATCTGTAGCGGAGCGCCAGCTGCTCCACTTCTTCACCTCCTTCACAGCCAGGTCGCGCCTCCACGCCTGTCTGCCGTTTCTGTGGCCTCGGCCCTCTCTTTTTTCTACCCTGGGGGAGCAGCTAGATCTGGCTATTGCAGAGCGGCGATCTCCCTTTAGTATGCTTGCAGGTGCCCACCCCAAGTCCTGACCTCCTGTGCACGCGATGCTTAATTTCGTTGCATGCCTGCCAGAGCGCGTCTGGTGGAGTTTGGCAGCTCGTCGGGCATTCCCTTTCGCCACTAAGCAAGAGAGGCTACAGGTGACAATTTGCCAGGCTAAACCTCTCTGGACGGGTCTGGTGCGTTGCTGCTGCTGCCCTTCAGTGCTAGGTTGGGAGGAGAGACAATACCTGCACAGAGCTACTGGGCCTGCCTTGGTACCATGATCTCCTTTCTCACGCCCACACCCTCTTCTCCCTTTGCATACCAGTCGAAAGCTACCAGCAGCGGAACCTGGCCCACGATGCAGCCCACGACGGGCAGGCGAGGTACTCTGGCCGTGCTGGCCGGGTACCCTCGCCCTCACAAAGGCCCTCGCCCTTTGCTATGCGATCCAGAACTATACTCGACACTACCGATCACCCACTCGATCCTGGGGGACGGGGAGAGGGCTGTCGTTATGGATCTATCGCGAATGGCATCCATTCCAGTCAGTGTATCGACCAAGCAGGACGATATACGATGTGTCCACCTCCAATCCCCATCCCCCCCTTCATGCCGGTGGTTCCTGGAGGCATCTGCATATTTTACCCTCTGGCTCGCACCTCGATCAGGGACCATTCCTTCCAACATTTCTCATTCATTCTCTTTATCCAAGGTTCCCTGCTCTCTCTATTCCACAAAGGCAACTTGAATTCTTCGCAAGGCTGTGTCCAGCATTTCAGTCGTCGAGGTTTGCCACATAGAGATTCCCCTCTTTTATATACCGCCCAGCAAGGATGGAGCTTCCTCGCCCCGTGCTGCCATCCCAGCGCTATTCCCCAAACACATCCACAGCCGACTACTATGACAGGCGCCAGCAGGTATCCGGGCCCAGGCAGCCTCTCCGAGAGTCCTCGGGCAATGCTCAGCCTCAGCATCTCGGAGCCTTGACGCTCTGCTCCCAGAACCTCTCCGCCCTCACCTCTCTCCCCCACTCTATCCCAACTCCCCCTATCGTCCCTACACAGTCTCTGGACTCCCACTATGGCCCCGGCAGCAATCTCAAGCTCCGCCGCCATCAGCTTCACCTCCAGAGGCGCCAGAGGCATGGTATTAACCCCATCTACCTGTCTCCTCAGTTCCAGGCCTACCGCAAGAAGCAGGCAGAGAAGGACTACAAGACGGCCCAGATCTGGCCTGACTTTCTCGAGGATGCCTTTCTCGATGGTGAGTACTTGTCACACATGCTGCTTTCAACTGTATTCTAATGAGAAATGACAGCCCTGCTCCTGATTCCCCAGATGGGAAGGAGAAAGTACACAATGAGGGGCCAGCAGCACGGCCGCAATATGCTCATCAGCGAGTATCTCTGGGTCGCCTACTGCATCTCACTGCCGCCAGGCGAGAAGCCAAGCAAGCTCATGAGGCGAGAGCGTAAGCAGGTGTCCAGTCACATTCAGGTGCTGAAGAACTTCTTCATCCACCACAGGTGTTGTGAGTACCTCTCTTGAAATCCTTGTAGCTCAAAGAGTGAGTCCCGTGGCTAACATGAAGCTCGAAAAGACCACTTCTTCTTTCCTGGAAAGGAGAAGAAGGACGACAGAAGAGACTCGATTGAGACCGAGTCCTTCAAGGACAACCCTGTGCTGCGTGCTCTCTCTGAGGGTCGTCTCCCTGACGAGCGACCCAACTATGAGTACTTTGCCCAGCTCCTGGCGTCAGATGCCTTGGTCACTGTTCGCCCCAGTCTCTGCTGGATCCTCGTGTCCAACAACTCGGTCGAGGTTGAGATGGATGGCCCTCTTCGTGGCACTGGTTTCGCTCCAAGCGGCGAGAAGCTGAACCCCAAGCTTTACCCTCATCTCGGCCTCAATCTCAAGCGAGAGGAGTGGCCGGAGCGTGGTAAGATCATCCGTGGCACCCTTCTGCAGGAGTACGCTCGCACTCTCAGCCAGAAGGAGGCGAGCTCCGTCAAAGAGCTCAGCCAAGACTGGGAGGAGAACTTCCCTGACCTCTACACCCCACTCGAGGAGGTTGTTCAGAACAACTTGCGGGATATCCTCCATTTCCACGTGACCCTGGACGTGCAAGAGCCGGATCAGTTCCCCGAGGGTTCTGAGCTCAACAGCCTGGTGGAGATCACCATTGAGCAGCCGGCCCTGCAGAACCACACCTGGAAGGCGGTGACGCGCCTTGCCAGACCTTGGCAGCTGACCAGGGATGAGAAGACCGACCCGCCCGTTGTGGAGGTCACTCGCGAGATGGGTGTCCAGTATGTGCACCGACAGGGCTGCGAGAACCACGCCCGCTGTGACTGCTCGGTCACCGCTCGCCTCCGCCGCCAGCAGCTCGCTGTTCCCTTCCCTGCGCCGGAATGGGCCACCATGCTCAGCCACTTGGCTACCTTCGCCAAACACCCGCAGGTCAACAAGTCCAAGGTCAAGGTCGAGTATGACGAGAAGGGCAACAGGACTCACGCCTCCAAGGAGCCTACTCAGATGGACCTTGTCAAGAAGATTGCCATGTTCCAGGAGCTCTGGTCTTGCCCCCCTGGGAGCGGACAGTGGACCAGGCGCGCCGTCATCCTCTGGACCTTTGAGACGATGCACGGTCTGGACGACAAGGGGAAGATCATCAACAACTCAGTGGGAACCACCTGGAGATTCTTGACCGCCATCGACCCGACCTCGCAGTATCACCAGCAGCACGCCCTCGTGTCCGGGTCCAGCCAGCCGCCTGTCAACCGCGATGCGATCATGTCTCCTGGCCCCGGCTACCAGCAGCACTTGACTGCGGCTATGAACGAGAACTTTGGCTCCGCCTGGGACCAGCAGTCCCCTCTGGGCATGCCCTCTGGCCACCACGGCTCTGTCCCGTACGGCCCAGGTGCCATCAGCATCCTCGACTCTCTGCCTCACGGGCTGGCGACGCCTCCGCCCAGTGCCAGCTTCCACTCGACATATGCCAACGGCCTGAGCGCCGCTCACCAGCACGACATGAACGGCCACCTTAGCTTCATGTCCAACCCGGCCATGGACACCAAGAGCACCATGATGTCCGCCCCCGACTCGCTTTACGCGACAGCCGGCGGTGTCAGTGTCTACGACGAGTCTCCGGTGGACTGCGACCCTAGCAGCTCTTTCCAGGGCTGGGATGCGAACTCGATGCCCGCGATGGACACCAGGCTGCAGCCTTCGTGGACGACCAACTTTGACTTCAGCAGCCAGGGACCGCCTCAGCACGGCAACCCGAGCCACATGTGGAACCACGGCCTGGCCCCGAGCGACGCGAAGCCGAACGTGTCGTCGTCGCACTGGGCCGCGACGGTCGCCAGCGCCGACGACAAGGGAGACGCCGCCGCCTGGAACGGCCAGCCGCAGAGCTGGATGCAGACGGTGGCCGCCGGGGACGGCAGCGGCGCGGCGCCCCCGACCTGGGACGACTCGATGCCCCCGCCGTCCTCGGACGCCACGGCTCCGCAGGGCGTCCCCGCCGCCGGCACCGGCGCCGGCGCTCCGCAGTTCCACAGGTCGCACTCGAACCAGGGCGTGCGGAACCAGCTGTCGCGGTCGGCGACGACGGGCTCGCTGGCCGGGCCGCGCGCCGGGCAGAAGCGCGGCCGGTCGGACAGCCTCGACGAGCGGGACGAGTACCCGCTCGCGTCGATGCCGAAGCTCTCGCACCACGTCAGCGTCGCCAACGCCAAGTACGCCGCGGCCGTGTCGGCTGCCGGCACGCCCGCGCCGCCTCAGGGCGTGGTGGATGGCGGCGCTGACCAGGCGGGCTCCGGTGGCGAGCCGTGGTGATCCGACAATCGATCGTTCTCGTGGAGTGTAAGATTTTTTGTGTGTTGTTTTTCAATATTTCATGTTTTAATGAGGATACCCGGATAGAAAGGAAGGGCTTGGAAGCTTTCTCTCTCTTTATGTTTCTTGCTTTTTGTATTGGTTTTGTTCGAGGGCCTGGACAAAAAGCGATGTTTTTGATGATGAAAGACGAGAACTTGGAAACGTACGAAACGCGAGGCACGATCAATGGACGATGCAGTACGGAAAATGCAACCCCAAGATATTATGGAATACGGCCGACGTTTGTTTCTTTACTGTGTGTGTTTGTTATCACGATGAAATGCAGTCTTGGAATATTCATGTGTTGGGATGAGGCGTTTAGGGTCACAACAGCAGCATGGGATTAATTAGTCGACTTTTCAGAAACAGAAACATTTCCTAAATTGATGAACCTATAACAACACACACCTTGCCTCTCGTGCTGCTACAGAGCCATATTTCTGATTCATCTTGCGTTCCGCCAAGGACGAGGCCAGTTTGTTCATTTTCATCTTGTAAACAGTAGGCGCTTTGCTAGGTTTCTCTTTGAGACGCAATCCCTGAGGGTTAGGCACTCTGTACTTGTATATGCCCAATTACACCCACCTCGGCGCCGCAACGAGGCACGTGTGTCGACCCTGGCCGAGATCTAGATAAGCTTTATGGCTCCGGAGTGGGATGCCCAAAAAGAAAAGGTCGGCCGCAAGCGCGTACACCCTGGCCCGGCGTTGCTTCGCGGAGCTGGGCTCTCTTTTTCTTACCAGGATCTTAAGTGGCAGCTGCCGACGAGTTGAGGTGAAACGGCGCGTGTCTGGAATTTCGGGGGAGGCTAACAGAAAAATCCTAACGCTTTGGGACGGGGGATTCTGAAACAAGACATCCAGAAGGCGAGCTTGGACGTCAAGGAAGCTCAGCGAGTATACTGGAAACAAGGAGGTCTGGTTGACAATCAAAAGTGTCTACTGGCTACTGAAGAGGAGAGAGATAAGTCCTGGTTTCTTTTCGCCACCATTGATGCCGTGCGGGCGGTGCACGTTGATCAGACACCGGAAGAATTGCGATCAGGAGCTTGCAAGTGTTGCGGACCAAGAGATGGCAGGAGGATGCACGGACGATGAGACGGGGAATCCTGGGCTCACATCCAAAGAACCGTGATCGGAAATTCGGAATGAGATAGCCCAGCCTCGTGGGATATGGAGAAGAAAATGGCAGGCTGGACCGGGGCGTGGGCCAGAGATCAGAGTTGAAACGCCTTCTTTCGCAGACGGGACGAGAATGTTTCGCGATATCTCTGGAGACTTTAACTACTTAGCTACCACAAGTGGCGCCGGCCCCGCACATGGGCGATCCAGAATAGCATCAATACCACCTATCTGTGAGCAAAAGAACACAGAATAGAAACATGCTAGTAGAAGAAAAAGCAAGCAAGGTTGAAACATACGAGAATAGCGAGATTGGACAGTCGGCATGGGCTCACGGTGGCCATATATATCGCAAACGTTCTGTCCGTTACAGACGCCGGCGCCAACGGTGGGCGGGGCCCGGCGGTAAATCTGTGTAAGTGGGAGCCAACCAAGTGGTGATCGGGAGGATGAATGACCCTAGCCGCCGCAAAGACCTGGACCAAATATGGGCACACTGTTTTTCCGTCTGGGTTACGCAAGCTCGATAGGTCTGGTAGGTCTGAGTAGGTCCAGTCTGTATCTAGGGTTTGGGGGGAGGTCCTGTTGTGTCGAGAGGATGTCGCGTGAAACAGTCGACTGGATGGGATGGATGCATCGGGCGAGGGAGCTGCGTTTCTCGGGCAGGGGTTTGTCGGGGATTGCTTGGCCCCTGTGTTGCAGAATTTCTGTGCCTGATGGAGCCGACAGGGCAGGAAGCGGCTCCCTGGACAGGTCGCCCCGCATAGAATATTGGCTGAAGGGGTACCTGTATTTGTCGCTAGTTTGGGGCGACTATCTTATCGCCAGGGCTGTTTTGGCTTCCATTTACCCCACAGCGAATACTCTTGGCATGCCTGGCCTCCTTCTGTACATGATGTACTTCGTACTGACAATATTGAAGCACACAGACAGTCGAGGTTCGTGCTCATGCAAGGTACGCATGCCGCTCATACCACTCACACCATACACCACACACCACCCCTGCAACAAGGAGGCTCTCGCACTCGCTGTCTCTCTCACTTGTCGCCTCTCCTCTCTCCAACCTCATCGCTGCCCCGTCTCGTCCAACCAGATATGGGCCACTGCCAAAACGGCCACATCAAGACATGGCCCAACCGCCACTCGTCCCGATCTCGTCCTGCAGCTTCCTACTGACCCCGGTCCCTGCTCGCCCTGGTGGCGGCCATGGCACCGGTCGCTGATGTTCGGCTCAAAAGTGCCGCCGGAACCACAGAGGCAATCTCCTCGTCGACTGGCGCGCAGTGCTCCTCGTCTCAAACAGGCGAACAGAGTCTGGCCGGCCTGCCCGTAGCCGTAGCCGTAATTGCCTGGTGGTAACTCTGTCCGACATCCAGACGACCTCTGCTTCTCCACTGTGGTCGCCCATCGCTCTTCCTCATCTGCGTGCTCCTCAGCTCGGGCGACTGGATGGCACATGCGCAACGATCCTTGGGGGAGGGGTCCTTCATCCCGGTCGGCGACCCCGTTTATCCACGAACTGGCGATGGTGAGGGAGGGGCCAGGATGCTCTTCGATTTGTGTCACTGGCCTTTCCATCTTGGTGCACGAGGTACCTGCTGTGAGATGGTGTGGACAGGAACGGCGTATCACCAAATTTCCGGTACCCGCTGCTCGCGTTTGATGCCAAGCTTCAGATCTCTTTTTACCCATTGATGCAGCCGATTCCCAGAGGCGGGTGTCCCAGGTAGGTGTGGGTATGTGCGTCCCAAGGATCAAGTGAATCCCTGCTCCTGTCAGTCTTGCCATATCCCGGATCCCTGCCCCAAGCTCTCGCGCTCTCTCTCTCTCTCTCTCTGTGTGTGTGTGTGTACAAGGTATGTGTGTATGTATCTCTCGCTGGATCTCGCTCGCAGTCCCCACGATGATCTGCCGTCAGGCCACAGGGCCGCAGGTGGACGACGTACTCGCATAGATACAAGAGTACGGGCATTCCCAAAGAGGACCGACCAGAGAGGAGGAGCTGTTGAACCACGTCCAACCCTGTGTGGATCTTGGCTTGCGTCTGGGCTTTCCCTTTCATATCTTCATTTCTGCCTGGCCGGCCTAGGAAACAACCGCAGTGTCCTTCTTCATCTGCTGGTCTTCAGCCTCTTCTGTTTCTCCGTTTATTCCAATTTTGTTTAATACACGGCTCCGGCTGCTGGAATCTTCGAGCCCACTGCTCCACCATCGTGTGTATCCCGACCGACTTATATCTGGACTTGGCGGGCCTCCTTCTCCCCCCTCTTCTTCCTTCGCGGCGTCCAGACACTCGACTTCTGTTCACTTGAGCTTCTACGTCGACCTCACTTCCGCCTCACTTCCACCTCACCTTCACCACTTTTCAGCGGCCGCCACTCTCCTTTGTGAACGCGCTTGGACTTTAACAGCGCCCACATCCATTCCCATCTTGGCCATTGTTCTCCTTCTGAATCACCCCTCGACAATTCACAAAACAAACAACGGGGCCTGTTATTCACTGTGCGCGTCACTACCCTGAGTAGCCAGCACATTCACGCCCATTGTCAAAGATCCCTTTCACCTTTGCCCATATTGTGTCATTTTCACCCACAACATGCCTTCCTAGGTGAAGAACAGCACCCCTTTATCCCCCTTCATTTCTTTCTTGGAACAGCAGGGCTGTTCGCGCTGGGCGTTAGATCCCCCATTTCCTTTTTGAACCTCGGACTCGAGGCCAGACACGCTCCTTCTGCTTGATCATCGAAAGACTCGATAGAGAAAGGCATCAAAGACAGGCATACTTACACTGCCACCGACAACGACAACGACTTCGCCGTGCGAACTCGAGATACTGGTATTTTACCACCAATATCGCACATTCATTTTAAGAAAGCAACGACTCTGCTACGGAACGAACGACATCACGACGTCTCCCAGGCACTCATTTAGATCACAGATCTACGAAGAAGACACACGATACACGAAACGGCATACGCGATACACAATCTAGAAACACATCTGCAAAAGACTTCATCATGAAGACCAGCATATCAAGATCCGCTCGAGTAGCTGCCACCACCGCTCTCGTCCTTTCTTGGGCGCAGCCTCTGCTGGCACATACATGGGTAGAACAGCTCAACCGCATCGCGCCGAACGGCACCTTTGTCAACCCTCCCGGCTTCATCAATGGCTACAAGGGACGCACAGGTCTGGCCAATGTCGACGGGGAGTACACATTCCTGATGCCTCCCAACAACCGACCAGACGGCAAGGTCATCCACCCCGACGACAAGATGTGCAAGTCCACCCAGGCCTTCGGCAGCAACAACGCCCAGTTCCCCGTCCTCACGGCCGCCCCGGGCGACTGGATCGCGATGCGCTACCAGGAGAACGGCCACGTCACCCTGCCCCAGAACCAGGCCAACAAGCCGCTGAACCGCGGCACCGTCTACATCTACGGCACGACGGAGCTCGACAACAGCGTCAACTACGCCGACGTGTTCGGCGTCTGGAACGCCGACGGCACGGGCGGCAACGGCAAGGGCCGCCTGCTCGCGACGCGCAACTTTGACGACGGCCGGTGCTACCAGATCAACCCGGACCGCATCTCCCAGCAGCGCCAGCAAGAGTTTAAGAAGATCGACGGCGGCGTGCAGGGCGACAACCTCTGGTGCCAGAGCGACCTGCAGCTGCGCGACGACCTCGAGGTCGGCAAGGAGTACGCCATCTACTGGGTCTGGAACTGGCCCACCATGACCACGGCCGGCGCCAAGACGGACCAGCCCACGGCCGGCGCCAAGGTCAAGGAGCTCGAGGCCTACACCAGCTGCATGACCCTCAAGATCGTGGACCCGTGCTCGCCCGAGCTCGGCGACGTCAAGTCGCCCAGCTGCGCGGCGGGCGGCGGCGGCGGCGGCGGCGGCGGCGGCGCGGCGGGCGGCAAGACGACCAGCAACAACAGCGGCGGCAGTAAGAAGGTCGCCCAGGCGTTCAACAAGGAGCAGGACGTGGGTAACTCGGCCTCGTTCGAGCAGATCACCGGCGAGCAGTTCGTCGTCCCCGTCAAGCAGGCAGACAACAACAACAACAACGGCGGCGGCGGTGGCTCCAACAACACCCCGGACGTCGGCTCGCCCACGCCTACTAAGGGTAGCGGAGGCGGCGGCGGCAGGGGCAAGGGCGGCAAGGGCAACGACCACGTCAAGACCGTGACTGTCACCCAGGGCGTCGCTACTGTCACCGTGACTGCTGGCGCAAACAACAACAACAACAACGGCGGCGGCAACCGCGGTGGCCAACAGGGCGCCCCGGCCTCGACCCCAACCCCTTCGACGCTGAGCCTCAGTGTGACAACGCCCGCGGCATCGAGCCCGACGCCGTCGACCAGCAGCAGCACCCAGCAGCAGCAGCAGCAGCAGCAGTCTACCTCGCCTGCTGTGCAGACCGCCTCTACTACGCCCACGTCCGCCGCGTCGGCGGGCTTCCCCCAGCCGACGACGGCGAGGGCCAAGCCCGGCCCGCCTACGGTCAGCCCGTTCCTGAGGCAGCGTGTCCGGCGGGTTCGTCGGGGCGCTGGCGAGTGGCGCTTCGGGTACTGAGGGGGTTTCGGTCGGTCTACCCTTTGTCCTGGACAAAGAAGGGTAGGAGGTGACAATGAGGCGGGGAAGGAAGGACAAAGCAACCTTGTTTTTTTTGGCATTGTTCCTGGAAAAAAACTTTTTGATTCAATTCGTACATACTTTTTTTTCTTTCTTTTTCAATAGGGTTTGTTGGTTTTACATGTAGGGGGCGCGTGAGGTACAGGTATAAAGAAAACAACAACCAGGGCACGGCGTTATAAAGGAGTGCTAGCTACATCTCGCGACTCCTATCTTTGCCATCCTTGCTAGAGAGGGCTGAAAGATATGGAGGAGGGAGGGGCATAGGACCGGGAAAACTGGGTTATGACCTGGATGAAGGGACATGACGGGAAGGGAAGATACGACAAGGGGAGCCTCTTGGGCTCAGGGCAAAAAGGGCTTTGCATGAGAGATACCATCACCATTCTGGAGTTTACGTTGAACAGGCTGTTCTTTTTTAACACTTTCTTGCATCACTTTACTTGTTTGGCATTAGGTTCAGTTCCGCAAGGACTAAGAGGGGGGGGGGGACGCGTTGGTTTTTCCCAAGTTGTACTTATCAGATCTGGAATTTGATGATCACTTTTCTGTTCCTTCACGAAGGGGCGTACAATAACAGTTGTGTTGCAGTGTGTGACTGTAAGATGAGACGCAATGTCGTAGGACTGTGTGACTGGTTATTCTGTGATTGCTCTCTTGGTATCATGTCCCGCAACCTGTCTGCCTGTCCACCGTTCACGCCCTGGAACTCCCCCGTGTGTGGACGCAGTCATCAAATATGCCCTCCCGAAACACCTCCTTTCACCATCTTCCGATGGTCCCCTTTTGATCGATTTTGCATCTCATCTTGGCAATCCACTCCCCACCCACCCAGCATCAGGCCACTGCCGTTTTTTGGGCTCGTTTCGATTCGATTCGTTTCGTCCCGTAATCCTTCCTTCCACTTTTCATCATCACATCTCGCCGCACTGCGCGATGACGACGTCCAGGTTGGGCACGTCCTTGCCCTTGTACCCGGTCTTGGTCATCTCCATCTTCTTGACGATGTCCATGCCGTCGACGACCTTGCCGAAGACGACGTGCTTGCCGTCGAGGAAGGGCGTCGGCACCGTCGTGATGAAGAACTGGGAGCCGTTGCTATTGGGTCCCGCGTTCTAGAACATTTTGTTTCGGGTTAGTTATGGGCATGGGGGGTTTTGGTATGTAGGAAGGAGGGATGGAAGGAAGGGGGTTGAAGACCATGATGTAAATTGGGCCGCTGAGGGCAAAATGGAATAGGAGAAATAGGGGAAACAGGATGCAAGGAGAGACAAGAAGAAGATGACGTACAGCCATAGACAGCAGACCGGGCTGGTCGTGCTTGAGGGTAAAGTTCTCGTCGGCAAAGGCCTTGGTGCCGTAGATGCACGTCGAGCCCGTGCCGTCGCCGTGCAAGAAGTCGCCGCCCTGGCACATAAAGTCTCGGATCTAGAAAAGGAACGGGTGTCAACAGACAGGAGAGGGACAAAACTATGATCTGCTTTAGGGAAGGAGACTGGCGGCGATGGAAGCCATGCACGGCCTTGCGTCTTCCAGCAGGACAGAGAAGAGAGAGAGAGAGAGGACAGATTGACGTACGATGCGGTGGAACTTGGAGCCCTTGTAGCCCTGCGGCCGGCGGAGGTTGTCCTTGTGCTCGCCGGTGCAGAACTGGCGGAAGTTCTCGGCCGTCTTAGGGACGACGTCGGCGAAGAGCTCAAAGGTGATGCGGCCGAGGGGTTCACCTGTTTTTGGGTGGGTGAGAAGCAATGGTTAGTCTCTCTGTTGCTAATGCTCGGTCAACCGATATGCAGCAATCATCAAGGGTATGCACTGGTGCTATACTGGGGTTGGTCGGTCTCCGGAGACTGAGAGCGGGGCTTCCAGGTCCGGGTCCGGGTCCGGTCGTGGGTCTTGGGGCCGGGGGGTAACGGGAACGATGTCTGGGATTACATACCTCCTAGAGTGATGTCGAAGAAAACCCTAATGCAAGAACAGGATATATCAGCGTTGTGTCCACCTTGTTGTTATAGTTTTCCGAGGTTCGCTGGAGCATGAGTATGAAAAGACGCCTTTTTTTCATCTTGTAGTCACTGTGCTTTCGTACTGGCCAGTATAGAACCTCCACACTCGCTGCGAAGGCACTGGTCCAGGGTAAAGCGGTCTCTGGATAACAACAGATCGATGCCAACTTACAGGGGGTTTCCCGACTCCGGAAGCTGGGTGGGTGGCATCTTGGCTTTTGCCACAGGGTTGTTCGTTCTTGAGGATCGGCTTTGATTGAAGTCGGCCTCGCAATCGCTCTTCTTTCTACCAAGAAAATACTCTCTGCCCAACCAGCTTGGAACGAGAGACTAAGCGCGATGCAGATCAGGAACACGGACACGGTGGTCTGCGTGCGCGCGTCAAGTTGCTCCGGTTCGGGCTGCGATCGGCCGAGATTTTGCGGTGAGCTGAGCTGGGTGGGGGGAAAAAGCAAGGACCAGACGGAGTCTGCCCCGACCAAAGAACAATTTTAATCCCGGCGTTTCTGCCAGACATGCAGTGGAGGGGAGAGGGCTGGAAGGAACGAGCACACTACCTAGGTAGACTCCACTCCCCGGTCGATCTCCGGGCGCTAGACGACAAAGACGAGGTGCCTATTTTCAGCGCATCAGGGAACCTCAGTGAGCAAATCCTTGTTGAGCGTCGTCGGCAATGAAGAGAGGAGGAAGAATCAAATGGAAGTGCAAACGAAAACACATTTCATCACATTGTTCGATCGAAATACTTGTGCTATTGCTTGGTTTGATTGTGACAGAGTCAATGTGGCTAGCTCCGGGCACGCGCAGATCCAATGATCAGCATTGGGTGCCGTGGACCGCAGCTGTGGGGAGGGATGAGACACTGATCAAGGAACCCGACAGCAACGCACTGCAGTCAGCAGCAGCGGCTATGAATAGGTAAGCAGACGCAAGAGCGCACGCAAAAGCACAGTCGGGCGCTTGGTGCTGAATGGACGGCGCTTGTCGTGCATAGACAGTACTGCAAAAAGGGCCCGTCATGGACATAAAACCATACTATACTGATCAATAATCAGACCCGTCTCGAGGCTTTCTCTTCCGGCGTTGACACTTGCTTCTCCGTCGGAATAGGGTTGCAGAATTCAATTTCAAATCAGCGCGAACGAGCCAGCCTCATGGGGAAAGCCGCTTTGCGTCTAGCAGCAAAGATCGACAGGACGTGGTGTGGATGACCTTGAACGAACTTCAGCACCAGGAGCATGCACAAGATGATCTCATTCGCGGGAACTGGATCTTGGTGGTTGGAAGGATTGGATGGGGGTGGCTTCGTTCTGTCGCGCACGCCCCCTCCGTAGACATAGTGCTGAGGTGCCCCAGATTTATGACGGTGACAACACCCAGCAGATAAGTCGGTTCCTAGCGATATCGGGAGCGCACTTTGGTCTGCATTCAGGTGAGGTGTGAGCATGAGATTGATCAAAAAGTAAATCTTAAAGAAGAGGGATGCACGTGTCACGCGGTGGTTGCCAGCCAGCCAGAAGGGGTCCCTCAATTGAACTCTTGGCCATCATCCCGCTCACCACCCGGAGCCCTGGGTTCCGTGACGGTGGATGGGTGAGATCTGCTGACGCGTTACACCTTTACAGTGCCGGCTCTAGCGTATGCCGAGATATCACAAACACTCCGAGCAAGCCCGCCGGAGGAATTGATTCTGAGGCCCTGCGCCAGGAGTGATGACGGCATCATTGTCAAACGTATGAGTTGGCTAGTGAGGCTTACTGAGACCTCATACGGCGATGGAGTGATTATCTCGTGCTGCAGAGCGAGGCGGGGATATAGTACTATTGGCCACTTGCTCTACCTCATGGCCGTTTTCTCGTCGCATTTGCAAGAAGTGCGTGACAACTGGCTGATCAGCCCAGCCCTTCCCGGTGCTATACGCAGGTTGGTAGTCTACCGGCACCACCGGCACCGCCGGCACTCGTGGCAGACGGAAGCCACCAAAGCGTAAAACACACCACCGGGAATGCTTGGCACTGTCTACAACAGCACGAAAACATCGAATCTGTGCGTGGCTTTCCCCTCTCCTCTGGGCCATCTTGGCGTCTTATTGCAAAAGGCTAAAACAGAAGGCGCATCTCTCAGTGGCAAGGGTTGATAAGAAACAGCAAGAAAGCGGGGGAGACTGGACCAGAGGCTAGGTTGACTTGGCGTGATAATGTGCCTCTGATGCATCGCATCTGTTTGCATGTAGGGAGTTGCGGGACGCATGCACGATCCCCCGCACGAAGGCATCTCTTTCTCCGCTTTGAGAGATTTTGATGTCGACTGATGCAGTCTGGTGCGTATTGTACGCTCCGGACAAGACTCGGCAAACCCGCCTCGGTGGACACCGGCTTCCCCAAGAGGAACAGCAACCCCATCTATCATTAGAGTCTTGACCCTGAATGGAACAACCCTCAGAATAGTGACTAGGGCGAGTGACGATGTTCAAAGATGGCTGTCCGAGTGATGGTGCAGAGCAATAGCTGAGGGAACCGGGAAGGGAAGGTCAGTATCAATGTCCGCGGATCTGACGGACAAGTGCCGACCTGCTAAAGGAGGGAACTCCCCGAGCACTCAAACAACCCTCCTTATTGCTTGTACTTGTAATACGACTGGGTGTGGGTGTGTCACGAGCCGGTCGCAAGTTTGCACCTCTGGAACCAACTGCACGCGCAATCGTGGCGGCTTGGTTTCTTGGGACTTCTTGGCGCTCTTGGACCTTGATCTTTTGCCTTTTGGCTAGGACACCAGAAATTGAGCCCGGTGATGCTGCGTTGAACCTCTCATTGCAAGACGTCAAATAGTGACACGATGACGCGCGATGATCCTCTCAGAGACTTGTTTTTTTTGTGTTGGCGACCTGGCGCGACCACAAATCGCGACCAATCGTGGAGGAGCTGCCAACGAATCAGTACGCGATGGGGATCCCTTTTCGCAGCCACTTGCGCAGTGGGGTGGTACTGCAGCAGAGAGGTTTGGCGAGACGTGTGGACTACCTACGGTAGGTAGGTAGTTAGGTGTTCGTGATGTTTGCTCTCGATAGAAAGTCCCAACAATTGAAGACCCTGTGTGTGCCGGGTGTGTCTCGAAACTGACAGACGCCACCTGGCGCTCGCATTCATTGCTTCTTTCTTCGTTGATCAACAGCCAGGACTGCCGTGATGGTTCTGTTGACGAACAGCTAAATAGTGATCACTCCCTTCCAGGTTCCAAGTGTTACACGATGGCCATAGCGTGGTTGGAGACAGGGGCCAGCAAAACAGTCCAGGGGGGTTTTGAACCTGGACAGTGCCACCTCGCCAGCTCTGGCGGCTTCAGAAGAGCAGGGCAGAAACAAGCTTCTGTGGTGCACGGCGACCACCTTCGTATCGTTCCCATCAGCTACCTTCGCGGCCAGTTTCAGAGGCCCCCTTCTGTGCCTCCTCGACATGGGTGATGCGACGGTGGACTGCTTGTCAATTGCTTTAGGATATACCTCAATGCAAGTACTCCGTAATGCGTGTCTGCACTGAACACCACAGGGGGCTGCCCAAGAAAGAGGTAGGTACTTTTGTTCCCACCTGGGCCTGTCGATTCATTTGAGCGCTATTACTCGACACGCTCCATCGAAATCCTGGGGTGCATTTGTGATACCGATGGGTGATTGTCTGGTTCATACGCAGGAGGATGCGACCATTAACCGCCCTTTCTTTGTAAAGGGGTCGACTGTTGGCAACGGTAGTTTGAACCGTTGCGCATGAGCCCGCAATTCACCTACCCAACTTTCTACAATGTCGAGCACTCTTCACTTCTGCATGGCTCGATATAGCATTGCGGGTGACCGGGAGGCGCAAGATAGCGATGCATTGGTTTTTGAATGGGGGACGAGACAAAGGCGATAGAGTAGACACAAATTGCCACGGCACGACATTGGCTTTGCCTGCGGACAATACATTGTTGAGCATAAAGGTAACTACCTACCTCACTTGACTAGCCAGGCTTATTCAATTGTCCCGGTCGTCACGGATAAAGTTTTGGTGTCTGCTCCCCCCATCGCCTTGGATCTCCTTCGGCCAGCCTTGTTCATGAGTGAAGTCGCGGATACGCTGACCCAAAAAGTAAATGTCGTCGCATGGGCTTTCTCCTTCGAGCTGGCCACACTATAAAAGCGTCCTAGACAGCACTATTCAGATAGTTTCCACTCTCACCCCTCTCCAGAGTCTCGAGACACGCCCCGAGACGACGAGCAGGAGCGACTCAGGTTTGTCGCCCCACAGCTTGCCCACCCGCCAAACCATACGAATCGTAGTCCCGACCCCCCCAAATCGACCCTGATCCCTGCCGGCGCCGCTTCTTACGACGAGGAGCGTGGAGGGCCAAGTCAGCCAACCCGCCTGCCCGCCCACCAGCGAGAGACGTGCGGTCCAACTCAGGCGCCGTCGGCTTTAACTCGTTCCCTGTTCTGCTCCCCAATCCATTCCCTCTCCTGCCCTCCCGGCCTCCCTCCGCCCTCTCTTTTCCCACTGCACCGCCCGTTCTCCACACCCATAACCTCACCACCTCGCCTCCGCCCATTCCGTTCTTCTGCCTTTTCATCTTCATCGCTTCGTCCTGCCCCCCACAGCGACACGATTCACCTGCGAAGAAGAAGAAAAGAAGAAGGCCGGCCCCAATCGTCCTTTTTCGGAATCTCGAAACCGTTTAATGAGCAGACTGTGAACCCTGGATGGAGTCGTCGGATTGAATTGCAGGCAATACGGTTCCCTCTAGCGGCTAGGCTTTGAGTAGCCTCAGCATTCCATGGTTCGGGGCTCGACAGTACCATTCGAGAGGTCCTTCAGCCCATAGTCAGATCAACTTCATCGCCATGGCGATCATTGATCCCGCCTTTGTTCAAGGCGCCGCCGCCTTCGCTCGGCAGGTTGCCTCTGAGACCGTCAGCAGCGTGATCAACAGCGCGACCGATTCGTCTTCCGTGGTCTCTTCCTCGTCTGCGCCGGCTCCCTCGCCGACCGCTCCCTCACCACCGGCCTCGACCACGGACTCCCCAGCAAATAGTGCGACAAATAATCCCAATCAACCCCAAAATACCGGCCAAAGTTCGCCGCTGCTGTTCTTTGTCGCACTGGGGTTTGGTGTGGTCTTCACCAATCTATGGTTAGATACGCTCCTTGTTGAGAAGGCCCCTTCAGTTGGGCCTCCTTGAGTCGTCATATTAACACCGAGTCTCTAGGATCATCGTCGGCGTTAAATACTGCTTCCGATATAATGCCAGGAATCGGCAGATGCGGCTCAATGAGGATGGCGAACCGATCAACCTGGAGAATATGCCTCGGCCGCACAGGAGGAGGAGGGAGAAGAAACTCATGACCATGGAAGAGGTCAATGAGAAATTCCCGATGCTCAAGTACAAGAACTGGGTCGCTGGTCGTGCCCATGAGGGCCTTCCGACCCAGGGAGGCGTCTCGACCCCGCCAAGCCGAGCCAACAGCGTGCGATCCGTTGATGGAGTCGTTCCGGAACTACCGCCCAAGGAGCACGAGTCCACAGAGGACCGGCCTGCGACAGCTGCGACAGCCAAGGACAGCCATCGGGACTCGACCTCTGCGAACCAGCTCGATAGGATACCTACGGCTGCCGATGTGCAGCCCGCGACGACCACTGCCCAACCAGCTGTTGCGTTACCCAAGGTCACGACCAGGACGTCTAGTTTCGATGAAGATGACGATGATCACATCGATGCTGCTTTGCCTCCAGAGATGATGGACGCCCCGGGTGATACCTGCGCCATCTGCATCGACTCTCTCGAAGACGATGATGATGTCCGAGGCCTGACCTGCGGGCACGCCTTCCACGCTGTCTGCCTTGATCCCTGGCTTACGAGCCGCAGAGCCTGCTGCCCGCTGTGCAAGGCCGACTATTATGTTCCCAAGCCTCGACCTCAGCCAGGCGAGGGCGGAGACGGGACGACTGGTGTCATCCAAGTCACCCTGAATGAGAACGGTCGCAACAGAATGCCTTCCAGACCGCAGAACTCATGGTTCGGTCTGCGCGGCAACGGTCGGTTCTTCCCCAGCCGCAATAGGACCACCACCAATAGCGACAACGCTGCCACTGTCCAGGGCACGCCGGCTGAGCAACCTGCTGGTCAAGAGGCGGCGGCGCAACAGGCTCCGACACAACAGGCTACTCCGGAGCGACGGGGCGGACTTTTCAGCCGAGGCCACCGCCACCGTCAAGCGGATGCCGGAGCCGCGCCAGCTGCGTCCACATCGCCCGAGGTTCACACACAGCCCTCCAGCAACTCTGGTGGAATGCTCGGTGGCATCACTTCGCGTCTCCCGGGGTTCAGGTCCAACCAGACCCAGCAGCAGGTTCAAGAACCAGAGCAGGTCGCTTCCAACACCGGCCCGGAGGCCACAAATGCTCAACCCACTCCGTCTCAACTTGAGGCTGGCGTGCGTTAATTGCAAAGCCTCGAGGCCCCACCACATTTGAGGTGCTTTTTCTGAGCATCAGCATACTGCCTTGCTTTTACTCTCTCGCCATTATCATGCACATAACACCCTCACCCATATATCTTCGCGCACAGTGTCTTGTAGGGGCACGACCGCGTTTAGAAGTCAAGCCGGAAGATGAAAAGTCTCTTCTGGCGCAAGGAAACGATCTGCATAGAGAACAGATCGTCGGGCCACAATCATCTCTCTCTCTCTCCCTCTCTCCTTTTTGTTTGTCTTTCTTATACAGCGATACCTGTAGTACACGATAAGTGTCTGATTTGAATTTTTCAAGTTGGGGGGAGTCTGTGGAAGGATGGGGGACGGCTCGCATTCAGGATGCACAGCAGGGTGGTTTTACGGCCTGATTTTCTCATTTGCAATGCCGTGCGAGGAAACGGATATCAGCATCTGTTCCATGGAAGGAATATCATTGGAGTTATAGGAAAGAGGCGGCGTCTTATCCGGCATTTAGTCACTGGGGACGCTCATGAAATGCATCTAAGTTTCGGATAACCCCTGTGCTTATCCATTCACATTGAGTGACTCATTGAGTGACTTTGTGTGCGCGCAAGGTGCGCTTGACTCTCTTCATCGAAAGGTGCTCAATACCTACAAGTAGGTGCCTATAAGTATTTACCCTTCTGAAACCTGCCTCCAAAGTCAGCCGCCTGGTTAAGCAGCTGTCGTCGTTGTGTATGGTTGATCCGGCCGCCCAGCGCCATGTCCTTCTCCTTGTCGAAGGCACGCTTGCTCGGGTCGTCTTCCTCCTCGCCGTCCCTGCCTAGCCGGCTACCGCCCTCTCGATCAGCCTTGCCCTCCTTCCGAGCAGTCTGGTGCTCCTCATACAGGCTCTTGCCTCTCGTGGCTTCGGTGTACGCGCGCACCCTCGCCTCTTGCTCCTTGCGATCGCTGCCGCCATTGCGCGCGGCGGCGGCAGCAGCAGTGCCGACCGAGGGACCCCGCTGTTGCTGCGGGTCGCCGCCGCGGCCGAGCACCGCGTCGGCTAACCTCTTGGCCTTTTGCTCGGGCGTCTCGGTCCATATGGAGCTTATGCCGCCGTCTGCTCCCGAAGACGACGCGCCGGCTGCGCGGCCGGTCGCGAACTTGCGCGCCTTGAGCTTCGTCGGGTCCGGGCCGCTGCTGGCGGCGCCGGGCGCGAGCATCCAGGAGTCGCGCTGGGGCGCGGAGGACGCTGCTGCTGCTGCTGCTGCTGCTGCTGCTGCGGCTTGTTGATGCGACTGGGCGGCGGAGCGCTGGGCGCTGCGCTGGGTGCCGGGGAGGGCGGGGCCGTAGTCTGAGTCTGAGTCGGAGTCGGAGCCTGGGTCTGGGTCTGGGGCTTGCTCGGGGCGCGTGGAGAGGTCTGATGGTGGGAGGGAGGGGCCGAGGACGCGCCGCGTCGGGGGCGGGAGCGTTGGGCCTATGGATCTGGGTTGTGCGGCGGGTGCTGGTGCTGGTGGTGCAGGACCGGTATCGTCGTCGTCCGAGTCGTCGAGGTCGATCTCGTCTTTGTTGTTTGTGCTGGTGGGTTGTGGGGGTAGTGCTGGTCCTATGGATGGTCTGGCTGTGGCTGGGGCAGGAGCAGTGGCTGGCGCTGCTGCGCTCGGGCCGTAATCATCGTCGTCCGAGTCGCTTTCGAGGTTGATCTCTGCGCCGTTGGGCCGGGGGTGCTTGCTCGGTCGCCTGTCGGCCGGTGCGCCTGCTTCGTCTTCTTCTTCTTCGCTTGCGCGCTTGCGCTTTGGAGATGAGGGCGGTAGCTGGGGGCCGATTGAAGGCATGGCGTAGGTTGCTTGGTCGGAATACCACCTTGTGTGCGTGTGTGGGTGTTGTGGAAGTTGCCCGGGGTTTGTTGAAGATGCGACTCTGAAGTCATAGCACATGGTACCTTATGGCCCATCAAATTGTTATCTTATCCGGATCATTCATTGGCCCGCATTACGATGTGCAGCACCAAGCACAGCACGCGCTCCACAGCGCACATGGCCCCAGCCGGTGTTAGTTAGCGAGGCCCCATCACCTGGACTAGATATAAGGTAGGTAGTTAGGTAACAGCTACCCCCCAGGTTCCCAGTGGCCCACTGAAGGAACAGCATGATGACGGTGCGCACATACGCGTTCTTGTGAGAGGGCAATTGTATAGTTCATTCAGAGCAGAGCGCATTGCCTCCTGAGCCTCTAGATCTCTTGCTTTCCTCGTTTACCAACCCAAAGAGCCTCGCCGATAGGAGAGAGCGACGCAGCAGGCTGACCAGCCCACCATCCGCGCTGTCCCGGGCCACCCACCGAGCTCCAGCCGTATCGCGCACTACGCCTCCAGCCTCCGAGCCATGCATGAGAGAGCCGCACAAAGATAAGGATTTGTCGTTCGGAGCTGGAGGAGGATAATGGCCCAGCTGTCGCCATGGACGACGAAACAGATCTTCCTCCGCCCGGGAGCCCGAGCTCCAGCGATGAGGAGACCGTGAAGGGGGATAAGGAGGAGGACCATACCATTTCCGACATGCTCGAGGAGGAGATACAGTCGCCGTCGACCCCTGTAAGATTCGAGAACGGGGCGAGCTTGAACCGCTATCACAGAGTGCTGGACGAGCACTCGGACCTTGCTTCGCAGGATGGCTCTATGGACGGTTTGCCGAGGCGGGTCCGCAGTCCAGTTGACTCCTTGATGTCCATTCCCGATGACTCCCCGTCGGTACAGGTTAGTCTCTGATTACTTGCCTGTCAATGTATCTGGCTGATTCATCCTCCAGGGCTCGGTGGTATCCTCGCCAAGTAGTAGCGTCCTTCCGTCAGTGGCTTCTCGTCCGGGGTTGAACAGCCCGACGCCCTCTTTCAGACCATTCGACAGGAGGTTCTCGGCCCGTATAGCCTCACCTAGCATCCTGTCACCACGCCCGTCGTCACCAGCCTTTCTCTCGGCACACAGCCGAAACGCCTCGTTAAGCAGCCAATTCTTATTCGACCAAGGCGATACCGAAAGTCCGTCTCCACCATGGGAGGTTGTACGGTGGACAAAGCTAAGAAAGTTGAACGGCCAGGCGTTCTCTGAAGCTGGCAAGAGGAACTTTGGGTCGCCGACATGTATAGCGGTGTCGGCATCGATTGTCCTGGGAACGTCAAAGGGCATAATCCTAATGTTTGATTACAACCAGAATCTGAAAATGATTCTCGGACCGGGGACGAAAGGTACAGTGCTTCTACTTCTAATGCGATGCTGAACTCTTACTAACCAAATATACAGCTGTGGAATCGGGCTCGATCACATCAATCGCGATCTCTGCTGACCACAGTACCGTCGCCGGGGGCCATGCCAACGGCAGCATCTTCACCTGGGACACAAGCCGAGCGTCGAGACCATTTCTCCACATACCACACCTCGATCCGTCTCAACTGACGAATCGAATTCAGGACGGGCACTTGCCTAATGTTGCGATTACTAGTCTGGGTTTCCTGGGCACTAGACATACTGCCTTGGTCTCGGCTGACGACCGGGGGATGGCCTTCTCACATCTGGCCACCCGCGGGACTGGCTCGCTAGGAAGGACTGTCAAGACGACCCGGATTCTTGGGCGCTACCCGGGATCGCAGCCACCTTCAGCGAAAGCCATCAAACCTAGCACCGTGCTGGCGTTTGCGTCCCTTCCACTGGGGAATATCGAACGTGCGTCAGACAGCATGGGCCTGACAGCAATGCTCACTCCTTATCTCCTGGTCATTGTGTCGACGACTCCTGTGGCCAATACTCAACACAAGTCTCCTCGGCCGAAAGAAGTGGCGCCGCACAGCGCTATGAGCGGGTGCCTGGCCTGGTTTCCCGCAGTCAAGTTGAAGACGCCCGACCCGAAGACTGGCAGCCAGATTTCGAAAGTGAAGCTTGTCTACTGCTGGTCCAATGTTCTGACGGTGCTCGATGTCGACGAGATACCAGCGGAGGACAAAGATAAGCCCCCAAGCCTGACCTTCAAAGCTAGGAGTCGGTGGAGGTGCGAGGAAGCCATAGTAGCGGTGCAGTGGCTCAGTCGCTCGGTCATCGCGGTCCTGACCATCTCGCAAAGGTTGATTGTCATAGAGGACCAGAGCATGCGCATGACCGAGGCTTTCGATTTGATCCACAAGTATATCTACCATGCCGACCTGTTCTCCAAGCAGCTGCACGCCTTGGTCGAGCAACTAGACGAGGAGGACACCTCTATGCACGGAGTCGTGGCTGATGCTTTCTCCATGAGCTTCAAGACGTACAAAGGCCGCATATTCCTCCTGGGCTTCAACGACGTTTCTATTGGCTCGTTGTCAAATTGGGCTGATCGACTCATAGCTCTGATGGAAAATGGAGACTATATGGGGGCCATCCAGCTGGCGACGTTATACTACACCGGCGATGCCGACAAGCTTACAATCGGGCTGCCAGAGGACTCCGAGCTTCGTCATTCCATGGTTCAGGAGAAGCTTATGGAGATTATGAGTGCTTCCTTGAAGTACGCCTTCAATCAGAGGCAGAAGAACCCAGCCAAAATAGACGACAGTCACCTCCAGGAGCTAGCACAGGCCTGTTTCGTGGCCTGCCAGAGTGTTGGAGATGTCGACTTTCTCTTTGATGAAATGTATGAGTGGTTCGAGGAGGGAGGTGTGGAGGGGATCTTCTTGGAGACCCTCGAGCCTTACATTCTTGACAGGACTGTCACAGTCGTACCGCCAGCTGTTGTCAAAGCTCTCGTTACTCACTTCGTGACGAGAGGCTGGGAGAGCCGTCTGGAAGATCTGATCTGCCAGATGGAGACGGCAACTTTGGACCTGGACGAGATTACGACACTTTGCAAACAGCACGGGCTCTACGATGCACTCATCTACGTGTGGAATCAGGCCATGAACGACTTCATCACGCCTCTGATTGATCTGTTGACGTTACTTGTCCCTCATATGCAGGACGGAGAGTACGTGGCGGGAGACGAGATGGAACAAGACTTCTACGCCATGAATGCCTTCAAGATATTTCCTTATCTGTCCTACATCCTTACAGGACGTGTCTATCCGACCGAGGAGCACATGCCGGAGGATGTGCAAAGCAAGGCCAAGGCCGAGATCTATTGGTTTCTCTTCTCAGGGAAGACAATTGCATGGCCCAAGGGGAGTGAGAACCCATTCCGCACCAGGCCTGCAGAAGCCAGTGAACCTTCTTTTCCGTACCTACGGATGATACTCAAGTTTGATGCCGCGAGTTTCTTGAGCTTGTTGAACGAGGCATTCGAGGATCCATTTCTCAACGAGTCCCCCGAGAAGCATTTGAACGGCGGGGCCGGCAGAGACCTGCCAGAAGAGCAAATCTTCGGGCTGACCGTGGACAGGCAGTACATCGTCTCCATTCTCCTCGAGATTATGAATCCCGCGGATTTCGCCGTCAATGCTACCATCTACCTCGACATGTTTATCGCCCGCAATCTCCCGACCTACTCGCAGTATCTGATTCTGCCAGGCTCAACATTGACAAAGGTGCTGACCGGTCTTTGCAACTATCCCGGCAGCGACCTTGCTGAAGATGCTCAGCTGAGTGCGGAGTATCTCCTCTCAGTGTATCAGCCCCCGGATATTGCCGCCCTTATTCCACTCTTCAAGCAGGCCGGTTTCTACCGTATACTGAAGCGGATATACAAGCATGATGAACAGTACGGGAAGCTGCTTGAAACCTACTTTGAGGACCCAGACGATCGCGAGTCGACTTACAAGGCTATCGCCGACTGTCTCCATCCCCAGACGGGTTTGTCCAAGAGACAATTGCATGATGTTCATCAGGTTATCCGCGAACACTCGCGTGAGCTTGTCGAGTTCGACCCAATCGAGTCTGCAAAGACACTGGGACGATTCGCCCCCGAGTTGCATCCGCATGTCTTGCAAACGGTGTCCGATGAACCCTCCTTGCAATTCACCTACCTCAGGACTATTCTCGAGCCAGAGGATGCACATGCCCCGGCTGTCAAAGGAGATAGGGATTTGATTGAGCAGTATGTTCGCTTGATGTGCGAGTTTGACTCTGCACATGTTTCCCAGTACGTGGGTCTCGTTCAGTCGACCGATCTACGCCTTGACCAGCTGTTGCCGACAATGGAGAAGACCGGCGTGGTTGACGGTGCTGTTATCTTGATGGCTCGTGAAGGCCAGATCCAAGAATCCATGGGCCGCTTGATCAAGCATCTGCATACGCTCGAATCGGCATTGCAGGGTCTCTTCGCCGGCAAGGAATCGGACGAGACTGATCTCCCCAGTGCTACCGAAGACCTGATCAAGGCTCTGCAAAAGTACGTCCATGTAGGACTGTGGCTGTGCCAGAAGCAGACAAAGATGCACAAGGGCATTGGGATCCAGACCCGGCACGAGTCATCGAGCAATGAAGAACTGACACCCGATGAGAATCTCTGGCTGAGTTTGATCGACACAACAGTTCAAATCACACGCAATATCATGCCAGCAATCCAGTCGGCGCCCTCTAGGAGGCGTCGACCGTCAAACGCTTCGGGGGCCTCCGACGATGTAGACTTTTCGCAGAAAGGGATCGACACAGATCAGCTCGTTGCCCTGTTGCGGACCATCGTCCAGCACACTTTCACTGCACTGCTTACAGCTACTTCATCCCACACAGCGCCTCAAGGGCCCGCAAACCGAACTGCATCGAGCTCGGCCAGCAATCTCTCGTTCCTCCGGATACTGAGAGCCTTTCTGACCAGGGCGGCCGAGTCTTCTCCAAGTCTTGCCGATCTGCGATCTGTCATTTCATCCATCTTCTCAGCCTATGCCTATGAAGAGTCCATATTGCAACTGTCTAACCGGCTGCTCGAGCGCAGCCTCTTTGTCAATGTGAAGAAGGCAGTCGAGCTTCGGCAGCGGGGCTGGAGGGCAAAGGGATCTACGTGCGAGGCCTGTGGGCGCCGAGTCTGGGGGCCGGGCATACAGGGCAATGTCTACGAGGCCTACGAGCGGAAGCAGACGCAAGATCAGGAGCGGCGCGCGGCGAGGAGGGCCTTGACCAGAGGGCTCAGTGACGACAGAGGGAAGGGCAAGGCCGACGGCAGCGGAGATGTTTCGGACGGCGAGGGCGGAGGAAAGGGCAAGGGGAAAGCGGCCCATGGCAGTCAAGATGGAAATGCCGCGAGTGCAGGCGAGGCGGCAGGGGAGCACGATGGGGATGGGCAGGCGAATGGTGGCACTGTAGAGCCCGCTGCGGCCAAGGACCAGGGTTTGGGCCCGCTGGTGATATTCGCGTGCAGGCATATCTATCACAGGAACTGCCTCGAGGCCATCCGAGCGCAGAACGAGAGCAAGCCGGGCGGCCGGAGGTATTCGATTGACTTTGGTGGGAAGGAGAGGGAGTATAGGTGTCCCATTGATGGATGAAGCTCGGGATGAAGCATCAGCCAATGTTGTAATGTAATTACTTTGTACGAAAGCGGATAAATCCGCTCGCTCCCGGGAGAACAGAAGGATCTATTTGGGATCATGCCATTCAATGTTCTCCTTATATAACATGGACACTGTTCCAGAGGATGGAAAGTGCCGAACGAAGCCCAGCATCCAATCATGAATTAGCGGACTTGATTGCCACCATTCAGCGCGGTAGTTACCGCTATCATGCACGGATCTCCACTAAATTACCGTGGGCAAAAGCTTACCACTGGAGCTAATTAGCGGCCTAGGAACTTATCAATATCACCTGGGCTCTGTTTGCGAGATTGTATCACTTCAAGGGTCGAACAACAAAACCGCGACAGCCATTGGCCCTCCGGAACATGAGCGCGCAATGTCGATGAGCTCCGAAGAGGACGACCGGCTCCTCTCAGAAAACCAGTCAGACGACCGCTCGCTGGACTCGAGCAGCGGGGACGACATCAGCGACGGCGAGGATGACGTGCCTCCGCCCCCCCTGACGCACAACTTTGCGCCGCCCTTCTACGGGCGGCCGCCGACGCCGCTGCCCCCTTCGCCGTCGCTCACGTCGCTGCTGCGGCCGTCGCGCCCGACGACCCCGGACGCGTCGGACGACGAGCTGGAGCCGGTGCCGCGCGCGTCGCCCAAGGTGCCGACCTACGAGTACTACGGCTTCGTGCTCTACCTCTTCTCCTCCTTCACCTTCCTCATGTACCTGCTCTGGAGCTACCTGCCGAGCCCCTTCCTGCACGCGCTGGGCATCTACTACTACCCGAACCGGTGGTGGTCGCTGGCGATCCCGAGCTTCCTCGTCATGCTCATCGTCTACATCTACGTCGCGCTGGCGAGCTACAACACCGAGATCCTGACGCTGCCCCTGAGCGGCGTCGAGACCATCGTCGACGACGCGGCGAAGGTGGCGGTCGTGGACTCGCGCGGCCGGCTGAGGCACTTCAACAAGGGCGGCGGTGGGGGGAACAACGCTGGGGCGAACGGCGGCGGGCAGCAGAGGAGGAAGAGGGACAAGCAGAGCCGGGAGGAGAGGAGGGCGGAGAGGGCGAGCAGGAGGGGAGAGCTGGACTGGAAGTCTTTATGGAACGAGGGCACCGACGCGGTCATGGATGTGCCGCTGGCTGGTGTGTGCGAGGTGCTCTACGGCGGTATACAGGACGATGAAGATGAGGTCTTGTGATGATGAGAAACTAGGTAGACCGATGCATCAATAGAGGTCGCCATTTTGTCATTCTGCTGTTTCCACAGATATTGGTCCCGTCCCCATCATGGAAATGAAAGCGTGCACAAAATCACAGTAAATGCACTTGACTTATACTGGGCTTTCCAGAGCTGGGCGCTGGCGGCCAGAGCCCTGTAAATGGGGCAGAAGCCACTGTAGTTATCACTTGGAGGATAAAAGCACACGTCTCACCTAATTTTCGGGCTAGACCCATGCATCAATACAACCACCAATTGCCCCTACATTTTCAGCCCCAAGGCTCTACAGGTGGTGCTCTCTAGCGCTTGATACAGTGGCTCGAGTGGCTATCAAGATCAATCATCTCACTGAAGCAACTGTGCTCGGAGTTACTTCGGGCCGCTCCACTTCGCATTCTGACACTCAAGTTTGAGCTGAAGGCAGGAACGATCTCGCCGACCAACCAAATCGCGCGACAGGCTTGGAGCTTCCCTCTGCAAAACGCGACTCGAAATATTCCGTCACAACCTCGCATTCAACCATCGCGCGCGCATCGCGACCTCAACGATCTGCCTTATCTCAACCAGCCAATTGATCTGGGATCGAGCTCATCGACAGCGACAAGATAGCCAGCATGGCTCAACAGCAACCCCTCTCGTCCGCAGTCCCGCCGACTGACATCTACGGCGGCGGTTCGTCTCACCCTTGCCTCGATAGAGTCGATGAAGAATGATTTGCGTACTGACCCCGTGTTTCCGCCTGTATAGATGAGGTTTCTGCCCTCGTACTCGATCCGGGTTACTGCAACACACGCGCCGGCTTCGCTGGCGAGGATGTTCCCAAATCGGTTCTCCCTTCATTCTACGCGCACATAGGCAGCGGCGATTCCGCTCGCGATGTTTTCGGCGACGAAGTGCTTCAACCCCGCGAGAATCTCGAGGTCCGCAACTACATGAACCGCGAGAGCGTTGTCGAGGATTGGGATATGGCGACCGCTATGTGGGAGAACATGCTCATCAAGCGCCTTCAGCCCGACCGCCTGCCCGCCCTGATCGCATCCCGGCGCGCCAACGGCCACATCAACAAGACATCACCCAAGCCCGCCGCCACAGCAAACGAGGGAGGCGATGCTGCAGCCGCCACTAACGGTGACGGCGACGTCGCCATGGAGGATGCTGAGGCGGCCGCAGAGGCGCTGGAGAAGCCCCTGGCAGAGAACCCTCTGCTGATGACGGAGGCGCCGTGGAACAGCGGCAAGGCCCGCGAGAAGGCTATCGAGATTGCAATGGAGAGTTGGGGATGCCCCGCCTTCTGGCTGAGCAAGACGCCGGTTCTGTCGGCGTTTGCTGCGGGCAAGGCCACCGCCCTGGTGATTGATGTGGGCGGTGCTAACACATCGGTAACGGCGGTTCATGACGGAATGGTACTCAAGAGGTCTATCCAGAAGTCGCACGTTGGTGGTCTTTGGCTCTCATCGCAGATCAGAGCTATGTGGGAAGCCAACGACCCCAAGATCGAGGTCACCCCGACCTACATGGTTGAGAACAAGACCCCGGTTGATGCTGGCGCCGCCGCGCAATTCAGGCTACGGTACTATCCCTTTGAAATCTCAAGTTCTTATCGCGCATACGAGGAAGAGCGCGTACTCACTGAGTTCAAGGAGTCTGTTGTGGAGGTCTGGCGGGGTCCCGGCCGGTACAACAACGTTAACAACGAAGAGTTTGTCAAGTCGCAGCCCGGTCGAGTCTTCGAGATGCCCGATGGCTACAACCAAATGTGGCGCGAGCAGCGCTTCAAGGTCTCGGAGGGCATGTGGGACGAGACGGCTGCCTATCCCATCGGCGAGGAGCGCCTAGCAAAGAGTCAGACGATCCCCGAGCTTATCAAGGCATCTCTGAACGGTGTCGATGTCGACCTACGTGGCAACTTGCTTGCCAACGTTGTCGTCACTGGCAGCACCAGCCTGCTCAACGGCTTCAACGACCGGCTCAACAACGAGCTCCAGGCGGCCAACCAGGCCCAGCGCATCAAGCTGCATGCCGCCGGCCTCACGACCGAGAGGCGCTTCGGAGCCTGGATTGGTGGTAGCATTCTTGCCAGTCTCGGAACGTTCCACCAGATGTGGATCTCGCGTAAGGAGTACGAGGAGAACGGAGCTGGCATCATCGAGAAGCGCTGCAAATAAATGGGGTGTTTCCGGACGGGAGCTCCCTTTTTCGGTGCCCGAGGCGTTTGTGCTTTGGGATTCACTACAAGTCTTATGGGGGAGAGTTACACGCCGTATCGGCTAATTTGTGTCGTTTTAGACAGGGGTTGGAGCATTCAGGAGTCTGGAGTTTACGTGGGACCTGGTGGCTGGCGGGAGCTTCTTCAGAACAAGAATAGGAATATAAAAGTCAATTCTCTGCCAGGTCCTATGACCTCGTCGAATGAAGTATCTTGCTTGCGGGCATACACTTCCCTCTGTGTTGATCCCCCTTCGGTTTGCTGAAGTCGGGAGGTAACTTTCAAGCATTGTTTTTTCTTTTGGAGTACATCGCATTACCACCCTCTCCATCTCTCCCAAACATCAACAATCTCATCTTCTCTGCCTTTCAATCGGCTGTCGACGACGAGATACCTGTCAAACATGGCGCCGGCGATGCACGCATGGTTGGGCCACACCCGGACCCTCTGTCCTACGCGCAGCGGTGCCTCGTCGCCGGGGGCGCCGCACCACGCCAGCGTGCCGTGCTCCTGGCTGATCCGGGCCACCTCCCAGCCGCCGTGCGCGTGCGGGAACTCGCACCCGGGCCAGATCTGCACGTGCCTTTCTACCTCTTCTTCTTCTCCCTCCTTCTTCTGCCCACCACCACTCGTAGTAGTTGAAGAAGAAGATTCGCCCTTTGCCTGCTGCCGCCAGGGCATCAGGATCCCCCAGCCGGCGTAGTCGCCCTCGCCGTCGACGCTCGCGTCCCGGCACGGCTCCCGCCCGAGGGCCAGGCTCCCCGCGTTGATGAGCGCCTCGGCCGTGCCGTCGTAGCCCCTGCCCGGGTAGACCGAGGCCACCTCGGCCAGCACCGTGAGCGCCAGGTCCGACGCCGCGAGGCCGCGGTCCTCGGAGCGCGCGTGCGTGGCCAGCTGCTGCAGGTCGAGGAGCGGGTACACGCCCGCGTGGACCTCGAGCGCCGCCGTCGAGGGCGAGGAGCGCAGCTCGGCGATGAGGGTCTCGAGCTCGGCGGGGCCGGAGCCCGGCAGGTCCGACTCGTCGCCCTCACCGGGCGTCGTCGTAGCCGCCGTCGTGTTCTCCTCGCGCAGGTGCGGGTGCTGGAGCGACGTGGCCGTCGGCGTGGCGCCGGCCGACAGCACGAGCGGGAGGGGCTGCTGCTGGGACCGCCTCCGCTGCTGCTCGCGCACGTCGGCCGCGACGTCGCGCAGGGCGAAGAGCTCGGCCGCCAGGTACTCCATGGCCTCCCACGTGCGGCGCGTGGCGTACGAGTGGCCCGCGTGCGCGTACAGCCCCGCGAGGCGGCAGGCGCCCTCGTCGTGCGCGGCGAGGAGCCGCGCCACGAGCGCGCGGCAGGCGTCGGAGCGGGGGATGACGCCCGCGCGGTTGTTGCCCATGTTGATCTTGAGGAAGGCGTCTACGGCGGTGCCCGAGCGCCGGATCGCCGCCAGGCTGGGGATCTGGTCCGGGTGGTCGATGAGCACGGAGACGGCGCCCGGGCCGAGCTCCGACGCCAGGGCGGCTATCCTGCTGACGCAGGAGGGGAACAGCGGGAAGGAGTAGAGGACCTTTTTTTAATCGTTGTAAGTGCAATTCAAGGGTCAAGGGATGGATGGGGCTTGGATGCTGTTTTGTGGAAATGTGAGGCACCAAGGGATACATACGTTGACTTCGCGACCATTTTCCTGGTACTCTTTGAGCAGAGGCAGGAGCTTCTCGGCTTCGAGGAGAGTCGATACGATGACTTTGACGGGGGTGTCATTCTTGTCCCCAACCTGCAACCTTGTGATCTCGATTGTCTACATGTTGAGCGAGGTGCATATCGTCAGCACTTGAATAATATGCTTCCTTTATATCAAGGAGTTGAAAACCGCCAGGTCTCGACAGATTACAGCTGCGCCTACTCACCTTGTGGCTCTTGACGTGTGCCCGCCAGCCAATGTTGAGCTTCTCGACGGCGTCCAACATGCGCTGACAATTGGCTTCGACTTTTGCGCGGTCGAGAACTGCACAAGGTGTGGGAACTTCTCCGAGTGTTTTCCCTACATAGCGCTTCTCAATCGCTTCGGGAGAAGTTGGCCGTGTCATGATCAATGTTCTTTTCTGTGAGAGACTACATGCGTTGTGCGTAACGTGTGCGTTGGTCCAGGTCAACCAACCATAGTATGAGCATGGGATAGTTACTTGTGACAAACAATGGCAATGCCATGAAGCAATATGATGCTAAAGTCCCTATAATAGCAAGATCACATTGTTTGAACTACCTTAAGCACCCACTCACCGGCCAATTAAACCCGTCATATTTGATGGGTGTTTCTCATGTATCTCATATTGGAACCGTACGATACCCTTGACGTCAAGTTAGCGTAATCGACAACAGGCCACCGCAATGAGGGGTCACGCCCAAAGTAAGACACTGGCTGGCTCGTTCAACTAGGGTACAGCTAATCCAAGCCATTCATTTGCGACTGTATCATTGAGCAACCCGATCATGGGCTGATACGATGGTTTTAAAAACCACGAGAAGCAAATGCAATTCGATGCCGCACTATGTAGCAATAAAAGCCAATGAAAAACGCCCTACATCAATGCCCATAACGCCATCCCATATGTGATGATAAAATCCCTTTGTAAAGCAAGTAAACGCCGCCGGACCTTTAGCAGAAGCATCATGTCATCTGAGCTGTCGCTTTTCCCGTGAAAACCCAAGGATATCCCAAAAATGCCTGTTCGTCTCTTCAAAAGGTAACTTGTCCAACAAATGAAATGCAAGCTCGTCATGCTACGAAGAAACAAAGTGCCGAGCCAAGGCATGAAGAAGCAGAAGAAAAAGAAGAAGCAAATGCCCATTACATCCGAACTAAAGAAAGGTAGGCGTCCTACGCGTCAACCTTGGCACGCTTGGCTTCGTTCCCCGGCTCCAGAGGGTCTGAAGCTGGCTCACTTGCGGTGACATCGGGGCTCTTCCTTTTGTTGGTATTGGACGGCGTCGGAACGGCAGCATTGTTGTCGTCGCGCAAGAAGCTGGGCCCAGTGCCCACCACCGGCGTGGCGAAATTCAGAGGGCTAGGCAGAGTATTGCTGTCGCTCCCGCGAAAGTTCCACTCCGGGTAGAAGCTGCTCGGGCTGGGGAGAAATTCATTGTTGAGAAAGCGAGACGGGAGTGCCGAGACAGGGGTATCAATGTTCATGTTGCTGGACTGATGAGGAGGGGGGCGCGCAAAGGGGTTGGGAGGCCCTGTAGCGCCCGCCGAAAGCAGTGTTGTTGCTGAAGGAGATGGTGGGGGAAGAACCATGCTAGAAGAGTGAGAGTCGGTGTTCCGACGCGTGGTCTGAGAAGTTGCATCGGTGGAAGTCCCTCGGGGTGAAGAGGATTCCGCCGTCGCGCTGGCTGCTCCATCTGACGGCTCGTCGGGGATTTCGACCCTGAGCCGAGGACGAGCCGCGCCGCCAACGCGGAGACTATTTTGCCTCGACGGAGGCGTAAAGGTCGTTTCGGGTATAGAAGCCATAGTAGTCCGAGGCTTCGGTATAGTCTGGGCGGTATCAGCACGCTTCGGAAGCGGTGGCGAGGTGGTAGTGGTGTTATTACGTGTTACGCTGCCCACATCCACCGACTGCGACCGATTTGCGCCGGCGTCGCCCTTTGACGCCTCATGGTCGTGGAAAGCCGCCAGGTGCTGGGCCAGAGAAGAGCGGTTCTCGTCGATGGGCGTGAAGATGCTGTGCTGCTTGCGCTGCGGCAGTTTCTTCACGTCGGTCGTCAAGAGAGGCGGCTGAGGAGGTCGCTGTGGGACCATGTCCGTCTTTGGCTCTACGGGAGCAGGCGCTGGCGGCTCCCTGATCTGCGGCACTGGGGGACTGGGGATCTGCTGCTGCTGGGGTTGAGGCGGAGACGAGTGAGGAATCGGCTGCTGGGGCAGCTGCTGGACGTGGATCTGGGGCGGCGATGCCGAGTGCCGGGCCAGCTGGGGTGGCTGGGGTGGACCGCCTTGTGGATGCGCTTGGGGAGGGAAGCTAGGAGGCATGGACCGTCGCTGCTCCTCCATGTACTGTTGCATATGGGGAGGTTGCGCCTGAGGCGGCGGGTATGGGTATTGCGGACCAGGCTGGGGTATTCCATGGGGCACGCTGGGGGGGTTTTGCGGGTTGTAGATGGCAGGCTGAGGCATGTAGGCAAAGCCGTTCACGGGAGGGCCTTGCGGCGGTGCTGGAGGCCCTCCGGGTTGGACCATCCTGTGCATGTCGTTCCTGGATCCCGGGCGAGAACCCATCTGGGGTTGGGGAGTGTGGCCCCTCGGCGCTGCGTGTTGCGCAAAGACCATGCCATTGGGGATTGGAGGTGAGGCCGAGGGAGTGTGGTGGCGGAGGTGTTGAAATGGCGGCTGGCCCTGGAACTGCGGCGGCATCATGGCCTGGTCCATCACCTCGGGCTGGGGAGGAGTGCCTTCCTCATCCTCGGATCCGTCGTCTGCGCCGCCGTTGAAGTCGGATGGTCCTTTGTGCTCATTTGGACCGCCATGCTGGGGAGAGGCGATAGTCAGTTCCTGTGGCAAGAGAGGCAGTAGCAGGGACGCCTTACGTAGGTGTAGCGGGTGATGAGATCGCGCATGTCGCCCGAAGAGTACTCGTAGAGCTTCTTGTTGCTGCCGAAGATGAAAACAGCGACATCGACGGAGCAGAGAACCGAGAGCTCGTGGGCCTTCTTGAACAGGCCGCCTTTTCGCTTCAGAAAGGTGCTGCGGGAGACCGGACGGGTTAGTATACAATGCGCGACCATCGGGTGGGATATCAAGAGAGCTGAAGGGCTTACACAGAGCGGTTCCTGTCGTCCTTGATGGCCTTGATCTCGATCTTTCTTCGACCCATCTTGACTGATGTGTTGAGGGTATAGTATACAAAGGTCCGGGATGTGCAGGGCCTCGATGGAAGAGAAAAGCAAAGGCTTCAACAAAGAGGCTCGAGGAAAGAAGCAAGGAAAAAAGACAAGAGAAAACAGGTACAGAGAGAGAGAGAGAAAGGAATGGACAAGGCTTTGGAAGGCCGCTGGTCTGTGAGATGTGGTGATGCCAGAGCGGACGAGGGTGAAACACGACAGCGGGATGGCAGGGCTTTTGTGGTTTTGCGGATTGGCGTCGTGGGCTCGTCTCTCGAGCTATGATGTCGGAGTATCTCTGTCGACGTCGTTTCCAGGGTACAAAGCTACATGCGGGCCGTTTGGCGATAGTCGGTATGGTATGGCTGGCCGATTGTGGTGCAGGACGATGGGGCTGAATCTGGCGTGGATTGATTCTAAAATTAGATGTGAGGTGTTCACTTTTCTGGGTGCGGGAGGGGGGAAGAGATGGGTTTTTGTGTGGGTGAGAAAGTCGCAGACAAGAGATGGGACGCATGGACCACCACGAGCAACCACGAGCACCCACACTCCAAGGTAATCTCACGCCAACCCCCAAACAGGCAAGGCCCCAAACGGTAGTCCGGGCAGGGAGCCAGTGGAGTTCTCCCAGTGCTTCTAGTGGGGGAGTTTTAGTGGGAGAAACCGCCTAAACAGCGAGCGAGGGACGGACTCTCGCTGCTAAACCTTAACACATCGCCAGCACCGAAGAACGACGACGCCATGCAACTGGCCCTGATTCATTCATACACATAGGGGCCCTACAAGTGCGCCCATACGTCACAATGGCGCACTCTCTCACTGAAAAGAAAGGGAGAAGTAACGTGCCAACTGCTTCCATCTCGCTTCTAGTGGCATTCGCATTCTACTGTTCCTAACAGTTAGTTCAAGCTCCGACACGTGGAATGAAAGGCACCACGTGCGATGGGTTGGTAAAGTTCGAAACAAAGAGGGCCTGGCTGGGCCTGTTTCTCCTCTCCACTGGGCAAACGCGGAATCTCCCAGGGGCAAGTCATCATCCAGCTGCCACACTGTGGCGGGGTGGTCTTGTCGGTCCTACATCGCTACTGACTTTACCCGTCAGGCTGGACAAGTTCAAATTGGCCCATACAGAGGCCGGCACAGCTCTCTAAGCCCGCCATCTGCCGTCGCACAAAGCAGCCTGGAAGCTGCTTCCCGTCCGTGCCTTGACCTGTGCTTTTCTTTTCTCACTGTGGCTCAACCAGCCGCGTGAGATCGACCTCGTGGGCGATCTTGAAACAGTTTTCCAGCTCTGTTGAATCCCCCTGACGGGAACCTAACCTTGAGAATCCTTCCGGGATCTGTTTCCAGGTTCCTCTGCAGCGATCGTGCAAGCAAGTCTAACCAGTGTTCACCGGCGGCGGGGTATGCAGCCATGTTGCCCATCCTTGGAGATCGGCCCTCCCCTGCAATCAACTGCTGTTGATCGCCAAACATCCACCAGATCCCAACTGATAGTCGTCGAAAGCAGTTCTTGCAAAAGTCCCGAATTAACTCCCACGTGCTGAGAATGCAGATGCTGGACCGCTTCGCGCGCAGTGCGCTTGTGTTTCACACACGGCTGAACCACCCCCCCTCGTCGAAGACGTCTAGAAAAAAAAATGGCATCCAGGTTGCAGCTGTGCGGGCCAAGATGGCTGCCAAGCCGCAGCCAGCCATGACATGACCCGCCTCTCCACCTCACTGTCAATGTGAGACAGACGCCGCATGCTCCCCTCCCGCGCGGGCACTCTCCAAGACTCTCGCATGCTGGTTCCCCAATCGTACGTTCTGGGAGGATAAAACAAGAGATTGTTTGATCTCGGTATGCTCGGCAATACAAACATTGACAATGACAGTCGCCAATCCTGGTCGTCTTGGGTGTATGTCTCGTTTGCCAGTTGCATGCAACGTCGATAGTCCATCTTTGGTTCATCACAAGAAAAACTCGAGCGCTTAACTCCATCAACACTGGGCATGCTTCGGTGCAGGAGAGGTGCATTCACGATATCTGTAAATAGCACGGGACAATATCTCGATGTGCCCGTCTCGAGCATCATCGCCAGGGGTGGCTTCCTGCTTTGGAGTGACAGATTCACGCCGTCCCATACGCGTTAGGCGACGGAAACGCCCATCTTGGCTCTCTCGGTGTTGGATGCAGATCGTCCTGCATGCCGACACAAATGAGGTCAGGTCATTGTAATTGCACGCTCAGGATTCTCTGTATCTGATTGCATGCGGGATAGACGAACGGGTATGTTGAGTAGGGATCATCCTCTTCCCCTCACCATCACTTGCACCCATCCAGGACAAGGCTCGCGCCCCGAAAGCCTCCAATCACCGAAGGCGACCAGCCTCCAGAAGAAACCTCGGCACCGATATTGCCCAACCCCGTCCCAGAGCCTTGCATCGTGCAAGAGGAGATCTTCATCACAATTCATGGATTTGTAGGTATCCACAGAGGGCGTCATCGGCATGTGCCGCATATCTAACTATCTCATAAGCGCCCGGCGACAAATCCCCGCCCATCTCTGATGCAAGAGGCCCAGGGCTCTCTGCAACCGGATTGGCTGCCGGCACCACAGAGTGTGCCAAAAATAGATAAAAATAGATTTTTACCCACCTGCCTCCCACCTTTTGCTGCTTGGCTCCATCTGGGCAAAATATCCAACCCACACAGATTGGACGTTCATTTTGCCCACTAGGCGCTTGTTCCCGTCCTGTCCCCACTCAACCATCATCATCATCCTCAGTCAGCTTTTTGTGCTCACCCACCAGGCACGGGTTGTCGACATCAACGATGCTCATAGGACGTGAGCATCCTCGTGCAACGCACCGATTAGTATTCTGATACGCCCGGACGAGCTGTGCCTTGGCCAGAGAACAGTCATCATCACGTACCGTCCCCTCCCACCACACCCCCCTTGGCAGGAGCTTTTTGAAATCTCACCGCTCAGAATGCAACGGTAGGTCATTTGCGACCATCTTGCGGGCAGCCATCAAACGTCGAGAGGATGCAGTCAGCCCATCCTCCTCTCCTCTTCGAGCCAATGGCACTGCTGTCGTGCCTGGAGACGAGAGACAGTTCCACGTTGCCATCTCGTCTCAACTTTTCCCTTCCCCCCTCCATCGCCCGCGTCATGCGGCGCTCTTGTCGTCCGTCCCGGCTCGTCTGACTGCCGCGACTAGACAAAATCTGCAAGGTCAGCGAACCTCTCTCGGTACTACCCCACCAATGGGGACTAAGCCCTGCGGAAGACCATCTAACCGGCAATGTGGGTGATGTGCAGTGCAGTGCGGTGTAGGCAGGCAGGCAGTCATCATTCAAAGAGAAGAAGGGCCGGTAACGACAGACGCCCTTCACGCCCGATGGAACGGCAAGTGCAGCTTCCATAACCAAACTTTTGCTATTAATCAATCTGATGCACACCACCTCTTCCTGGGAGAGTCGCATTCGATATTACGCAAGCCTTATTTACCGTCCTGTCCACGCGAATTTGACAAGATGTTCGGTCCCAACAGCCGCGTCGCTTGCATACCGCAGCCCATCTCCAGTTCTAAGTTTAACAACAAAGCACCACTCACACACAGATAAACACATGACTTGCATCGTACCTTGCTTAAGCGCTTTGGATATCACTGCCCTAGCCGGCAGAGCCGAACTCTCGGGTGTTGAATTCGGGGTTTATTTCTATCAGTGTAACAGGGGTCGCATCTGGGAAGCTGCATAGATAGTATCAGATAAGTATCCATAATGGATAGCTGTATCATTCATCGAATGTTTCCCACATACAACCTGATATCAATTCATCATCTCGTTGCAACCCTTAAGCGCGCTGGCATTCTGCACCATCTGTCAAACGCTTAGGGCCGAAGGCCATTTGCTCCTCTTTTGAACGTCCAGAATCAGGTGGCGTTCACTCAATGCTTCCAATTTTGTATCTCTCGGCGTTCGCCTCTTTCCCCATTTGCCATGGTTTCCCCCGGCTCAATCGGGCAGGAGTGTAGAAAAGAAAAGGAATAAGACAGGTTAACGCCGTTGCGCCCCGATTTCCATGCAACCATGCGCTAAGTTTGGGTATTCCACACAACACTAAACACAGAACGACGTGGGAGAACCTTCCAAGTTCCTTGAAGGCAAACATCACGAGAATGTATCAAAATAAAGAAAGGGAAAAGAATTACACTATGCAAAAACCACCGAACCGGGAGGGTGTTGAGCGTCGCAGATGTCATGCTATACTGCGAAAATTTGTGCTTTGAATAAGGTTCGGAATCTCGGAGATCTGATAGAGCTGAGCCGGCTCATGGCACATACGTGCCGAAGCCGCCCTGGTCTTCTGCGCCATCTTTGGCCTTCATGGTGCCGTTGAGAAGGGGGCAAAGTCTAGTAACACGGGTTAGTCGTCTAGCATTTATGTAGGAAAGGGCATCGCCAAGGCATGCCACATACTTCTTGTTGGTCTTGATATGACCGACTTGACCACAGTTTGCGCACTTCCTTGTCGTGCCCGTGTTTTTCTCGATGGAGGGAGCAGGTGAGTCCGGGTCGCCATCGTGTACCTGCTGCAGCATTGCCTTTTGCTTCTCCCGAGCGTGCCGCCGCTCCTTGTTGCGGTTGAGCCTTGCCTGTTCGAGGTCGAGCCTTTCCATCAAGATCCGGTCATGCTCCGGATCACCAGTGGGCTTGGCCGCGTAAGGATCGATCTTCTCGGCCTCTTGACGAGCTTTGGCCCTGACATACTGGGTGATGACGCCTTGGTCGTAGACGAGCTCCGTCTTGGTCTCAATGTCACCCGTCTCGGGATTCCGGTATTTGCGTACGATCTTCAGCTTTTTCTTGTCGACGGCAGTAACAGCGCTGCGGCTGAATTGACTCATAGAGTCATCCACGTGAACCACGCTCGACGCCGCATCTTTTTGGACGTTGAATCTATCGTCTTCATCCTCCTGAAGCTGTACGTCCTCGTCGTCATGATCAGTCACATCCGTGAGCGTACTCTTCTGCAGGCCCCAAATAGTCTCGATCGCGTTCTTGTACAACGCCTCCTGCTTCTTCACGTTGTACGAGTGACCGCCGTTGGCTTTCCTTTCTCGCTCGCGCTCTATGGCGTCCGCCGAGGTTGTTCCGGGTCCCTGCAGAGCGTCCATGTAGCCACCTTTCATGGAGGTCTTGATAAAGCTGAAACCCAGGCCTTTGCCGGTGGGGTCACCAGCTCCATGGAGCTGGAGCATGGCCTTTCCAGAGCACGCGTCGATAAACGCCTTGGTAGTCTTCCAGGGCACCATATTGTTGGCCAGGCTCTCCTTGTTGTTCTCCCCATCGTCATCGTCGACCTGAGCGCTGTCATCCAACTGATACCCGTTCTGAGCTAGCTCGTTCTGGCCGACCTGCATGGCATCAACAAGACAGACCTCGTCGGGCTTCACCATGGTGTCGATGGTCTCCTGGTCCATAAGGCTCTCGTTGACATTGAGATGCCAGCTCTTGGTCTCTTTATCATACTGAAGGAATTCTTTGAGCTTTTGCCGGTTCTGGGCATCATTCGAATCCTTGACATGGGACGTGATGGCGCCCAAGGTGACAGAGCCGTGCCGGTGTATCAGCCTGTAGGCGACCATCCGCAGCCTGTTCTTGCTGAGAGCAGTAACTTTACGAGAATGAGGACCAGGCACCTCAGCAAGAGGGAAATTCTGACCAACGACGTAGAGATGATCAATCTTCCGAAGGTAGTACACCGTGCCATTAGTCCCAGTAGTCGAGCGGCCGAACAGGAAGTCGGTATTGCGAGCATTATGCTTGAAAATCGGTGCCTGGAACATGGGGTTGTGTAGAGTTGGGACGGTCTCGCCTGCATCGACAGTTCCGAAGATTGAGAATGGAGACTTGTCTTCGGGGAGTAGAACATGATTGTCACCGAGTTCGAGCTTTGGCGGCTTTTCGTCTTCGTCTTTGGTTTTCCGGCGGTAGTAATTCATGATCTTGTTGCCCATGCCGAAGTTGGACAGCACAGTGGGGATTTCTTCACTGTACTCGAAGAGAATAGCAGTCGAGTTGTCGTTCAGACTGAGATCTTTGGATAGTTTGAACGCGTCCCGGACTTTCTTGTGCTTCATTTCCTTCCGCGGGAATTTCGCGGGCTTGGCCAGCTTCACAACCTGACCGACAGACTTGGTCACCCTGAGCGACGGGCGGTGGTAGTCGTGGGGCGCATACCCCACAGACTTTATTGTGTAGTATGGCCAGACCAGCTTGATTGCTGGCAAACTGTGCTCTACTTGGACGTTGCTCAGTTGGGCTCGAACCTTGTGTTGGTGATTTTCCTTTAGCTGATCATAGGCCTGGTCATTCGAATAGTTGAATCGATCCGAGATGTCGCGTCCCAGTCGTCCATTGGCCATGCGCTTCTGTTTGTAAGCAAGCTTGGGGCGTTTCGAAGCTCGTTCCGAGTCCATATCATCGATCAGCAGGTAAGGATCTTGCATGTCGAGGTAGACCCGCTTGGCACCACGCGATGTGGCCTCCTCGAAATTATCAAACGTCGGGGCTATAAACCGAGAAATCGTCGGCAAGCCTGGCTCGACCACGATCTTGCGTCGCTTGACAGGCCGATCGTCGAGGAACTGCCGGTTCCAGTCGTCATCTTCATCCTCGCCATCCATCACAATATCGACCGGCTCCTGCGGGATGCTGGGAGGCGTGGGAGGGTCAATCATGCTGTCCCAGTCCTCACAGACCAGCTCGATGTCTCGCAATGTGAATCCACCAATTGTCTCGCTGTCGTCCTCAAGCATTTCCTTGAACATGTCAACATCTGCTTGAGCGAGGATCTCAGGCTCGAGACACGATACGAATCCCTTAGTCTCGGCATCGCGGATCTTCTGTCGGTGTGTGGCAGTCGCTGTCCCCGGGATGCGGAAGAGTTTCTCCTGGTCGGCCTCAAAGTCAAGACTGAGCTTGGTGGGAAGAAGGGGCTTCGGAGGTCGGGCTGGCTTCTTCTCGGTGTAGAAGAGAGGCTTCGGGGCGAGCAGTTCGTTGAAGTCTAAAACCACTCCCTTCTCGAAGGTGGGGAAAGCTTGCAGAACAACCTCCAAAACATTTTCGGCTGCGGGCGGGATAGAAGGGTCCTGGTTCGCCCCTTGGTCGATAGCCTCCTCGGGAAAGTTGAGTGCTCGGTCGCGCTCAATATCTGTCATGTAATGCAGCTCGTTGCCGAGCTCGAGATCGTCATCTTGAGGTACTGGTGATGATCTGATGGCCGTTTCGATGGGGGATGAGGGTTGGTCGCCGAAAAGATCATCGGTATCATGGCTAGTTCCCGTGTCGTCCGTTAACCCTGGGACCTCGGCAGAAGCCCCTCCCGTCGCCTCCTCCTCGTCCGGCAGTTCATCATCGCTGATATCGCCGAAGTCCTCCGCATCATCTGCCTTGCCCTCTTGACTGATCTCAGCATCTGGGTCGAGGTTGAGATGCACGTTGGCATTTCGTCCCTGTTGGCTCTGATCCAGGAACCTGAGGACTTCGGCATCATCTTCGGCAGTCTGCCGCTTCCAGAACTCCTCGTTGTCCGTCAAACTTGAGAACTCATTCGAATTATCGGTTTCGGTCTCCATTTTGACGGTTGTGCCGGTGTTCACGTTTCCTTCAACCTCCTCCCAGAGATGTGCGCGCGCTCGCAAACGCACTTAGCGCATGCTTGTCCACTCTGGCGTCGTCCTGGGAAGAGCGACTGAAGCTGGTCCGATTTGCTGTCGGTAATGTGAGGTACTAGTTGCGCGAACGGTAAGAGGCCGAATGTCCGCGAGGAACAGTGTTGGGATGTTGGATACTTTGCAAGTTGAATATCGGCAGATGGGTTTGGATTAGAGGCGTAGGCAGGCAGGAGCGCGATTTGCTGCCTCAGGCGACATGAAGGCGGACTGCAAGTGGGGCCGGCTTTAGGTACCTAGGTACATTAGGTGCCTTCAATGGAATGGACAATTGACAATTGACAATTGACAGGACTAATCCTACTTACACACCCTTATTATTCAGGAAAATTCGTTAAATTTTCAATGAACGGCTATTGTGATTCATGACGGTCATGCCTTTCATGGATCAATAGCCATGGATACACCTTCCTCATCAAATCGTCATCATAGCTATGAATCGCCTCCACTCATGCTCAGCATTACGGCGCTTGAATCAAGGACATCAATGGACACTCTTCCAGCCGTCGTCTGAAGCACCTCACCTCGGGTGACGTTCGTCAACAGGACGGGGTCGCCTTGTTCGAGCTCATAGTTGAAGCTGTAGCCGTCCCACGTCACGCCAGTGATCGCATCGCTACCGTTGGCCATAAGACGCTGCACACTGACCTTCCGCACCGACGGACCTACCTCAAAGGTGTACCTCCTCGACTTTCGTCCCGCGACTGGGTTTCCTGCGAGCCCAAGACCTGTCCCATTTACGGTGGTGTTGTACCCAACAAAGTTGATGACCATGATGCGAGACAGAGAATCGCCGACGTATGCCGCATATACCGCCTCCCGCTCATCGCCGCCCGCAATAGGCACATGCGCAATCGACACCGGCTGGTCTGTGGCGTTGCCTATCATGGCTGCAACGGCCATGTTGCCATAGTACGGCGCTTTGGTGCCCTTGACTGCTTTGTCTGTGTCCACGGGCTGCCAGCTGGCATATCGGTAGTTGGTGCCCATGTGATAGTGCACACGACCAATGCCAACAGAGGCACAGTAAAGAGCAAAATCAACGCCCCAGAGAGCTGCGCCGAATGTGTTGGACAGGCCAGGCTTGCCCTGGTTGTAAAGGGAATTCGTCTCTCCCAAAATCAGTCGGGGACTTGCCGTATTGAGGTCTCCAGATGGGAATATCTTCTTGAACTCATCCACATGGGCATTGACAGATTGCATAGTACGGCTGTGATTCATCAAGGTGCCCTGCAGTGTCACACCAGGCGATGTAGCGCCAGAGATATAACTGACTGGTGTGAGCATCTTCGCGCAGAATGAAGGATGATTTAGTTTGTCGACTTACTTGTGGGATGAAAACAGCCCGATATTCCCGTCCTCGTCCAGACCGTCCTTCCAGGCGATGGGGGCCTTCAAATGGTTGTTGACCCCGGCAAAGGCCGGCGCGATATACTCATATCGATTGCTGCTCACCACCTCGGGGCAATGCGTCTGGAGCAGCTCCTTGATCTTGCGCGTACCGTTCAACCACTGCTCAACGTAGGTAGTCTCATTCCAGCTCGGTGGGCGAACGGGGCCCTGCGACGATGTGGAATACAGATCCGGCTCATTACCGTATTGCCACGCATAGAGCTTTTCCAAACCCAACGTCTTGCACACCAGAGGAACCGTGTCCAGAAGAGTCTGCCATCCCTCTGATCTGTTCCCTCCCAGGCCCAGATTGAAGCCGTGAGAAAACTTCACGCCAGGCCAGGTACTATAAGACTCAAAATAGGACGACCCAATGTGTATCGTGGTCGGGTAGTCGGGAGACCTTGACACATCGTATGTGCCGTTTAGAGAAGCTGAAAGAGAGGCGTTGTACAAAGCATAATCTTGTGTGTTCCCTCCCACGCGGATATAGGGCTTCGTCCCCAAGACGTTGCCTATATTCATCAGGAGGGTTTCTGAAAACTTATTTGGCGATGTTTTGTTGCCCGCAAAGTCTGGAAAGGAGGAGAACTCAATTGAGTAACTTAGAAACCCGTCTGGAAATGGAATGCCAACCCACTCAGGTTTCTGGTCGACGTTAATTGCACATTTTCCAACCCCCAGCGATGCTGTTCCCACTAGGTGAAATAAGTATCCCAACTTCATTATGGACGAAAGCAAGAGAGATGTAATGTGTCCGGATCCTATCTGGAGAGTGCGTCGTGACGGGTGCACGCTCCTATTTAAACTATGATCCTTGTCCTTAGCCCGCCAAAGTCTGGTGGTACTGTTGCACCCGGTGCGTGTTAAGTAAGGCAATATCAAGGTAAAGATGTCAAGTGGGCGTCTGGATAGTAGACGGAAGTTCACTAGGAGCTACCTCGATCTTAACAGTCAATATCCTTGTCACATCCTTGCCCTGGAACCCGGAAGGGCTATCCCACTACCTAAATCCGATGGGCTTGATGGGTAGACAAGTAGCTACTTCTGTTAGCAGTCCGTCAACTAATCTGACCCTCACTTGGATGTCAAGACAACACAAGATACTTTTTGTTGATCTCGGAGCGCCATACGGACATGTCTGGACCGAGCAAATCAGGATGCTGCCCGCAGAGTCATGGTGCCCATCAAAGCGGGTAGAGTCCGGGGCAGACAGCCTAATTCCACAAATGACAAAAGAGAGAAAGGCGACAGTTCGATGTTGTGGATGGGCAGGTTTTACACCTACTGCACAGCAAAAGCACGTCCATGACATTGGATTGACGAGCAGAGATTGTCTAACGTCGGCGGGCAGTGGTTGACGATATCGCTGCTGCACCCGCTCCTTGTAGCTGGAATCAACGGTGGCAGACTTTTAGAAGCGAGCCATGATCAATCGTGACTCGAGTTCCCTCACAATGTGGCGTTCTCAAGGTTTCAATTGTCTGGCTTCTTCGATATCAGTCACCAAAATTGGATCCTCGACAGGTTTGGAATATCATGATCGCGATTCAAAAAGTCCCGGCCAGTCATACCGGCCACAATGGTGTGTCTTCCGGCCCCCGGGCTCGTCACGGCGGACTTTGGTGGGATTTCTAGGGGGCGGCGGAGTTGCGGTGGACAACCGGCGCAATTTCCGGCCGACTTGGAGGACCGTAGTTTTAGTCATTGAACATCCACCATCAATCAATGTCATAATTTCACACCTTCTACTCTCTCCACATGATCCCACCGTTCTATATCGCAGACCTACCCCGGGAAATGCTCTGGCATCATGCAGGACAATACAGTCATAGCTAGCATGTCGGCTCCACGGCAAAAGAACTGCAGCAGCTGCGTTCGTGCGAAGCGCCGATGCGACAGGCGCACTCCGGTATGCTCGAGATGTGTGGAGAAGAAGCTGCCCTGCAATTACGCCAAGGGAAAGACTGTCCTGCGATATGGCCAACGACAAAATCTTGATTTGTCAAACCGTGCGAGTATGCTGCCCTTCAGAGGTCTTATTGCCCCGGGTTTGACCGACGTGGACTACTTTGGGATCGGGCCCATGGAAGTCCAGTCGCGAAACGACGAGCTTACCGAGACCCGTCAAGGTTCATTGGTTCTTGAAGACGGCGTGGATAGTGATATTCCAATTGATCCGTTGCTTGATATTATGGACAACGCCGAAATTGCAAATCTACAACAATGGCTTGTTCCAGTCGAATCGGGGCCTCTGACCCAGACCTCAGACAGCTCTGTAGAAGAAGAGCTCATGTCGGCCTATCAAAAAATGTCTGGAATTTGCGTGAGTGTGGCCTTCACCTTGTCCATGCGACAACTCTGTCGAAGCCTTTTCTAACACCCTATACAGCATCACGTTGAGCCGTGGGATCTGTATGATACCAAATCGCCTCTGTACTACGTGATAAATCGCGTCAAAGGGTTTACAGCCGATATTGCTACCCGCAGCGCCGCACCGTTCTTGCATCGCCGCCTGTACAGAGGCCACACGCCGCAGTGCATCTTTTCATGCTTTACCACCGCAAGCCTGTACGCGAACCAGACCACGGAGACCAAGCCAATGGTGATGCGTGCCCTTCAGCAGGCTGTCCAGGAGCTCCTTGATGCCGAGACAGGAAGGGCAGCAGCAAAGCTAGTTGAGAAGTTGGCTCGCGCCCAAGCACTATTCCTATATCAGGTCATTCGCTTGTTCGATGGGGACATTCTTCTACGCTCACAAGCGGAGAATGACCTGCCGTTACTGCAGGCGTGGCTGGAAGACTTGCTTAAGATCCGGGAGAATATCGGGAGCTTGGCTGAGCTTGAGAACGAGGGTGCACAGATTCAGGTTCCGGTAGAATGGGAGGTGAGCATTTCGCCGTCTGGTTATTAGGCTCATGCCGTGATTGTTTCTGACAGCAGGCGGCAGCATTGGATCTTTGCCGAATCCTTGAGGAGGACTATCGTGATGGCATATGCTGTCGTAAAGGTCTATGAGCTCATGAAGCACTCCGACGACGCGAAGGACCCAGGCATATGGGGCAGGGCACAGTGTTGGACTTTGTCCCGGCACCTCTGGGAAGCGGACTCCACCTACGAATTCCAACGCATGTGGAGGGAAAAGCCTCCTTTTATCATCAACAATTTCTCCTTCGATGAATTCCTCAAACATGGCAGAGGGGAGGATGTTGATGAATTTGCCGAAATTCTGCTGAGCGTGTAGGTGCACACATCACCACTCCTTTTGCAAGGCACACTAACACATGACGGCAGCTATCTGGGAGTGGACGAGACAAAGGAGTTCATCTCTGCACGATGAATAGGTAGGCAGTGAAGGAACTGAAAGTAGATGAGCGCTTGAGGTCAGAAAAGAACGACGGGTCGTATTGAGTGCTCCCGATATGGGGGGTTGGAACTTCCACTGCCCACCGGCCGGCCGCCGGGGAGTTCTTTACAAGATGGACACAAACGGTACGGCTGTTGGTCTGACGATAGTAACGCGCTGTTAAGGCCCTTGGGTCAGAGGAGATCATTTCCGTGTCATTCTCATTCTGATCTCTGATTTCTGGAGGCTTTCTAAGTCTGATCGAAAGGACCAGTCTTGTACTTAGCTACCCTGCACCGTGGCCTTGAGCCAAGATAAGATGCCAACCAACAGCCCGGGCGGATACACCTGCCCTGGATAGTAAAAATTGCCTACTCTGAAGGACACGGTCCAGAAGCTGGAGCTAGATATCGTGGGCCCAAAGAACAGCGAAGCCTCAGGGCATTTCCCCACTTTGACGTCTGCGGGGACAGGTGCTAAACTGGCACCATCACTGAAATGGGGAAGTCCAGCCGATGAATCGAGACTCGATTACAGGGGTTCTTTCCCTTAGGACGCACGTCATAGAAATAGCTAAAGTTCCCCCGACCTCGCTGTTGCATTTGCTGCTTGCTTGATAAGCTCTCTGCAGCAACCCTACGACGCCGGACCTATTCAACTTCATTGAACGATAGAACGAATGCGATAAGCAAGTCGATTGGTTTCGCTCAAAGCCTCACAGTCGCCTGTTGCTGGGGCTCAATCAGCTCAATCAGTGTGTACGAAGCGGCGTGCGGGGTCACCGGTTACGACACCCTTACAAGTACAACCAGCTCCGTCACTGCTAAATAGACGCATCATCCTCCTTTCGTCGCCATGTTTTCTTTGCGGAGGACTGCCTGTATTGCTTCTAGAAACGGCGGCATACGACACTCTCAGTTCCAAAGAAGCACATTACCCGCCATTGTCACTAAGAGTGCTTCCATAAGGTGTGCTTCCAATATGGCGCCAAAGGTACTTATTAAGATGGAGGATGACCAACCCAACGGTGCTTTGTGTATCGTCGCTGACGAAAGACCTACAAAAGCTGCGAGACCCCTCCCTCCTGAAGACGGATGTGTGTTTTGTGAATGGTGAATGGGTCAAGGCCAAGTCGGGCAAGACCTTTGAAGTCCGCGGTAGGTTCTATCTGGAGACGAGATGTGGACTCCAAGCATTCCCTCTGACAGCATGATCAATTTCTAGACCCGGCTACTGGTGAATTGATTGGAACGAGTCCCGAGTTCGACGTCCAAGATACCGAGCGTGCAATTGAGGCTGCCGAGGAGGCCTTCAAGACCTTCCGAACGAAGACGGGTAGAGAACGGTCTAACATCCTGCGCAAATGGTACGACTTGTGCGTGGAGAACGCTGAGGATCTCGCCAAGCTCATCACATGGGAGAACGGGAAGCCAATTGCCGATGCAAAGGGAGAAGCTGCATATGCGGCTAGTTTCTTCCAATGGTTCAGCGAAGAAGCACCTCGCATCTATGGTGACACGATATCCTCGTCCGTGCCGGGCAACAGAGTTTTCACGATCAAGGAGCCTGTTGGAGTATGTGGCCTGATCACTCCGTATGTAGCTCTTACCCAAAGACTGTCCAGTTGTTCAGTGACTGACTATTGCGCAGCTGGAACTTCCCCGCCGCGATGATCACTAGAAAGATTGGGCCCGCCCTGGCCGCGGGGTGCACCGTCGTCTGCAAGGCACCGGGAGAGACGCCTTTCACTTCATTGGCCATCGCAGAGCTTGGTCAGCGAGCTGGTGTGCCGAAGGGCGTGGTGAACATTGTTACTGCCCTGGATAACACCCCGGCACTCGGCGAGTTGCTGACCACCAATGCGACGATCAGGAAGATTTCCTTCACGGGTTCGACTGGCGTTGGCAAGCTCCTCATGAAACAGAGCTCAAGCACCCTCAAGAAGCTCTCTCTAGAGCTTGGTGGCAATGCTCCATTCATTGTCTTTGACGATGCTGATGTGGATGCCGCCGTCGCCGGTGCGATCGCCTCCAAGTTCCGCTCGTCGGGCCAGACTTGTGTTTGTGCCAACCGCATCTTCGTGCAGAAGGGAGTCTACGATGAATTCGCCCAGAAATTTGCCGAGAAGGTCAAGGCTTTCAAGGTTGGCAATGGCTTCAGTGAGGGGATCACCCACGGGCCCCTAATCCACGGACGGGCCATCTCCAAGGTCGATGAGCACGTACGGGATGCGGAGAAGAAGGGTGCCAAGATCGTCGTTGGCGGCCAGAAGATGCCCGACCTGGGGGACAACTTCTACAAGCCGACGGTGCTCACGGGCATGACTTCAAAGATGGCCATGGCAACGGAGGAGACATTTGGCCCCGTCGCTGGGCTCTTCCCATTCGAGACCGAGGATGAGGTCGTCAAGATCGCCAACTCGACCGAGGTTGGCCTTGCTGGGTACTTCTTCTCGCGCGACCTGGAGCGCATCTACCGAGTCGCAGAACACCTCGAGGTTGGCATGGTGGGTGTGAACACGGGTATCATTTCCGACGTAGCTGCTCCGTTCGGAGGCGTCAAGGAGTCTGGCTTCGGAAGAGAAGGCTCCCTTTATGGCATTTCGGAGTACCAGGTCACCAAGACTGTGACGTTTGGCGGTATGGGGAAGGCACTACAGGGCAAATAAGGGGACTCATGTATGATTGTCGCGAGGATGGCCGATTGTGTGCCTGGAGGGGAAAACTTGAGCACACATGTTAGATGTACACAAAAGGAGGACATAACTATATCTGGACGAGAGTACTTTTCAGATATAGTGAAGGGAAATATGAGAATTGTTTGTTCCTCCTCCTCTAGGAGTTTAGGATCGAGGAAGGTGAAGGAACAAGATCAAGAAGGTAATCGTCACGTAATTTCGTCATCTAGCCTCAAGCGTGGCGTTTGATCCAAGGCAAAGGAAAACGAGGAACGATAACAAGCCATCGTTGGCAATGGGCGGACCTAAGGCAGGTAGGTACCTACCTAGGTACGTTAGGTACCGAAAGAGCTTAAAGGAACTACCTAATGTTAACTTGGAGGTGGTACCCTGGTACCGCGCACCGGTAAGCGGGTGCTAGCGCTTGTTGGTCTGCCTGGTGCTTGGGTTCTATCACGTTCTATCCATCAAACCCCACCACCACCCACACCTCCAGGAGCTACCTAGACAAGTAGGCCCCGTCGCCGCCTTTCGCCTCTCCACGTTGATCGGCCACGTCTTTTTGCAACTCGTCCGACTGGCTGGCTTGACCTTACTATCCCCTCAGGTCCTTTGCCAAACCGCTCGAATTCTGGAACATAGGGGCGCTGAATCCTCCTGCCCTTGTTGCAACCCTTATCCAGCCTTCCCGTGACCCTTTATCTCTGGTTTGCACACCATTTCGGCATCAGCGCAGACACCTCAGCCGCATTACGAATCCGTCACGCCTTGATCCTCGCGCAGCCAGGCATAATGGCCGACAACACGGCAGAGTCTGGCGAGACCCAGCTGACATTTAAGGTCAAGTCCTCTGGCGAGCGCCTGCATACCGTCACCATTTCCGACTCGGCCACTGTCCTGGACCTCAAGACCAAGCTCTCGGAGAAGGACTATGAGGACATCCCGGTCGACCGCCAGCGACTGATCTACTCCGGAAGGGTCATGAAGAACGAAGATGCGTTGAGCAACTACAAGATCAAGCAGGGCAATACCATCCACCTGGTCAAGAGTGCTGCTTCCAACCCAGTGCCGCCGCCTGCATCTGCCTCGGCGCAGACCCCGCAGGCTATACCCTCCAACATGGCGTCCGGGACCTCTGCCAACAACCCCTTGGCTGGCTTGACCGGTGCTCGGTTCGCAGGCCATGTGCCGCTCCCGAACCAGAACCTCTTCGGCCCAGATGGCGGTGTATGTTGCTTCGCTATCGGCAATAGCCTTGCTAGCTTCCGGCTGACTTTGATTTTAGATGAACCTCCCGTCGGAAGACCAGATGATAGATATGCTCGGGAACCCGCAAGTCGCCCAGAGCTTGAATGAAGCCCTCAACAACCCCGCCTTCATTGACTTCATGATCCAACAAAATCCTATGCTTCGAGATGTGCCCAACGCCCGCGAGATGCTCCAGTCCGACTCTTTCAGGAACATGATGACCAATCCGGAAGCCATCAGAGCCGCTAATAGGATGCGCCGCATGATGTCTGGTGGTCAAGGCTTGGGAGGCTTCCCTGCTCCCGGTGCGACTGACAATACCCCGGCCGGCGCCCCTGCTTCTGGCACCGACGCGGGCAGCAACACTGCTAATAGCAACAATGCCGCCAACCCATTCGGCTTCAATCCTTTTGCCGCGAACGCCCCGAATCCGTTCCTTGCTCTGCTCAACCCCCAGGCTGGAGCATCAGGTGGCACCCCTGCGGCGAACACCGACTCGGCACGCGAGGGCGCTGGGTCGCCGCCAGCTGGAGGACAAGCCCCCGGTGCTAACAACGCCGCCGCCAATCCCTGGGCAGCCTTGCTCGGTCTTCCGCCCCAGGGCGGACAAGCTGGCGGCTTCCCTCAGATGAACCCCGAGGCGATGCAACAGGCGTTGCAAGCTCTGGGCCTGGGGATGCCCGGTGGTGGTGGTGGTGCTGCCGCGCCCCCTGACAACAGGCCGCCTGAGGAGCGCTATGCCGAACAGCTCCGCCAGCTCAACGACATGGGGTTCTACGACTTTGACCAGAACGTGGCGGCTCTTCGGAGGAGCGGCGGTAGCGTGCAGGGCGCTATCCAGCATCTTCTCGGAGATTGAGCGATTCGCCCAAGCTCGGAAAGAAAGTCTGTTGGAGGTACCCTGTCCGGTGTCGTGGATAACGCACCAATGAACCGTCCCATTACTCAGTGAGCCTCTATTGATTCATAGGTCTGAGGAATGAATTTCTCTTGCAGTGGTGAGGGCTCCGCTGGCTCCTTGATTGCTGCCATGGCAGCATATGTCATTTCTTACTGCGCAAACATGGACAAGCGATTTACTCGACTGGCATTTTGGAGGGTAGCAGCCATATTGCGTTCTTTGACACTGCGCAGCTTGGTAGCAGAGGTCACTTTCATATGTTGTATGTAGGAACCCGGCGCAGGGTGTGTCGCTGTGGTGATGAATGATGCATCATAATCGAGACAGCCTGTTTCAATGACCAATTCTTTATTTACTTTATTCAAGGCAACGGACAGGTGAGGGGCAATGCGAGCGAAGGCTTTTCTCATGACATACAGCTTGGGAAGAGACTGGTCAATGGCAATAACAAATAATCTGACGCCAATATCCTATCTACGGCTGTTTGCGTTTCAAATCTTGCAATCTGCGAGATATTGAACGAAAGAGCATTGAACATTGAAAGGTTTTGTGAAGTTGAATTGGTGAACGTTGGCGACCAATCAAATGACGGTCGCATGCTTTAATCGGACTCAAAGTACGGTAGCTTTAATTGAAATTAAGTTCTTGACCAACCACGGTACGGTTCGCTTCTGTCCCTCCTTCAATTATACCTACCAACCAAGATCCATGAGAGTTGACGGATAACTTATGAGAAAGGTTCGCTACATTCTCCAGTACATAGGCGCGTGAAGGCCAGATATTCGATCATGGCTTGCCGATGAATGAGATCAAACACGCCAACGTGAGCAATAGTGCTTCTCTCACAGTTCATCTCATCGACATCGACCGCATCTTGTCACTCCAAGTCGCCAAGTACGCGGCCACTATCGTGGCAATATGATTCAGGGCATCTTTTATGCCCGTTTCCTTCCACAAGAAGGTACCCATCTCTCCCAAACCCACTCAGATGCCCTCGGCCTTGAAGGCGAGGAGCAGGCCAAAGCTCACCATGCTATGAAAGATGAACGCTGACCATCCAATCACACCAGGAACCAAGATCGTCGCGCAGAGCCCGCCGGGATGCATCGTCCCCGTGCCGGGCGTCGACAAGCCAACGCTCTTTGACTTTGACCTGCTGCGCTCCTACATCATCCCGCGCAACGCCTTCTTCAACCGCTACGTGACCGTCGTCGACCCGGCCCAGCGCTACGCGGTGCTGGGGCTGCCCGTCGCCATCCCCAACGCAAAGTATCACCGCAATGAGTTCATCTTCAACTTTGGCGTCGTCATCGGCGCCGACGTCGTCGACCAGCTGCCCTATGAGCGCGTCGTGCGGCGCCTCGCGGCCACGTTTGCCGAGATGGAGAAGCAGAACGAGTACCTCAGCCAGGAGGAGGACGGCAAGGGCCGGCGCGCCGGGCGTCTCGGGAGCGGCGCCGGCATCGGGGACGGGAGGAGGCCGATCGAGAGTCTGCTCGAGATCGTCAAAGAGGACCTGAACAACTATGGCGAGTGCATGATTCCCGTTGGTAAGCTCACACAGCCCCTCCTCGTTCTCCGTCCCTGTCCTTTCTCTCTCTCTTTTTTTCTTTCTGCCGTCGATTCGGCTTCTTTCTTACATTCATATGCCATATTGACACAAAAACAACAGACGACGCCAACACCATCAACATGAAGCTCTTCCCGCACCACCCGACCCCGCCGCAGGTCCGCGGCTGGCACGTCCCCGTGGCCAAGACCAAGTTCGCCGACGTCGTCGACCCGACCTGGGACCTAACGCTGCAAAAGGTCATCGCCCACATCGACGGCGTCTCGGACGTGCGCCGCATCGCCTTCGAGGCCGACGTCTCGCTCGACCTCGCGCAGGCCGCCCTGCGCCACCTGCTCTACTACGACGCCGTCCTGCTGCTCGACATGTTCTTCTTCGGCTCGTGCTACGCCCCGCGGCCCGGCGTGCACGCCTTCGTCGCCAACGCGGGCGGCATCGTCGACGAGTGCGCGAGCTACGTCTGCATCCACAGCGGCCAGCGCGTCAGCAACTTCGACCTCGTGCGCCTCATGGCGAGCTTCTGCGCCGGCCGCACCGTGCTCGAGTGGCTCAAGGGCCACATGGACGCCGGCTTCGAGGTCCTGCGCTACGTCGACGTGCGCCGCCTCGTCCAGTTCGGCGTCATCAAGGGCTGCCTGTACCGCGTCCACAAGTACGTCGTCTCCAAGCAGTACCTGGCGGCGCTGGCCACGGGCCAGGCGCGGCCCAAGGCCGGCGGCGACCCGCTGCAGAAGTACACCGACGGCTGCCACAGCTTTGACCAGATCATCACCGAGCAGAACCTCACGGACGGGGAGATCATCGATAAGCTAAAGAGTTTTCCAGCGCCGTCGGGCGACTTGATTGTATTTTACAAGTAACCCAAAGCCAAGTCTTCTTCTGTCCGGCTTGGATTTTGATGGTTATCTATCTACATTAGAGGAGTTCTAGGGTCTAGCTGTTTGCTTTCTTTTGAAATACTACATAATCTTTTTACAATATTTGTACATCTCGCACGTAGTCGCTGTTTATTGTACATTGAGATGAGTTGCATGAAGTCTCTAGTCCTGCTTGGCGCCAGCCTGTTGCTGCTTGCGGGCATTTTCCAGGTCGGAGATCTTGTTCTTTAGATTCCGGACCTGTGCAGGGCTTTCATCGGGGAAAATGAGTACTGGCTCATCTTGCTCCTCGATGGCGTCGGCGTTATCCTGGACAGAGATATTGTCCTTCGCCTTGGCAGCAAGTCCATCCTGCTTGAGCTCCTCCTTGAGAGCCCGAAGCTTCTGCGACAGCATCCTGACCTTGCCCTTGCCAGGCTCGCCGGGGTACGTCTTCCCAGAAGCTTTCCAGTCTTCGTCGCTGACCATCTCGATGATGCGGAGATTGTGCTTTCCCTTGCGGAGCATGAGGTACTTGCCCTCGATCAAGAAGTTCTTTGTGTCCTCGGGGAACCACACAGACACAGGCGTAAACTCCACTAGGCCGGGCGTCATGCCCTTGTTCACATTGGCTGGCTGACCAGGCGAGCCGCCGACGTAGGCTGCTCTTTGGGTGGCGAGCCGGTTGCCTTCGGACACACTGCTGGCGAGCCCCGCCGCGTGCAGAATGCGAGCGATCGATTTGCCCAGGATCAACGACTCTGGCAGCTGGATGTCCACGCGCGGGGCGTTGTTAAGAGTGACGGGCTTGCCTGACGAGGCTGGGTCCTGCGCCGCGAGATCGTCTTCGGTGGCCTGAGCCATGGGCATCATGGTCTGTCCCTTGGTATACATCGCACGATGCTGTTCTTCCGCAAGTCGGCAGGCCTCGTCGCCATGGACAAGACTGACCACCTCTTGTGCCAATTTGTGCTGAGCGACGCGCTTGGAGGGATCCGCAGCCTGTTCCTCCATGATCTTGGCGATATCGGGGAGAGGAAGGAATGTGAACAGTTTCAGGAGGTTCTCGACATCGGCATCCGGCCTTCGCACGAAATAGCCGTACAGGTCGAAGTAAGAGGTCTCGTAAGGGTCAAGCCAGATGGCGTTGCCTGCACTCTTGCCGAATTTCGCGCCCGAAGAGTCGGTCATGAGAGGGACAGTGAAGCCAACCGGGTCATGCAGGGGACCCTCCTCCATCTTCTTCTCGAGGTTTGGTTCTGATTCGCGGATAGTCTTGACGGACTCGATACCTGTCACGATATTGCCGTATTGGTCGGAACCCCCGATCTGCATATGGACATTGTGTGTGCTGAACAGGTGCCACCAGTCCCATGCTTGCATCAAGGGGTAGGTGAACTCGGCAAAGGACATTCCATCGCCCTCTGTGAGTTTCCTCTTGACGTTGTCCCGCGAAAGCATGGGTCCCATCCGTATGCCAGCACCGAGTCTTCTCAGAACCTCCAAGAGAGGAAGAGAGTTCCACCAGGTCGCATTGTTGACTAGAGACCGTTTCCATGCCCATCGCTTCTTGTATCCATACTTCTGTGACTTTGTCTCGACGTTGGCCCAAATCTTCTTGAGCTGGTAGTGTATCTTTGCAGTGTTCGTAGCAGCCGTCGATCCTGCCATTCTTTCCCGGTCCTTGAGTCGACCTGACGGGTCCCCAATCTTCGAGGTAGCGCCACCTAGCAGACTGACCGCATGGTATCCATGAAAGTACATCCAGAACAACGGCATCATTGGTACGAGATGACCGACGTGGAGAGACGGAGCCGTGGGATCTACGCCGACGTATGCGCCTATCCTCTTCTGTCGCATGAGCTCCCGAATGTCTTCTTTTCGGCTATGTAAAACGAATATTAGCAAAATGATTCTGCCAGCTCTCACGCAAAAGAGCGCTTACCCAGCGAGATCCTTGACGAAGCCACGCTCCTCAAACACATCCCACAGGTTGTACTCCTCGCCGCTTGCTATTCTTTGCGCCTTTGCCTGCCATTGTTCTTCCGCATTCTTGACCTTGGACAGGTATTTGGATGTGTCGTTCTTGGAACTAAGCCACCGGCGTTGGGATGCAGCTTGCTTGCCAGTTTGCGCACTGAGACAACTGCGACAGAGCCGGGCGCCCGCAGGCCAGAGGCTCACCAGCTGCGCGTGCCTCGCCATTGGGACTGGATTGCAGCACGCGACTACTTCGAGCGCATGGGGAGTGTGGGAGGCTGAAGGGACTCGGTCCAATGGACCTTCCAAAGCGATTCGTCGAATTCGATGTCAAGATCTTGCTCAGTAAAAGCCCACCAGTGCGACCAATATCTTCACAAAACGCTGTCCGAAGCTCGACAAGCTCCCGACAATGGCGCCAAAATTTCAAGACCCTGGATCACAAGCTCGATCATCACTGGTGGGGCGTGCAGTTTGATTGGCCACACCCCTGTCAGTCGGAAACAGTCTTTTTCCTCCTCCGAGCTCAGGCCTTCGGGTCCAGACGGGCCAATCACAGTAATTGCATTTCGAGTCCCTCGGCAATGCACCATCAATTCTCGGGATCGCTTGCCTTGCGAGCATCATCAATGCTTTGACTTTTTGCGTGATCATTGACGACAACATCTCCCTCTGCCGAAGCAGACCACCCACAAACGCAGAGAGACATTCAATTGGTAGCCAGGGATCCTCGACATCAACATGGCATCAATTGCCCGCTCCGCTCTGCTTCGGCAGACTACGGCCTTCGCCGCGCCCAGCACGAGGATCGCTTCCGGCCTCATGGCACAGGCTTCTCGGAGCTCAGCCATCCAGCAACAGCTCGCCAAGAACGGCGCGCGCATCGCCGCTTTCCACGCCAGCAGCAGGAGGAACATCCTGCCTCCTCTCCCTCGTAGGTCTACCAGCTAGTCGCTCAAGGCCGGTAGCGGTCCGGAATCTGTCGGATATGTACTGATTGCTTCGTCTAGAAACTATCAACGGCACCGTCAACGACCCTGCTCCCGTGCCGCCACCGCACCCGTCACACGGCTCCTACCACTGGACCTTCGACCGCCTGATTGCTGCCGGCCTCGTCCCCTTGACTGTTGCACCCTTCGCCGCCGGGTCTCTGAACCCGACCCTCGACGCCCTGCTGTGCGCCACCGTCCTCATCCACTCCCACATGGGCTTCCAGAACATCATCATCGACTATCTGCCAAAGTACCGGATGCCCGGTATCCACAAGGCCGTCATGTGGCTGTTGAACGCTGTGACCCTGCTGGTCGGCGTCGGCCTGTACGAGTTCGAGACCAACGACGTCGGCCTGACTGAGGCCCTGAAGCGGATATGGAAGGCATAGGCGGGTGGCTGGCATTCACGGACGACGGAGTAGAGGGATGTAGTGTTACGAACCAACTTGGCTTGGGTTTCCTTTTTGGTGCGGTACTCTGCCGCGTGTTCAACTAGGTATATAAGAATGCGATTCGACGTTTGACAAGGATTCATCCGCAGAGGGTAGCGGGCGAACACCAGCCACTGACAGAATTGGGTGGCTCGTCTGCCTCCTCGTCTTACGAGAGACGTGTCGAGGCCACTCAATGTGACAGTAATTGACAGGCTCAAGCGGGCCTTGGATTACGGCAGCTTTACCTGCTTCAGCCGGGCTCTTTAACATCATGGGAAGCACTGCGAGTTGATACAACGATTCCCTGACTACTGTCCTGAGCTGAGTCTATGCCACCAAGGTTTTCTAGGGTATCTGGGGTCTAACCAATTCAGCTTTGCATTAGCAAACCCTATGCAATTGTTCCCATATTATAGACTAAAATGGACAAGATCAAGTGGTAACAAGTATTTGTAGATGTTTCAGAGATGGCAGGAAAGACATCTGGACGAGATCCGACTTCGTTCAAAAGCTCAAATTGAAAGCGCGAGATCCTTGCTTCGATGTGGAGAGACAGTGACAGATATGAAGGTCGAGATAGAAGCTAAGAATCGCAGGTCGGTTCAATGACAGCTCTGTCAACCCTTGTAAGCTGCCTCCTGCCCAGGACCGTGGAGAAAGAGCTCAATGCATTCTCAGCCGGACTTAGTTCCATATCAAGCAGACTTTTGCGGCACGAGACAAGGCCTCCCAGATGATCCCGTCCAAACGGGCATTTCTGGGCATATATGCTGGCACGGCTCCCAGGGCCCTGATGATATGCGACTGGGGCCATCCCTTCGCCCCCAGAGTAGCTCCTACCAAGTATTCAAACGTCATATCGTTCGATAGCAAGTGCTACATGTACCTAGCACTGGGCAGCAGCACATCTTTGCCAATCACAAACGTCGAGGTTTGATGCGCTCAACGGAAAGCTCCCCGGCGGCATGACTGACAGCTCCACTAATAAGAAGCACCCGACGTCTTTTCGTGGGGGTCAGCACGGCACGGGAACGGTACGACCCTCTCGTGCGCTACATTACCGACCGTGCCTGCTTAAAGTACCGTGATTTGAACCCGGACAGCACACCAAGTCTATCGTTTTCTGATAGAACATGCATGCAGCTAGGGCTCACGGCTCGGTAGATCATTCAATTTGGAACCCCAAGTGACCGAGTTACCCATAGGAAGCGAGCTGTAGCTCATCTCTCTCTGTCTCTCTTTTTTCTTTTTTTTCGGGATTTGCTCCGGCGGTCTGTCATTTGCGCAACATGCAACTTTGCGCTTATGGCACAGGATCATGCAGTCTCCAGCTCAGCAAATGCACTTCTGATGTTTTGAATATAGTTACCATGCACGTAATGGATAACCACCGGGCTCTGCAGGCCCTTTTAGGGGCGGGTCGTGGACTGCGAGACTCTGGACATTACCGAGCTTACCGAAACCTTTCCCCAGATGCCGTTTCACTCGCTGGGACTCCCCGATTGCTGAACTGATGTAGATGTTGCTCCATGGCGCCAGAGCTCTTTGGGGCAGCGTGGCCGAGACACCCCATCAGACTGCTCCCGTATCATGCCTGCCTGCAGCTAATGATGCCTGCTCGCAGACCCAATGCGCACACGCTGGCGTCCACAAGGAGTCGAAGGGAGGAACTTGCCGCGCCTGCTTTTATTTACCGGGAGTTCCAACAGGGGATCATTCACTTGGCTCTTGGCCGCTGAAGAACGGCTATCCCTTGCGTTAGTTAACCATGGAACGAATATCTTATCTCTACGTGGCGATCCTCCGTCGTAGCCAGCGCAAGCGAATGCAAAAATGTTCTCCCCGATTAGTTCGAGCTATTGGCGGGAGCCCATCCAGTTTATCAACCAGGTCAAGGGGTGGTGAGCTACACCGTGTGGTGCGACAAGGGCAGCACGAGGTTCCCCCTCACCACACACCACCCATCATCCTTTTTCCCAGGGAGGCACTCCTGCAACCAGATATCCTGGACAGCCACAAGTTCTCCACCAGGGCGCACTGGGTCTTCGAGATCGCTGGCGTTATTTCCGGGCGTGGTCTTAGCGTAGGGTAGCAATTCAAAGGACATACCATCCTTGTCGGACCTTTCCATCGAGACACACACCTCTTGATTCTTGTTCAGCTGAGTGCCTCTTACGAGTCGAGTACCACTGCAAGAGCAAGATACTTGATGCAAGGGGGGCTCAGTTGTTGGATGTCACCCGGGCCATCTGCTTGAACTCCTCGAGCAGACCGCCTTGGTGGCTTGCTGCAGGCCGTCTGCCGCTGCATATCAGTGGTTGTTGGTTTTTCTGATGGCTGTTCCCCCCAGATGAAGCGAGAGCCTGCGCTTGGACGTGAACCGGTGGGCTGGGAAGGTCCCTCTTCCAAAAAAGCAATGTTTTTTTCCCGGCCTACTACACCTCAGAGTCCACACAAGTCCACACAAAAGATCTCCCGCAGTAGTTCAAACCGAGTCCGGGTCTGCGCTCGTGTAATGGCGTTACACATTGATGCTTACTCAAACGTCCTGGTCCTGTCCCGGTCGGCAGGGAGCCCTCCCCTCCCGTTTCCTGCCTCCACATTCCACCAGCTAAAGCAGCCACGCAGTATGGTGAGTGGTGGCAGGGGTGCCGGGATGCTTTGGGGGCTTTGCTTGGCCCTGTCTCTCTGTCTCTCTCTCTCTCCTTCTTTTGTACACCGCAAAGCTGCGCGACGCTGTATGTACGTACGGAGCAACTAGCACCCAATACCCATCTTTCGCCATGCTTGCTAATCGAGCATAAGGTAGCACCTCGTGGACCGCCTGTCCCCTTGCCGGCCCATCTTGGGTTAAGGTAGGTACTTAGTACGGCCGCTAAAGGTCCTTTCGTTACTTTCGAGACCGGGACCGCTTCTCGTCATTCGTCTTGTGCGCCCCGGTTTCTAAACGGCGCCAATGCAACGACTACCTAATGGGATATAAGTCAGGACAAGTATAGGCAGTGGGCTGCGCCGACCCTTGCCACCAGACCACCACACCAACCGGCGGTTTGGGTCACCCCTCACGCTTTTCGCTCACGGCAGCTAAGCCATTAGATTGGGGAATAAAAGTGCTGGACGGCCCGTCCGCCGCCGTTCGGAGCTAGCTGGCTAGTCATTCATGTAGCACTTGTCTCCTCAGGAATGTCAGAGGACGGCCCATTGCTGTGAGTGTCGTGTGCGTGTGTCAAGCGTTGGTGCAAGCATCTACGGCGGGCCTGGTCGCAATATCATTCGACCCTTCTTTCTTCTTTCAGAGCCCTCGAACAGGAACAGGCTGGTGGATGACTGTTCTGGGCTGCAGATGGCGCCATCGGTCTCGTCCATGGATTCTGGCAAGACCCCGATAGAGCCAGCCGAAGGGACGCCTGAATCGGACGAGTTCGACTTTGTCTCGGACTGGGACAAGCTGAGCATACCGCCTCGCGACGCAGGGTCGAACGTATGGCAACATGTGTATGAGGGCGGTCGGAGGTACCATTTATACAAGCATGGCCGGTATCCGATACCCAACGACGAAACGGAGCAAGATCGGGAAGACATGAAGCATGCTATGATGATGGAACTCTGCGTAAGTGCACATATCCATCTGGAGAATGCAAGGGTGTCTTCAGTTCCTAACCCTGATATAGGACGGAAGCCTGTTCTATGCCCCGATAGGGGACTTTCCCAAGAAGATCATGGACATTGGCACCGGGACTGGTAAGCCATCACTGCTGCGTTATGTAAAGACTATGCTTGTTGTACTGAACAAGACCCTAGGTATCTGGGCTATCGAAGGTTGGTGGTCTCGGGAGGGGGGACGACTTACACTCCAAAACGGATTCACGGAACTGACGCGGTCTTAGTTGGTGATTTGTTTCCGGACGCGGAAATCCTTGGGACTGATTTGTCTCCCATTCAGCCGGAATGGGTACCGCAAAACGTTAGGTTCATGGTGGACGACTGCGAGGACGACTGGCTGAACGGCTTCGGGTGGGACTTTGTCCATCTCCGTCAAATGTCCGGGATGGTCAGGAATATCGAGAAAGTCATTCTTCAGTCTTTCGAGTGGGTGTCCTACCCAGGCCCTTTTTGATTTGCATCTTGCTGGAAGCTAACGACTTGACCAAGGCATATCAAACCTGGGGGCTGGATCGAGCTCCAAGACCTGCACGTTCGAGTCAACTGCGATGACGGCTCCATGCCCATCGACGATCCTCTAAAGCGTTTCTACACCATTGTTTTCGAGGCGCTCGCAAAGCAAGGGCTGGACTGCGACAAGCCCAAGAATCTCAGGCACACGCTCGAGCGCGCTGGCTTCGTCAACATCCAGTGCGTCAGGAAGAAGGTCCCCATCGGCGTGTGGGCAAAAGACCCCGCGTTACGGATAGTCGGGCACTATATGAAGACCGCCATCCTCGACGTCATCCCGGCGCTTGCAGGCAAGCCGTTCGAGGACATTCAGGTCTCCAAGGTCGAGAGCGCCGTTTGGCTGGCCAAGCTCAGGCAATCACTGGAAGACACCAACGTCCATCGGTACTTTACCTTCTTTTTCTGGTTCGCACAGAAGCCGCTGCCATGACTGCGGGGGCAAGTAACGGGTTATTGTTAGAAGGGAGATCGATATTGGACTGTATTGGTACGAGTAATCGAGCATTTGGGGGGAGGGGGGGGGGGTTTCAACTTATACCATAGATGGAGGATCACGGCGCACGAGGGACTGGCATTAGTGGACCTAGAATATGCATACCACGAGGTCCACAGGATGGAGCGAATTACGATTGTAACGATACCAGATCATTTATTAGGTAATAGATCATTCTGACAAGAAACAAAGCATCACATAAACTACCTAGGTACTTTATCTAAGCGGTGTGTTTGTCTTCTACTCGAGGTCTTTCGGCTTCCAGCTGTCAGAGAGTGCCGCTTACGTAAGGTCCGATTCCTTGAAGACTTCAAGCTCCAAGCTCTCGGACGCTTGCTTTGACAAACCACTTTAGCCACTCCCTGACGACACAAAGCTCTCACAAACGGTCAAAACTCAATCACCTCTAACGTCCGGGGGTGCACTCATCCTGTCGAAGCATTGCACACGCAGCGCTCCTCTCATCCTCCCCTCCCGCCACCATGGCGACCTCCACAGCGACGACGAGCCAGCTCGCCTCCGACATGCTCGCGCGCAAGCCCGCCCACTTCGCCTTCACCTTCACGCCCTTCCTCCAAAAGACCTACCACCACGGCCTCCCCGCCGACCGGCCCGTATGCAAGGCCTACAGCGCGGGCCACTGCCCCAACGGCACGCGCTGCACGGAGCGGCACGTCTCGGCCGCCACCGCCGCCCAGGGGGGCGAGCAAGGCGGCAAGCAGGGCGGTGGCGGCTTCAACAGCCTCGTGTGCAAGCACTGGCTGCGGGGCCTGTGCAAGAAGGGCGAGAGCTGCGAGTTCCTGCACGAGTACAACCTGCGCAAGATGCCCGAGTGCAACTTCTTCGTGCGCAACGGCTACTGCTCCAACGGCGACGAGTGCCTGTACCTGCACATCGACCCGCAGAGCCGCCTGCCGCCCTGCCCGCACTACGACAAGGGCTTCTGCCCGCTGGGGCCCAACTGCAGCAAGAAGCACGTCCGGAGGCGCCTGTGCCCGTACTACCTCGCCGGCTTCTGCCCGGACGGCAAGGCCTGCAAGGAGGGCGCCCACCCGCGCTGGGAGAAGAACCTCGAGCCCCCGACGCCCAAGCCCGAGCCGGGCGCCGTGGCGGAGGGTCAGGACGCGGCGTCGGGCGCCGGCATGCCGCACCGGAGAGACGGCTTGCCCTACGATGACGATGACGAGGCGAGGGATGGCGGCAGGGACCGCGGGCACGACCGGCTGGGTGGGTACAAGGACAGGTTTGGTGGTGGTGGAGGGCGGGGCGGAAGGTGGCGCGGTCGAGGAGGGCATAAGTTCAGGGGAAGAGGTCATTGATGAAGCATGGATCTGGGGTTCCGTGCTCTGCGTGATGCATTTTGGTGACAAAGGAGTTTTTGGAAGAGCCGCAAAAAAGCGGCAACATGGGCTTACGATTTGTACAACAGCACTGTTACGAGTTAGGCATATGAGATACCATTATAAATTCGTTATTCTCGTCTGAACAGAGTAGGAGTCATTATATGCATGCATTGTGCACCAAGTCGCGCAAACCCCCTTTGAGCAAGAAGAGCGGAGCAAAAGAACCTTTCCAGGCGATCAACGCCGTTCACTCCACGACTGCCTCAACTCCTCGGCAGGCACTGTGACATACTCTTGCCCCTCCCCACTGTCGCTGCCCGACCTCGGGCTGTGTTCGGGGTCAGACTGCCATGATTGAAGCTCGTCGACCTTCCTGATGCCCATCATCCATGCGACGAGACCCCGGGGAACCCAGCGGCCGACAAATCCGTAGATGTTGGCACCGAGGCCAATGCGTATGACGCTATTCGTATTTGACCCGTCGATCACGTCGAACACAGCACTGTGCAGATCCCGCAACGCACTGCCGCGCGCCCCGCGGATGCGGCCAGAGCTGATGGCGGAGGTGGTGTGGACTGCGAAATTCCGGCCGTATACATGGCGCGCCGGCTCGGGCCATCCTAGGACCTCGGCGGACTCGGGCGCCGGTAACAGCTCCAGCTGGTTGGCTCTGCTGTTTCCGCCCGCGGGCGTGAAGCCGGTAAAGTCGAACGTGCCGAGCTGGATATGTGTGACGGGGATGGCGAGTGGTCGAAGCTCGGCAGTAAGGACCTCGGTGAAGGCGGAGAGAGCAGAGCAGACTGTCGCCTCGGGGGCGTGGAAGGGAGGGTTGATGGACGAGATGATGGAGGGTGTGAAGACCAGGACTTTAGGTGGTGACTTGTCGCCGGACGAGCCGACGCGGGACGTTAGGAGAGGTAGGAATGCCTGGATGGTGAGGATCGGATGGAGGAGGTGGGTGTTGAAGAGATCGGCGAAGTTTGAGGGAGGGATGAGAGCGATCGGCGAGGTTTGGTAGTTGAGTGACGGGATCAGAATGACCGACTTGAGTGTCAAGAAGTTGCGCTTGGCGCCTGGTACAGCCGAGTGTGGCGATTGTAGGAACTGTGCAAAACGGTCGATAGCTGCGCCTGCATTTGGAGTCTTGAGAGGAGGTTAGTGCTGGTCTGTTGGCAAACAAGGCGGGATCAGCACTTACATCGGTGATATCGATCGCCAAGGGCTTGATATCTGGCCGCGAAAGGTTCTGCACCATGACCTCATCCTCCATCGAGCTGCACACGACGTATACTATGAAGCCCTTGCGCTCCATGTCTAGGGACAGGGACCGTGTAAGTGGCAGCGTCGGCGACCCTGCGATGACCACAACCTCGACTCTTCCTCCATTGCGCGCCCGTCGTGCGCGTCGTGATTTGCGGCCGAGCTTGCTTTTCCTGTATACTTTGTAGGCGACTGTTCCCGATACCAGTACAATCACGCCGGTGGCAATCTTATGTCTCGAAATCCAGTCCTGCACGCGCTCCAACGTCGACAGGGCTCCGGCTGGAACCGCTGCTGGCGGCGGCGTTGGCGGCGGCACTCTGGAGCGGATGGAATCGGGAATCCACGGTGAAGAGGACACCTGCTCTCTGATTACACTCGCGATCTTGTCGACATTCTGGTTGATGTAGTCTGCGACCTCGTGGGAATACCGCTGGACTTCGGTTGGTAGCGACGATAGCTGCTAAGGGTCAGTAGAGAGCACTCAAGCAATCGCCGGATGCAGCACGCAAAGACCGGAACTCACCACGTCCAAGAACTGCTGATCATCAGCGGACATGTTGGCGGGTATGCTCGGTCATCTAAACAAGGCTGTCATGAACTCATGTATGTATGACCTCGCTTTCGTCAGTCTGAGCAAGATTACAGAAATATGCTAGAAGAGCGTCATGGGGGAAAGAAGGAAGCTTCTTTTCCAGAAGCAATCACATGGTGTCTCTCCACTTTTTTGAAGGCCTTAATACCCCGTTCGTGACGGCAGTCAGGCCCACCTAAAATTCCAAGACGGGTAATTATCTCATTACACAGCTTCAATGCAAGCACTCCAGGGTCCCCACCACATTACACATTATCGCAAGGATTCGCGATCTTGCACGACAACAACAAGTATCACATAGATTCCCAAATAATCAATATTATGTCTCTCATGAAACTGTCACTCCTCATTGAAGGATCCGCAGTTTCCACGGTAGCTATGCACTGACAATCACTCCCGATGCTTCGTTAAACCTCATACTCTCCGGGCCAAGACCCGCAGGCGGACGTAGTGGAAGATGTAACCCCCGTCCGGCCGCGCGCAAACGGCCTCGAGCGGGCCCAGCGCCTCGCGGACGCACTCCTCCCGCTGCGCCTCGGGCACCGCGTCGAAGAACTGCTTGCCCATGAGGCGCACCCAGCCCTCGACCCCGCCGGCGTCGGCGGGCGTCGGCCGCCACTCGCGCTCGACGCGCTCCACCTTCCACCCGCCGACGCGCTCCTCCATCATGCGCCGCGTCCACTCCTCGTCCGGGAAGAACCAGGGGTTGGCCTGCCTGGCCCTCTCGAGCCCGATCCGCCGCGCCACGGGGCCCATGATGCCGACCGCCAGCTCCGAGACGTTGCCCAGGCCGCCCATCTCGAAGGCGAACGTGCCTCCGGGGCGGACGGCGGCGGCGACGCCCCGGAAGAACTGCTCCTGCTTGTCCTCGGCCCGCAGGATCCAGTGCATGGCGGCATTGGAGAAGGCCTTTGTGAATTGCTGCTTCTGTAGCTCGGGCCTGGTGACCAGGTCGTTGCAGTCTAGGACTAGACATCACACCGCCTTCATCAACAACAAGTTCACTTCAGAACTTTTGTAGTATTTATGTCCAACTTACCCTCGAAGGTGCAGTTGTTTATTCCCGAGGCCTGAACAGCTTTCTGGGAGGCCGCAATCATGGCAGCCGAGCTGTCGACGCCATGCAGGCGGCCAGTACCCTGTGCAAGGATCTGGCCGATCTGGACATCCAGAACGCCATCTAAGAAGTCTCCGTTAGCACGTGTAGCCATTCAGATATACAGTATCACGAAAACTCACCACCGCAGCCAATGTCAAGGATCACATCGTCTTTTTGAGGGTCAAGCCATTCCATAACCTTGCCGGCGAGCTTTGGCACAAACGAGGCGGCGTGTTGATAGGCCTGCTCTTGTGTTAGTCGAGCTTCCCCGCAATCCACTGAAGCTCAACCACGTACCTCAGAGGACCAGTTGTCCGTTTGTCGCGACATGTCTGCAAGGACTAAAAGATCAATTGACTGTTTCTCTGCCTCTTGAATTGGAGATATACACTGAATTTCTCTGGCCTTTTCGAGTCGGAAATCCTTGGCTTTTATATGTAAGTTGGTCCCCGCCAAGCTTGTCAACTGAATCCATTCAAGGATCCAAGGCCCAGTTCAAACTAGGCCGATGTCGGAGACCATCGTCTTCGAATAGCAATACGCCGGATTCCAAGCAGGTCGTTTGCGGACCCGACTCCAAGGTCCAGTTCAAGAATGGATATTTTCAATATTTAGTCGAATCGTCGAACGATGGACTTTTCCTAGCTACGTAATAGGGTGTGTGTCACCGCCCTGTGAGTCAAAAGTGCTCCGGTATGTCCTCCTTGTGCTGCAACGCTTGAGGGGTACCAAAAGCTATACATGACAATGTTCGCCCTGCAAGTTGGCACCAACAAAAACTTAGTCAACGCTGAGAAGATCATATTTGTCCTCGCCCAGGGCGTTCTCGACCCTCTGCATGAGAGCCAGGACCTTCTCCTCCTCCAGCCTCCGGCCAACAATCTGGACGCCAACCGGCAGGCCGTGCATCTTCGCCGCATCGTAAAACTTGTACGCTCCTTTGGCCACGCCGTTCAGCTTGCGCATGTTGAACTCGGCCGGCAGCTTGTCAAGGTCCTTGTCAACGTGCGTAACAGGAAGAATGCCGGCAGCGTAGTCGAGCTATGAATAATTAGTCCCAGGGTCACCGGTATCGCTCTGACTTGACCAACGCCAATCCCAGGGCTGTCAAACTTACAATGTTAAAGAGAAAAGTATAGCCACAGCTACTAACAGCATCCCTCATGGCCTCGTGTGGCACAGCCGGCGTAGCATTAGGAGGTGTGAGGAGACAGTCGACGTCGGCGCTGTCCCACCAGTCGTACCATTCTGCCCGGTAAGCCTCGCGCTCCTTGACCAGATGCCAGTTCTCATATGCGGACTGGGGACGGAAGTCCCGGATCAACCCAGCCCAGACGTCGTCCCGGCGGATGTACTTGACCCAGAGGTAGTAGATGTACCTGATCGGTCGGGGCAAGTTCATGAGGAAGTCCATCTGGTCTGCGCCGCGATCGTTCCACTCCCCGCTGCGCATAAAGGACTTGAACATCTTACAGCCGTCGGCATTGAGAAGGAGGGCACCCAGTCTCAGGGCTTTGTACATATCAGGAGGGTTGATCTCGACAATCTCGTGGCCCTGCTTCTTCAACGCTTCCTCCACCATGCTCATCGCGCGGACACAAGCAGGGCTGGGATCGACAACGCCATCTGTGCGCAGCACTCCAACGCGCAGCTTCGACTTTGTCAGGTACTCCTTTGCGACGTCAACCCTCCACGGCATGGGGTGGACGCTATGATCGTAGGTCCAAGGCTTCATCTGGACGACGGAGCGGGTAAAGTACATCAAGTCGTTCAGAGTGCGCGCCATAGGGCTGTAGACGGATGGCACGCCTTCCTGGCCGGGCATGGAGGTCGCGAATCCCATCTTTGGCCAACGGCCAGTGGAACAGCGGAGGCTGTAGCAGCCGGCGAAGTGTGCCGGAACCCTGACGCTGCCCGCAACATCGCTGCCAATGCCGATCCTCCCACCCAGGGCCAGGAGGGCCGACTCGCCACCAGTCGAGCCGCCTGGTGTATAGGCGGGATTGTGGGGGTTCGTAGTACGCCCCCAAACATCGTTGGCGGACTCGAAACTCAGAAGTGTGATGGGCAAATTAGTCTTGACGTATGGGACCGCTCCGGCGTCCTTGAGCAAGCGTACGACAGGCCCGTCCTTCTCGGCTGGCTTTCCAGTTTTGCTGCTGTAACCAACGGAAGCGTCGTAGCCACCAACCACAATGGTATCTTTCAAGCTGACGGGGATGCCAGCCAGCGGTCCTTTCATGTTGATGGAGCCGTCTTCAACCCATTTCTCACAATCCGAGATCATGATCTCCGTCAGACAGTTGGTCTTCTCATGGGCCCTGAGCGCCACTTTCCCGTATGTCTTCAGGATATCAATGGGTTTGAGGAAGCCCTGGTGTACGTCTTGAACGATGTCCTGGATTGGCCGTGCGAGGATCTCGCGGTCACTCGACAGGAAGGGTTCATTGTATGCAGGCAGCGAGCGAATGCGCTCTGCGCGTTCCTCTTGCTTGACCTTGCTAGGGTATATGTCAGTGCGCCCAGAAAGGGCATTGAGACGGCGACGGGGTTGGCTGAGCAGGTTGTAGGATTGAAACTTACCAGTCATGCTTGTGCTGTCGGTAGTCTGAGAAGCCCATTACGACGTCGACTGCGGTCAGAGACCACCAGGGGCTATTTGATCTTCAAAATAAAGGCGTACAAGGCTCACGAAGGATTATTTTGCCAAGACAAACGGGGGGATGGCAGTTGAACAACCGTACAGATCCTATCATAGGATTATGCAGAATACCTGTAAAGTCCAAGATAGCTCCAGCTGTCCCAGCAACAAAGATACCTGTGACGTGACACTAGAGCTTTCCCCGCACAGCAGCACCGCGCCGTAGATAGCCGGCAAGGACGGTGTGGGGGCATGGTTGGATCTCCGTGGATCTCCGCACCCACGACGGCCAACACCCAAGTCAGTCGGACGAGTCGAGCGGATGTAACTGCTAGGTCTTTCAAATAAAGGTGAGTACTTGTGGCGATATTCCTTGCTTTTTTCCATGTCGAGGAGAATTACGAACAGTTGCAATGCAACCACTTAGGCCTGCGTGTGCTTCTTAAGGCCTGACACGTACTAACCTGGCGATGCCACTGATGAGAGTCAACCTCCAGGAGACGTCTTATATGGTTCATGGGTCTTCCCGTCGTGTGCGTTTGTAACGGGTAGGCCGGGCGTGCAACCACCTCTCTCGGATGCAAAGAGTGCTTCCCAGTAACAAGCGGATAGATATTTCAGCAATGGCTCCAGAAAGCCAAGTCGAGGACATGGATCCATGTCACCTTACGTATGTCTTACCTGCATACAGGACGCAAGGGTATCACACCACCCAGTCCATTAAGATTGCGATATGAAGCGACCTTGGATCCGACGGGGAATTTCCAATAACGGGCATGTATTCGTCTTTCTTCTTTTTTGCTTCTTTTCTCCCCCCCCACGGATCTTGCATTGTCACCGAGGCCAGAACCACGTCTCACTGCGCGTGCCAACAAGTTGACCGGCGTCATCTCTCCGTGTTTGTGTTCCGTTGATGCTACATGACGGCTGACGGATTGCCTTTAGCTATCTGCGCCAAGATGCGTTCCGAGTCACGGTCTGTAGCACATGATTGAAATGGTTTCCATTAAAATGGGCGGTATTTTGTCCTAAAAGTCTCGCTTCCAGTCCGTCGGGACCATTAACGTTCTTCTCGGCGCTTACAAACTCCTTCTCGTTGGACAATAATGGCACTTCCCCATTTCTAACAACACATTTTCCCTCCGTAGCAGGGCATTCCCTGTACTAACGGACTCTCGCCCTTCCCAGACACGGCTCATTTTCTGCTCTGCCTCTCTTCGGCCCGGGTCTTGACCCCTGTCAGCTCGGAAGTGCCAGCACATGCTGTGGCCCTCGGTCCCGAAACTCAGGTCCTTTATCTCCTCTTCTTTTGAAATTCAAGGACGGTGCTCAGTTATCACTTTCGGCTTGCTACTTCAACTATGGGGGTTGTCAAAGCCATTGTGTGTCAACGTACCTATGAATCTTGTTGAATATGTTGCCGCGCAGAGTTGACAATGTGAAGGAGGCACCAACAAAGTAATTATGCAATTGAGTAACTTCGTATTCGTCCAGAGACAAGCATCTGCAACACGCCCTCTGGCGGGATCTGCATCAGACCCCTGTGTTTGTTGCAGGAAGCAAACAGAAGTGAGGTGTGCCACATTGGGCTGTGGCAGCTGCAGCGCGCTTCAATAATGCAGGGATATATTCCTTTTGTCAAGTTCCCCTCAACCTTGATCGAGGACTTATTGTTATTTGCTTTTTTTCTTCGGCAAGTGTTGTCATCCGTTCTGCTGCTTAAGCCCTTCTCGGACCAGGCTCATCTCCGGTTCCCTGCCCTGAAGGCCGTGATATGGAAGTCCGAAGTAGGCCGCAAGCCTCCTCTGTGCCAGACTTTGTGACACGTCAAGTTCTTGTTAAGCTGGGTAGGTATCTAGGCGCCTTCTTCATTCCGCACTGTCTTGTTTGACACCCAGGATGCGATGGGCACCTTGGACACAATCATCCTGTTGTGGCCGAGACACCTGTTTAACCAGCATCCTTGAACCAACCTACCCACCACCGTCGAGTAGCCACCAATGGTATGGGTCATCCCAACCCGAGGCTCTGGGACTGCATACAGTAGCCTGAAGTTGGCGGGTCTTTCGAGTTCATGACAGGCTCAAAGATCTCTCTGGCTGACCATCTCTCCGCCAGCCCACACATCCATCGATGCTAGGTGTCCTCCATCGCCCCGTAGTACCCACGCAGCACTTTTCAGTAGCAGCAAGATGTGCACCTGCGGGCTGCCATATCAGGCAATGTTCGAAGCACTTTTGTTTTTCCCGCCCCCAAATCAGTCCAACCAACAGTCTGAACGCGCGATCCAACAGCCCTCCCATCCAAATTGCGTGAGTGATTAGCGCGGTGTCTGCTTGCTTTGGACAGCAGCTCGTAGAGAGAGCACGGCCACAACATCAAAGTACTTAAGCAAGTTCACGGGCTGCGCCTGCGCTCCCGCTGTTGCAACCACAGGCTGGCATCCCCATCCGATCTGTCTCGCACCGCTGGCTTTGGATTGTGCGAGGCCCCTTAGTCTAGATAAGGTGCGCATACAGTAGGACTTGGTCTCTGCCCTCCAGCTCCTTGCCAGTATGGCCATCTCTCCCTTGGAGTATGCTTCAACACTACAGCAGCGACACGCCTATTCGTCAACGCCACCAGTTCGACAGTATGGAATCCCATCTCAGTTCACGCCTTTCAGAACCTACCAGCCCAGGCCACTATCCCCTGCCAATTACCCATCTATGATGAGACTCTCTCCTCCAAAGGTGACCCCGTCACCAACACCTCGGCCATCACTCTCAGGACTCGAGCGATTACCAGTGCACATTCTGACCCAGATCTCCTACTTTCTGGGATACAAGAACGTTATTCACCTTTCGATGACCAGCCGGCGGTTCAATGAACTACGTCAGAAGGGCTGGCTCAAGTCCGATTGGGAGGATAAGTTTACGTTTGTGCTCGAGCAGGAGCGTAAACTGAGAAGGAAGGGAGGAAAAGGCGGCGCAAGCAGCAGCCAGTTTGACGACTACGCATGTTACATGTGCTTCAGAATCAAAGACGCTGATGACTTCGCCAACACGACGTATCTGCTCGACTACGCACAGGTCACCTCTGTCGACCCTCACACAGATGCACGCAGATATCGAGGTCTGCCCTCTGCGGACCCAGCTGAGACCCCTGATGTCAGGACTCAAGCCTTGGTTCCATCTCCGTATGCGGAAGGCTCCTTCGCCTCTCCGACACCTTCTCTGCTGCGTCTGTCGGGGCACCAGGCGCCAATACCAACACCGTCACTCAAGTATCGACCGAGCCAGCCAGGGGAGGTCGAGTTGCTGCGAAACTACTGCATTCGCTGTGGTATTGAGAGCGGTCTGCACCCTGCCGGGGAGGCAATTGAAACGAGGCTATCCAAGAAGAGAGTCTGGATATGCTTGTGCGGCCACCAGTATAATGAGAGCCAGGTGGAGAGATGTGCTACGTGCGGACTGCATCCGGTACTCAGTAGCAGATGATACGTTGCAGTCCGATCTGGGCTCAAGGAGATGGACGGGCTGTTCGTTTGCTGTCTGGCATTTTATCATCGCAGAAGGGATGGCTCTTACAGCTTTGGGATGGTTCTCTTACCGTAAACGTTTGGCATGATTTTTATTGAGGACAGATGGAGGCTGTATCGTAAATCTTGTCACTTTAGAGTGGTTAGTCGCTCATCATACAAGTAACATCTAACTGAAAGCCAATGCTCTCGAAAGTGCCGAATTCTTGGCCCTCATCGTCTCCCTGGTCCCACGCTCCTTCCCCCTATTTCTAAATTTTGCGACATCATTCTTTCCATCGATAGAGGTGGTCCATGCCGGAATAAAAAAAACCTTGGAAGTTCACACTCATTCAAACCCTAAACACACACTCTTTTAAATCCTGCCACAGAACCTGTTTCTTTCCGGCTTTCTCCCACTTCCTCGGCCACGAATACCTTACAATCATGAAGAGCCCCCCTCGATATCCTCGTCGTTCAGGCCATCGACCTGACTATGATGTCCGCGCGGTCTTCAGAGCAATCGCGAAAAACGAAGCAACAGATGAGGAAGATGTGAAGGAGACCCGGCCACCCCGTCGACGAATGCGTCACCCAGGCCATGGCAAGATCGTCGAATCTGATGACGAGCTCAGGACATCATTGAGAGACAGCACCACTGAGCAAGAGGGCCCAGAGGAAGAGAATGACGTGGAAGATGGTGGTGACCTTGTTTCGATTGACTGGTCTGGCATCTGGCAAGGTGCTCTAGATGAATGCGAAGAAGCTCTAGGCAAAGAACCCCAACCAAGCGCCTCGAACAACGTACTCCCAGAAGGAGAAGTCAAGCTTGACGAGACCAAGGCGGCTGAAATAATCGAGAGCGATTCAGATGAGGACGACCACCACTTCGAGGTCAGGACCAGGCGGGATCTCCCTAGAGAAGACTTTCGAGATTTGGTATGTGATAAAACCCAGCTGGTGCTCTCGTCGGGATTACTTCAATGCCTAATGAATCGAGTAACAGTGCCGCGAGATCACGCACGATATCGCTCGGTCTGAAAGCGAGATGCAGTTCGATTCCAGGGCTATCGATCTTCTCCAAGAGGCCACTGAGGATTGTCTCGTGAGTGTCTTCAAGGCAGCTGGCCGCCTTGCGGCAAGGGACGGAAGGGACACGGTCACCACGGTAAGTTGCTTGGTATACCTGTGTGTAACGTTTACGGTCATGACTGACCATGACAGGCTGATATACGTACGGTAGTTGAGGTCGCAGGATGGTCGACTTAGCGCTCGACACAAGTGAACTCTGGGATGATTGGGCGATTCATGCGAAACGGTTTGATATTGATGAAAGCTATCCGGTGTTGAAGGCCGAGAAGGTTTCCAAAATAATCGTACGAAGGCATAAAGGTCTTTGGGAACGGAGTTACAGGAGGTACCTATCTCAAATCTCAAAACACCAAAGGATTTTTCAAAGGAGTTTATGGGACAGTCAGTGATGCAATTGTTCTTCTTGATGGCAAGAGGGGTTCAACGGATGACAGCAGCAGGTTTACCACGGGGCTGTCGTCTTCCTCAATGAGAATGGAGATGCAGTGCACCTTGAGCGGGCCGAGATTTCAATACATAGGATGAGAGACCAATGAGAGCATCATCTTCCCAGAAAACTAAGTATTGAGCTCGAGAAGATATGACAAAAGATCATACATTACTTTGAGCCAACCTGTGGCGTAACTTGTCGTCCGATTGGCATCTACTGACGCATCCCTTGACGAGGTGGCAAACTTGCATCCAAAAACGAGTAGAGATGAATAAGTAGTGACTGTGCCTGTGACTTTGCCGCTCATGAGATTAATCAGGTCGGAGTCAGAACACTGGTTATGCTATAAAGAGAGGTAGTAGGTTCGGTTCCTCGTCCAGGAAGTCTTGTCCCCTAGACAAATTTCATGCACTATTCCCGCTCTTGACAGTCCATTACGCGACAAAACGGAAGCCAGCGGCTTTTAATTTTTCTTTTCTTTTTTTAAAAAAGGGAAAAGAAAAACAGCGACGGAAACACTAGAACATCCAGATCAGGTCATCGAAAAGACTGGCTGAGAGGGCTTTTGTTGCGGTGACATATTGGAGGCGTCGCAGTTGATCATCAAGACATCCCCAGCAAAGTCCAACGCTTTTCGTGGATCAAGGCACCGTGCAGCTGATCAGTTGAGGAAAGCGAGTATCTATCTGGCCCCAGCACTCCTCTTTAGGCAGACATTGAGGAAGTCGAGGCCGGAATCAGTGTTGCCTCGTTCAAAGCATTGGAAAGTCGCCCCAGAAACGCCAATCCAGCCTCGGCATCTATCTCCCTCGCTAGGAAAGAACGGCCTGGAAACCCTCCCACCTTCGAACCCGACTTGAAGCTCACGCAAGAGGCCAGGATACCACAGCAGACCGCGATCCCAAGAGACATCTTTACCTGCTACACCAGCAACCTTACAGGACTCTTACAGCGCTTACAGCGTCACTCTTCATCACAAATAATATATTCTCCTAGCTCATGGACAGCACCATGCTCTCGCATTAGCCTTCTCGAGCCCAGCAATTATCATTAAAGTCATCGCATTGCCCGTTATCGTCAGTAAAGGAGGCCCAAGCTACGTCTCAATCCAGCCGTCCGCTTGAAATATCAGGGCATCTCATTACTCATTCTCGGCGGCAGACTTCGAGACCTTCTACTCGACCAGGCCCGTCGTGTGTATCCACGAAATAGGCAACTATCCTTAGAGATCGTATCGTGACACCTCGGCAACTTCAACAACGGCGCCTGGTGTGATTCTATAATAATCGACTCTTCACCTCGTCTTGAACTCCGTGCTCCTACCTAGTGGTCTCATATACCCACCCTCCTGGATCATTTCACAACTCTTCCAGGCCATACTGCTGTTTCAAGACTCCTCTACTTCTGGATTTCGCTCTCCTGACTTTTACTTCACTCTTTTTGACTCGCCATTGACCCTTCGGTCTTCACTTCCAATCACCCGACATTCACTTTCGTCTCGGTCCTCTTTTCTCTGTATCAATTTCTGTAAGGTAAGAGCTAAAACGTTTCACAATAAATACTACGCCCAGCCCTTGAAGCCTAAGCTCATGTTTTACAAAGTATATATAAGCAAATTATATCTCACATATTCAACACCCACCTCCGAAACTCTTCATCATCACCTTGCCCTTCCACACACAACCCAAGCCAGGGAGAGACCTAGTTCTCGAGGCTTGTTGAAGACTTTTGTAAGCTGAACCTTTTTTGACTGGTCAAGTGAAGCAAAACTAATACGTTCAAGCCTTCTTTGCCATGCCTTGTCTCTACCAGGTGATTCACCTGCCAACTTTCTCAACCCTTCCAGCAACGCCCCATTCCTCAGATGTAAGTAATCAAGCCCCCAGCACAAGACCCGAGCCTGCAACTGACATATGGATATTCAGAGAGCATGCATCGCACAAAACACTATGACCATGGATCTCTTCGAGGTAGTTCCTCACTGGGATCTTCCTCGAACAGCCGCGAAACTACCCATGCATTTTGATAGAACTCAAATCACTTTGGGTTCAAGTCACCTTGAACTTGAATGCAGGTTCACAGTTGGGTCTGACAGCCATAGGGCACTGTCGACTTTTTATTAGGTCAAGCCTCTAGTCATGGCGGCTCTAGAAGAGAAGACACCCGCGGAGGCTGAGGTCGTTCAGCCTCCGTGCGCCCCGCACAACGACGCGCACCACGCCGTGGATGATGTATTTCATATTGGGGAGTACCATGGACGCAATGTGTATCATCTTGTAACAAAGTGAGTAGTACCCTCGAGATATGCATACAGTTCAGATCTAAGAATATTCAGAATCGAGAATCAGCTGGCAGCCGTCCGCACTTGGACGGGAATACCGGGCTTCCGGTATCTGCTGAACAAGGTGGAGGGTATGGAACCAGAAAATGGTTCCGAGTTCGAGAGCAAAGTCTCCGAAGACGTCAATACTGGCGATGAGCTTGTCAAGGCGCAGGAGGCGCCCGATCAAGATATCCTCTTTGCCAACGAGTTCTTCGAGGTGAGACAATCTAGCCTAGGTGGTTACGGTGCCTTTGCGGCAAAGCCATTACCCGAGAGACAACCGATTCTCGTGGAGCTCCCGCTGCTGAGGACGAACTCCATGGACTTGATGAAGAACTTTGCAAATCTGTCGCCCTATAAGCAGAATGCATTTCGCTCGCTCCATGCCTACCACCCGAACCCCTCGGCAAGTCACCTGGAGGCAGTATGGAACGCGAATGCGTAAGTCCTGGTACCAAGGCCCATCCGGATCAAAATGCTAACACTCACCCAACATGTAGCTTTGAGACTCACCCGATGAACTCCGCCTACGCCATTGCTGCGAGATTCAATCACGCCTGTCCGCCGGCCAACAACGTCAAGTACGCCCAGGATCGGCCGCGCGGGGTCATTGTTTTGACAACCAGCAAGCCCGTGGAAGAGGGTCAGGAGCTGACAATCTCGTACGGAGGTACCAGTCGTTCCCTCCTTGAGAAGTACGGCTTCCAGTGCAGCTGCGGTGCTTGCTCTGGGGTCTCGAATGCCGACGCCGTGGTGCGGGAGCGGGGTGAGTGGTGAGAGTCGTCCCAGGCGCTGGTATGTACGACCACTGTGGTGATTTTCGACAAATGGACATTTCTTCCTAGACATGCTGCGATAGAGATGGTAGTACGTGTGGTTGGGCGGCGTTTGGGTGCTTGGGATGCTGGAGATTACGGAGGAGGGTCAAAGTGAAGGAGCACCATCGTCACGGGAGCATTATTCTTATTCTTCGCAATCTGTCGCAGACTTTCTCATTAGCAGCGAAGCATTCCATAAGAATCGAGCCTTATTATTCCCTTTCTCATGCGATCGAGACCGATGTAAGTCTTGATAGGTATGTTTCCGGAACGGGTGAACGGGGATCGGGAGGGGCCGGTGATCCACATGGCCCGGACGGTTGGCTGTGGTGAGATGAAGCTTAAACGGACGCTCACCCCCCACTACGCCCCTCCTCCTCGTATCCATGATGTGCATCCCTGTCTGTTCCTAGCCTGGCCGTTTCAGCTCCCTTCTTCATCGTCTACTTTGCCGGAGATCATCTCTGGAAATTAATTACAGCTTCTCAACTCCTCAAAGACGGTGCCGTGGATCTTCTGCGCTCCGCCTCTGAACATCTTCACAACTCTAATTCCAACGTCCTGCCCTCCCCTTAAACACCACTTATACACCGAACAAAAAGCCAGCATCAAAGCCATGGCCGCCGACGCAAGCTCCATCCGCACCGTGCAGACGGCCTCGGTGGTCCTCTCGACCGCCCTGGCCGGCGGGTCCGCCGCCGTCTCGGCCTTTGTCATTCCGCGGCTGCTCGAGTCGCCCACGCCGCTCATGCTGCGCCAGTGGGGCCGCATGTTTGACGCGACCAAGTTTGTCTTCCCGGGAGGCTCCGTCGTCGCCGCCTCGGCCTACCTGTACCTCTACCTCGCGCCCCGCCTGGGCGGTGGCGGACCCGCCGTCGTCGTAAGCAGGGTCACGGGCGGCAGCGGCTGGTACCTCGTCGCCGCGGCGCTGTGCGCGGGCTTCCTGCCGTACACGGCCGTCGCGGTGCTGCCGACCAACAGGGTCCTGGCGGCGCGGGTGGACGAGGCGGACCGCCTGGCGCTCAAGGACGGGGTCGAGGAGGAGGTGCCGTCTGTCGCGACGGCGGTGGCGACGGCGGCTTCGGAGAAGAAGACGCAGGGCGGCTGGGGCGAGGACAAGACCTCCAAGTGGCTGGTCGACCACTGGGGGATCATGAGCCTGCCTCGCGCGGCCATGCTGGGCCTGGCTGGTGTCATTGGCGCGTGGGCTTCGCTCTGAGGGATGGCGCCTGTGGTTGAGGGTTCTTGTGTGTTACACTTGGGGATCACTTGCATGCGAATACGTGTGCGGGATAGGCTATGGCAGATTGATGACTGGTGGGCTGGCTCGGGATTTTTGGGAGTTTCTTTTTTTTCCTTTTTCTTTTTGGGCTATGTTATTGCTCCGTGGATATCTTACTAGGCGTTTTCCTTTATGAACCTAATGATAGAATCAATCTGGTATTGACTCGTCCCTCCCCTTTCCACACCTGCACTGCCCTCCGCTCTCTCAAATCCTATAAGTCACCGTCTTGGTCCGGAACCACTCGTCGAGCGCGCTGGCGTTGAAGCGCCCGTGGCCGCTCGCCTTGGCGCCGCCGTGCGGCAGGGCCGTCTCGTCGTGCACCGTCATGCTGTTGATGTGCACGGCGCCCGTCTCGATGCCGCGGGCCAGGCGCAGGCCCCGCTGCAGGCTCTCGGTGAAGACGGCGCTCGACAGGCCGTACTCGGTGTCGTTGGCCAGGCGCAGCGCCTCCTCCTCGGTCTCGACCTCGAAGACGGCCACCGAGGGGCCGAAGCTCTCGGTCTTGTAGATGCTCATCTCGGGCGTCACGCCCGTCAGGATGACGGGCCGCATGCGCACGGCCTCCGAGGCCGGCTCGTCGTCGGCCGTGCCCAGCGCCACCGTGGCGCCGCGGTCCCGGGCGTCCCGCACGAGCGACTTGACCTTGTCCTGCGCCTGCCGGCGGATGAGCACGGGCGCCTCGGCGGCGCCGCTGCCAAAGATCTTGTCGCTGGCGGCGACGAACTTGTCCTCGAACGCCTTGGCCACGCGCCTGTGCACGATGACGCGCTCCGTGCTCATGCAGATCTGGCCGGCGTTGAGGAAGGCGCCGAGCGCGCACTGCGTGGCCGCGAGCTCGAGGTCGGCGTCCTCCCAGACGATGGCGGGCGCCTTGCCGCCGAGCTCGAGCAGCACCGGCTTGAGGTTCTCGCCGGCCAGGCGGCCGATGATGCGGCCGACGTTGGTCGAGCCCGTGAAGTTGATCTTCTTGACCTCCGGGTGCTTGACCAAGGCCTCGGTCACCTCGGCGGCCTGCTCGGGCGCCGAGACGAGGAAGTTGAGCGCGCCCGCGGGCAGGCCGGCCTCGGCGAGGACGGAGCACAGGGCCCACATGACGCGGGGGCTGAACTCGGAGCCCTTGAAGACGACGGTGTTGCCGGCGGCCAGCGGGAAGAGGATGGCGCGGGTGCCGAGGATGTAGGGGGCGTTCCTTGCGGGTTTACTTGTTAGCATCGAGAATTCCCCGCTTTCTCTCTCTCGGGAAAGTACGTGACGTAAAAATAAAATAAAAAAAAGGTTGGTTCCCCAAAACTCACCAGGGCGCAATGGCCAAGACGACACCGAACGGCTCCTTGAGCACCATCGCGCCGGTGTTCGGGTCCTGCGTCAGCGGCACGCGGCCCTCGGCGGCGGGGCCCAGGCGGCCCGCGACGTCGATGAAGAAGTCGCCAGCGACGTCGAGGTTGAAGTTGGCCCAGGCCTCGGCGGCGCCCGTCTCGGCGGCCATGTACGAGGCGAGCTCGGCGCGGCGGCGGGTCATGACCTCGGCGGCCTTGAGGAAGAGGTCGCGGCGGCGGCGCGGGGTCCAGGCGCGCCACTCGGGCAGGGCGGCGGCGGCGGCCTCGACGGCCTGGCGGGCGTGCTCGGCGTCGCCCGTCGAGGTCTGGTGGACGTTCTTGCCCGTGGCCGGGTTGAAGACCTGGTAGGGCGCCGACGGGTTGGTGTGGGTGACGACGTCCTTGCCCCCGATGAGGAGGGGCACCGTGTAAGAGGTGTCTCCCATGGTGTGTGTGTGTTAAAAAAAATGCAGTGCTTTTGATACTCTTGTGAAGCTCGAGGCCGGGGAGGTGGGAAGCAGATACTAATATGAGCCTTGGATTTTACACGGCTTTGCCACAGATGGCTTGGGATAGTTACGAAACAGAGATGAAACCCTGCTTTTACAACTTTATAAAGGAAGGAAACAAAACTAAATGCAGATATATCCGTGCCAGCCCAGGAACAAGGCCTAGGCATATGTACTTGTATGTCAAGGATTAATGGGACCGAAAAGATCAAACCCCGCAGGTCTTTGGTCAAGCACTGCCTATTTTCTCTGTACGAGTTACTACTTGTACGGAGTAGGAGGGTGGAGGCATCGTGGGTACTGGTTCTGGATTGCACCGAGTGGGATAGCAACTTGTTTATTGGCAAAGTTCCCGTCCCAGTGGTAGTGGAACAAGCCTCTTTGCTTAGTCTGTGAACTAAGAACAGGGCGGCCGGTGGTGGCTCCAGGGTCGGAGTAGAACAGGAAGAAGCTCGGACTTACTATCATGATGTCAGTTAATGAAGGGGCAAGAGACCACGAAAGAAACGCTTCTCTATTGGGCCCCAAGCTCTGGGCACACATAAGGACCTCCTGCCATGAAACTGGAGCGACGGATGTGAAGCCGTTGTGCGGCGAGGTACGTCGAACAAGAGCTTCCCCGCACCGACGCCTCGAGCTGCAAGGGCTTAATCTTGTTAGCGATGGATGGACGGGGCGGCATTTAGGACACGGCAAACGCATGTCGTCGATACCTCTCCACCCCAGAGGCTGCGGACATAGGATCCGCCGCTCGACGACACCACCTGTGGCGACTGCGGATCTGCATCCGTATTGGGTAACGTGCTCTTCTGTAGACCAGGCTTCTGTAGATTATATCAGCATTGACAAACCACCGCCAGACTAAGTAGTCACAGACACACGCCCTGGACTGCTTGTTCGATTGCTCATCCGTCGCTTTTTTATGCGTTTTCTACTAATACAAATGTGCTTGCTCACTGGTACCTGGTCGCTGCTCACTTGAACCGCCAAAACTACGGGATGCAAAAGTCGATCCAGCTCCCCAGGTAGTCCAGTCTGTTGGACATGCTCTCCTCCGTCCTGTAAATCTTCTCGAACTCGTCGTAGCTCAGCTTGCCCCAGCCGCCGCGTTCTGCCGCTTGCCTCTCGGCCATGTCGAGCAGCTTCCACTCGATCAGAGTCCTGCGGGGGATGGGCTCCTCGCCCCTCGTCCGGGGGACTTCCTTGTTCTTCATCTTGTCCTTGGCCTTTCTCTTATGCTTCTTCCGGATTGCCACATTCGAGAGGCCGCTCGTGGACGTGCTCGTTGCCACAGACGCTGCAGAATCGGAGTCGGTCCCATTAGGCACCTGGACGTAGAACGCAGGCTGCGCACTAGGCGCACTGTTAGGGCGGAATTGCGGCATCGTCGGGTCCCTATCCTCGACGGCCACCTCGGCCGGGGGAGACGGAGTGCCCTCGCTGCCCGAGTCCACCTCCTCTCGCATGATATCTTCTATGACCTCCAGTTCTGGCATGTCCTCCTCCTCCGGTGTCCACGATGCTGGCCGCTGGATCGTATAGCCGCTCCGGTTAAGAAGCTCCTTAAGCGTCTCGTCCTCAGGCTGTCCAGCATCGTCCACTCCTTCTGTGAGATCGAGGTTTTCGAACAAGTGCCGGTACTTGTCTCGCTGCGCGCTCGTCTCCGCAGCCTGTATGGCCAGATCCTCCTTCGCCTTGAAGAGGATATCCAGTAACTCGTTAAAGGCTTGCTGAGTAACTTGATAAAGAATTTCCTTGCCGGCATCACGCTCCGCTTCGGGAATGTCGATGCCCCCCCACCGCTCGGGAACGCTTCTTGACGAAGTCGAAGGGTTCGACCGGATCTCATACTCATCGGGGTCTTCAGCAAACCGCACCTTAGAAGACGAACGTGACCGTGGCGAGAGGACGTGCTGCTGAGCAGCCTTTGAGCTTTCGGCAGCGGTGCTCTCATTTCTCAGGATATCCTGCTTGACATCCCAGCCTGGCGGGGCCACGGCACCTTCCTCCTCGTCCAGATAGAATTGACGGCGCTGCCACCGTTCGTATATTCTCCGGCGTGCCTGCTTGCGGGTCCCCGAGTTCATACGTCCACTGCGGCTTTGACTGTGGGCAAGGATAGCCTGATGCTGAGCCAGAATCTCGCTCTCAGTGGGCTGATGATCGTTCTGCCGAGAATTGGAAGCAATGCCGTTGACGTTGTCCGCATTCTCATCGTGCTCTGCTCCCACGTGCGCATTGACAGCTTCCGGATCGTGCTCATGCGCATCCTGCACCTCGACAGAACGCCGGACGTGAACCCCGGCGGCGTCATGGTCACCGAGATGATGATGCTCTTCGTCGCCATTGGCGAATATCTCGTCAAGAACGGGGTTGTCGCCCATCAGTACGGCAGGGAGCTCCTGTATGCTGGTTGGAGGGTCGAGCAAGGTTTCCCAGTATCGCAAATCAGCTTCCGTCGCCGGAGACGGGGATCGCTCGGACGCGTACGGGCGGTCAGGAAATAACCGCGAGCTTCTATGCCCACTGCGACTGAATAGTCTTGCCAAGACGTCTGCACGGTCCGAAGTGTCTGGCTTGTCCTCGCCAACCACACGTACGTGAGCATCGCTTAACTCGACATCGCCATTAGAATGGTAAATTTTGCCCTCCAGGTGGCGGCCGTGTTCTGCTTGAGGTACACGGCCTTCCCTCCCGAAGAGACTGCTGAGAGGTTGTCTGCTGGACACTAATTGATGTGCCTCGCTGCTGCTCATAACCTGATCGTCGAGGCCCTCGAGAATGTCCTTGTGCATCTGCTTGTAGAGCACATAGTATGCCCGGAAGATGCGGAGGAAGTCCCTGCGAGTGATAAGCCCGTCCCGGTCGACATCATACCCATCAAATATCTTTCGCAATTTGTCTTTCCTCTTACGGTAGGACAGTCCATGGAGAAATTCGGTGAAGCCAATCAAGTCGTCGTTATTCGTGTCGTAAAAGGAGAACATGCGCTCGTGGATCAAGTTCGGGGCAGTGTGACGGTACCCCCCAGAGGGGACGAGACAGCGCTCAAACGTCTTCCGATCCATGGCCAAGTACAGGTCGTCTGGGTCTTCCCTCCATTCCGTGTTTGCCATGAATGTCCATTGCTCCCAGAAGGCCTCCAACTCCGGACGTTCAAAGCCCGTGTCCCGCGACAGCTTGATCATCAGGCTCTTGGGAAGAGACCTCAGGCAAGTATCCGGATCTCCAGGATACCACACCGGCTGCATCTGTCGCGGGCCGAAGGGCGGGGCGGGTATCTTGACCTTGTAGAATATGTGTGTCTTGATATGGAGTCCTTGGGATTCGCACGTCTCGCAAAGGTCAAAGTCTGCACAGTTCGCGCATCGATATCGAATGCCGCGTATGGGCACTATGCCGCATGCATTACAGGCGCAACCTCGATGTACGTATGCATTTCGGCGAGCATTGTCTTCCGACACTCGGAACAGCAGGCTGACGATGTTTTGGCCCGCCCGGTGGGCTTCTAGTTGGGTGGGATCGTCCCACCAACTGTCGTCGATGGGTTCGTCAACCACCGTCTCGCCATCTGTGTGCGCTTGCGCAAGACCGAGGTCGATGTTCTCGTCGCCGTGGGATTCGACAGAGGTGTAGGAGGATGCGTTGGACTCGCGACGCTCGTGGGCCTGCGACCTACGCCGGGGCCGGCGAACGGCATTGCTCCGATGTAGCCGGCCGCCCTGGGAGCCTTCTGGATGGGATGATGCGGCTCGAGCTTCGCGCAGGATGTAGAGGCCTACGGATGCTGCAGCCGCAGCTGTGAGAATGGCTAGAGTGATTCTCGGACGGGTCAGCGTCGAGGCAGACGACGAGGAGAGATCCATCGGGAACGGTCGGCGCAGATCAACATTGTAGAGCCATCTGGAGCATGTCGAGGCGTCTGGGCAAGATCGCTACAGCGTGTAGCTGCAATATGGATAGCGCACCGTCGATGCTTTTAGGATGATGTCTTGGGGCGATATTGTTGCTGTATGTACGCAGCTTGAGTTAGGAGTGCCAGGTCTAGTCTCAGAGGTAGCTTAGCTCCAAGGCTACGTAGGTAGGTAGGTCCCTTTCAAAAATTATGGGTGTGGTGGAGAGCTGACTCTTTACGGGCTAAACAAGTACTAATTTGCACCAAGTTCCCAATAGCAATACCTGGCCGACAAGTACTTGGATATTAGTCTGTCTCATCCCAGTACTTGTAGTATGCAGTTGCCAGTCAGCGCCAACCTCAAACCTGTAACCTCATAGGCGGCTCGCACCACTGAAACGCGTGGGTTCTTAGTTTCCAGGGCCTTCGGGGTGCCTGATTAATTCCATTTCTTTGGCGTCGGATGATTGCCACTAGTGTAGAAATTTGATCTGAGCCGCCCTAGAGTACTAGAGTCCAAGTCGTCCCTGGTATCTGCGCGTCGGTCTCCGAGAGTGAAAATGCAAATCGGGATCAGATGTAACGATATCGGAATTTGAATTTCTCACGCGTGCCCTACCAACCTTACTCTACTTTACGTATTGGCTATTTATGAGTCTCGTTTGCCAAGGCTGTCTGTCTACCGTCTGAAAGAGGTCGCCGTCATCGCGTTTCCTCTACTAATTCTCGCGACAGCTTATCAATCACGCCTTGTCCGACCTTCGGCCTCCGCTGGATCCCGTAGGACCGCCTAGAATATTCCTCAATCCACTTCACTTCACCTCTTTTACCTCAGCTAAAAGGTACCACGGGCTGCATACGCCATCCGCTTATCGCGAGGACTAGCGTCTTGTGTGCTCAACCCTTTTTATTCTCCAAGGAACCCCGCCCTGGACAAGTCGCGAGGTTCTGTCCATCACCGCCAAGCTGTTTTCCCAATTCTCACGGCGCACCATAAGGTCGAGCGCTGCTTCTGGCTTGTGGTTCGCTGCTCTCGCTACGAGCACAACAGGATATAAAGCAAACGCCTCTTCCCCGGCCCACGAGATCAAGACCCAAATCAGGACCATGCATAACAAGGTTGTGATTATCGGCTCCGGGCCCGCCGCCCACACGGCCGCTGTCTACCTGGCCCGCGCCAACCTCAAGCCCGTGCTGTTCGAGGGTATGATGGCGAACGGCATTGCGGCTGGTGGCCAGTTGACCACGACCAGCGATGTCGAGAACTTCCCTGGTTTCCCCGATGGAATCCTCGGCCAGGAGCTGATGGTAAGCCACTATCATATCCCTGGGGGCCGAGAGCCGATAGATAGCAGCAGTCCACTAACCTCTTGGGCCAACAGGATCGCATGCGCAAGCAGTCAGAGAGGTTCGGCACGGAGATCATCACCGACACCGTCAGCAGCCTCGACCTCTCCTCGCGACCCTTCAAGTTCACCACCGAGTGGAGCCCCGAGGAGACCCGCACCGCCGACGCAGTCATCATTGCGACCGGTGCGTCGGCCCGGCGACTGGGCCTCCCGGGCGAGGACAAGTACTGGCAGAACGGGATCTCGGCCTGCGCCGTGTGCGACGGTGCTCTTCCCATATTCAGGAACAAGCACCTGGTCGTTATCGGCGGCGGTGACTCTGCTGCGGAGGAGGCTATGTTCCTCACCAAGTTTGGAAGCAAGGTCACCGTTCTCGTGCGCAAGGACAAGCTGCGGGCCAGCAGCATCATGGCCAAGCGCCTTCTCAGCCACGAGAAGGTCGAGGTCAAGTTCCACACCGTCGGCGTGGAGGTTAAGGGCGACGACAAGGGCCTCATGAACCAGATGGTCGTCAAGAATGTCAACACCGGCAAGGAGGAGACCCTCGAGGCCAATGGTCTCTTCTACGCCATCGGCCACGACCCCGCCACCTCTCTTGTCAAGGGCCAGGTTGAGACGGACGAGGCTGGTTACATTCTCACCAAGCCCGGCACCACGATCACGAGCGTCGAGGGCTTGTTCGCCGCCGGTGACGTCCAGGACAAGAGGTACAGGCAGGCTATCACCAGCGCCGGTAAGTTCATATTTTTCTCCGAACTCGAAAACATGGCTGGCTTTGCTAACGTTCTGTCTCAGGCACCGGATGCATGGCTGCCCTGGAAGCTGAACAATTCCTTTCCGAGCACGAAGAAGCCGCTGCCACTCAGGACCGAAACGGTAGCAGCCTATGAAGAGAGTTCAATTAGATCAATTAGAGATACGCGGGAAAAAAGAATAGACCAGCGGAATAGACAAAGACATCAGTCCAAACTGCCTTCTGGCCCTTCTTCATCCCATATGAGTCAACCCAGACCTGGGTCATCATGTCATTCATCTCGCCCATTAGACTGCCCAAGCTAATGTACACAAGCTGGTCTCCGCGGCGCCCAAGTTGACGCCCGTCTTCCTAGTCTCGTTCGGTGGACTGGGCGCGTGACGTGAGCCTGGTCAGTTTGGAGGCAGGATGTCATCCAGCTGAATTGATTGCAGGGGCCCTTGCTCGTCTGGGGCTTTCCACCCCGGCTCTTCGTCGTGAATATGTGACCGAGTGTGAGTTGTGCTTGGTTTCACACCGTTCTTTCCAAGCAATCCTGGCTCGTTCTCATGGAAACTCCGCGCAACAAACCCCTCGTTCTTGCTCACTAACAAAGTTTGGGAGCGACAACCATGCCGGGGCGGATCCCCGTGGATTGCATTTAAACTCAGCCCAAAGGACCAGCCAAAGCCCACCCTTTTCCTCCTCTCACCACTTCAATCAGCCCATCTTACCACTCTCCAAAGCCCAAGCTTTGACTCTCTTGCAACACCAAACCTCCTTCGCAACTTGAAAGCAAATACCGCCAAGATGGGCCACGGCGAATACTCGTACAAGAGCTCCGGCACCAACAGAGAGGCATGTCTCCATCCTCGCATTATTGCTCGCCACAATCACAACCTGACCAAGCTGTAGGGCAACCATTACTGCGCTCGCGACTACGGAAACGGTTCCAACGCGTACCACTATTCCAACACGTAGGTCCTGCTTATTTATCCCTGGAGCCCCATTGTCGTTATAGGCTCACACTCTGGTAGGGATGGCTCGTACTACTACTCCAACCCCGATGGTAGCACCTACCACAACAACGGCGCGGGAGGCTCGACCTACACCTCCCCCAGCGGCGCTTCGTACACCTCCGGCTATGGAAGCGGTGGGAGCGGTGGTTCCGGGGCCTCCGGCAGCTCTAGCTCCTCCGGGAGCCAGAAGTGAGCTCTCACAGGCGTGCTTGGCGAGCAGGCTCGGCAGGTCGTGATCGTACTGTAGCATTAGCTCCACAGAGGACAAGGTCCTGAATCCCAAACTCTGCCTTCTGCACATTCGCACGCCTTGCTCATATATGACATGACTTGTGCTCGGTGATGTCCTACCGCTGTCGTCCCTCGCCAGAGACAGAAAAGCAGCCCACGCAAGCCCTAGGGTATCCAACCAGCTTGCTAAATAGGGTTAACAAGAGAGCTTTATACTGGGGCCGGCTGCGCGTCCATGCCCAGTGCTTGGGCATCATGGCAGCCACAGTTACAGCCCGTTCCGCTTCCCGGCATACGGCCGGCATGAGTTTCAGTGGCTCAACTTGGCTCCTCCCGAGACCTGCAGCAGCTATTTACATGTCGCGTCACGCAAGGTCTGCAGACAGCCGTAACCACTTACCTCGTTCGGGGGATATGGGTATGACAGAGCAGCATAGCCCTCTCCACAGCCGGGAGGGGACGACGTCTAGGCCCCGCCCTCCTCGTCCCTCCTCGTCCCTCGTCGTCCCCATCCGTCACCTTGCAACCTGGTGGAGCAGCCTTCCCTTCGGGCACAGAGCTAGAGCAGGGTCTAGGCCGGATCGCCCACGGTGCGAGGTAAGCAGGCGGCCAGGAGCAGCTATCGATAAGCAGGGGTTTGCGTGAGGAGGCGAGGCGAGGCTCCACCTGCAGACATGGGGGACATGGTTGAGGAGCAAGGATTGCCTCTGCTCACCTTGCCTGGCTCCTCTTTTCACCGACGTGTGCACTTTTTGTGTGAAAAGGCGGCGAAACACCACTGCGTCCGGGCTGCAGAAGGTGCTAGAGGGCGAGAGCATACGGAATACGACAGGTCATGTCGTCAATGGCGCCCGTCTGAGACAGCTTGTTGTCCACGGGCTTCGTTCTTATACAGTGCCTGGTCTTCGCTCTTTGTTCTGTCTGAGCTTGAGGGGGGCCCGAGCCAATTCCTCCTCCCTTTCCCTTTTGCCATTTCCTCGAAACTCATACCAACCACAGCTGGCTCTTTTCCTCGAACCTAGCCGGCAGCCATGGCATACCGTTACGAGGACGTATCGTCCTCTTTCTTCACCTACTGGACTCCACCCGCGGGCTACAAGCTCACGTACAATTCGGCCAATCGCCAGCCACAGGTGAGTCTTCCCCCATGTAACACACACAAACACAAACTTGGCACACACAAGTAGGCTAATACTGAAAAAAAAATAATGCATAGAGGAGTCAATGGCAGGAACCAGACGAGTTCGGGCCGCCGCCAGGTGATCCCTACGGCCAAATGGGGTAGGTTTGAAAAGGACCTCGAACCTCTCTGGCGTCTGGAACCCGTGTGAACTGACTGGAGAATCACAGGCCAGGGCAATTCCCAGGTCCGCCGCCACCTGACCCATTCCTGGCCCAGGATGGCTTCCCTGGCGCCGCCGGCTTCCCGCCCCAGGCCATGCCGCCGTTCCCAGGTGGCGGCTTCGGGCAGGACGAGTTCCCGCCGTACGCACCGGAGGAGCCAAGGACCATGTTCGGAGAGGGCGGGCCCGGAGCCTTTTCTCCTCCGCCTTTCCAACAGGCGCCGATGATGAACGTCGGGCCAGAACCAGACTTCTTCGACGGGTTCGAAGAGCCACTGCCGCCGCCTCCCATGCCCATGCCTCGAGGTCCGCCGCCCCCAAGCCCTCACACATTCCCGCCGCCCGGCAACCCACCATTCGTTGAGGTTGTCGACGCCGGACCGAAGCAGCAAGGCCTGAATCACAGCGACTTCAGGACCTTCGGAGGCCCTCCGAGCCCCAGCACCGTCTTTAGCGACGGGCCAGAAAGTAACTGCGGAGATGCTGGGGCCAGCCCCGTCTTCTACCATCTAAATCCAAACAAGGGTCCTCCGCCTCCGGACATCAGGACTGTGCATCCACGTCAGCCCGAGCCGCGCCGATCAGAGAGTGATTTCTCCGACGCCGTCTCTGACTATGACTCTGAGAACGATATCATCGTCGAGGAATACGACTTTAGCGATGACCTCGCCGACGAGGAGGTTCCGTATCCTCAGGATTTTCAGCGGAGGTACAAGTGAAAAAGAAAGGAATAAAGACGACGACAGATCAAAGACTATGACGAAAATATGACGACGTGAAGATTTAATGACCAAGACTACTAAATGGCTGTGGACTGGGGTGGGCAAGTCTGAGATTGTTACATTCAATGAATTTTCTATCATGGGCAAGCGGGTTAGGTTAAACCAAGACAAGATAATTAATGATCCCAAGAATTGACAGTTGTGCTGTTTCCAAGGCATAGTAATGCTTCTACTTTTGTTCAGTCTCACTGCCAAATTAACAACATATTTACTTTTCGTGATATACTCTCCGGCTGTAGGTTCCTGTAGTGACCTGTATTTGAACCATTCCCACATCCCTAACCAAGTCCAGGGATCTATGTCCCCTCCCCCAATCCATATGAACCTTGCCAAAACACCATTCCCATTCCAAAAGTTCACCCAGTTACCCAGTCTATAAGCTCTCCATGCCCCTTTCTAAACCATGACCTCGTTATCCTTGATGGCGTCGAGCAACGCCCTCGCCGTCTCATGATCGCCCCGCTGCTGCTGCGTCTCGACCCGGTGGCCGCCAAAGACGTGCATGTGGTGCTCGTCCTCGCGCTGCCACGCATCCTGGATCCACTCGTCGTCGTCCACGCCAAACACGCCGTCGACGTCGCTGCCCGAGCTGGGCGGCGAGTCGTCCTGGAAGGCGAACGCGTTGAGCACGTGCGCCTCGAACCCGTCCATCTCCTCCGAGAAGGGCGCCGCCGGCATCGCCTGCACGCCGCCGCCGCCGTTGTGGTGGTGGTGGTGGTCGTCGTGCCCCGGCGGCGCGACCTGTGGTGGTGCCGCCGCCGACGCCGACGACGACGACGACGCCAGGCCGCCGACGGGAGCGCCGGCTGCAGGGGACAACGTGTTCTCGGCGTGGTGCGCCGACTCGGGCGACGTCTCCTCGTCCGAGGGCAGCTGCGTGACGGTGCCCATGCCGAGCGGGATGTCCATCTCCATCTGCATGCCGAAGAGCGGCTGCTCGTGCGCCATCCCGAAGCCGTTGCTCATCATGTTGATGGGCGTGATCGTGCCCGACCCGCCGCCGGACATGCCCATGCTTGCGGATGTGGCAGAAGCTGCCGCCGCCGCCGCCGCCGCCGCGGCGCGGGCTGTGGTCTGGCCGTGGCTTGCGGCGGGACCGGCCTTGGGCTTGTTCTGCCCCTGCAGGATGCGGAGCGGGCTAAAGCCGTTGGTGAAGAGGCCGCGCAGGCTGGCGGGGAAGTCGCGCTCCTCGGGCATGCGGTTCTTGCTGAGCGCCAGGTCCATCGTCAGGGCCAGGCGCAGGTAGCAGCTCGGGTGCGAGGCCAGGATGTCGGTCCAGTCCGAGATGGCGCTCGTGCCGCCGTTGGCGGGGGCGGGCGCGTTGTCCAGCTGCGCCAGGTTGATGATGTGCCGGATGGTCTCGCTGACCCAGTCCACGCCGTCGTACTGCGGCTGGTACGTCTTCATGGCCTCGATGAGGATGTTGAGGCGGTGCTGCTTGAGGGCCGAGCTGTTGTTCGGGTCTTGGTTGTCGCCTTGGCTGGCCGGGGTGGACAGCTTGACGTCTAGGATGTGCAACACCAGGGGCAGAGCGGTGCATGCAACACTGTTTTGACAACTGGAGTTAGCCACCACCTGACTCTGCAGTGATGGAAGGAATCATGGAGGCACTTACGCGCTGATGGGCAGCCACCTGGCCAGCCGGAGCTGGATGAGCTCTTTGAGGCACTCCGTCACGCCCGAGGAGGCATCCTGCAGCTCGTACCGGTTCTCGTAGATTGTCGAGATATCTCGCGCACCGCTGGTGCCAAGCCCAGCAGCAGCAGAAGCCACGGCCATATGAAGGACTTCGTGGTGGCAGAGGGCGACTCGGGACGAGCTACGAGGTTGTCAGCATTGTTAATCTGGCCCGACGTGAGCAGGGGCGATGTTGACTTACTGATAGTACATGTACATCAGGTTGGTGTACAGGATCACCGAGTCGTGGTGGTACTCCTTGCCCCCAGCGGGCGCCCGCGCGACTCCGCTTCCGCCAAACATGGGGAACTTGAGCGTTGCTCCCTTGTACCACCGCCTCAGCTCGATCTTGCACTGCTTCACCTTGCCAGCATCCTCCGCGGCAAGCTCCCGGCCCCAGCCCGGGGTGTCGTCCAGGGGGAAGACGAGGATGAGGATGTCGGTCAGCACGACGCAGAGCTCGAGGAATTGCACCAATATCTCGATGAGACTCCTCTTTGTCCCGGGGTTGTACACTCTCGATCGCTCGATCTCGTCCGACAGGTCCGCGTAGCCGAGGGGCGAGTTGGCATCAAAGTCAAAGTGTTGCCGCGTGATCTGGATGCTGCGGCGCACCCCGAGACCCAGGACACGGTCCCGGATGATGCAGCACCACCAAAGGCGCTTCAGCGTGCTGGCCGGCTTTCCCGGAGAGAAGTTGGCATAGTGATGCGCTTCGGCACCCTTTGCCATCTGGATGGCGGTGGTCAGCCATGCGGAGTTCGGGTTTCTTGGGCCGCGGTTCGGAGACCAGAAGCTCAGAAGAAGCGAAGCCTGGGATATTGCGACAGGCGAAGACTCAGTTTCGAGGTCGTACAAGAGCTTGGCGCGTCGGTAGAGTGCTGCTCGAGCGGCTCGAATGGTCGAGAAGCCCAGGGCTTGGATGCTGTTACGTGAGACAAACTAAAGGGGTTGTTAGCCAGGCGGAATGTTGACTTGGACAAGAATGGACGGTCAGCTCACGTTGCAAGTTGCAAAGAGGATAGACTGGAAGACAAGCAATGACATCCGCTCATTTCCGAGTCCTTGGTTGCAGTAGAGCTCCCAGAAATCCCCCTCATTGAAGATTGGCAAGAGAGGATGCACATGGAGGAAGTACTGTTGTACGAACTCATCTAGGATTGCCCTGGTAGGCACGCGAAGGCAGCCTTGTAGCTCAAGGTAGTTGACATCCTGAGGAGGGATATTAGGGAGGTTGCTGATGTGGAGGAAAGGATAGTAAGAGTAGGTGATATCAGAGCTCATATTGAGCTTCTGCTCGAAGGGAGCCCAGTGCGAGAGCGACGACTCCGGTAGATCGTTCGAGAAACTGGAAAGGGAGAGATTGGCGGCCGGATGAGGCGGGTTTGGCAGCGCATTCGAGGCCTGGGGTTGAGTCTGAACTAGAGCCGGCGCCGGAGTGCTGGTGTTGACCTGTGGCTTGGGCGCTGGAGGTGCTTCTGTCGTTTCAGGAGCTTTCTCTGGAGAGTTGGCAGCAGGTGGTTGCGGAGCAGCCTGCGCTTCAGGCATGACCTGGACATTTGCTCTGGATTTGACGACGGCCTCGGCCGTGTGGGTGTGGTTGCAATTGTCTGCTGCGTAAGGCGGGTATGACGCCTGGACATTCTCGCCATTCTCTCGTTGCGATCGCCGGCTGTTGCTAGATGTGAGCGGTGCCCTCTTCGCAAAAGCCAAGACGGCGAGGATAGACGGGTGGTTCACTTACAATCTAGATGCTCTGCCAGTCACGACACAGGTCTCGTTGTCAAGATAGCAGTTCATGCAAGGCCGACCTCGCTGTGACACGTCGCACCTGACCTTCCGCGCTCGGCATGACAGGCAAGCCTTGGGAGCACGCTTTCTGATCTTGTTTGCGTTCTTGGGTTTGGGATCCATGGGATCGGTTGCCGTCGTGGGTTGAGACATCTTTGCTGAAAGCTCGAGTACGGACGAGGCTGTCTTTCTTTCAGTCGGCCAGAGCACAAGCAACTATCGAGCCTCCAACACACAAGGAAAAATGTTTTGAAAGTCTGAGGGGAAGAGGGGAATGCCAGGGAAGTTGGAGATAGCTCTTCGTGGGGTGTGGGGTCCGGTCCTCATCTGGGGTCTTGTCTAGGACAATGGGGCTAGGTTCGCGATGGCTTCTCGCTAGGGGTGGCGTGTGATGTCCCCTTGGCCCTCAGAACAGGGATCGCAGGTGTGTATATGGAATCCATCACGGTGGCTGACTGCAAGCTAGCGTCCCCGACAGTCCGTTCCACATTGGCATTGGCGATCGTATCACTGGATCAGACATGGTTGGCCATCACGCTTGCACGACACCTCCTCTTTGGGCCGGGCCTGGTGTGTAGCTGAAGAAACTCAAGCCCCTACTTCCATCTGAAGTCTCTCAGGTGGAATCCATATCTGGTCTACGTGGAGTACTTGACATGCAGCTTCATGAGGCTCTCTCGGTCTGATTGGCAAAGGGGAAACAAGCATCGGCCTCCCGGCGATGCCGCAGAGCACTCGCAAGCATCCCAAGAGCACACATAGCAGCCACGCAGAGCTGTGCGGCAGTCTGCAAGGTCGTGTTAGAGCCCGCAGCACCTGCAGAGCCCGATCATCATTGAAGGTCGAAAGGCTGAAGGGAGATGTCGTGGTCCCAAAGCAGACGGCGCCGAGCGAATGTAGTTAGCCGGAAGTTGATTTCCGGGTCTGGGTTTGGTACCGAACTACCTCGGGAAGCGTTACGCGGGGAAATTCCCCCAACGAGTCATCAGAGTGGAGCTGTCCTCCAGTCAATGGGAACTTCCTGAGTCGAGCTACCTGAGTCGAGCTGGGCCCACCTAGAGGAGTTTCTCAACTCAACAGCTCAGGATTACTTCGTATGTTCATGAATGTATGGGAATTCGGTGACGTGGACCGCAATAAGTCACAATCCGCTGACAGAGACATCCTCTGTCAGACATTTCGACCCTGTCCACGTGCTGAGCAAGCCTCACGTTGTGGGGAAGCGGGGTGGCGCTCTTCGACGATCTTGTTCGAGGGCATGGGACAGTGTTCCAGACCCTGATCTGCATCAACTAATGAGTCCGTAGTGTCAACTCAGGGGTTGTTTGATGTCTAGACTTGGGCTATCGTTACAAAGAACATATCAGGAGGGAGGTCCTTCGGCCGGCCTGTCATCAGCCAGTGACCCGTCATCCCTCATCCTGAAAGTCCAATCTCCTTGCCCATTTCGCTCCAATGCAACTTTGACCTGTCCTACGCGATCCTCCAGACCTCCGGGAAGATCCATCCCATCGCCCACGCGCTCATGAATACGGGAATCGATTCGACAGAAGAGCATGGGCAAAGCATCACTCTTCCAGGCGGACAATCTGTCTCTGTTTCCTTCGACGATGACGTGCAAGAGGTAATACACACTGGCAAGAATGAGACCAGCGAAATACATCATCCAAACCCACTGCACCTTGATGAACGGTGCCATTCGTGTGCCATGCCCATCATAGCTTTGCGCCGACTGATCCGAGATCGTCCCTTGCTGCCGTACCTCATTTGTCAGAGTCTTGGTGAAAGTCGACATCCATCCAGGAAGGTCGTACGTCGCATTCCAAATAGCCTCGATCCAGTCAGAAGAGTAGTCAATGGCTGCTGCATTGTCGTTTACGGCCCCCATGAACAAAGGTCCCATGAAATTCCGGAGAGCTGTCAGAGCGTCCGTCGTGACCACATATCTCGCATCGTTAGGGATATCGAGCGCAGAGGTTGTGTTGACAAACACATATTCTGATCCGTGAACACTGTTGGGGTACGCAAGTCGTGTCTCGGGCCAGGTTCCGAGGAGAGTTTGTTGTTGCTGGCCATTCCTCACCGAAATGCTGTAGGCATGAATACAGAACCAGAGCGCACATTCACTGGCCCAGATCGACGACGGTTGTGCTGTCATATGAGACACCTCCAAGAGGTCGAAGACCGAAAGATACGCGCGATGAGTGTCGTTCAGACGAAATACAGACCCGTTGCTGGATGCCACTTTGAAAGACCCTGTGTCTATGATCGGGGACGCTTGGATGATAGTCCCAGAGGGGGTCGAGTAATTGCAGCTGTTCCCATCCTTGTCGCAGCTATCTGCCACACTGACAGGCTGGCATTCTCCGCACACCCCTAGTGTTGGAATTGTCGGCCATGTGCAATTGCCTGTCTCGCATGGAGCGATCAGTGGGGAGGCATCTGTAGATATGATTCCGCTGTAGATCGCCGCCCTCGTGGAGAGGCCAGGGACCAGGTCTATTGGCTTCTCTTAGCGAAATTCAAGGCCTGCTTAAAGAACTGTAGACTTGCCTGAGCTCCATCCACGGCGAACAAAGTAATCCCACCTCTCGCTCCTTGGCGGTGACAATGTGGCGTTGTTATTCGCAAGGGGTCGCTGCTCGAGAATGACCATCTGTTGACTGAACGCCTCGAATCCATGGGCAAGAACAACAATAATAGCACCCACACAAGCCACGTGGCTAGATATCAACGGTTAATGGTAGGTTCCTGCAATATGGCACGCATCGTACCTTATTTTTAGATGCCAGAGCAGATTCAGACTTCCCAACAACCCTCGTGATGCTTCATCGAATATCTTGAAGTCGCCAAGTCGCGCTTTGTGTCTGCAACTTTGCTGCCGGGCTTGAGATACCCAGATCCAGGCTGCTTGGCTCAGAGAGCTCTCTACGATGGCCCCCATGGATACTCGGATAATGGTGATCATGGCTATGATGAAGGTATCCAGTTGCAAACTTCCAATCCAATGCGGCGCTGGGACGGGACGGTTATTGTACGTGCTGAGCACAAGTACTAGCAAGCCAGTCGCCAAAAGACAGATGAATATATATATACATTCCCCACGCCACCACCTAAAGATCGTATAGTACCGTCTGAGTCTTAGAACTGCTTTCTCTTCTCGTCCTTTGAGCTTTGTTTCCTTCTTCAACGCCTCGAGATCCCGCATCTTGATCGTCTCTACATTATCGAGCGACAGGTGAGGTACTCGAAAACGGTGAAGGGGGGTGGGTGATAGGTCGTATTCGATTCTTGAGGTATCTCTTCGAGAACGGGACATGTCTAGGCAAAGTGGAGGAATGAATTGAACACGAGAGATATCAAGATGCACGAGGGAAGTAAGGAAATGAAGAGGTCAGCGTGGAGGGCTTGTCCATTGAACGGGGCCACTGAAACGCCAAAGGTCGACTGAGGTTGAGAGAGCAAAGACGCGATAGGAGAAGGCAAAGAGTTCAAGGGGAAAGGTCCAATGCCAGCCTGGTATACAAGTGCGGTACAAGTACGAATGATGGCTGAAAATCAGGTGTGGTCTCTGGTCGGGCCTTCTCTTTTAAGGTTGAGCCTACCTGGCCGATGCAACTCAAGGGCAAGACCAGCCCCAACATGAAGCTATCATCAACGCATGAACGAAGGCCCACTGCTCTTTACGCAGGAACTTTCGTTCACTACAATACCCGGTTTGGACCTTATTGAACAAGGCTCTGCGTTTCAAGCATCTCTCTCGAGGTTGACAGCTTCGTCCGCCATCATACAAGCCTGTCCTTTACGCTGAAGGACGGCCTTGCAAGCCGCCGGCAGGATTCACAAAGGGCTGAGGCAGAGAGGTTGAAACAACCTCAACCGGGGCGGCTGTCATCCATAATTAGCACAATTCAGGATCAAATCAAGTGCCGAAGAGTCCTTACGAGTTTGCCGTTGTGATCCTGCTTTCTGAAATGCCACTTCGTCCTTGGGGGTCGGGCCTTGGGTGTAAGAGAGAGGACAGGGCGCTGGCGGCCGCAGAGTGCCCTTGACCAAGACGCGAGGCGATGCAGTCGGCGGTGCGTCCGTCATTGCTTATGTATGTTCCGAGACGACTCTTGAACGGCCCCAGAGCAGAAGCACGGCTTAGGCCATTGACGAGGCTCTCGAGAAGGGCCAGCTCTGTCGACAGAGTTGGACATGCCAGGCGGTACTTCCTAAAGCGGCAAGGCAGGGGCGGAATGCACCGAAAAGGCCACAATCAGCCACGTGACGCATGTTTTCGCAAGGCAAGAGAAAGTGGGCACCCGCCACTCAGATTTTCCCAAGACTTTATTAGAGTCTCACCTGACAAGCCGTTGTCGAAAAACCCCGCGCCCCTCTTGCTCCGAGCTTCGGCTTCTCCAAACTCAACACCACCAATGTCAACACCGCGATACCGGAGTGTCCAATAGGTGTGCTATTTCGACTTATCGGCAGTGCTTGGCCGAACGCTTTGCTTCCGTGCCGGGACAGCGGCTCAATTCCCGGCTTTCGGGAACCGCCTTTTGCATGGATGGTTCCATCCACTTCGGAGCCGTTTCGGCGGCTTCACTAAGCCCGACCAGCCCCGTGAGCGTCCGCAGCCACGCCGGGGCCAATGGAGCGGCCAAGAGAAAGAGGAGCGCCGCCGGCACGATCGACAGCAGCCCTGGCAGCGTGCTCCATGATCATGACGACGATACGCTCGATCAGCATGAGAAAAAGCGGCAGCCTGGCGTCAAGAGAGCTTGTAACGAGTGTCGACAACAAAAGGTGAGTCACTAGATCTGGACGGAGCTCTGTGCCCGCCAACCGCATCCTCTAGCCACAACTGCACGTACACAGCGATTGACCAATTGGTCGTCTTCATGCATGGGTGTCAACGTGCTAACCTATTTCCACAGCTTCGTTGCGATGTCCAACAAGACCCATTCCAGAGCTGCTCGAGATGCAACCGTCTCAAGCTCGAGTGCAAAATTGAGTCAAATTTTAAGCGCGTAGGAAAACGCTCGAAGCACGCAGAGATGGAGAGGGAGATAGAAAAACTTCGGCTCAATGTGCAACGAGCCAAGGCCCAGGGCTTCATGGTGGAAGACGACGACGATATGCAGTCGCAAATCCAGTCACCCATCGTCAACAGCGTCTACAGCCACACCAGGAATCCCTCGCTGATGGGTTCCGATGAGGCAGTCACGTCCCTCCTTACGCTGAAGCGCGGAGGCTCTTATAACCTCCCTCGTTTCTGCCGCGAGCTCGAGGGAGTACGCATCACTGACGACGCGGAAAAGGCGCTCTTTGCCGAGTATTTCCTTCATTATCACCCCTTCCTTCCTTTCCTCAATCCAATCCAGTCTCCGGAGCAGTACTATCAGCAACACAGCCTGCTTTATTGGACCATTATCTCCGTTGCCGCACGACGCTACGCTGCGGACCCAACCCTGCTGGAATCCCTCTCCCAGCCATTGTCAAGACTGCTGTGGTCGACAATCGGGGAAGTTCCAGGGACGCATTTTGTCGTAAAGGCACTGTGTCTCCTTTGCACGTGGCCCTTGCCCACGAGTACGAGCACGTCCGATCCCACACATATTCTGTGCGGAGTGCTCATGAAGGTCGCAACTGGTATCGGGCTTCATCGTCCGAGCCACATCAATGATTTTACGCGCATCGCAGTCGAGCTTAATAAGGACCAGCTTCATGACCGGGTGGTAACGTGGGCTGTGTGCAATATTGTGGGCCAGAGCATCGGGACGGGCTACGGTCAGCCTGCGTCCACGCTGTACGATTGGACCTTGGCGGTTCGTCCGGGAGAGTCCGGGCCTTTCCAACTGAGTGAAGAGCTCGAGGCGAGACTCGAGATTGAGAGGTTTTGCGACAAGATCTCCAAGGAGATGTACAGCAATGCGAGCGACTCCCGTGGTGTCGCTGGAGACGAGCATCGAGCTATCCTGATGCGCGTGTTCAGGCGAGAATACAGCGAACTTCACGCCGCGATACTATCGCGGAACAACGTCTCGCCTATTGCCAAGCTACACCTTAAGGCGGCAGGGCTGCATTTGAGGCTGGCCGGATTCTTCGACTCGAGTACGACTCCTGGTTACATGGACGATTTACTGGGACTGTGGCGTACAACTGTAGCGTTCCTCGATGATGTCATCGAGGCCGACAAGAACTCGGCTCTCGAGCGCCCTGGCGGCGGGATCCTCAAGTATGTCACGAACTACCTCCAACAAATGCTTGTGGCGGCAGGCTTTGCCCTGCTGAAGCTGATGCGCTCCTTTTTCTCGAGGTCAATTGACTTCGAAAGGGGCCGTCGCCTGTTCCACGAAACCATACAAGCCATTAGAGCCACCAGCGTCGTCAACAATGACATGAATTGGAGATTGGCCGAGCTGATGGTGCAGATGTGGAATGGCGCCCGGTTGGACTCTGGAACCCAGGCTTACCACGACGACGACCCTGCTGCTAAGATTGACGACTCTCTGCAGCTGAAAGTAAGGTGTAGGCACAGCATGAGCTTGGTCTTCGATTCTATCTGGCATTGGAGAGAGGAGTATCAAAACAGAGGACGTGGGACTCTGGATGGTAAGGCTACACCCCCTCACCTCCCCCCCCCCCCCAAGTGACGTTTGTTCAGTCATGTTATTTCAATGCTGATTGATCATCGCAGCTCTGAAACATCCAACAAATCCAGATTCCGCTAATGAATCCTCAGCATCATCCACACATCTAGACAGCACGCTGATGCCACCTACACATGGCTTACCTGCAAGTCTACTGTCAGCATCAAGTGGTGCCATGACGCCCAATGGTGGCTCTGGCCTGGCAGGCCCCCAGAACTCGCTCTTCCAGGGACTGAACGAATTTGGCAACCCTGGAAACTATGACTTCTTCGATCCACAGCATTGGATGCTGGACAACCTGCTTGATTTTAACTACAACATGATTCCACCCCTAGAGGGCGCGTAGGAGGGGATGCCTTAAGGTACCAAAAGAGCGCAACTGAGTATGCACAAAAGGTGATATGGGTTATGGTGGCGCTTTTCGAAACGGTATTCTGGTTATTGACTTTAGTGAAGCAGGTAGAATACCCCGTGTGTAATAATTGCTGCTGGGAGGACAAGTGTCCTGTCACGGGGTCTATCCCAGACACACAAAATAAAACACATCAGATTGTTCAAAACAAATCGATTCATTGCATTATATCATATTGATATGAACATAAGGTGCGAAGTTACTGAGGCGACAAACTTTGCATCTAGACAAGCCAGTCACTTTCCTAAGGCGATGCGAAATGTAACTACCAAATCGATACGAATGACAAGATCACCGTCGACTAGAATGAACGTACAGGTCAGTGGCAGGCTTCCAAGCCAACAGTGGTAGTGTTGGCGCGAACGCAGTCATTAGCTCCTTACGTTGGTCCGCTCGGCGCCAGAATGCGAGATCCCTTCGACGGACCGGACCGAGCACAAGCACCGTTGCCTCCCCGATTCTGCCATGCACACCTTTTGGACGATTTCGCCAAGGGGCGCAGCTGCTCGCGCCGGGAGAAGCCAACATCGCCCTGAAAAGGGGGGCGCTCGGCCGGGTCGGGGCCGGGCCACGGGCGGTCACCCAGAACACGACCGTGGCGCCCGACCAGTCAAAACAAACAATGGTGGCGACCAACTATATAATACGCTCTAGTAGATGGCCCGAAACAAAAAAGTATGAGAGAAAAGAAGCGCTCGCAAGGCATCTTTTGTCATTGACAGGCAGACTGTGATGATGACTCTTTGCATCGTTGCCGCGTCGCTGCTCCCGGAGCGGTCGAACGAACCAGGGTGTCGAAAGTGGGCAAGGCACAGCGCCAGAAGCAGGGAAAAAAAAGGATTCAAACAATCGTCCTGGGATTCACTTGGGGACGAGCCCACCGCTTTCGTCCGCCGGGCGGGTATGTCCGAGACTTGAGTGGCAGAGACTCAACAGCAGAAGGGTTGGGATGCATCTAGGACTCTACTTGGGGTCTCCAAAGTAGGGCGCTTGGTCAGTTCTTACTCTCTTCCCTACCGTGCTGGGACATGTAGGTCTGAGTATCCGCCGTTGCGGCCGTTAGAATGGACAGATACTCCTTCAGAGTGGTGGGCGGAAAGCTCCACTGAGAGAAGGGGATGGAGACGCAGAGCGTCGTATGGGGTGTCATTACAGATGCTCGGGCACTTTCTCGGTGGCGCACCACCTCCTCGCGACTAGTGTCGGCTCTTGACTTCAAGCCAGCGCTGGGTGTCGCCGTGCTCGAGAGGGTGTCGAGGTCATCGTCCAATGATGATCGCGTGGGTGCGGGCTACAAGCCGCCCGAGAGGAGCGGAGCGAGGTGCCTAGTCACCGACAGGCCGCTACATGAGCAGATGGCTGTCATGAGCTCACCATGTGCCTTCTCAGTTCGGTGTCGTGGTCGCTCCGGTCAAGATAGGGGGGGACCAATGAGCAGTGCTCAGGGGTCTGTCACAAGCCCTAGCATGCCCAGCTAGCAGTAGGCCAACCACTTTGACACGAAGTCGGGCACCTCCGTGCTAGTAGCACAGGGGAGAAGATTTTTTGGGCAACGGTCAAGCACGTCAGGGACTAGTCACAGGGAAGGGGGGGCTAAGACGGTCTTCCCGAGTACCCGAGCCTGCTCTCCTGTTGGTCGATGTCGATGCCACTGCTGCAGCCAGCGGCATGGATGGACCATTTTGCCTGTCAGGACAAGTTCGGCAGCATTGATCGCCGCCTCTGAGTGCTTCTAGATAGGGTTTAGCCACCAGGTGTGAGGAGTCGAGAGGCCCTCCCCCCTGGTGTCGACGGCAGATGTCCACGGGGCAGCCATCAGGCAGTCGAAACGGTTGCACGGACAATACTCTTGGAGTCGCAGCATTCCTTCAAGGAGCTCGACGGGGAGAAAACAGAAGATTGCCGGTATGAGACGCACGGCGCCCTCGGAATGCCAACATAGTGGTTGCCATCGGCTTTGTTTGGGGCGCGTCAAGAAGGGCAGGTGGAACGAGAACTGGTCACGCTGTTACAGGGAGTGAGGGACAACCTCCAAGATTGCAGTAAACCTTGGCTAGGATGTGGACTTTTGCCATGATTGAATTTTACCGGTCGTCCTCGATGCGTGGATCGTGGATGTGACGACTTTGATGGCTCTCCTGAATGGGGAAGGCGTCGCGTTTCTAGTGCTCGCTATTCGCCGCAGTCCATTCCACGTTTGCTTGTCTGGCAGCACCTGCATACTTGGGGTGATACACGCCAAAAGAGATGCAAGGATGAGGCCTTGGTCCGAATCAAGATTTTGCAAAGCACTCTTCCGCGATATAGTTCCGCTTTCTGCTGCGGATGGAGTTGTTCGACCCTTTTTGGCCCGCGAGAAGCCCCATGATCCTTCCCAATACAACGGGTCAACACTACCCACGAGGTAGCAATGGGGCATCAAGAACGCATGCTGATCGCGCTTTCGGCGCTTACGCTGTGTTAATGGCGTGTACAATACGAAGTTCCGGCAAGTATCAAACTTGGTTCAATCAACGCTGAGGTTGTTGGTCGAAGTGCGGGATACTCTCCATATTTACTGAAGAATCAGACGCCACGATGCTATATGATCGAGAAAAGAGACGCGGTTGCGGAGGAGCTGTGGGCTGTTGCGAGCACTGTACGCCAATCGATGGACCCGGCAGTTCGTTTCGGCGCTTCAGTGCATGATCTCAAACATGGGGCCATGAGGCCAGCCAACGGCCCTCATCAGCCCCGGCGGCGAGGTGTGAAAGGAGGGTTGCAGATTGTCAAGCCCGTCTGTTAAGTGACCGCGTGTGTGGTGCCTGACAAGGAACTGGCACCCTACCCGGCAGAGAAAGCCTGACCTGCCGGGTTACAAGGCTCGCAAGGCTTGGGGTGGCACAGCCTCGGCTATCGACCAGGCGGTATCAGTGGACGGACACGCGAGCTGCGCCTGGACAATCACCAGGGACTGGATGGCCTTGAGACAGGGACCGGGAGTCGCCCTATCAACACCGATCTTGATCTCGGATGCTCCAACAACGTCTCCTTTCGAGGTTACGCCGTTGCGCCGTTGCGACGGGCTGGTGTTGGTGCCTGCGGATGCCGATCCTGTGCTGTACCCAACGCGATGCTGTTGGCTCGGCCCAAGCGAAAAGAAAACGACGACAACAGGCAGATGCATCATGAAAGACAGCAATGCCAATTCGCCTGTCGCCTTTGAGGCCAATGAACGGACTTGTCACACTGAAGCGCGCGGGTAAAGGGACTAGGCTAGGCACCGATCAGGCTTAGCGGGTGCGGGGCGAGGCGTAATCCCACCAACGGCTGCCCCATGCGCAGCAAGGAGTGGACGAGGAAGGGACGAGTCGAACCACACCGCATCGACTTGACTACAGGGAGTTCCCTGCTAGCGCGTCCCGACAGTCTGGAACGGTGGGGCCACCTGAAAGCCACTCTCGACCTTGACTGGTCCGGCAGGCTGATTCCTCCTCTTTCCCTCCGCTTTCCCTGTCTTTTTTTCCCTGATCCCCCCCCCTTTTCTCCCTTTTGTCCCTTCTCAAAGCGGAGTGCCGCTCGCAAGTCCCTCTCGACTCGCCGACTTATCCAGTCTCTTCGACGTGAGGTCACCACTGGGTAGCATTGGCACCCAAGCCAGTTTCCCCGCCAGGCCCCTTTTTGCGGTCGCCCGGTAGGCACCAGCTGCGCACGATGCAGATTGCGCCTTAGTTCTGCTACTCTATCGTTCGGTCCCGAATATGGAATGCTCTGCTTCCGTCTCTTTTCGCTGGGACCGTCTTTGCCTTCCCATTCGCCGCCGATACGATGCCCTAATGTGCGAGCACGGAAGGGTTTATGACGCGCAAATTGCGGTTGGGCTGGAGGACCATTGCGTCAGAAAGGCTCGAGGGGATGAAAGAATGGCACCCCAGAGTGAAGTGGGTGTAGGTACATGGTTGCAAAATCTGCGATGGGGCTCGTGACACCCTGTTTGCGATCAGCGACGGGAACCTACACCATCTCGAATCGCCCCTGGTCGCAGCTTTGGGGGCGCCGCAGTTCCCTCAGGGAATGGCGTTCAGCTGCAGCCAAATACAGAACAGAACGTGCTTTGTACCTCGAGCACTTCCGCCGTTTGTGACGATGTATCCTTCCATCCCGCACACACCAGGTACCTAGCTAGGTAGGTACCTATGTGTCAACGGTTTTCGCAACACTTGCACTTCCAATCTGCAACCACGGCAGCAGCCGCCATCGAGACAGAACTTATACATCATTTGATTCGAAAGTGGCCAAATCAGGTGCTGGGCATGTCCCGCTGGCGACTCGTCGAGGAACGAAGCATCGCATAGCACTCAAGCTGTGACTTCTTAAGGGCAGACGCGCATAGCTATTCTCTTTATTCTTGATCTCCCTCCATCTGCATCCCTCCCCTCTCCCCTCTCCCCTCTCCCCACGCGCCATGCAACTGCCCTATATTAAAACATTCCGCATAAGATTTCTTAAGACGTGTCATATACTTGGACAACGTCTGTGCTGATCATCGTGCTCGGCCAAGGGGCGCGTCCAAGCTTCCGATCTCCCAAGGCCCACATAGCGCTTCCTGCCAATCTCCTTGAGCAGATTAGCACCCTCTGGCGTGAAGTGGTGTGAAAGCGGTATTAGATCCCGACCCTAAACTAGACGTGTAGCTATCATGACGAGACGAGAAGAGGACAAGGAACTAGGTTGGACTGGCATCATGCCGCCTGTCCTGGACGTGGCCGTGGTGATGCCATTCAAGGTTACGGCTGCCCGCATATTCCAGCAGGTCACAGCCCCCTTGGACGTGTTTCATCTTCAACTTTGTCGGGAACTGATCTCATTCGATCGCTAATTTGAGCCCCCAAAATGCCAGCGAGAACAACGCAATGCGCGGCAGACGGTTCTTGATTCTCGACTAACCTTGGTGGACCGAGCTTAGTCCAGTCCTTTGCGGCACCTAGATGTTAAAGCTATCGTAGCTGGAGGATTACCCTAGGGCCGGGGGTGCCGGGTTTCCAAGCACTAAACTGTGAGTATCCACAGTCTCATTGACGAGGGGTATATCATCTACGGAGTAGGTACGATCCCGCTTACCTAGTTCTTTGAACAAGCTCGATAGGTCGAAGCCCAATCGCGTTTGGAGCTTTTACGAAGATGCTGTTTTCCTGAGCTACTGTCCCTGGCAAGGGAAAAAAAAAAAAAGAATCGGCAGCCTGGGGAATGGTTCATCCTGGCTAGCCTCATGCCATGGCGGAATGTGGAATGGATTTCATCAATGGCCGCGCTCAGAAGGCAAGTAGGTACCTGGGTACCTAGAGAGCTACATGGTACGTACGTACCAGGATGCATCCCCACCCACCCAAGTTTAGGGGATCCACTTCTCCAAACACCAACCCCTGCTCCTTCCGCCATCGAGGACTGGACCACCACCACCTTCCCTCGTTCAAGTTCTTTTCCCGCACACACCCAAGGCAGCTCTTTCTCTGTCTGCCCTGGGGCCTGTCCTGTCTCGTCCTCTCGGCCTTGACTTTTTTTTTCATGGACTGAGAGGGAGAGGAGGCCAGACAGAAGCGATTGACTGACCTAGTCAATCTTTTCCCTTTTCCCATGCTCGTCAGTTTTTTCGTTCCTTTCCTAGACACACACCCTCTTACTCTCTCACTCACTTCTTTCTCTCTCTCTGTCGCGACTTCCCTCCGGACCCTCCACCCCTCCCCTCCCACCTGCTGATCCTCCTCAACTGTCACTTTTCAACTCGATTCGCCTCGGCCGTTTTCTTTACTCGAAGCTCAGGCGGTCGAGGAGCTTTTCTTTTCCACGTGTCGACCAGACTTTGATTCCAAATAGTTGAGAAAGCCTCGAATGCCATGCTCACTTGCCTCCATTGATATCCCATGTCATCCTCGCTGTGTCTTTTCCTGGTTCCTCCGTTATTGAGTGATCGTATCACATCTTGGTTTCTGTGACACACTCCTCCCTCCCCGGTAACGGCCCGCATCAGTCAAGGTACAAACCCCCGGTGGAAAGCCGGTCCACTGCAGAGGCGTGCGTGAATGACAAGGGCACTCCCTACTGCTGGTAATGATATCGGCACCGATTTTGCTCCCGAGGAATGCCTTCGTCCTGTCTGTCCCTCTCTTCCTCTATTCCTCCTGTGTCTTCCATTTGCCTCTACTTTTCTGGACCCCATCCCACCTGCATCTGTCTTTTACCTACATACTTTGAAGGTGAAGGGTTCGGCAAACGCTTCCCTGGGATTTTCTGGCTCGTATCTCGTCACAAGCACCCGTTTCCACTTTCACCACACCCACCCACACACACACACACACACATCAGACCAAACTCGGGGTCCTGTTTGCATTTGCACTTTTTGTGTGCTCTGCCCAAGAAGCACACCCTTCCCGCCCGCCCACGCTGTTTGCCTTGCCTTGCCTTGCCTCTTTCAGCACACCCCCCTCTGCTAATGGTGTCGACTTATCTGACTGTCAAGCCTCCAATGTGCGCTGATTTGTTCTGCTCCCCTTTCGGGTAAGGCAAGTGGGCGCATTCTCCAGTCTCTACCGGCTCCGACCGCAAGTCGCAGTGCCATTGCCGAGTCTCGCTCGCCATGCGTTGCGACTGTCCCTGAGCCGAAGTTCAGAGGGCGTAGACAGTACTTTTGCCCAAGAGTTCCACTACGAAAGTCGGGGTTAGGCGCCTCAACACCACCGACATATGCAACCGCCTACGAGAACTTGACTAGACCCGAGTAGTATGGGTAGCAGTGCTTCGCCAGGGTGCTTTCCTGGAGTTTTGTCGGGTCATGTACCGTGGTAGTCTGAGCTGTCTGTATAGACATGCATGCCTGTGCGGAATATCTCGATGGATCACCACCACCATCGTGGCTTGCTTGCTTCTGACCCCCCCTGCCCATGATGCCACCCCCTGCCCACGGCAGGACTGAGCCCAGGCCATTGAGAAGCGGTCGGCGGTTATGCGTACCCACGGCCATGCCCCCGCATATGAAAGAAGAAGTCAAGTCGCTGTCCCCTGTTGGTCGAATGCATTCATGTCAACCCCCCTGCCTGGTCGATCGTCAAGAGAGGCATCGGGCCAGGCACGCAGTACCTCACATCGAGCATCTTTCAGAAGTGTGTACATGCATCTCAGGGCGGTTTCCAGGAACGGGCCCTAGGAACCATGAGATGTTCTCCACCCTGTTCACATCGATACCACTCACTGCCTAATCCACCCTCTGCTCCCGCTCTCGACTTTCTTCCACTACCCTTGACGACAGACCACACCACGACCCTTCTTCCTTGATAATAAGGCAGTGTCCCCTTGCTTTCGAATCATCCTTTCTCTGGAGCCTGGCCACAAAAGTCGACCCCGAGAGGCAGACTCGAAGATTGACTTGTTGAAGCCCATGTTTCTCTCCCAAACCACAGACATATAACAGTCCGTCCCACGCCACCACGTCCGACTCAAGATACATCGTGCCTCCAGAGCTTGACGACCTCACATCTCTTCTTTTGCCTCTCGTCTCTTCCAACTGCTCTATTGTCCAACTACTCTACACTACGTCTCTTTGGCTCTCTACCTATTGATTGACGAACTAGAGCTGGGCAATCCGCCTACCTGGTCATGTCAGGGTCTCCCTTCGGCGCGCCAAACGGCCAGCAACGAACAGATCGCATGCACGTTGATACCCGTCTGGTCCATGCCACATGCTCCAGCAACACGCCAACTACCATTGCCTACGCCACCCCACAAGACCTGACTCCATTTAGTGCTGTAAGTGTGGCAACTCCCGCGGATCTGACGCGCTGCGTGCTTCGCCTGTAGGCGATAGTTAAGTCGGCGGTTGCTGAAGGGTATCCCAGGTGTCAAGCTTCAACTATCCCGCTACGGCAGACTCAACTCTTCTCACTCCGGTCTCCGGTCCTGGTTCGCCGCCGATTCAGCAAACAGCGCAAAAACAACTGCGCCAGACCTATCACCCATCCACTTCTAGTGCCCAACAACCGACACCGCCTGGAAGCAGCAGAATGTTCTACGGACCATACGACATGGGCGTGTCCAGCCAGGCATCCTCGCCCATAAATACCATCCATGCCCAGCCCGAGAGTCATTTCGACATTGCCTACATGGGCGGGGCGTCTCCGAAGGACAGTGCACCCGTCCCTTACTACGGCCACTATGGGGTTTCTGAACCAGCGACCGAGTCCGAGTATCCTGCCCCTGGCCAGACCAACAATTATCAAGGCTACGTCGGTGTTGAGCCCAGCTTCTTCCTCAAAGCAAATCCGGACTCGCCCCTTTCCGGTAGAAATGGCATTGTTAGCACCACTGCAGGGCCGACAAATGCACCTATCCTCGCTGAGCCGCAGCCTTCCATGCTCAGAAACCCTCGTCCCTCAACCATCCAAGAACTCAGAGATCCTACCATGCTGCAACCGATAGCCCCAGGACGCCCAGGGCAGACTCTCCGAAGCACTGCCGCAGATAAAGACGCAAAGAAGACAAGAGAGCGAAGTAAGAAATCAAAAGGCAGTTCCCGTGCTCCCAAGCCGCCGAGCGTTCACTCGAGCTCTAGTCATGTCCCACGGCCTGTGCAGGGCGCGGTGCCGCAGCTGATGCTTAGTGACAAGGCAAGCGAGGAAGAGAGGTACCTGTTCGATCTCAGAAAGAAACTCGTGGACGAGAAGGGTAAAGGAATGTGGGACCAGTTGAAGAGTGGCTACGAGAAGCGCTTTGGGTGCACAAAGGAAAAGGCAGCCCTGCAGATGAAAATCTCACGGGCCGTCTGCAAGCATGCGATCTGGCCCGAAGGCGAGGTAAGTACAGCTGCTGGCGCAACTTCCTGGGATCAAGGATCGGCAATGGTATGACTGACTCCACGAACAGAAGGACATACTAAGACAGGCTTTCTTTTACGAAGAAGAACGTCGCTACGCACGCATAATCGCGAGGATGAAGGAACTCGGCGGTGCGCAAATCTGGGAGTGGAAACCACAACACATCGAGTCTCAACTAGTCAAAATGGGTCTCGAAGAACCAACGATGGACGAGGCAACAAAGCTCCGCCGCCGTAATCGTTTAGCGCAACGAAAGCGAGCCGCTCAGCAACAGCATCAACACAACGCAATGATGAGCTGGGGAAGACCCGTCGACATGCCGCATGCTCAGTACCCCTTTCCTCACCATATGACAGCTCCCCCAACTACTTATGAAGTCATACCTGGGACGACGATGGCACTCTCGGACGAGCCAGAATACACCACGGAGCAGGAAGACCAAGTTCTTGACCAACTCGACCGCAAGTACGCAATCAAGGAAGAGAGCCACTCGCCAGCTTTTACTTCCACCCCAGAGATGATGGACATGACCTACACGAGGAGCGATATGGGCCATTCCCAACACGTAGGCAGTCACCAGAGCGAGCGAGTAGCTCGTCAAGCCTGTGAGCAACTGATTGCTCATTCCAGGCTTCAGAACAGACCGTTTGCGCCATCCGGATAGCTGCTCGGGGATGACGAGCTTCTGGAATTTCAGCACCACCACGAGCTGTTTCGGTCCTGCCCACAAGATTGGGATTTTCGAACTATTCTTACCATCTTTCATTCTGACAGGTCTCGTATACTTACTGTCTGATCTGGCATTTTTCAATATCTTGTACCGTCTTTGGGCATACAAACATTCCTTTGCAGCTTTCTGTCAGCTGGATCAGGACAGGGCAATGTTTCTTTTCTATGAGCAAAAGACAGCGATCACAGGCTTACGCCATTCCGGTTCGGACTGTTCATACTTTTTTTGGGTGGCATTGTTTGCGAATTGGAACAACTGGTGGGGTGGGTAACTTTGCACGATACCTGAATTGTTCTTCGTTTTTGTTATTGTTTCCTAATCTTCTTAGAAGTGGCACACCAAACATGATATGGAACTCCTTGACTGCTTTACCATCAAGACTGACAAAGGAAGGGGTATTGAGTGTCGTCAAGCGTAGCTTGCTGTCCAATCGTCATGAGAATATCAGTGTGCCTCGATATTGTGTTTCTCTTTGTGTTGCTTTCCAACAATATATCTGATATGGGTTGCCGCCCGGAAAGAGAACGGGTCTCATGACGTCGATGTCACTTGGTACTTATTTGATACCCAAACACAATACTCGCAGATGGCAGTGCAACACACCTATAGGTCTCGTGTCTATTTTGGACATATTTAAAGAGCTGTTGTCAGCGTGACCGAACCCACACAGAATACACAAGGTTTCACTTTAACGGCAAAAACAGATGCGAGGATGCAGCCTCGACTTATCCAACCTTATCTGGCGATCAAATTAGACCTTTTTGACCTAGACTGTTTAAATAACACACTTGACCGATCTTACAAACACTTTGATGTTTGAGGAGTTACGAGTGCTGGCCTCGCAAGCAGTCCAGATCACACGTGGGAAGTCAAGTGATGTGCAGTTCACTGCAACTCACCGTTCCCACAAGCCAAGGGTTTTGAACCTGGTTCATCACCCACTCCCCCCCGCGCCTGTTGGGCCCCCGGAGATAGCAAGCTTGACAGCCAGCCCTCTTTGCATGGCTTTCGTGTCGCGCCGTGAGTCGTCCGTTCACAAGCCCAAGCCCCTTCCCGAGAGTTTGGGGGCGGCGCTTAGAGGGTCGCAGCAACACCACCAACATTCTCTTCCGAGGGAGGGGGGGGGACAATATCTCAGTACCTAACCAGCTCTTTTTTGCCCACTTTGATCCTCCCTTGTCGTCCTTTTCTCTCCGGCGGATGCCGGATGGGCCAACCCGAAGCGCTTTGGGGTGGTAGCAGCAGTGGACAGACGGACAGCAGGTCTGTCTGTGTCTGCAGTACTACAAGGGGGCCGAAAGGGATACCTGACTCCGGAAGAGCGAGATGGATGGGCGGGGAGAGAGAGAGAGAGAGACCTCCCTGAATTCTGCAAACGACTTTCTCTATTCATGCGAGAACGGAGGCATTGCGGACCGGGGAGGGGGGGGGGGGGCGTGTCTATTTTTCTTTTCTTTTTTCTCCGCCATCACCTTTTTTTCTCCCCTTGTACCTACCTCTCTGTCGCGCCCTCGCTACCGACAGTGTGGGAAATTAGCATCACGAAAAAAGTGGAAAGGAAATGCAGGAATGATCCTATCATGGCCGTCCCCCCCTTTGGGCCGGCCGCAGCGCAGGCTCGAGTTGTCCCCAAGTCCAGTTCTGTTTTGTTTTTTCCCACTCTCGCTCTTTTCTGTCTCCTGGACATGCGTCGTTCCCACACCCCCCAGTTGTGAAACCTTTCCTGTGTCTGTCCTGTTGCCGCCACCGATGCCATCTGTCGATAGGTAGACAGACGCACAGATGAGGCACGGCTTTTGTGTCACACAAAGGCAGGCAGAGTGCTTGACACCCAAATTGCAGTTTAGATTGAGTGAGGCTTATCCACTGCCACCTCGGTATATTTTTCCCTCCGCCTCCCGCGTTGATTGTATCAAGTTATGTTTACAGTTTCCCCGGTTCGGTTCTGGAGAATCGAGTTTCTTTTTTTGGGGGCGCCGTCCCGCGGCATGTGTTCCGCGGTCGATCAAAGCGGAACGGTACAACACGCCACCCAACTGCCATAGCACCCTAGCAGATTTGCCCGCCCGCTGAGATCTCGGCCGTAACCTGTAAGGCTGGCCTACCTTGTCGTCACAACGGCGAGGAATCTACCTACCTAGGTAGTTAGAGGCAAAGGATGTGACAGCTAGACTATAACGAGAGGTGTGGGATTGCACCGTCACGGGCGGAGCAACAGATCTCGCGGCGCCCGAGTCTGCTCGCTTGCGTCGACAAATAGGCAGATGTCCCGCAAATGACACCAACCAGGCGCCTGAATGCAAACATTGATCCGCGTCCCGTGCCTGCTGCGGTGGAGTGTTTCTCGACTCCTTTGGAGCTCTCACCGGTTCGGGGCACGGGCGGCGAAGACCAGGATCTAGACTTGGGGGTTGGTACAAGTAGATGCGGGATGCGTATCGCTTCCACCTTCACCTCAGGTCATCAGGGGCGCCTAGGCCTCTCACTCTTACATTCCTGAGAAATCTTGCAAGATGGGTGGAGGCAGTGGTGCTATGGAGGATTGTCACCCAAAGAACCTGCGGTGCTCTCACGAGAGTCTTCCTCAGGCGACCTTCCTGAGCGGGTAGGACTGGAGCGTCCTCCGAGTATTGCACCGGGCAAAGACGGTAGCACAGATGTGTGGCCGAGGTGGTCGTGCCGCATGCCACACCCTGCGTGGTTCGCGGCACCTCACATCTGAGCAGCATGGTTCGCATTTTCGGATTAATTTCGCTGATTCAAGGCGTCCAGACTGTTGGGTCGAGAATAAGCTTGTCCTTGTCGCCAGCGGTTAGGTACCGTACCGGCACCAACTGTCAGTTTGCCGACCACCGCGATGCCCTTGGATGTTCCTTAGACGCGTGATAGTGGCTCAACGGCCCGATATAGCGCCCCCTCGGCTTTCCTTTCAAACCGTAGGGCAGTCATAGGGCTGTTGGAAAGGAGGAGGATATGCAGGATTGGCTCGGGAGCTGCCACCGCGGCCGCATCCCCCGGTTGTTTGAGATTGAGCCCTACACTTGCTGGACCAATGACGGAGATGGACGGGCCACACCATTCTCACTCCAGATGCAGTCCAACGGCACCTGAAGGGTGCTTGTATAGCATAATGGACATGTGAACACCATCGGCCAGGAAGGTTGCTTGTAAGTAGAGATCGACGTGCCAGGCGCTAGCAAAGTGCGGACAGGGCACCGATCCAAGGTTGACGTTCCCGGGGGACAAAACCAGAGGTCTTGCACGGGCCTCTTGGGTGACCTACCCCTGGAGCAAGAAAAGGCCGATAGCCTCGTCCTGAGGAGTCGCGCGAGATGCATTTATACCCGTCAGGGAGGCCATAGAGTGGGTATGCCTGATGTCAGGTCAAGACATGTGGACTGCCCCGGCAGCATCTTCCTGCCGTGTAAGTGTGAAGGAGGAAACGATGCTGTGTCGAATCCAAAGGTGGAAGGGGTTTCGGGACGTCATTGAAAACACCAGGCCAAATTAAAATTCGAGCGTTACTGCGGTTTGGGTTGTTTCATACGGAGTCTGATAACCCCAGTGGATGTCTGCATGAGTTGAGGATTTACTTGGTAAGGAGAGCGGAACAGAAGAAGCATTTGGTGAGAGGTAGGTACAAACAGCGGATGAGTAATCGGCTGGTCGGTCTGGAGCCCCACTTTGCGCCTCAGGTGGCTTGCGTGCGATCCCTTACCCCGGAAGATGACAGCATAGCGTGCATTGCTGGCCCATGGACGCTTTAGTGTCGCGAGACCACGCAAACCGGCTCGCTGTCATCCCAATCGCCTCTCTAGCTCATGCGGCTCTTCCAGACACTGTCGTCCATGGATGCTAGCCTGCCTCGACTGCGTGCTCCATAGGACCCTTCGACTCTTTCCGCCCTGAAGCGGGTCATATCTGGACCTTGTCACACATGCATCCCTCTACCTTACGACGCAGGTGATGCTGACGCCCGCTATGGGCTGTTGCTCATTGGTCAGAGGCTGCTCCGGGTCCGGGTCCAGGGCGGGCTTCAGCCTCGCTTTCATGGCGCCATGGCTACTCACTGTACTGGTTTCCTTGCTGCTCTGGCCCGGCGTGGCAGATGCCATGCCGGCCAGGCGCATTGAGAAGTTGCGCGCGGAAACTGTAGACATGTTCTACCATGGTTACGACAACTACATGGACATAGCCTTTCCCGAGGACGAGGTAAGAACCCTGCAAGTCACCCCTACGAATTCAATGTCAGTGTGCTAAGCCGTCTTGTCTACAGCTCCGACCAGTATCTTGTGTCCCTCTGACTCGCGACACGCAAAACCCTGGGAACATAGCCCTCAACGATGTGCTCGGAAACTACTCATTGACCTTGATCGACAGCCTCTCGACACTGGCCATCTTAGCTTCCGCCCCACCGGATAAGAGAGAGACGGGACCCAAAGCTCTTCGAGACTTCCAAGACGGAGTTGCTGCACTGGTAGAACAGTACGGAGATGGCACGTCTGGTCCCAGCGGGCAAGGGCTCCGGGGTCGAGGCTTCGATGTGGACAGCAAGGTGCAGGTCTTTGAGACCGTCATTCGTGGGGTTGGCGGACTCCTGAGCGCGCATCTATTTGCGATTGGAGAACTTCCTATCAACGGCTACCATCCTCCACGCTCCGAGGACACCCTCAAGGTGCCAACCATATCCTGGCCCAATGGTCTCAAGTACGACGGGCAGTTGCTGCGTCTTGCTCTGGACCTGGCTACTCGCCTTCTTCCTGCGTTCTACAGTCCGACCGGCATGCCATACCCCAGAGTCAACCTGCGCCACGGCATTCCCTTCTACGTCAACTCTCCCTTGTACGGCACTGATGGGGCTGCCAACGTCGAGGGACCTCCCGAAATTACCGAGACGTGTAGTGCTGGCGCTGGCAGTCTGGTGCTCGAGTTCACGGTGCTTAGTCGTCTGACGGGCGATCCGAAGTTTGAAGAGCTCGCCAAACGCGCTTTCTGGGCTGTCTGGTACCGGCGCAGCGAAATCGGGCTCATTGGAGCCGGTGTTGATGCTGAACACGGAAAATGGGTCGGAGCTTTCTCTGTCATCGGCGCAGGTGCCGACAGCTTTTTTGAGTACGCCCTCAAGTCACACATTCTCCTTTCTGGCCACGGACTGCCGAACCGGACGGGTCTTGAGACCAATTCGCGGCCTACCAAGTTCAACCCCAACCCGCTGTTCCCTCCTTTGAGCGACGAGGAGAACTCCCCAGACTCCTTCCTCGCTGCTTGGCATCAAGCACACGCGGCCATCAAGAGGCATCTCTACAGCGACAGGGATCATCCGCATTATGTGAATGTCAATATCTGGACAGGCTCACTGGCTTCACAATGGATTGACAGCCTAGGGGCCTATTACTCTGGCCTCTTGACGTTGGCCGGCGAGCTAGAGGAGGCCATCGAGACGAACCTTCTTTACACCGCGGTCTGGACCAAGTATTCTGCTCTGCCGGAGCGCTGGTCTCTTAGGGACAAGACAGTGGAGGGTGGCCTGGGCTGGTGGCCCCTGCGGCCTGAGTTCATCGAGTCCGTCTACCACATCTACCGCGCTACCAAGGACCCCTGGTATCTATATGTGGGCGAGATGGTCCTTCGCGACATTACTCGGCGATGTTGGACCGAGTGTGGCTGGGCAGGTCTGCAAAATGTCCTCGATGGCGAGAAGAGCGATCGCATGGAAAGTTTCTTTCTCGGAGAAACCGCCAAGTACATGTATTTGCTCTTCGACGACGGGCATCCGCTCAATTCTTTGGATGCGGCATATGTCTTCACTACCGAAGGCCACCCTCTCATCATTCCCAAGAAGCAGCAACCGCCTCGAAAGAAGCGCGCGCCCGCGGTCACGACAAAGGAGGTCGATACTTATACAGGAGAGCCATTCACGAACTCTTGCCCTGTTCCCCCGAAAGAAGTTCCCCTGACTGGGTCGATCATCGCGGCGAGAACGGATATATATCATCCTTCAAGATTACTTGACCTCCATCTAGCACCTGACTTGCATGCCGCACACTACGCTACTTCACTACCTGGACCCCTAACCTCGCTTTCAAACTACACCTTTTATCCTTGGACGCTCCCTCCCAGTCTGCTGCCTGACGACGGCATATGCGCCAAGGTGAATCAACCAGTGGAGCTATCTCTCGAATTCGCGCAGACTCAACAGCAACCCGCGGGTGGCAGTGCATTCAACATCATGCTCGGAAATGTCAATCTGGAACGCCTCAGTATAGACAAGATCAGAGTCCTTAGCATCTCTGGTCTCAAGCTGACATTGCGCCTCGAGGACGAGAACGACCAGGAGTGGCGGATCACGCGCGTTAATAATGTGCCGCTTGGCCGCGACGAATCGGTCGTAATCGATCGAGCCGTGCTCGGCCAGATATCGGATCCGAGGTTCAACCTGGTTCGTGATCCTGTGGTTGTCAAACTACACCATCTTCATCAGGTAATACTTGGCGGTGACAACGACACCACACCCGACATGGCTCCTTCTCTCGAGGACGCCGAGACTGAAGAGGCGGGCTTTGAATCCGCCTCGTTACACATAGCAGATATAGATGCCAAGCGAGGCTCGGCAACGGAAGACGGCGACAACACCTCGACGAGCATGCGGCCCTCCGATATCGCCACGCTCTTCAAGTCCTTCTTCCAGCACATAGTCTCGTCTCTGGACGGCGCGCCCCTCGCCACCGGCATCCCGGGCGTCGGGCGCCACGTGGCAAAAAACCAGCCATACAACATCCTCCTCAACGCGTCGGCCATCACGCCGACGGGCATCGGCGCCGCGCCGCTCCCGCCGGTAGATATCCCGCCCGGGTCGCACGTGCCCAGCTCCGGCGCCGTGGACGCCTCGGTGCTGCCCTGGACGACCGTCTTCGCCGCCGGCGACGCCTGCGCCGAGCCCCTGCCCGAGTCGGCGCCGCGCGACCACCAGGTCATCCTCGTCCGGCGCGGCGGCTGCTCCTTTGGCGAGAAGCTCGCCAACATACCGCCCGCCACGCCCAAGCCCGGCAGCCTGCAGCTCGTCGTCGTGGTCTCGGACGACGACAACGAAGGGGGGCAGGCAGGCAGGGAAGGCGGCGGAGGCGAGCAGCTGATCCGCCCCCTGCTCGACGACGTGCAGCGGACGCCCGGCGGCCTGGTCCGCCGGCACCCGATCGCCATGGTCATGGTGGGCGGCGGGGAGGCGGCGTACGCCGAGATGGCCGGCGCGGCGCGGCTGGGCATCTCGCGGAGGCACTACGTCGAGAGCCAGGGGCTCAGGGTGCGCAACCTGATCATCGATGACGGCGAGACGGCCAACTTGCTCTGAGCAGGTAGAGAAGCGTTTTCCCTCTTCTCCCTCCCTCCCCTTTGCGCTTGCTTGCTTGCTTGCTTGCTTGGCCCCCCTCCCACACGAGCTTGAAGGGATATCAATGAACGATGAAGTTTTTATGAGGAATGAGAGAGGGGTTGAAGGAAGGCCTGGCTGCGGCTTTTGTTATTCATTTACAAACCTGTCCTGCAGCATACTTTTGTACATAGGATGGACGGACATGGGGTAGCAGCGCAATTGATAGACGGCAGTAAAGCCAGTTGCTTGAATACACATAAGATCTAGACACCTCCTCTTCGTGTTGAGCCCGGAACACCCGGCCGAATCACCTCTGGACAAGTTCCCGTCATGATTTCTCCACTCGAAGGACTGCTCCCAGTACATTCCCGTCACTGAGCAGCCCCATGGCATAACTACTTGCAAATGGGTATTGTCAATCAATCAATAAGTGCAGGAGATGCCGATTATTTCATTCAAAGATATATGATGGGGTCCGAGAAGGTCCCCCCCCTCCTGTCCGGTATGAAAAGAAACCCAACCCATTACGTCCAACCTCCCAAGTCTATATATATGTAGCGCTCATGCCACCCAGCCACCCATCCTGCCCAGAGTTCGTCGTCAACCCCCCCCCCCCCCACCCCCCCTGAGGATAAGAAGAGGAAAGAGGGCAATTTTTTCAATCCCGCAAAACGCCGGTACCGTATATTTTTTGAAGGGCGCCCCCCCCCCCCTGGAGAGGGTGACAATTAGTTTATAAGTCTTGTGTTTGTGTGTTGTTCGTCCTTGGTATTTCGTGATGTTATCCGCAAAAGCCGGTTCCCGCAATGTCCCCCCTTCCCCCCATCTAACGTTTCCTCAGTCTCCAAGACATTGAGTCCCCTCTTGGAAAAAGAAAAAAAATAGGTAGATCTCCCCCGAAGCTCAAATGTGGAAAATGGTCGAAGAGCGTCCAAGCAACAAATGCACAGGTCGGATGAATCGGTCGATGGAAGCAGAGCACTTGGGAACCAGATCGGAGCTCTCTCGTGGTGCTCGTCGGCCGCCTTAAGCACTTGGCTACTCGGCCTCCTCGAGAAGAGTCGAAACGGGCACGCCGCCCAGCTTGTCTCTGCCCTTGAGGAACGGGATCTCGAGGATGAAGAGGTAGCCAATCAGATCGCCGCCGAGCTGCTTGACCAGCTGACCAGCCGCATAGGCGGAGCCGCCTGTAGAGAGAACACCGGGTGGTCAGTTTCTCCTTGCATGTGTAGACATGTGCTGTCACAGCACAACGACGGAGAAGGGGGGACTTACCGGTAGCAATGATGTCATCGACGACGAGGACCTTCTGGCCGGAACGGATAGAGCCGTCCTGCATCTGGAAGTAATCGGCGCCGTACTCCTTCTCGTACGCCGCCGTGACGCACGGGCCGGGCAGCTTGCCCTGCTTCCGGACGGGGACGAATGCGGCGCCGAGGCGCAGGGCCAGCGGGGGACCGAACAGGAAGCCTCGGGCATCTAGGCCGACAACGACATCGGGACGGGCGCCGCCAAACTGCAGGAGGACCTGGAGCTCGAGCGCGTGGAGGAGACCTTCTTGGAGCTTGGGGTCGAGGAAGAGGGGCATGATATCAATGAAGTTGATGCCCTTGATGGGGAAGTCCGGGAACCGCCGGAGAGCGCCATACAGGGCTACCTTTGTACTGGCGAGTTCGGCGGCGGAGGCGGAGGCGGTGGTGGACTGTCCTCCCTGGGCATCCTGGCTAGTGGAGGGGTTGGCGGCGTGGGTGGTGGTCGTGGGATGGGCAATGCCGGCGCTGGCTTGTTCTGAACCAGCGGGCAGACTACTCTGAGGAGCGGGCGCGGAGCTCATGATGAGGAAAGAGAAGGAGAGGAGAAGAGGAAGAAGAGAGAGAGAGAGGAAGGAGGAGTAGGAGCAGGAGGCGCACAGAGGATAGACCGTGTTGCGTATCTAGGAGAAATTTTGTCTGCAGCACCCCGGCTTGGAGGGGTGTGTGGTCAGGTAAGGGCTTGGGGGTGTCGAGCGAGGTACGAAGTAAGAATTGATTGCTTGACAATCTGCCCAAGAGATCAGGGATGCACGGCGCGGCGGTATGGTACAGTACGGGGAGGTCGGTAGGGACGGTACGAGCAAGGCCAGGGCCTGGTCAGGTACTTTCTCGGCAAGGTTTTTGGTAGGTCTGGCTAAGACAGCGAACAGTGCTTGCTTTGCTCCAGGCTGGCAGGTTTTGCGTTTGATTTGGCAGAGCGTGGCAGGATCACATCAGAAAGAAGCTAGCTGCGTGCAGGCCTGGTCCATCGTCCATCATGGCATGGAGGAGGGAGGGAAAAACGTCCATGAAGAAGCAAATCTGCACACGGAGACTAGCGGGTGGTAGCAGGGTGGGAACTGACAGGGTCTTCCGCAGCCGGTGGAGCCCAAAAGGAGAAAAAAAAAGCTCTTAGTGTGTCGCCAAACGATCGATTGATCCATCGACGAGGTTTCGCAAGAGGGGTGAGCCCGGGACGTGCGGGCGTTGCGTTTGCTTTTGTCGCCCAGGTGTCGTTCTGCAACCTCCGCGGCCCAGAAGAGGCTGCGTACCTACATACTACCCAAGAGAGGTACGGAATAGGTAGTGCACAGTACGCCGGAGATCAACACTGGCTGTGGCTCTCTCTCTCTCTCTCTGTGTGTGTGTGTGTGTCTGTCTGTCTCTGTGTGTCCGCCTGTCAGGTTGAGAGGCATCAACGCGATATCAGCAAGAGTGCCCGCCATCTGAGCACACCATGCCAATTGGATGGCGCTGAGCAGAGGCGAGCAGGACCAAGTTGCAGGTGCATGTACAAGTAGGTTCTTGTGTGAATCGAGGTGCACTAGTTGATGAAGTGGCGCAATCGCTTGCCTCTGATACCTCTGATGCTGGGGAGACTGGCCAGCTATCAACGGAGCTGAGCAGGGCCGTGAGCCAGTAGGATACGAAACACATGCTCCCCGGAAAAATTGGAGTAGGGTACCTGGGTAGGTTAGGTGTAGCCGTGCGTGAGATGGATGTGAGAGCCAGACCTGGATTCACAGACAAGAACCACACACAGATACTCAGGTACACACTTATGCACGGCGAGGTGGGTGGAGGCCCCCCTCCCCCCTTGTCAAACCCATCTTCTTTCAGTAACCCGTCGGTTGCGGGACCCAGGCTACGGGTACGGTGCGGTCAGAGATGATCAGTAGCGAGTTCGTAGGACTTGTATCACGAAGCACGGCGGTTGTCAGGGATCTGATAGGTCAGCATCGCCACGGGGAGGCCTGCCTCCTCAGATGAGGGGACGACCTGAAGGGATCTCACGCAGATGGGTACGAGAAAACTCGCAGGATCCCGAGTCGTGAAGATAGGTAAAGATGGGAGCAAATGGTAAGCTGTGATGAATGCAGGTGGGATGGCTTGCTGGGCTACTGGTGCCAGACAAGGAAATCGGTCGCCATCCCTGCTATACTAACCCCACCATCGGCCTGCCACGACGACACCACCATCTCATAACGCCATCCCGAAAAAAATCGCACTAACAGCACGGGAGCTTTTGGGCCAGGCTGAGCATCCACAGGTGGTCTTTATCTCAACAGGTCAAGTCGGGCTGAAGGTTGTGCTACTTTGAAGGAAGGCGAGCTGCCGGACTGTTGGATCGAGAGCCGTGATCGCCCTCGGTCTGAGTGGCAACGGATGCGGGAGGCAATGCTCGGGTAGTCTGATGAGCAAGACGAGGTGGGAGTCGGCCGTCCGTGTTCCTTTTCCTTCGGGGTCCGATATCAGATGTGAAATGTGCCAGCAGCGGACTGGGCAGTGTTTGGGGGTGGATAGGAAATATGGATAGGAAATATCTGGCAGCCAAGGATGTAACTGATGGCTGACTGTAGTCAGCTCAACGTACCTTCTTCGCCAGATCCCGTCAATCTTCTCACCAGCTCCTGCCTCTTCTGCTGCGAGTCCTGGGGAGACGGAGGTGGAAGCACGTTTCCTGTTTCCGATTGCCTGTTTTGGAAAGCACTCTCAAGCTGGTCTCCCGAATGTCAAGTCCAGGAAAGTACAAGAAGGGGCATGATAGGCGTGGGGCTCAACAGCACCTGCATTCTCAACTCTCAGCTGGGTCGTCTAAGGTACGGAGTATATGTGCTTCAGGCAAGTCAAAGTCGTCTGTATTTTCACGAATGCGCTGCTCATCTCAACCTCTTCTAGGCACCTCTTCCTCAACTGTGTGTTCCAGTCGAGGATGTCCGATTACTGTACCGATATGTAGGTAGTAGGTTAGGTACTCTATCATCAATTCTCTTCCCTTCCCACTCCCCAGCCAACCACCGCTGCAGGTCCAGCCCCCGCAAGACCTCAGAGGCGGTGTTACGAAACTTGTTCGTCTCGTTGCAAGCCGGTTTGACTCATATGCAAGTCGGCGGCCTAGACTTCGACCCCCCGCGGGATGCATCATCCACGAAACCCGAACCACCGTGCCAGTCTCGACACTTCGATATTAATTTCATACGAGCACCTCCCTATTTGCCCTCCACTGCGGAAAGAATGAAACATGACCATGACTAACATCAAATCGAGTGGGCTCACAGCAATTCTCCCTATGAGTCTTTTGTTGTTTTCTCCTTTTCTTTTTTTGGGATAAAAAAAAAACCTTCGGACCGGATAGATTATCGTCCATGGAGTGTTGTCCCACTATGTGGCCAATTATGCGGCCCCAGACGCCCGATTTCTAGGTCGATGATGGTGATGACTCTGTGCCCAGGCAACAACGCAGCATACAACGCAGCATTTTCCCAAGAACTTTAAATTTTCGATTAGGCACCTTTGTGATTTGCCTCGAAGCAGTCGCCTAGATTGGGAAAACTTTCAACCACAGTGGTGCTCTTGTCCCGCCTAGCATACTGTCGACTTACACCTTTGCCTGCCTCCTATCTCGCCTGTCAGGCAACATACAGCATGACCAGCGGCGTCTACCTATACCTTGATCCACTAGACTACCTTGATTGCCTTGCTGTAACCTGAAATGCTTTGTCGTCTCGCAAACATGTCAAAACGCCACCTCTGCCACCTCCGACCGCATGTCAAAGGACTCTGATGAGCCGATGCCGCGCAAGGATCAAGTGTGTCGGGCATGAAGTCCACACGATTTGCTGCATTAGTGCGCTGGGTCAGTCTCTAACACCGCCCACTACAAAACACGCCTGGCGTCTGTTAATCACCGCGGGAGTTTTCTTGGCCGGCGCTACTGTCATTTATCGCCCGTCTTTTCTTAGCAACAAGTTTTGATTGAAGTGGGTGTCCGGGCACTGTGATTTTGGTGCCAATGCTTTCTTCGAGTCGTCTGGAGAAAAAGCATTGACACTGGGTTGTTTGCTTGAGACGGGCGTGGAGCCGCACGACTTGCGCTAGCCTCAGACTCACCGCCGATTCCTGTCGATATCTCTCGCACATATGCAGCAGGCTCTTATTACACACCTATCATATTTCACGAGTCAAGAAATTGCCTTTCACACTGGCTTGCAATAGTCGCCATGGTACTTATGGAGTGAAACTGGGTATTCGTTCCGCCGGAGGAACGGAATACCACCTCTGCTGAAGACGAGTTTTCTCTGCCCTCAACAACTGATAGCATCACCACTGGTAGTTGATGAACATGGCGAATAGGCGCCTCTCAACTTCCAAAAGACATGTTTGTACTTTCTGGAGGGAGAGATCTAAGCGGCTGCTCCCCCTTCTTGCCATATACACCATGCAAGCCCGTCCAAATCCGGCAAGTAGTTATGTCCACCACTGTTCCATCCGATGGGGAGGGCAGATGTAAACAAGCAACCCGGTTCTCTGAGCATGCATTGTGCTGCGCTCTGATCGTCCTTCTTGTCGATCGACCGGAAAGAGCCGAGGGAGACAGGTGTGGTGTCCCGGTGATAACTGGCCCAACTCGAGAGTGTTGCACTACAGCTCGCAGGTAGTATTGAAGCACTCGTCGTTTCTGACACAACCACGATGAGCTCTGTCATATGCCTCGTGAGACTACTTTTTTCTTTTTCTTTTTCTGCCAGGGAAGCCAAACGGTATCGGGGGTATGATTAAGTCATCGTGATTATTCTATCTATATCAAGAAAAGGGGGGGGGGGGGTATCATCGTATCCACCAACCTCGACAACGGCAGAGAGAGAAAAGTGGCAGCCGCTATGCTATGCAAGAAGAAAAAGAGGCAAAACTTGATATCGACAGACAGCAAAGATACAAGACAATAATCCAAGTTCTAAGAGACATCGCTCGAAAGAGATCCGCCACTGCCCATGCCACGTCAACGACGTTGCAATTCACACTCATCCGACTGCAAAACAAGAACGAAAGAAAAGGGGGGGGGGGCCACCCGCTCCTTCAGTGGAACTGCAGCCGGGCAATGCTAAACAGCATGTTCTGCAGCACGTGCAGAATCACGGCCACGCTGGTCGGCAGCAGCTCCGGCCAGACGGCCAGGTCGAGCTTGCCCTCGACCACGACGCTGACGCCGTAGATCCAGCGGATCAGGCCCGCCACGACGAAGCTCGCCGCCAGCTCGCACGCCCACGTCACCGACGAGGCGTAGAAGGTGAGGTTGAAGTCGTACCCGTCCCCGTCGCCGCCGCCGCCGCCGCCGCCGCCTTGCTGCCCGCCGTCAAACGCAAAGTACGGGTAGACGTCCTTGTTGGCGCCAAAGTGCAGGACGAGGATGGACCCCAGGAAGGCGAGCATGCTGGCGTTCTCGGCGAGGAAGCGCACAAAGACGTTGCGCACGCACGTCTTGTGGTAGGCGCCGTAGGATTGGGCGTTGAGCGACAGCAGCGTCAGGCAGCGGTGGGCGGGGCGCGACATGAAGAGCGGGGTGATGGTGATGAGGAAGAAGGACGAGAGCGCCTGCAGCCAGATGAACTGGGACGGCGAGCGGAGCCGGGCGTACAGAGCCCGGACGTAGGTCTGGTAGGTGAGCATGAAGTATCTGTTTTTGAGAGGCGCATCGCAGGCGGGTCAGTCAGTACATATGCAAACGACGACGGTAGCAATGCAGAAAGGAAGGCGTCACAATGGACACTCACAGCTTGAAGATCCAACTCAGAGGGTAGCTCCCGACCCTCTCGCCCTCGTTGCCGCCCAAGATCCAGCCTGTCAGGCCGTCGAGAAGATGCACGGTGGCGACCCAGCCGTATACATAGACGATAGTCTCCAGGTTGTTGTGTGGCAGGGTGCGAAGATAGATCTCGGCGTACGCCTCTCCAATGACGTACACGAGCAGGCCAATAAAGAGGGCCAGGCAGAACCAAATGAAGCGTATGAAGCTGGCGGGTAACCAGCGCCGACGCATCGCGACGGGGACAACGCCCCGTCGTGAGGCAGGGCCCATATCGCTCACAGCTGCAACCTGGAGGGCCGCGTCCGAGTCGAAGTCGTCGCCCATGTTGTTCTGCTGGTGCATCCACGCTCGGCCGCGGCGCCTCGACTCTCTTCGCGGCAGCGTGTCTGGTTCGCCGGTCCACCAAGACGAGGTGAAAATGCGTTGGGTCTCGGAAAGGGAGTGCCGGAGCCCGAGATGGCGTTCGTGGGTCATCAAGATGCAGAACGCAATCAGAACTGGCATGGCCATGATAAAGAAGGTCCAGGTAATCCATGCCGTGTTGTGAACCGTGAGCCACCTAGACTCCGGGATTAGATACACGGGCATCGGTGCGGCGATAGAAAGCAGCGCGATAAGCGTTATGGTTACAGGAAAGCCGAGAGACTTGGGCCACCTGGATACCATGTTAGCCAATGTCTGAGCCGACAGGGCTTATCAGGGGGCTTCGACATACCAGTTCAAGCTGTAGAGGTTGAACACCTTGGTAATCCAAATCAGTGCAGTCAGACTGTAGCAGCCATAATACACGAAAAGGAAGAACCAAAAGTTAACCTGAACCCGGGCCTCTCCGTGACCCGGTACCTTGCCTCCGTTCCGGGGTGGATTGTCCGGATCAGGAGTCTCGGGCGACCCCGGTAACGGGTACTGAGGGAAAGGCAAGGCACACCACGCAATGGCCTGCAAGTGAAAAAAACCGTTAGCACGCACTCTTCAATTTTGGTTTGTACATGCTGAAAGACCAGGGTAACTGGCTCGTGCCCACACATCCCAAACACGATAACGGAACTTACCAGCGCAGCCGGCAGCACTACCAGCAGTGTCCAGCGATTCCACCAGCTGTTGACAACTCTCTTGACCGCGCTCTGCTTCGGCGTGATCCAGAGATCGTTCACCCAGCGCCAGGTCCTCCTGCCCAGCTTGTGACACCGCCCGACGCATCCGAGGCCGCCCTCGTCGTCGTCGCTCAGCCCGTCTTCGTCGCCCGTCTCGTCGTCCTCCTCGTCCTCGAGCTGCTGCGCCAGCACCGCGCCGTACCCGATATGTACGCTGCCGCGCCACGCCGCGTTGATCTGCCCGCCGCGCTGCTGCGCCGCGCCCAGCCCTCCGCCAGCGTAACCACCACCGCCGAGAGGCCGAGGAACGGCGCGGAAGCGGCCCAGCAGCGGCGACGCGTCGGCCGGGAAGAGGGCGCGGGCCTCGTTGCCCTGCTGGAAAGAGAAGAAGGACGGCATCCGTGGTGCGGTCTCTGCTAGTGTGATATATATGTATCCCGCCCGCTTGTTGGCCTTGTCGAAGCCTCCCCCCGGCGCCTCCGGGCGCTGTTGTGCTCGAAGTGTTTCGGTCTCCTCGCGTGCGTGCTCAACGAGTGTGAAAACGAGGTGGCGCAGGAGGGTCTCTATTCAGTCGTCGCACCGATTTCTCGCTAATATTCTGTTTACGGCGAGTTTCTCGGTGCCTTCTTGCGTCATGCCGATGAAACGGCAGAGGCTGTATGTCGGCTTGGCCTGACGTCGGGTGGCGGAGGACGAAAGCGGATGTTTTGGGTCTTCATGGTGCTCAATGCTCAGGGCACCAGCGGATGTCCTCGGTAGCGTCCACGGGTGCTATGACGCTAGCTATTAGCGTGAGTAAACCCTGAGGGTTGACAGAATCCGGTGGAGCAAGGCCCCTGGGGCCGCTAGGGACGGCCCTGGAGGCTGGTACCGATTGTCGGTGATCCCCCTACAACGTCATTGCATCCATTAATAAGTCACACTCATAATGAAACATCCAATTCTCAGAGCGACAACGCATTCCTTCCAGGTACAGTACTTAGCGTACTTATATATCTACATGCGATAGACTTTGGCAGTAGAAGTTCTCTAGTTTTACTGATTTACACAGACCGTCCGGCCGCCGCATCATGCAATCCCCAGTTCGATTACCTGCGGCTTGGTATCGCCGGGTATCATCGTCCTCTTCTGCGCCCATTCATCATCAGATGCCAATGCGAAGCTTCCATGTCCTAATCTTCGAAGCCGTCGTCATTGAGCTCATCTTCTTCCTCCTCGTAAATCTCTGAATCTGTCTCTCCATCCGTGCTGTCGGGATCATGGGCATCACCATCAAACTCTTCAGCCGCCTGTGGCTCTGCGGCAGCCTCCTCCATCACAGGATGATCTGCCTCCCTTGAGACCTCCTCATCCGCCTCCGGCTCAGCATCATCAGCTCCACGGGTCGAGACATTCTCCGAGACTGAAATCTTGACATCATCCGCAAAGCCAACCGTCTTAGCGGTAGGCGACTTGCTTGGCGGCTCAAGGACATCTCCGCTCCAAGGCTTACACTCCTTGACCAGCTCGCCGCATCTCAGGCAGGTCCAGCTCTCGCCCTCTTCGCGCTCCAGTCGCGTCGCCAGGCAGACGAAGCAGTACACGCAGCCGCATGGCACCGTTTCGTAGGGGTTCGTGATGTCTGTCTGTGCAGACCCAACCACGCCGCTGGAAGCCGCCGCGGCCAAGACTTCGGCCTCTGATGTGGCGCTATTCTGGTCCTGATAGCAAATGGCGCACGTCCTTTCGGGCAGGAAGGCGAACTCTCCTTTCTTCTCGTCCGCCGGGGCCGTGGCGCCACTGGTGACAATGTCCTTCGTCTTCCGCCAGGTGCGCATGATCCATCTCCGCCATCGGTTGATGCCGACGAGGGGGAGAACAAACAGAAGGAATTCAGTGAAGGCGTGCCACACTAGTTGGCGGTTGAGGTACTCAAAGGACACCTCCCGGCTCACCTGGCTTGTCGGCGGTGCCAGTCTTATACGCAATATGCGGTCGAGCAGGGTTCTGTACCTGCCGTTGACCAAGAATACCAAGAAAGAAGCAAATGCCGCAACAGCATGCGTTGATGATGCAACTGAAGTTAGCCGGGACATCCTCTTGACTCTCGGGCTTGGCTCATCGTAGCCATTATCTTGGTCGAGGAGCCAATCCTCCCACTTGGTCCAGGCATATTTGCCCCCAACTGTGATGAGCCCGTAGATGGTTTTTTGCAACCTCGTTGGCGGCGCGAGCACCGGCCCTTTGTTGCGGGCATCGGTGTACTTGAGATTCTGAAGAGCCGCACCATAGGTTGCATCGTGATCCCATATGGTCAATTTGAAGAGCACGGCCCGGAGCAGCAGGAGGATCTCGGCGGACCACTCGTCCTTCAGCCCACCGCTCGCTTGTCCGCCGTGGCCTCCAAAGTATTTGAGAGCATCGCCGACTTGGTTCCGCAGAAGTTCTATCAACTCCTCGTCCAGGAGCTCAGCATCGACCTGACCCACGCGGAAAGCGGGCCTCGTGCCTTCTCGCGACGAGACGGCGTCCCAGGCTGACAGGGCAGAGCCGCCGAGCCGCCGTACGAGCGGAGATTGATGCGAGGCGATGGAAGCACGCAGTCGGGATGCCGATTGCTGGGCAGCAGCTCGGGCTTGAGCTTCGGCTTCACGCGCTTGGCGACGAGCTGCAAGGCGTTCTTGCGCCTGGGCGAAGGTGGGAGTGGACGAGGTCATTGGAATCGCATCAGGAGTCTTGGAGCGGTGCTTTCCAGGGGTTGCGCGTAATAGGTCAGAGCAAGGCTCTGTGATTTACTGCGTTGCAGCAGAATTGAAGGGGAAGTTGGAGTTGTCGTGATCAATCTTGAATTGGCTTGTGAAAGTGATGTCGGTTGAGACTTAGCTGGGATACGTGACTCGCGACTCCAGCACGCAAGAGCCGAGGTCTGAAGCTCGGACCGCCGCTGCCGTAATGATGGCCCGCTCCTCCACATTTGACCTAGGAGGCCATGCCTAGGTAGGTAACTACTTGTACCTAGGTACCTACCTACGATAAGGTATGGAGAATTGACTACTGGTCAAAGCTCTACAGCTATCCCGCTAATTACGACCACCAAGGCCAGTATCGTAATTCCATCCAAAGAAGCCCTTGCCCTCACGCTTGATCCATGCGCCAACCTTGAAACTTACTTATGACGGATCATGGACCTATTCGCACCGGCCAACGCGAAGCCAACCTTGAAACAACGAGAGGACTGCGGCCTGTTCGTGCAATGAAGCGAGCCCAAGACCGAGCTTACTCTGTGGCAACGTCGTGGGCTTTTTCTCGCTTGGCGCCTGCATACTGCTGACATGCCTACTTCCCCAGCTTAAAGGACCCTACTGCATTTTCAAACCTTGTTCAGCAAAAGGCATGACTTCCATTTGCGTTGCCCTCTTCGAGACACCGAAGGAGACGACAGCAGCCTCTGACGAACGAAGTCTATTCCTCTGATCTATGCTGCATACGCGTGGCTGGATTGCAGACCGATGAAGTATCGTCGTATTCGGCAATAACTCCCCCGGGCTGAGCGATGCTCGCACAGAGCTCCATGCTGGCTGTGGCTGGGTCAGTGCTTGGTCGGAGCATTATTCTGACCCCCGCTTCCAACGTTACTTTCACATGTCTCCATCTCATCCTGCCCCCAAAGTCGTAGGGCTGAGACAAAGTTGGCGGTTATCGACGCTTACCAGAGAGACGGGAGTAGGCGCGAACCAGATTGGAGTGCGAACCCCAGTAACGCCCATGCAGCATATCAGGATTCTTTCAATGGTATCAAGGAGGGAAAGGTCCAGCGGCCGCCCCAGAAGCGGACGACGCGCCGACGTTATCATGCATAGCGACATGCGCGAATGGCGGGCTAAAGAGGAGTGACGCTCTGTTATTCTCGGCGTTACTCTTGTACAGGCCAGGGGCATGGTTTGGGATGCTCAGTCCTGCATGTGCGATCCCTGGTCTCAGCTGTCGTCTCTCTGCCGCGCTAACCTGGAAAGTCAGGACAGGCCTGGACGTATTGGTTCGACAGCCAATAGGGGCCTCATCCAGACGAGGGCCAGACAGTGCCAAGCAGCAGCCATCAGGTCCTTCACCGCAACGACAGAGTTGGAGGCGGAGCCCTCCACCTCCGGACAAGGCCGTCGCCCTGATATTGTGCATAATTCCGCCCGTCACTCCCATGTTACCAACTTGCCGGCTTGAATTGCCGTAGGGCTGGGCTCGACGTGGACTCGACATGGACTCGACATAGGCTCTACCCTGTTGTTATGGGGCTAAATTAGATGTCAGCTCTACGACACGACCTCCTTCCAACTGGTGAGAGTTGAGACCCTCATACTCAAACCGTGTCTCATGGACGAGCTTACAGAGTACGCGTGTGTGTGTTTTCTGGTCAATCATGCTGCCTGCATCTCATTCCGGTGGCGGTGTGTCGAAGGGAAAGGCTACCACCCTCCCTTACGTCAATGAAGATTTTGCTGCTGCGCCTGGTGGTCTGTTAGTAAGATCACCACGCACATACCACGATGTGCCAAGGCAATGGCTTCTCCTCGTCTCCTCTACTCCGTACTGATCATTGCTACTCTGGCCGTGCCGACCCGCAAGGCTCTAAAGCATGGAAGAGGAGAGAGGAGAGGCGAGCAAGGGATCAGTGGCCCTGCTCGCCTATCAGAATGCCAGCACAGAAAAGTACTGGCCAAGTAACTACTGCGACGTTATGCATCTTTCGTTTGGCTGGTTTCAGGGGTGGGGTTGTTCCCGGGTACTGCACCCATGCTGGGATCACCCACGATACCATGTCCATTCTGCTGTTTGCCATGCTGGTTATGCTGGCTATCATGCTGGCAGCTCTGCAGCCTGCAGCCTGCACGGTGCACTTATTGACATGTGCAAGGGTTGGGGTTTACAAGATGGGTACATTCCTATACTTTGTGCCTTTCTCGAGCCCTTCCCCCATCCCGCCCCATGGTGCACAAACTCCGACCTTCTTTCCTCTGCCGGAGAGATGCTCCGAGAACATGCTAGAACAGGAGCGAGGGTGGTTCCTGAGTGCCCAGCCCGAGTCCTTTTGGGTCGTTTACTGACTGCGATGTGGTCTGCACCCGCAGCTCACCGTACTTTGCTTTCTGCGAAGAGAGTGCTTCTGCATATGACCGTGCATGTCCACGGTCGCACCCGCCAGTGCCCCGGCCGTTTGGCCCACCGTTTCGCTAGGGGCCAAACACCCTCAGGTGGCCTGTCAAAGAAGAGGTTCACTGAGCAGCAGCCAATCTGCGTGCCTCTCCTGTCTTGATAAGCACTGTCGCCAAAAATAAGCACTTTATGTCATCGTCTACCCTTGTCATCGTCCGTTGGACTTCGTTGGAAATTCCTGTCGAGCTGGGGCCTCGGTCACACCAGACTGCTCGCTCTCTCTTTGTGTATGCTCGCAAAACCTCGCTTTGGTCGCCGACCTCGCGTCATTTCCAAGCGAGTGTAGAGCTCTCGGCAGCTCATTCAAACCATTTTCTCATGCCCGTTTCCCACCATCCATAAGGCTGATTGCATCACGGTTTCCCGGCTGCTTGGTCAATACGCCTCGTTACAACTCCAGCTTCGGTCTTCTTTACTCCCCATCTCCTCGCTATCCCCGCTTCAGACCGTCTGGTTACATCGCGGTCTGAGCCTACCCCGTGTTCATCTCGAAGATGGGTGAACCGTTTGTTTTAATGTTTAATGATCACTCTATCTCCGTCCAAGCCCCCATCTGGGGGTCTTCGGGTGACACTTGTCGCTGTTCCATCTTCTATCTCGTTCAGCAGCCCATCTTAGCCAATACATTTGCTTTCACAGCCATCCGGGGTGAAGACGTAATGTCCTGACGTTCAGGCCGGCCGATCAAAGCCCTTCTTCTATTCCAAGGTCCCAGATAGACGCAAAGATGAAGGGGCTAATGCCACCATCCGTTAGCAAGGACCCATGACGAGAAAGTTCTCGACTTGACATACGTCGGCAGTAAAGAGTTTTCTTCCTTTTATCGCCATCGCCATGTTATCCATGGACCCTATTGCTCCGTATGCTTCGGCGTCGGGACTAGTGGTCTCATTTCCTGGAATGAGAGTATCTGCCCACCGCCAATCCTCGTCATCAGCCATCCCATGTCGTCGGCGATTTACTCCCGTGATGTGACAGGTAGTACCTGTCAAGTCGAGCATGCTTGGCATGCGGTGATCCCGATACATGGCGGACAGAGACTGAAAATAGGGCTAATCAGGTCACGGAGCGTCAGCCGCTGGCTTGCTGGCAGTGTGACAAAACCCTGGCTCATAGATCGTGGCTTGTATCGTCTTTGTACCCCAAGTCCCCAATGCTACCCCCCTTCACCACGCCAGGGCCCACCGTATGTCGTTTCTGTATAGACCCTGCAGGAGCTCTTCTCTCTAGAACAATACAAGAGGCCTCGAGCTCGGCTGTGATGCAGTCATCATGATGATGCTGCCTCTTATTAAATTTCCTCATCATCTCGTCGAGTTGAGAACAATCCTTCCATTTTCCACTCTTGCTCTCTAAGAAATCATCTTCTCCCAAAGCGCCGTACACTTTAGTTCTTTTTTGACTTGACCTGTCTCACAACACGGCTGCTTTCACAATGAGCACCTCGCCCGGCTCAGACAAGTCGTCAGAGACTGCCGGCGACAGTAGGGGCTCGTCCCCGGCTACAGACCAGCAGGCCAACAAATCCAAAGCAGGCATCCGAGTCTCCCTGGCATGTGTCCCTTGCCGATCCAAACACATCAAGTGCGATGCTACGATGCCGACGTGCTTGCGCTGTCAGGCAGAGCATAAGCCGTGCTTCTATGCCAAGTCGAGACGCGGTATTCGAGACGCGAAGAAACGCAGCATGATCGCCGACAAGCTCCCACATTCAGCCCGCGGCCCCAGTCTCTGGCCTGTGAGCCAATTGTCGACAGTCGACGTGCCGATTCGCTTCCTGAACAACAACATGCCTTCCGGCTGGTCACTGACGAGGACTCTGAGGCCAACTTCCTCCCCGGCCGGCGCGGCAGCTCTGCTACTTGACGCATTCTACTCGAGGTGTTACGCAAACTTCCCTTTCCTTCTTCCCAAGCCGTACATGATGTCGCAACTCGCGAAAAACGCCACAGAGCTCCGTTTTCTGGTGAGTGTCTGCATATATGCGGCGTCTCTCTATGAGCCATCCATATCGTCGGACGAATTACGAGAGGCTGTGTACAACCAATCCTTCGGCCACCTTCCAATGACCGCGTTCACGGTCCAGGCGCTGGCTCTCCTATCGTACACGGCGATAGGCGAAGATAAGCCCGAGCTCCGGAGCATCTGGCTAGATCGTGCGATACAAGTGGCCATGGACATCGGGATGCAGCACAGGTCATTTGCCGAGAACGAGCCGGACGTAGTTGTTGCGGAGAGCTATCGGAGAACCTGGTGGGTTCTGTACAAGTCAGACTGCATTCGCGCCACATACGAGAACCTGCAGACGTTTTTATTGCTCAGTGTGCCCGCGACAGTAGACCTGCCATGCGAAGAATGGGAGTATCAATCAGGGGTGAGTCAACCAGCGAACTTGAACGTGCAGGTTGCCAGACTTTGAAGTGCTCATTCGGACTTAGCATATTCCCTCCTTCGCCGTCTCGTTGGCTGAATATGATAGTCGAGATCCTTGCGAAGAGCCAACATTCTCATCCTGGACGTATGTGATCGACCTCTGTCGGCTGGTCGCCGAGGTCGTCCTGCCCCTGCACTTGTATGCCGAAAGGCCTTGGCAGGACGAGGTGACTCGAGCCGACATGAAGATCAGCAACTGGCTCGTACGCATTCCCAAATGGAAAAAGGAAGCCATCGGCCCTGACGGTTCTCCCGATCTGATGCTTTACTCTGGCATCTGCTTCGCATTGGAGTGAGCCTGCCCTCCCATCACCAGATACAGATACACACGGATAGCTAACCCATCGTGCGTCATCCAAGATTACGTATCAGATTGCGTCAACCGTACGAACGGCTACATCTCAGCCTGGTAGACGGGTTCGCCATCGGACCCCTCGACCGCTCGCGAGTCACAAACGACGCCAAGGTCGGGCCGTCGTGGAACGTCTGCCCGCCGGAGCTCTACGCCGCCAACGCACTGCTCAGCGTCTTCACGTTTCCCTTGTCGACTTCGTCGGCGTGCCCGGTCAGCATACCTGTTATTGAGCGGGTGTGCTTGGCCCTGCTCGACGCGTGCGTGTTTCTCGGCTGCGACACGCCCAGCGTCAGGGAGAAGCTGCATTTCGCCTTTGGCATCCTCAAGACGTACGGGGAGGTGTGGCCGCTGGCCAAGAGGCTGGCCGCCGGCATCAAGGATGTCACTTCTACGTATCTGCCGCCCACGCCAGGGAGCGGAGGCGACTGTCATCCCGCCCCAGCAGTCTCTACTTCTGTTAGCACCAGCGTCAGCGAGTGTGCTGCATCCTTGTGGACTGAAGCCCTGTACCCGGCCACCCAGCACGTCTCGGACCATCATCCTGAGGTGGCGTTCCAAATGCCGTTCTATGAGCCGTTTCAAGAGCATGTAGACGGTACATTCGAGAACTGGGTACTGGGTGGGTCGTGATTATTGATCACGCCTGTATTACGAACATTTGCTGATGACATGGACTGGGATTGCCGTCGTCTATTTGGGAGTTTGATTGGATGAGAGGAGTTACGGAGTTCCTTGTTTTCTTCCCCAGCGTCACTATGAATAGTCTTGTTCAGCGAAAGTAGCCTTTGGAGGTCTCTTTGTTTTCTTGTTTTAAATTAGCATATAGAAAGCGTGATAATTTAAAAGACGTGGTCAACGATTTTGAGTTAACCGCCGCTGTCCCTGTGCATCCTCCAGATCATCTATATCTGGTATATAATGTAAGCATTTGAGAGAAGCTGAGCAGGAGAGGAAGCTGAGAGACGAGACTGGTTTGTCATCACCTAAAAGGACAGTACATGTAAGCCTTTTTGTTTCATATTCCAAATACCCCCTTCTCACCACTGCACGCTCAGGGAGACCTCTTTCCAGGGAGGGACTAGCACATGCATGCCAGTCTCTCATCTCAGCCCTATCACCTATCACAACTGGTAGCCACTCAGCAGCTCCTCAGCTGTGCATATAAGAAATGCTTAAACTACTTAGCTAAGGAGGACTAAAACTCTTGGTAAACGTGGACAAACCCCCCCCCCCACACCCCCCCTCACCCCCACAC